GAGTCATCATCTGATTTTTTTCTCATTTTTATTTATCCATCAATTTTTTTTGTTTGTTATTTTTCTCTTGGTTTTTTCGTATTTTTTCTTGGGGCTTGTGGGATTTGGAATTTCGCAAGTGGGAAGGGAATTTTGAGGGATAGAGGAAGGGTAGTGATTTTAAATTCTTTTAATTTCGTAACTTTTCTGTGAAAAAAAATATTTCGCAAATTGAGAGAGACACAGAGAAAGAAAAATTTGTTCAAACTTTTTTAATTTTATATCTCTAAAATTTTTTTTTTTTTTCAAATCATTTTTTAATTTTTGAAATTTAATTTTGGCTGATCGGAAAAATTATCGGTCGAAGATTTATTTAAAAAAAAACACATTTTTGGCTAAAATTTTCTAATGTCGTTTTGTATTTTTCTCTGTGTTTCTTTGAAGATTTAAGCCTCAAAAAATCTGTTCAATTTTTTTTTTCAAGTGAGATTCAAATACAATTTTTGATTTTTTAGGATCAAAAATAGAGGACTTGGGAAAGGACTTGGGAGATCAGTGGGGATGTTCAGAATTTATGAACAATTTTGCAAAAATATCAATCGAATTGTACGTTTGAATTTGTGTGTGTGGAAAAAAACAGGCTGGATTTTTTTTCAATAATTTTAACTGGGTATTTGGGAGATGAGAAAAATTTAGAAATAAAAATAACCATTCAAAAATTCTTGAATTTTTCCAATTCAAAATTTTAGAAATAATTTTTCTCTTGAAGTGGGGAAGGGTGTAAAAAAGCAGGGGGGTCAGAATTTTTTTTAAATTTAAAATTATTAATCGATAACGGCTTGTGTGTATAAAAAAGTGTGCGGACTATTTATTTTTTAAATTTTCTTTTTCTATTTGTTTTTGATTTTTAATTTTTTTTCTTGAAGGTGGAGTCTGAGATAAAAATCGAAAAAATTTTTTAAAATAAATTTCAATTCAAAAGTTTGTTAAAAAACAAACTTTTGTCAAACTTTCATAAAACTCACAATTTTTATATGGCCATTAGAACATCTTGAAGTACCCCCAAAACAATTTTCAGCTCAAAACTCGACCGCGAGCTAAAGAGGTTCCCTTGTCAGAACTGACAGAGCTCCAAACTACTGTACATCTAGTCTTTCAAGCCAATTTTAGAAGTGGCTCTTCCAAATCAGCACAAGGTATTTTTTGTTCAGACTCCACCTTTAAACCTACGATTTAAAAAAAAATAAATTAAACATTACGAAAAGGACCACGAAAGATGAAACTCGCGGAAAAATACGAAAATAATTGGGAGAGGAGAAGGAGAAGGAAACATTGAGGACTGCATTTCTGGCACAATTCAATGAATGGAAGATTTTCTATTTTGATGAAAATCAATAAAAGGTGGGTGAGAAAAAGCTCTGGACGATGAAAAAAACCATAAAAAATTACGAAAGGGACCACGTAAGATGAAACTGGCAGACAAGTACGAAAATTATTGTGGACCTCTTCGTGCAAGCCAACGCTCCAAAATGGTTGGAGCAACCTTATTATGAAAAAGAAAATAAACAATTTAAGAAATTTTTCAATAACGTTGAGAATGCAATAGTTTACGAAGCAAAGGTGATAGGAACTCTGGAAGCGAAAAAAAACTTGCGAGAAAAACTGAAAATTAAATCGAAATTGTAAGCCCTGAATGAAATGAAGACATTGAGGACTGCAATCCTGGCACAGTTCAATGAATGGAAAATTTTTTATTTTGATGAAAATCAATAAAAAAAGGTGGGTGAGAAAAAACTATCAATCTGGACGATGAAAAAAGAATACATTAAAAATTACGAAAGAGACCACAAAAGATGATAATGGCGGAAAAATACAAGAATGATTGTGGACTTAAAAGTCCTTCGTGCAAATAAATTCTCCAAAATGGTTGGAGCAACTTTTATGAAAAAGAAAATGAACAATTTGCTAAATTTTTCAAGAACGGTTGGTGATAGGAACTCTGGAAGCGACAAAAACTTGCGAGAAAAACTCAAAATCAAATCGAAATTGTGAGCACTGAATGAAATGAAGACATTGAGGGGTGCAATCCTGGCACAATTCAATGAATGGAAGATATTTTATTTTGATGGATCAATAAAAAGTGGGTGAGAAAGATGCCTCCGAAATCATCATTTCGCCATACATTCAAAAGGTGGGTGCGGAAAAAATTGTCAAAATCAAGAATTTGGATTAACGACTCCAAAAATAAATGTTCATCAATTCTGAAGTTTTTCAAATTTATGACGACTACACTGAAGAAGTAGAAATTTTCGGTAAAAAAATTAGACAAAAGAAAATAATTAGATGCCAGAATTTTAGAAACTTTAAAAGTTGGAAGATATCACAAGAGAAATCTGTGCAGCTGTCGCGTCGCGTGGAGAACTCAAAGCTTAAACTTTTGAAAGATTTTGACATTGACAGAGAGCCAAATCGAAGTGATCAATTAATTATCACCAATAAATTAAGGTCAGATCACCTTAAGATTGAAACTGAAGATTTGCAATTTCAAATGATTTTTTTAACCAAGCACCCTCACCAACATCTCGTGTTGGTGGAGAAACTCCAAAACTCAAACAAGTGGAGAATTTATTGATGCAACTGCGTGTAGTTCGGATATGGAGATCGAAACGGGTGATTTGAGCAAACCGGAAAAAATCAATGATTGGAAAATATTTTATTTTGATAAAATATTAGCAGCCTGGAGATTGGTATGATGTATGCTGTTATTCCGAAAAAACGAAACCGCGGATTAAAATGAGAATAGAAGAACAAATGGATCGCGATTCTTGGGAAGACTTGGAGAAATGTGAGGAATTTCGCAAGAAGCTTCCTCACAACTTCTGATTCCAATCTTCAGTATTAAACAAGCGAATATTTGAGTGCGATCGTAGTCCTGAACAAAGTGAAGACATAGGAAGATTAATGGCTGCAAGCCTGGCACGCTTCAATGAATGGAAAATATTTTATTTATTTATTAATAAAATATTGAAAGGTGGGTGAGAAAAAACAGAAAAAAAAATTATGAAACCAATGGAAGACGTTTGGGAGCCCAACAAGTGGACAAATATTCGCAACTGTTTGTAGTTCCGATATGGAAATCGAAACGGGTGAAGAACAAGCGAATATTTGAGTGCGATAACGACAAAAAATAAATTAAAAATTACGAAAGGGACCACGAAAGATAAAACTTGCCGACACATTCGAAAATTATTGTGGAGCACTGAAAAAAATGAAGACATTGAGGGTTGCAAGCCTGGCACAGTTCAATGAATGGAAAATATTATATTTCGTTGGATATATAATTGGGACTCCAGATCCAATTCAACTGCAAGATTTTGGAAAAAGTTGAGTAAACCAATTAGGTCGTGTTTTTCTAATTTTCAATTTTGTTCAAATAAATATTTTTTCTTCGTAAAAAATCGATTGAAGCTTTAACATCCACAAAAAGGTTAGTTTAACTATCCATTTTTTCTTTCAATGAAAAATATTTCATATTTTCAGGTAAAAATTGGAATCTACGTCAAAACCTCAAAGTCTCTTGAATTCATATCAAGTTCTAAAGCTAAAGAACATTTTGGAAGGTTTGTTTGAATTTTTTTCTCAACCAGAAATGGTGATAATTTCAGTTCTCAATTTTCTATTGAACAAATTTTTATTCTTACAGATCTCAAAATCAACAATGTTATGGATCTCAAATGATAATTGTGAAGAAAAGGAAACTCCCTTTTTTCTGAAACTGAAAAAGCAATGGGAGTTTTGTGAAGAAAAAAAAATCGAAATTGTCTGAATTTTCATATCAATATTTCTCTGAAAATTTGGAGAAAATCTAGGGAATTTTTTATACAATTTTTTGTGTGACAGATTCTGAATAGGAATTTTTATGTAATTTTATTTTAAATTATGTCAGGATTTTTTTGTAATTTAAAAATCGAACCTTTGTTTTTATTTTGTAGCCCTATTTTTTTCTAAATTTTTTGTTCCAAATTTTAGTTCCCAAAACATTTTTCTGTAATTATTTTTTTCTTAAACCCCAAATTGATAGTAGATTTTTTTTCCAAATTCATTTTAATATTGTTAATTTCTTTTTCAAAATTGTATTTTTTCTTGAACCATTCTAGAATTTTTGGTTAAAAATTATTAGCCCCCTTTTGTTTTTCCCACAAAATTCCTTTTGTGTAACCCTAAACCCTAAATTTCCTGATTCCGCAAGCTGAATAATTCAACTTATGATAACTTTTTTTGTAATATTTGATATAATGGTAGGTGCTTCAGAAGAAAAAAATATATACAAATCATAAAAAATTATTTTTTGCAGACCAACAAAAATCTCATGAATCTGGAATATCGAAAAATTATTATGATCTGCAAGGAGAATTCCAAATGTTCAAGGGAAAATCAACATAAAATCTAAAGGTATTGAAAATGTTAGGGCCGCTGAAAATAATCAATAATTTATCCTTAAAAAACTTGAGAATTTTCATCATGAAAAATATAGAATCTGAAATTTCTAATCTCACCAGAATTAAAATTTGAATTTCAGAACTTAATGACCAAAAAATCTGAAAATCCAGCCAAAGTTTTTCAGGATTTTTTTTTGAAAACTCAAAAACCTTTTAAAATCAAAACATTGCTGGTCAATTTTTGCTCGAAAAAATTGTGTAATATCTACATTTTTTAATCCAAAAACAAATACATATTTTCGTGAAAAATTCACGTAATATTACAATTCTTCTCTGCATTCACCTCATAAAACACCGTGAAATCAAACATTTAGCTATAATGTAGCCAGCTACATGCATGCATGTTTCTCTGCGTCTCTTCTTTCTCTCTCTCTCTCTCCAACTAGAAGAAAACACACTAAACACAGTGCATTCACCCCCGCGTCCTTTTTTCGACGACTCGTTGGCGTTTTGTTTCTTTTCGCCGATCGATATTGGTTCCTTGGTTCCTTGGTGGATTTTGCTGGTGGATTTGTGGATTGATTGTTGACTGATTGGTGGATTCTCGTCAAGCCGATTGTTGGTGGTTTCAGTGGTTTTGGTGTGTCCAGGTCAGTTTGTTTTTATGCTCATTTTCAGTTTTTCAAAATTAAAGTAAAATCCTTTGGGCTTGTTTTTAGAATTTTTATGTTTTGACACGGAAAATTCATCTTTTTAAATTTAATGTTAGAAAGCTTCAGGTATTTTTCAGAGCAAAAAAATATTTACTAATTCGCCAGGAATTCTAGATTGATTTTTGAAAATCCAGACACATTTGGGCTATTTTAGTTAGTGAAAGTTAGTTTTTAGGAGCTCTAGGATGTTCAAATTTCAGCCTCAAAAATAGAGAGCTTGGCTAACATTTTTGGTTTACAAATATGTGGCCGAGAATTGTCGGGAACTCGGCCAACAAACATTTGATGCTTGGCCGAACTTTCGACATTTCTCGGCCACGGTCACATTTTTATAGGACGTATAATTTCTGAAGGTTAAGAATTTGAGAAGGGATTTTTTAAATGAAAAAAAACAAAACAATATGTGCACTTTTTTTTCTGAAAATAAGCCAACTTGTTTTCAGATCTTCTTCCTCCACATTGCGTGCAGTTGGAACTCGGCTCACTTGCTTCATCTCTTCATCATCGGATTTTTTGCCTACCGGCTCCGTTGCTTCAATTCTCATCGCCGAATTCTTCATTCTCTCTTCTCTATTCGGACAAAATACCAAATTGGTGCATTTGGATTTTGGACTTTGCTCGAAAATTCAGGTTAGTCGAACTATTCAAAATATTTCTGAAGTAGTTTTAAAATTCCACCAAATTTCGTGAAAACCGCTATCACTTCAGTAGTTAGAAGAATTTCTGGAAGAATAAAAACAAACTTGAATTATTGATTTTTTCAAAGTTAGGAAAACTTGATTTTGTTTGATATCGAGGAAGTTTTAAAACTAAATGATCCGGTTGAAGCCTAGAAAAAAAAATATGTGTGGCCAAGGATTGTCGAAAATTCGGCCAGCAAACTTATTCCAAATGGAAGAATTTTTGCGTTGGCCGAACTTCCGAAATTTCTCGGCCATTCTGGAATAAATCAAATAAATAAAGAATTTTTAAAGATTAATATATTTCAGAATTTTTAAAGATTAATATATTTTTTTCCAGATTTTCAAGCTGCTGATCAATTGCATTCTCTTCAATCGCTCCACGTTTTGATATTTTCAAGAAACTTCTTCATTCAATATCTGATTGTTGTGGTGAAAATCTAGGATTTTTGGCTTCAATTTGTGACCAAATCTTCAACATCTACTCGTTTCCCAATTTTTGCCGTGAATATTGTCAAAATCTGTAAGTTCTATACCACGTTCATTCATTTCAATCAACAACAATAATCCAATTTTTTCAAATCCTCCCCGAAATTTCAATTCTCCAGAAAAGTTCTGGCAATTTTTGGGAACTCAAAATAAAAAAAAAACATCTACATAAAAACCTCAATATATTTTTTTGCAGAAAATGAGTTCCTCAACACCTTCGTCTGACAGTTCCGGGCCAACTTGCATGGAAACAAAAGAGCAAAAAATGAAAAGAATCGAAAAATGGAAACGACAGGAATATATTCGTTTCGAGAAAGGAAGCCCATATGAAAAACATCCATATGACTTTCATATTTCTTTTGTACAAAATTGTGTGTGCTTTCCTATGGATTTGGAGTATGCGGTGCAGAAAGAATTGGTCAAGAATCTGATAATAGGTTTAATGGAGGCTTGTCGCCTTTTCGATAGTCCAGTGAGTTTGAACAAATTTTTTTAGCTTTAAAAAAATTTAAAAAATTGTGTTTCAGAATCTTGTTGTTGGTCAGAACAAAATAATTGGCATGTTGTTCTACTCAGACGACTACCATGGGTACGGTGTCTTGCCGGGTTGGACCAACAACATGTTCAATATAAGTGAAAAAATCTCCGAAATGCTCCCATCTTTGGCAGCAGAATCCACACCAAATATTGATCATTTGAGACAAGGTTATGTGCCAGTATTGTTGAAGGTGGAGTCGGAACCTGAGCAATCTAGATTTCGTCGAGCGATACATCTGATGACTAGAGGCGAATCGTCGGCTTTTTTCGAGCTCGATGCCTGTCGTGTAAGTTTTTTTTGCCAATATGTTTTCTGCTACTCATCTCCTGAAAAAACAACAATTTTTTCAGATTCGAATTTTGGATGACGTCGATGCCACTAAAGTAATCGCGATGCCTCAGGAATTCATGGAAATCCCGCCTTCATTTGCCGAAATGAGATTGGAGAACAGACTTTACTTTGTGAGTTGGATTTCGATAAGAATTTTTGTGCTGATAGAGTTTCAGCAAACGATTTTCATCTTTAAAATTCAAAAAATTTCTGAAAACCCCACTCTCCTTCAAAAAATAATGAATCTAAAAGTGTTTTTTATTTCAGCGCGAGCTATATATCGAGAAACAGTTCCACCGGTTCCATTTGCTGAAGAATATAAATATTGTTGGATTCGATAAATTGGATCGTGGAGATGGAAAGAGCTCGCAGGGGCGTGCTATTGTGAGTTGTTTTTTTTCAAAACCTGCGTCTAGAGATGAGTTAGGATAACTTGAAAAATCAGAATTTTCAGTAGACGAAGCACACATGTATTTAATCTCAATAAAATCAATAATTTTTTGCAGGTTGCCGAAGCCGAAGAAGCTGTCCCGGGAGATAACGAAAATAAATGGCCAAATTTTATGTGAATTTTGTGGTATCCCAATTTATCGCTGTGTATTTTTGTGACAATTTTATCTCACCAATTTGATCTACCGGATTTTGGAACTTCTTTAGCTGATTATTTATGATATCCCCCAATTCTCACCGCATTTTTGGCTAATTTTTCCCATTTTCCTATTATTTTTATGCGCTGGGTTTGCTTGTTTTTTCTCCCACACAAAATCATTCTGAAATCGTATTTTTTTGCGATTTTTGGCTATATCTCCCCTTTCCCCGAATTTTTTGGTTTATTGTGATTTTTCCCATTTTTCCCGGGATTTTTGTGTGATTTTTCCCATTTCCCTATTATTTTTATGAGCTGGGTTTGCTTGTTTTTTGCTCCAACACAAAATCATTGATCCCCAAATTCCTTAAATCACATATTTTTTTGCGATTTTTGGCGATATCCAGTTTGAAACGGATTCTTCAGGTTTTTTGTGATATTTTCCATTTTTCGGGGATTTTTGTGTGATTTCTCCCTATCATTTTCATGCGCTTTTTCTCCCACACAAAAAATTGTGACCCGATCCCCCAATTTCTGAAATCGTATTTTTTTGCGATTTTTGGAAATTTTTGTGTCACATCCACTTCTTCGGGGTGTAATTTTCATATTTTGCCAGTTTCCGAATCGCCAGTTTTCTCTTCTCACCCTCTCCCCCTTTCTTCGTCGATTTGTGTCAAGTTCGCCCCCAATTTTTCATTTTCATATTGTTCCACTCCCACCAATTTCTTTGTGTGATTAAGGCCCGACCCAAATCTTGATTGTATTTATGGGCTAATTTTTAATTTTCTCCCGGCACCTCGAAAATTTATCATCTCATTCTTATTATTGTTTGATCTCTCCACGTGGCTCATGAATTTCCCAGCCACTTATTTTGTTGTGAATGAATACATACCAGTTTTTCTCAATGTCAGAATTTTGTATTCTTTCTATTTCCAGAGAAATTTGCAGGACCTGTCAGCTCTGGAAAATCACATACGTTTTGGCCTCAAATTTCCGGAAGCTTGAAAAAATTGTGGCACATGCTCATAATTGAACTGGAACATCTATCTGGAAGAAGATTTATGGTTTTCCTCACGGAAACCTTTCTGTCAGATAACATTTCTAATTCTCTTTTAAACCTCGCCGGCTACTCACTATTTCGCCAAGACCGCCTTACCTGCCATCCCAAAAAGAGGGGAGGTGGTGTTCTAGCGTATATCAAAAGTTCTATTTCAACTTCTGAAACCTCTTTCGATATCACCGCACAATACTCAACGCATTTCTCCGAACTTCTTTTTCTTGACTGTCCTAAACTTCGCACTCGCTTACTGTTAGCATACAGGCCTCCACAGTCACCGCACCAATCCACAAACAATCTTTTCCATATACTAAATTCCAACATTCATCAGCAATGGCACAATTTAATTCTTGGCGACTTCAACATGCCTGGCGTCGATTGGCGAATGATTATGTCGAAAAGCCCTTATATCGAACTTCAGGCACTCTGTGTTGATCACAATATATACCAACTGGTCAATTTCGCAACTAGAGTGGCGAACTCGGGAACCTCCAACTTGCTTGACTTAATACTCTCGAACTCCCCGGAGAAAGTCCTCAATATTCGACCTAGTCAGGATTTTGTTTATTCCGATCATACAGCAATCTCATTCGAACTGTCAGCAAACGACTGCCCAATGACAGAGAGAACCTCGCTAGTTCTTGATTTCAAAAGAGGCGATTTTACAAAAATCAACCAACATATGTCGTCAGTCGATTGGACCTACCATTTCTCATACTTGTCAAGTGTCCAGGATAAGTACGACTACTTTATCAAAACGTTCAATATGATCATCCAAGAATACTGCCCAATTCGAAAAACTATCCAAAAACGCAATATCTCGAGAAGACTTAAAAGAATCAGGAAAAGAATCCGCGCTATTGCAAAAACTTCTAACAACAAATCGAAGTTACTGCGTACTTCAAAGCTGAAAAGGAAGCTACTGTCTCTGGCCCGGAAGAATAACCTAAAGCGGGACAATGCCATCGCCCAATCCGGAAACAATAAACGAATTCAAAGAGAAATTTCAAAAAGACTCAGCTACCGCTCCCATCTACAATCAGTTGTTTTCAAAGGCTCACTCTTGACATCGGATAAGGATATGGCAGATGTCTTTATCAAAGTTTTCGGCGAACACATGAAGAGTACGGGGGAAATTGTTCAATCTACTAACCAAAACCGTTTTCGCTCCAAATCGATTGATTTCCCACCCTATGCAGTTTGCGCTATATTGGAAAAGTTACAACCAAAAATTGGATTTTCTGGAGACTTCATCAATTTCTTTGTTCTGAAAAAAAGTGCTGTCTCAGTAGCTCTTCCTCTTTCAATTATATTTACCGAAGTCTACAACGAATGCATATTTCCAAGCGATTGGAAATCTTCTATCACAATTCCAATACACAAACGTGGTAGAATTAACGATCCGGAGAACTATCGCCCGATAGCCTTAACCTCCCCAATATGCAGAACTCTCGAGAAGATTATTGCCTCATATATCCGGATGAATTTCCATGGAAAATTCATTTCGAATCAACACGGTTTCATTTCTAAGAGATCATGTATCACGGCTCTCCTCAGTTCAATTACCAAGTGGAAATCAATGCTGGATAATGGCAATACCATCGATGTCATATACATAGATTTCAAAAAAGCCTTTGACAATGTTCCTCACAAGCACCTTCTTGAAAAAATGGAAAAATTCGGGATCCCCGATGATCTCCTTAATTTTTTCACCGCCTTTCTTCACAACCGCACCGCACATGTTAAAGTCAATAATTATATCTCTCCTAATTATTTTAAGGTTTCTTCAGGTGTTCTTCAAGGGACTGTAACTGGTCCCCTTCTATTTTTGATCTACATCAACGATGTTCTGAAAGAAGTGGATGATGAGGTTGAGGCAACCGTTTTCGCGGACGATGTCAAAATCTCTAGCAGTAATCCCGAAAAACTCCAATTAACTTTGAATAGGATTCTGGCATGGTCCGCGAAATGGGATATGCCCATTGCCCCATCAAAAACATCGGTTCTATATCTTGGCAAAAAGAATAAAAGGCAAAAATACTGGATCAATGGAATAGAAATCCCCTCAGTTCCATTTGTCAAAGATCTGGGAATCTTTATCGACGAAAAGCTAAACTTCAACCACCATGTCAATGTTACAGTTCAAAAAGCATTGGCAAAATGCCGTGAAATTTTGAGAAGTTTTTGCTTCAAAGAAATACGTCCTTATATGCTCATCTATAAAACATATGTTGCCCCAATTATTGATTATGGTTGCTGTGTGTATAGACCGTTTATAACGAAGAAATTAGAGATGCTGTTGGAACGGCCAATTCGTAGGTTTACTAGGAACATCTTCAGAAGATGTAACATTCGTTATACATCTTTTGATAACCGCCTAGAACAGGCTGATTACATCACTTCTTCAAGGCGCAGTCTTGAATTTTGCCTTCTAACACTTTTCTCCATAATAAAGAATCTCATCCACTTTCCAGATTAATCAATATATATTTCCAGCTTCTCCTCACCACGCTCACCATTAAAAATCAAACTTATTGACAAAGGTTTCAGCAAATCATTCTTCAGTTTCATATTGGCCCATTGGAATTCTCTAGCCACAATCCTGAACTGTGACATCGACCTGCCAAAGTTCAAATCCATCATCCGCAGTCTACCAAACAGCTACTTTCTTTCTACCAGACTCTAACCCCTCAAATTTCGGCCCTACTCAAAAATTTTCTGTATATATTTACTTTTTTTTCTCCTTCGCATGACCATGACGACCAAATCTACTTCCAACCGAATAATTCTGGTACTATCTTTTCCTGTCACTGCCTGCCTTTATGTAAAGCCGTCATAGGCCTTCCTAAATGCTTGGTCCCTTTGACCAATTTTGCCCTGGTCCGCATATTTGACCAATTGGCCTTTTACGGAAGGAGGCGTTTGCATCGGGTATGGTGGTGGGAGGTTAGATAACCACCACAAATTTTCTTTCACTTCAAGGTCTGAGTCATTCTAATTTTTCTTTCTCTTTTCTTTTTATCTTCTACAACATCCCATCAAAATCCCTCTCTATAAATTATTTATATTACATATCATCCCCAAATATTAATTTTACTACCCACCTCATCCTTTTTTTTCTCTTTCTAACACCCTTTCTTCCCCACAATTTATTCTAATACACATTCCAAAATGGCCCACTTTGTCTCTTTTCTGGACCAACGGGTCTTTCTTTTATTTATTGTCATCCACTACGTGTGAAAAATTTGTCATTCTCTCTTCTCTTCCTCTTACTATTATTATATGTAGTCGTTTGATTCAATAAATGTATATATAAAAAAAAAAGAAAACTTATTTTCAGAACAAATGAGCTCTTCTGAAACAGTTTGAATCACATCAGGCTTCAGAATGTCTCTGTAGAATTCAAAAGGCTTCAGAAGGATTCAGAAGGCCTCTGGAGAAATCAGAGGGTTCAGAAAAATTCAGAAAGCTTTCAGAGGTTTCAGAAGGATTCGGAAGGCTTCAGGAGGCTGCAGAAGGCTTTAGGGGGCTTCAGAAGACCTCTGGAAATTTCAAAAAGCTTCAAAAGGATTCAGAACGCTTTTGGAGGCTTCATAATGCTCCAGAAGGCTTTTGGAAGTATCAGAAGACTTTTGGATAAGTCTGAAGGTTATTAAAGACTTCAGAAGTTCTATGAAGCATTCAAAAGATTTTTGAAAAGTTCAGAAGGCTTTTGGACGCCTCAGAAGACTTTGTAGTCTTCATAAATTTTTTAGAAGCTTCATAAAGCTTCTAGAGGCTCCAGAGGGTTTCAGAAAAGATTGAGAAAAATTCAAAATTTAAAATTGTTTGAAAAATGGAAAAATTGGATTAATTGAGCCAGTAGCGTGAGCTGGAAGGCTATGATTTTTTTTCGCTCAATTTTCTGATAGAATATCCTTTTTAAAATTTTAGCTTTACAGAATCATAATGTTTCGAAAAAAAAAAAGTTACAGATTTGGAATAATCCAAAAATGTAAAAAAAATCGGCCCGAGTTTTTTCAAAAAAAAAGTTACAGATTTGGAATAATCCAAAAATGTAAAAAAAAAAGTTACAGATTTGGAATAATCCAAAAATGTAAAAAAAAAAGTTACAGATTTGGAATAATCCAAAAATGTAAAAAAAAAATCGGCCCGAGTTTTTTCAAAAAAAAATCGGCCCGAGTTTTTTCAAAAAAAAATCGGCCCGAGTTTTTTCAAAAAAAAGTTACAGATTTGGAATAATCCAAAAATGTAAAAAAAAAATCGGCCCGAGTTTTTTCAAAAAAAAAGTTACAGATTTGGAATAATCCAAAAAATGTAAAAAAAAATCGGCCCGAGTTTTTTCAAAAAAAAAAGTTACAGATTTGGAATAATCTTCAAAAAAAAAAGTTACAGATTTGGAATAATCCAAAAATGTTTAAAAAAAAATCGGCCCGAGTTTTTTCAAAAAAAAGTTACAGATTTGGAATAATCCAAAAATGTTTAAAAAAAATCGGCCAGAGTTTTTCAAAAAAAAAAAGTTACAGATTTGGAATAATCCAAAAATGTTTAAAAAAAATCGGCCAGAGTTTTTCAAAAAAAAAAGGTACAGATTTGGAATAATCCAAAAATGTTAAAAAAAAACGGCCCGAGTTTTTTCAAAAAAAGTTACAGATTTGGAATAATCCAAAAATGTTTTTAAAAAAAATCGGCCCGAGTTTTTCAAAAAAAAAAGTTACAGATTTGGAATAATCCAAAAATGTTTAAAAAAAATCGGCCCGAGTTTTTCAAAAAAAAGTTACAGATTTGGAATAATCCAAAAATGTAAAAAAAAATCGGCCCGAGTTTTTCAAAAAAAAGTTACAGATTTGGAATAATCCAAAAATGTAAAAAAAAAACGGCCCGAGATTTTCAAAAAAAGTTACAGATTTGGAATAATCCAAAAATGTAAAAAAAAATCGGCCCGAGATTTTCAAAAAAAATCGGCCCGAGTTTTTCAAAAAAAAGTTACAGATTTGGAATAATCCAAAAATGTAAAAAAAAAACGGCCCGAGATTTTCAAAAAAAAGTTACAGATTTGGAATAATCCAAAAATGTAAAAAAAAATCGGCCCGAGATTTTCAAAAAAATCGGCCCGAGTTTTTCAAAAAAAAGTTACAGATTTGGAATAATCCAAAAATGTAAAAAAAAATCGGCCCGAGTTTTTCAAAAAAAAAGTTACAGATTTGGAATAATCCAAAAATGTAAAAAAAAATCGGCCCGAGTTTTTCAAAAAAAAAAGTTACAGATTTGGAATAATCCAAAAATGTAAAAAAAAATCGGCCCGAGATTTTCAAAAAAAATCGGCCCGAGTTTTTCAAAAAAAAGTTACAGATTTGGAATAATCCAAAAATGTAAAAAAAAATCGGCCCGAGATTTTCAAAAAAATCGGCCCGAGATTTTCAAAAAAAGTTACAGATTTGGAATAATCCAAAAATGTAAAAAAAAATCGGCCCGAGTTTTTCAAAAAAAAAGTTACAGATTTGGAATAATCCAAAAATGTTAAAAAAAAATCGGCCCGAGATTTTCAAAAAAAAAGTTACAGATTTGGAATAATCCAAAAATGTTAAAAAAAAATCGGCCCGAGATTTTCAAAAAAAAATCGGCCCGAGATTTTCAAAAAAAAATCGGCCCGAGTTTTTCAAAAAAAAAAGTTACAGATTTGGAATAATCCAAAAATGTTTAAAAAAAATCGGCCAGAGTTTTTTCAAAAAAAAGGTACAGATTTGGAATAATCCAAAAATGTTAAAAAAAACGGCCCGAGTTTTTTCAAAAAAAAAAGTTACAGATTTGGAATAATCCAAAAATGTTTTTAAAAAAAATTGGCCCGAGTTTTTCAAAAAAAAGTTACAGATTTGGAATAATCCAAAAATGTTTAAAAAATCGGCCCGAGTTTTTCAAAAAAAAGTTACAGATTTGGAATAATCCAAAAATGTAAAAAAAAATCGGCCCGAGTTTTTCAAAAAAAAGTTACAGATTTGGAATAATCCAAAAATGTAAAAAAAAAAACGGCCCGAGATTTTCAAAAAAAGTTACAGATTTGGAATAATCCAAAAATGTAAAAAAAAATCGGCCCGAGATTTTCAAAAAAAATCGGCCCGAGTTTTTCAAAAAAAAGTTACAGATTTGGAATAATCCAAAAATGTAAAAAAAAAAACGGCCCGAGATTTTCAAAAAAAAGTTACAGATTTGGAATAATCCAAAAATGTAAAAAAAAATCGGCCCGAGATTTTCAAAAAAAATCGGCCCGAGTTTTTCAAAAAAAAGTTACAGATTTGGAATAATCCAAAAATGTAAAAAAAAATCGGCCCGAGTTTTTCAAAAAAAAGTTACAGATTTGGAATAATCCAAAAATGTAAAAAAAAATCGGCCCGAGTTTTTCAAAAAAAAGTTACAGATTTGGAATAATCCAAAAATGTAAAAAAAATCGGCCCGAGATTTTCAAAAAAATCGGCCCGAGTTTTTCAAAAAAAAGTTACAGATTTGGAATAATCCAAAAATGTAAAAAAAAATCGGCCCGAGATTTTCAAAAAAAATCGGCCCGAGATTTTCAAAAAAAAGTTACAGATTTGGAATAATCCAAAAATGTAAAAAAAAATCGGCCCGAGTTTTTCAAAAAAAAGTTACAGATTTGGAATAATCCAAAAATGTTAAAAAAAAATCGGCCCGAGATTTTCAAAAAAAAGTTACAGATTTGGAATAATCCAAAAATGTTAAAAAAAAATCGGCCCGAGATTTTCAAAAAAAAATCGGCCCGAGATTTTCAAAAAAAATCGCCCCGAGTTTTTCAAAAAAAAGTTACAGATTTGGAATAATCCAAAAATGTAAAAAAAAATCGGCCCGAGATTTTCAAAAAAATCGCCCCGAGTTTTTCAAAAAAAAGTTACAGATTTGGAATAATCCAAAAATGTAAAAAAAAAACGGCCCGAGATTTTCAAAAAAAAGTTACAGATTTGGAATAATCCAAAAATGTAAAAAAAAACGGCCCGAGATTTTCAAAAAAAATCGGCCCGAGTTTTTCAAAAAAAAGTTACAGATTTGGAATAATCCAAAAATGTAAAAAAAAAACGGCCCGAGATTTTCAAAAAAATCGGCCCGAGTTTTTCAAAAAAATCGGCCCGAGTTTTTCAAAAAAAAGTTACAGATTTGGAATAATCCAAAAATGTAAAAAAAAAATCGGCCCGAGATTTTCAAAAAAATCGGCCCGAGATTTTCAAAAAAATCGGCCCGAGTTTTCAAAAAAAAAAGTTACAGATTTGGAATAATCCAAAAATGTAAAAAAAAATCGGCCCGAGATTTTCAAAAAAAATCGGCCCGAGATTTTCAAAAAAAAATCGGCCCGAGTTTTTCAAAAAAAAAAGTTACAGATTTGGAATAATCCAAAAATGTTAAAAAAAAATCGGCCCGAGATTTTCAAAAAAAATCGCCCCGCTCGGGCAGAAAACGGCGAGGTCGCTACCAATCGGGGCGGAGTCGCTACACGTTTCGGGCCACTGGCCCGAGGCACTTTGGGCGAGCTTGGGGCGACTCGCCCGAGTGTGAAGCAACTTGCCCCGTTCTCGCCCCGATCCACTCTCTCGGAGAGTGTACAGAAGCATTTTTCAAAAACTGTATCTATGGAGCAAAAGTAGATCTACTTATAGCTTTATTACCCTACATTTATATGGGCCATTTAATGAATGAATCACAGTGAAATCCCGAAAAAAACGCATGAAAACCATGATTTTAAAAAAGGGCAAAAATTGTAGCGAGTTGCCCGGCACTCGCCACTTTTGAGGCGCGTTTGGGGCAACTCGCTACAAAACGAGTCTCGAAAATTGTGTAGCGAGTCGCCCCGAGCTATGTCGTTTTTTGGCCGAGCGAGTTTTTCAAAAAAAAAGTTACAGATTTGGAATAATCCAAAAATGTAAAAAAAAATCGGCCCGAGATTTTCAAAAAAAATCGGCCCGAGTTTTTCAAAAAAAAGTTACAGATTTGGAATAATCCAAAAATGTAAAAAAAAATCGGCCCGAGATTTTCAAAAAAAAAAGTTACAGATTTGGAATAATCCAAAAATGTAAAAAAAAATCGGCCCGAGATTTTCAAAAAAAATCGGCCCGAGTTTTTCAAAAAAAAGTTACAGATTTGGAATAATCCAAAAATGTAAAAAAAAATCGGCCCGAGATTTTCAAAAAAAATCGGCCCGAGTTTTTCAAAAAAAAAAGTTACAGATTTGGAATAATCCAAAAATGTAAAAAAAAAATCGGCCCGAGATTTTCAAAAAAAATCGGCCCGAGATTTTCAAAAAAAATCGGCCCGAGTTTTTCAAAAAAAAAGTTACAGATTTGGAATAATCCAAAAATGTAAAAAAAAATCGGCCCGAGATTTTCAAAAAAAATCGGCCCGAGTTTTTCAAAAAAAAAAGTTACAGATTTGGAATAATCCAAAAATGTAAAAAAAAAAAATCGGCCCGAGATTTTCAAAAAAAAATCGGCCCGAGATTTTCAAAAAAATCGGCCCGAGTTTTTCAAAAAAAAGTTACAGATATGGAATAATCCAAAAATGTAAAAAAAAATCGGCCCGAGATTTTCAAAAAAAATCGGCCCGAGTTTTTCAAAAAAAAAAGTTACAGATTTGGAATAATCCAAAAATGTAAAAAAAAATCGGCCCGAGATTTTCAAAAAAAATCGGCCCGAGTTTTTCAAAAAAAAGTTACAGATTTGGAATAATCCAAAAATGTAAAAAAAAATCGGCCCGAGATTTTCAAAAAAAATCGGCCCGAGTTTTTCAAAAAAAGTTACAGATTTGGAATAATCCAAAAATGTAAAAAAAAATCGGCCCGAGATTTTCAAAAAAATCGGCCCGAGATTTTCAAAAAAAAATCGGCCCGAGTTTTTCAAAAAAAGTTACAGATTTGGAATAATCCAAAAATGTTAAAAAAAAATCGGCCCGAGATTTTCAAAAAAAATCGGCCCGAGTTTTTCAAAAAAAAAAGTTACAGATTTGGAATAATCCAAAAATGTAAAAAAATCGGCCCGAGATTTTCAAAAAAATCGGCCCGAGTTTTTCAAAAAAAAGTTACAGATTTGGAATAATCCAAAAATGTTAAAAAAAAATCGGCCCGAGATTTTCAAAAAAAATCGGCCCGAGTTTTTCAAAAAAAAAAGTTACAGATTTGGAATAATCCAAAAATGTTAAAAAAAAATCGGCCCGAGATTTTCAAAAAAATCGCCCCGAGTTTTTCAAAAAAGTTACAGATTTGGAATAATCCAAAAATGTAAAAAAAAATCGGCCCGAGATTTTCAAAAAAAATCGGCCCGAGATTTTCAAAAAAAATCGGCCCGAGATTTTTTAAAAAAAAGTTACAGATTTGGAATTATCCAAAAATGTAAAAAAAAATCGGCCCGAGATTTTCAAAAAAAAAATCGGCCCGAGTTTTTCAAAAAAAAGTTACAGATTTGGAATAATCCAAAAATGTAAAAAAAAATCGGCCCGAGATTTTCAAAAAAAAAATCGGCCCGAGATTTTCAAAAAAAAATCGGCCCGAGTTTTTCAAAAAAAAAGTTACAGATTTGGAATAATCCAAAAATGTAAAAAAAAATCGGCCCGAGATTTTCAAAAAAAATCGGCCCGAGTTTTTCAAAAAAAAGTTACAGATTTGGAATAATCCAATAATGTTAAAAAAATTGGCCCGAGATTTTCAAAAAAATTGGCCCGAGATTTTCAAAAAAAATCGGCCCGAGTTTTTCAAAAAAAAAGTTACAGATTTGGAATAATCCAAAAATGTTAAAAAAAATTGGCCCGAGATTTTCAAAAAAAATTGGCCCGAGATTTTCAAAAAAAAATCGGCCCGAGTTTTTCAAAAAAACGTTACAGATTTGGAATAATCCAAAAATGTAAAAAAAAAATCGGCCCGAGATTTTCAAAAAAAAACGGCCCGAGTTTTTTCAAAAAAAAAATCGGCCCGAGTCATTTTTTGATCAAAAAACTTGAAATTGTTGATGAATTCAATTGTAATTCGTTTGTTTTACATCTTTCGAGTACATTTAATTCAAAAAAATAATTAAATAAGTTTTTTTTTTCGAAAAATATCTTGATGACGTCATCCATGGCAAAATTAGGAAGCCTTCCTGATTTTGCCACGAATCATTTTTTGATAAAAAAATTTGAAATTTTCTATAAATTTGATTGTGAGTCAATGTTCTGTGGACAATAATCACAGAAAAAAGTGAAACGGAAATAAATGAGAAGACTGTTAAGCCTGGGGGCTAACAGCCCCTAGTCTTTGTGACCAGAAAAAAAAAACAAAAGATTCCAAATTAAAATGCAAATTTTTTGTGCCCACCTTTTTTTAGCCATCCACATTTCATTTTCATTTTTTTCCTTGTTCAATCTAAAATTTCCAGAATTTTCAGATGACTTGGTCAATATTTTTGCTAGTTTCTCTTCTTTTTGCTGGTGTGCTCTCACACTCGAACATCAAAAGGTACAGTTGTTTCAGACTTGAAAATTGGAAGGGATTCTGAAAATTTGAAATATTATTTCAGAGATTCCTGGAGCCACAAATGGAGAAAATATTTGGATGATAGATGGCGACAAAATCAAGGATATCCGGAAACTGATGTGATCTACACAGACTTTTTCGAACGCATCAAATCGGGACAAGATGTGCAAACAACACCCGAGACTTCCTCAGAGATTTCAAAAGAAATATATGGCCCAATTTGGTAGTTGAATTAATTGGATTATTATTATTCTCAAGAGTTTTTTTTCCAATTGAATAAATGTTGAAATTAGCTTCATTTTTCAAAAATTATTGAATTTTGAATTTTTTTTTCTAACTTTTCTGAAGCCCTCTAGAGCCCCTAGAAGCTTTCTGATGCTTCTGAAAAATTTCATAAGCCTAAGCCTAAAGCAATTCAAAAGTTTTCTGAAGCCCTCTGAAGGAAGCCTCTGGAAGCTTTCTGAAGCTTCTGAAAATTTCATGAAGCCCCCAATAGTTTTCGCAATCTTCAAAAAGCCTTCTGAAAACTCCAGAAGCCTCTAGAAGCTTTCTAATGCTTCTAAAAATTTTATGAAGCCTCCAATAGTTTTCGCAATCCTCAAAATGCCTTCTGAATCCGTCTGAAGCCCTCAAAACCATTCTGAAGCCACAAAAGCTTTCTGAAATTTACAAAAGCCTTTTGAATTCTCCAGAGGCCTTCTGAAGCTTCTAAAAATGTTATGAAGCCTCCAATAGTCTTCTGAATTCTCAAAAAGCTTTCTAAAGACTTCAAAAGCCTGCTTAAATTTTTAGAAGCCTCTAAAAGCCATTCAAAATTTTTTTGAATCTTTCAAAAGCCTTCTGAAGTCTCCAGAGTTCTTGATATTTTTTGAGGTTCTGAAATTTCGAGAAATTGTGATTTTCCAGCGCTGAAATCCCATTTTCTTGCTTTTCTTTAAATAAGTTTCATCTCTTTCAGCCCTTATTTTTTACTGCAACTTTATCTGAAAATAAAATTAACTTTAATCATTTCAAAAAATTTCAAGACGACTTCTTCTAGCAAAAATAAAAACAGAAACTTGAAAAATAGGCGGCAAGAGAGTGTGTTTTTTGAAGAGACGCAGACAAACATACGCTTTGCATTTTCTAGCCCATAATCTTAAAGAAATCTTCTCACCTTATCTCTAAATTATTTTTTTTTCTGAAAATTATCATTTCTAGTACAAAAATTTTGAAAAAAAGAATTCATGATAAATTTTGTAAGAATATTCGAAAAGATACTTGATTTGGGGGCTTTTTGAGAAAAAACATTTGGGGTAAAACCGGGGAAACAAAAAATTTGGTAAGATAAGAATTGCTGGTTTGGCGAATGACGTGCCAAACCAGAATTTTTTGGATCAAAAAACTTGGGATACTTTGAGTAAAAAAAAATTGGGGGGCGGGTACAAGCATAAAAAATTATTTGACAAATTTGGTAAGATCAGATTTGCTGGCTTCGTGCCAAAACCAGCATTTTTTTTGGATCAAAAAGTGTAATAACAAAAGGAAAAATTAATCATGGGAAATTTCGGTTTTGGTGGTGCAAGTTCACCAAAACCGGGGGGTAAAATGGGAAAATCACAGGGAAATTCGGTTTTGGTGGTATTAATTCACCAAAACCGATAAAAAATGAAACAAATACAGAATGTTTTGAAGGGGTACAAGAAAAATGGAAAACAGTGATAACAAAAAATATGGGATAATATTCGGTTCATTGACGACGAGACTGATTGATTTCCTCGACAAGCTCTTCATTTCTTCTCATCAAGTTCCTGACTTCTTCTCCTCTTCTCTCGATTTCTCTTCCTCTTTGGAGAACCATCTGAAAATATTCGAATTCGAAAATATTTGAATCCTTTCTTAAAAAGTTTCCAACTTGAAATTGAAAGAGCTTGTTAATTTTAGACACAAAAAATTCTGAGATTTTTCTAAAATTCAAGCTGAAAGTTATCTAAAATTTTGGAATCTTAAAATTTCTAGAAAATTCTAGAACTACTCAAAGTTCGGAACCCCTCCCTTAGAACTAACCAGATATTGTGCTTCCCTATGGTCCACAATCCAGTCATGTTGTTCACGAGCTCTTTCAATCAGTCGTCCTTGAATTGCAGATGGAAAGAGGACTGGCATTGGGTCCAATGGAACTGACACAAAAGTTCCATCATCTGAAAATAAATTCGAAATTAGATAATGAAAAAAAAATAAGCTGGAAAATTTTCTAATTGTTTTTGGCTAGAAAGTGTTTTTTTTTTCTGAAGAATTAAAAAAAAAATCATTGAAAACTTCAACACATATATTTTTTTAATATTCCCCCAAAGCTTACCTTCAATTGAGTGTTCAAATTGGTTCCGGTGTAAGTCTTCGAAAGAATCTGGGTTATTCGTAAATTCCATCCAATTTTGGGAGCCAATGACAAAATTCTCATTGTACCATGCGAACAATCTTTGATCACTATTTGTGAGATCATTGAGAAGTTCCTGATTCGATCGAATATAATTCATGGTATAATCCTGAAATAATTGAAATTTTTCATGAGAAGAAATGCGTTAAAAAAACTAACCAAAAAATCCGAGACATTTGGGATATTTCCATAAACTTGTGGGTTCCGTTGGACTGAATGGTTCAAGAATCGCTAAAAAATTCAGATTTTTCATGCAAAAAAATATAATTCAGAAAAACTAACTCGGATGTAATTTGCATCGATCCGATCTTCATCTTCATCATCATTTGAATCATCTGAAACTTCTGGAACTTCTCCAGCCTCCTCTTCTCCTGTAACCCTTTCTTGATTATCTTCTTGTACTTCGAGGCGACCTTTCTTTTGCTTTTTGGGAGTGGTTTGAGATCTTCTTGATGTAGATTGTTCTTCAACGATTTCAATTGACGGTGAACGCTGTCTTTTTCGGCTTGTCGAAGTCGTCGGAATCTGAAAATTAAAATTGAACAATTTTTTCCAACATTCTTTGACAATTTTTCTGATTTCTTTTTGAACTAGCATGGATTTGAATTGAACATTGTAATTAATTTCAACAGGAAAATATTCCAAAATTATTTCCTTCAAAATTCAATTTTTCGCCTGTGCAAATTAATATTTTGAAATTAAAAAATCATAATTTTTTCCATGCAAAAAACGTCGAAAAACAAAATATACAGTTTATTATTTTTTGTGTAGAGACAATGTGAAATTGAGAGAGCGCACACTTTTGGACAAAAAAGTAAATTGTCTGCCTGCGCTCTCTCAATTCAACGTTGTTTCTACTCAAAAAATATTAAACTGCATATTTTGTTTCACGACGATTTTTGCATGGGAAAAATTATTTTTTTCAATTTCAAATTTTTAATCAGCATGGGCTCATTGATTCTAATTGAATCAATAAATTTCGGGATGGAAGAAAAACGCACTTGGTCATTACTCGCCGGCGGAACTCTTCTCGATCTTGCAACTCTCGAATCTTCTCCTTCTTCCTCTTGGTTATCCTCCTTCTCTCCATCTGTCGAATCCTCTTCCGAAACCTTTTCTACTTCTCCATCATCCGAATCGTCTTCCGAATCCAAAATCTCAATTGAGGAATCTTTTTTATCCTCGCCATCTTCTTCTTCTTTGTCATCAGATTCATTTTCATCATCAGATTCTTCTTGCTCCTCTTTTTCACCTTCTTCATCGGATTCAATATCTTCAGAATCATCCGATTCTCCTTGATCATCCGAAACTCCATCACTATCCACTTCTTCACTCTCATCAGAATCCTCTCCATCACTTTCATCTTCTTTTTTCACACTCTGAAAATTGAAATTAACATTGATCAATTCTTAACAAAACTTTGATTTGTCTATCTTTAATTGAATTCGGAAAAAATAATTTTGTTTTCAATTCGTTTTGAAATTTCATAGATCCAAAGTAAATTTAGGATATCTTACTGCTAGATTTTCATTGGATTTCTGAACAAAAATTATTCCAAGAGGATCTATATTTTTTTCGGAAAAATCTGGCAACAAGATATTCTGAATTCACGTTTTTGAGAAAAAATCAAATTTTCAACTAAAAAATGAAAATTACCTCTTTTTTAGCAGATTTACTTGGCTTCTGGACTTCTTTCAAGAAGATGATTTCATCATCGGCTTCTTCAGCAAGTGGATATGCAGGCTCTTGAGATTGCGAAGATGATTGCGAAGAAGACGAACTTGGTCCAGGTTCTGCAGAATCATCAACTTGTGGAACCGTCGATTTCTGAAAAAAATATCCAATTGTTTGATGAATGAAACCAGAAAGTAATACTTACCGTGTCTTTAATTGGTTTTGGCGCCATCTTTAATTATTGATATTTTGTCAGCTGTAAAAAAACAGGTTTTGTGGAAAGAAAATCATTTAATTTTATAAAGAAACAATAACTTCTGAAATACAACACGAAGCTTGTGAAAATAGAGATTTGCATCACAAAAAACCTCAAAGAAATAAATATTTACAACAATTTTCCATAAATATCAACAAAAAAGAGGAAAAACGAAAAAAAAGGAACACTGGATAATGAAAGGACGCCAATGATTTGGAATGGCGCGAAAAAAATTGGCTGCGACACACACACACACTAAACATTTGATACTCAGTCAAGTGTATGATAAGGTATGCGAGAGGAAATATTATAGGATTTCCTCTAGTCTAGACTCTTTTTCTTTTCCCGCTCTCTCTTATTTCCTCACTCTCTCCTTTTTCCTCACCCGTTTCTCTGTCGCTTTTTCGAGGAAAGGGGAAGGGGAAATAAACACGCCTTTTTCGATCAATAAATTATGTTCGCAGGAAAAAGGACGCCGAGAAAATTGAGGTAAATTTTATGATATTTTACTTAATTATGCCGTTGATTAATTGATAATTTTGCAGGAAAATGGCGATGGCAAGAGGAACTTTGGTTGACAGAAGAACGACAAAGAAATCAATGGATTTGGCGTAGTTGAAGTTGAAGATGAAAAACCTCACGAAAATGTATCTGGCATGTGGATTTTGATTGAGTGCAACAACGTCGAATTCAAATTCTTCTCGATGTTTTTCTCTGGAGCAACGATGAAGCTATTCTAGAAAAGAAGTGATCCAACAAAGATTATCAGGTAAATTTTTTTCGAAAAAAAAATTTTTTTTTTGACAAAAAACTTTCAATGTCAAAAAACTAAATTTTTTTCTATTTTTTCCACACAAAATGAAAAATATCTCGCAGCGAAAATGTTTCAATGAGAAAAAAGTCAAAAATAGGAAAAAATATAGTTTTTTGAAATTTTCTGAATCGAAATTTTTTGTTGAAAATTGTTTTTTTGTTATTTATTTTTCAACTTGAATCACCGATAGAAAACAGTGAAAAAATTCCGAACTCATGAACACTTGATGCGAGCTGAGAAAATCTTGTAGCTTCGAAATTTTAAAGCAGATTGCTGTGTGCAAACACTGCGACGCACTTTTGCGTACTTTTCTATTTTTTTTTGTTTGATTCGGATTTAGTTCAAGTTAGAGGTTTTGTAAAAGATCTCGGTCAATTCGCTTTCAAAATTCAGTGAATATATGTGCCGTTAGTATTAATTGTAGTTCACAACAATGGTTAGGCCTGTCTCATTTTCCAAAATAAAATGAGCTGTAACATAGCTTGTGAACTACACTCGAAAAATTAATACTATTTAAATAAGGCTGCCTAACTGTTCACTGAATTTGTTGATTTTTAATAAAAATTCGATTTTAAAAAGTATTTGAACCCACCAGTTTTCCTTTTTTAAATCCGCGATTGTGTGAGCGTAGCGTCACGCAGAGTCTCGTTGTTTTACTTTGGCTGTTTGTCAAAATCAACCAACCTGAAGGAACCAGATAAGAAAAATCAACCAAATTTATTTATTTGAAGACACAGATTACAAATAATTTTAAGGGCATTTAGGCGAAGAAATGCTTGGATATGCTTTCAATTTTCAAAATGTGAAATCCTGAAAATTGCAAAATTCGCGGTTATTCTTTGCGATTCATAACTTTGTTGAGCCTCCAAAAAAAAATTGACGTTGTTTCCTGAAATCAGCAGTTCAGATTCATTTTTCAATAAAAATTTGAATTATGATGGATTCACAGTCCTTACAAAACATACAATTTCAGTTGTGATTTGTTAAATTTTGCCTTGAAGAAAAAATTCACCAAACATCATATTCCATTGATTTTCCATCAAAAATCCTTTGGGAATTGCAAATTAACTTTATTCACTTGAAAATGAACATGAAATTTTTGGCGAAAAAAAACAAAAAGTAAAAAAACTGTCTGCAAACACCACTTCAAACACACAGATCCGCTCAAAAATGCACTAGATCTAGAACGCGGCGGACGTTCAAACCATACATGGCACTGCTCCCAAAACTGTGAGGGGGAGATGATGACATTTTAAAAAATTTTCCAAGGAGGGATCATTTTGGAAATTTTGAATTCACGCCCGAATCAAAATTTCGATTTGGGCGGGTAGCTAATGAAAAAAAAATAACACTGTTAAAAATAAAGATGAGTTCAAATAAATTTTAACACTGTTAAAAAAAATAAAGATGAGTTCAAATAAATTTTAACACTGTTAAAAAATAAATACAAAAATAAATACTTTTTCAACATTTTAATTACAAAGATTAGAGTCACATTAATTGGTTTTCTTCGAAATTTATAATTTTTTGAGGATTTTCTTTTCAAATGTTTTGCTTAGGGACACCGCCCCTAGTTGCCCTATAAATTTATGAATAATAGAGTGAATATTTGAAATCAAACGGCGTGAAAAAAATCAATTATTTTCGAAACTTTCAAAATTTGCATTGGACAAGGGCCAACATTTTTTCTTTTTTCAACATTATGAGAAACATTTGGATATTCCCTTTTTGATAAAATAAAAAATAAAAAAATAAGAAATATTATAAGCCGTTTCAAAATCAGCTAAAATTAAGATATTCAACAACAATATTTTTAAAACAACAACACATTTATTCAACGATTCAAAAAATCAACAAGAAATTGATTATGGCAAAGTGTTCCGGTCGAATTCGTTCCAGGGCGTGAGCTGTGGAATCACTACTTGAGGATTAACTTCCTGAAGACGTTGCATGAAAATTCGGAAATACCAGCAAAGTGTCTCGAAAGCCTCTTCATTTTGACCAATAAGTGGCAGAAGAAGCGCAATTCCATTGTCGAACCACTCTCGTTGCCTCCGCGACGCATTGCCGTATCTATTTGCTTGAGATCGCAACAAAAAAAATCGCATCGTTTGTTCCTGGGCAAGTTGTTCCAAAGAAAGTGCCATGGTCTGAAATTTTGAAAATTATGTAGTTTTGTTTCTCAAATTCAGGAAAAACAACGAAGAAAATCGAGTAAAAACAGGTGAAAACAAGAAAAAAAGTGATTTTAGGCGAGAGAAAAATATTTTGTAGGCAGGTGGGCATGGCTTGTGTCTCGAGTGGAAGACCGCAGCGCGGCAATTCAAATCGAATTTTATTCAGCGGCGACCTCTTCTTATCTAGGCAATTTGGACGAGGAGAAAATGTGAACCGGCTAGTATAGTGGTTAGAGTGTCTGCCTCAGTGGTGAGGGGTTGAGGGTTCGACTCCCGGTCGGAACTCTTTTTTTTTTCAGGGATTTGTGTGGTTGGGAAAAGGTTGGTTGCGAGTTTTCAATAAGAGCGACTCCGTTTTCATCGATACTTTTGGCAGTCATATTTTGCAAGCTTTTGAAGTGGAAATACTGAACAGTTTTGAAAGTTTTCTTTAAAAATATGTAAATTTGAAAAATACGAAAAATCCTATATCAAAACAAATTTAAAAACAACCGTGAAGATAAAATTTTTGATCTGAAAAATGTGAAAGAAACAGAAGAAATAGAGAAAAAAATTTTCAGAAAAGATCTTTCATTTTGAACATTTCCTCAACCAAACTTTTTTTTGATGTTGTGAGTCATTTTTTTCGCGATTTTTTCAAATTTTCATTCTCCTGGAAATTTGAAGAGAGAGGAAGCACAAACAATCTTCAATTGAAAAATCCTCGACGATTGCGATTGGTTGGCCACGCCCTTTTGAATTTCGTTGACAATTTTTCATTTTCATTTCATTGTTTAAAAAAAACAAGGATTTTCATAACTTTTCTTAAAAATAACAGCTTTTTTTCGAATACAAAAAATTTATTATAAAATCACCGGATAAAAATTAATACGAGAAGAAAAAATGAAAAAACAATAAAAACTATATTCTTGATTTGGGAACAAACAAAAAAAATAATTAGGGAGAGGAAAAAAATGCAAATTTTTCTATGGGAAACTAAAGGAACTTGTGAAAAGCAATAAAAATAAATTTGAGTGGGAACAAGTTAATCAATCGCATTGTTAGTTGAATTCAAAATATAAGGTTGTTATTTTCTTTAAGCCAAAATCTACAATTGCGACAAGTTGAAATTGAAAATCTTTTTATTCCAACGTTTCGACGTATAACGTCATCATCAGGGATAATACTGAAAAAATTAAATGGGTTATTTACAATATATAAGTTACAAATTTTTGAAATAAACTTAAAAACCAAAAATCTCGAAAAACCAATAAAAATAAAATAAACCTGCTAAAGTGCGGGTAGGCGGAGTGTTGTTAGTACTTTAGGAGAATTTTTTTATAGAAAGAATTTGGTATTTGGATTGTTCCAAGCCTTGTGATCATATCCGAGAGTTCCTCTTTATTGTTTAATGAAGGATTGTGATGTTTTATCAAAACCCCTTCTCTGATCTTCTGAATATTAGTATTGCGCTCGACTTCCAGAATATCAACATCAATCACCAAAGCCTCTCCACAAAAATTTTAAGAAAAAATCTCAACATGCTCTTTCAGATTTTTTTTGATAATTTTCTGAAACATTGGCAAGATCTAGAGATTGTTTTGATATCTACAAGATTGGTCGAAATTTCAAAGAGGTATTCAGGATTACCTTGTAAGATTTCTGTGAGACTTATCGGCCCGAGTTTTTTCAAAAAAAAAAATCGGCCCGAGTTTTTTCAAAAAAAAATCGGCCCGAGTTTTTCAAAAAAAAGTTACAGATTTGGAATAATCCAAAAATGTAAAAAAAAATCGGCCCGAGTTTTTTCAAAAAAAAAATCGGCCCGAGTTTTTCAAAAAAAAAGTTACAGATTTGGAATAATCCAAAAATGTAAAAAAAAAATCGGCCCGAGATTTTCAAAAAAAATCGGCCCGAGTTTTTTCAAAAAAAAGTTACAGATTTGGAATAATCCAAAAATGTAAAAAAAAAATCGGCCCGAGATTTTCAAAAAAAATCGGCCCGAGTTTTTTCAAAAAAAAAAGTTACAGATTTGGAATAATCCAAAAATGTAAAAAAAAAAATCGGCCCGAGATTTTCAAAAAAAATCGGCCCGAGTTTTTCAAAAAAAAAGTTACAGATTTGGAATAATCCAAAAATGTAAAAAAAAAATCGGCCCGAGATTTTCAAAAAAATCGGCCCGAGTTTTTTCAAAAAAAGTTACAGATTTGGAATAATCCAAAAATGTAAAAAAAAATCGGCCCGAGTTTTTCAAAAAAAGTTACAGATTTGGAATAATCCAAAAATGTAAAAAAAAATCGGCCCGAGTTTTTTCAAAAAAAAATCGGCCCGAGTTTTTTCAAAAAAATCGGCCCGAGTTATTCAAAAAAAAATCGGCCCGAGTTTTTTTTTCAAAAAAAAAAATCGGCCCGAGTTTTTTCAAAAAAAAATCGGCCCGAGTTTTTCAAAAAAAAGTTACAGATTTGGAATAATCCAAAAATGTAAAAAAAAATTGGCACGAGATTTTCAAAAAAAAAATCGGCCCGAGTTTTTTTCAAAAAAAAAAATCGGCCCGAGTTTTTCAAAAAAAAGTTACAGATTTGGAATAATCCAAAAAATGTAAAAAAAAATCGGCCCGAGTTTTTCAAAAAAAAAGTTACAGATTTGGAATAATCCAAAAATGTAAAAAAAAATTGGCACGAGATTTTCAAAAAAAAAATCGGCCCGAGTTTTTTCAAAAAAAAAATCGGCCCGAGTTTTTCAAAAAAAAAAGTTACAGATTTGGAATAATCCAAAAATGTAAAAAAAAAATCGGCCCGAGTTTTTTCAAAAAAAAGTTACAGATTTGGAATAATCCAAAAATGTAAAAAAAAATCGGCCCGAGTTTTTTCAAAAAAAAGTTACAGATTTGTAATAATCCAAAAATGTAAAAAAAAAATCGGCCCGAGTTTTTTCAAAAAAAAAGTTACAGATTTGGAATAATCCAAAAATGTAAAAAAAAATCGGCCCGAGTTTTTTCAAAAAAAAGTTACAGATTTGGAATAATCCAAAAATGTAAAAAAAAAATCGGCCCGAGTTTTTTCAAAAAAAAAAGTTACAGATTTGGAATAATCCAAAAATGTAAAAAAAAAAATCGGCCCGAGTTTTTTCAAAAAAAAAGTTACAGATTTGGAATAATCCAAAAATGTAAAAAAAAAATCGGCCCGAGTTTTTTCAAAAAAAATTTACAGATTTGGAATAATCCAAAAATGTAAAAAAAAAAATCGGCCCGAGTTTTTTCAAAAAAAAGTTACAGATTTGGAATAATCCAAAAATGTAAAAAAAAATCGGCCCGAGTTTTTTCAAAAAAAGTTACAGATTTGGAATAATCCAAAAATGTAAAAAAAAATCGGCCCGAGTTTTTCAAAAAAAGTTACAGATTTGGAATAATCCAAAAATGTAAAAAAAAAATCGGCCCGAGTTTTTTCAAAAAAAAAAGTTACAGATTTGGAATAATCCAAAAATGTAAAAAAATCGGCCCGAGATTTTCAAAAAAAAATCGGCCCGAGTTTTTTCAAAAAAAAAATCGGCCCGAGATTTTCAAAAAAAAATCGGCCCGAGTTTTTTCAAAAAAAAAATCGGCCCGAGTCATTTTTTGATCAAAAAACTTGAAATTTTTGATGAATTCAATTATAATTCGTTTGTTTAACATCTTTCGAGTACATTTAATTCAAAAAAATAATTAAATAAGTTTTTTTTTCGAAAAATATCTTGATGACGTCATCCATGGCAAAATTAGGAAGCCTTCCTGATTTTGCCACGAATCATTGTTTGATAAAAAATTTGAAATTTTCTATAAATTTGATTGTGAGTCAATGTTCTGTGGACAATAATCACAGAAAAAAGTGAAACGGAAATAAATGAGAAGACTGTTACTCCTGGGGGCTAACAGCCCCTAGTCTTTGTGACCAAAAAATAAAACAAAAGGTTCCGAATTAAAATGCAAATTCCTTCGTGCCCACCTTTTTCCTTCCACCTTTCATTTTCATTTTTTTCCTTGTTGGTCTAAAATTTCCAAAATTTTCAGATGACTTGGTCAACATTTTTGCTAGTTTCTCTTCTTTTTGCTGGTGTGCTTTCACACTCAAATCTCAAAAGGTACAGATTTTTTCAGACTTGAAAATTTGAAGGGCTCCTTAAAATTTGAAAAAGTGATTTTCAGAGATTCCTGGAGTCAAAAATGGCGAAAATACTTGGATGATAGATGGCGACAAAATCAAGAATATCCGGAAAATTATATGATTTACACAGACTTTTTCGAGCGCATCAAATCGGGACAAGATGTGCAAACAACACCTGAGACTTCCTCAGAGATTTCAAAAGAAATATATGGCCCAATTTGGTAGTTGAATTAATTGGATTATTATTATTTTAAAGTGTTTTTTTCTCGGATAATTAATTTAAATTGAAATATCTGATTGAATAAATGTTGATGCAAATTCATGTGTTGATTTTGAAACTTTAACTTCAATTTTCAAAAATGCTTGAATTTTGAAGCTCTCTAGAGCCTCTGGAAGCTCTCTGAAGCTTCAAAAAATTTCAGAAGCCTCTAAAAGCCATTCAAAAACTTTTCTGAAGCCCTCTAGAGCCTCTAGAAGCTTTCTGATACTTCTAAAAATTTTTATGAAGCCTTCAAAAGCCTTCTGAAACTTTTAAAACCCGTCTGAATCCTTCTGGAGCCCTCAAAACCATTGAAAAGTTTTCTGAAACCTCAAAAAGCCTTCTGAAGCCTCCAGAAATCTTGATTTTTCTAAGCTTCTGAAATTCCGAGAAATTGAGATTTTCCAGAGCTAAAATTCCATTTTTCTTGTTTTTTAAAAATAAGTTTCATCTCATTTAGCTTATATTTTTTCTGAAACTTTCTCTGAAAATAAAATTGCATTCAATTTTAATCATTCTCATTGAAACTCCTCCAAAAACTTAAAGACAACTTCTTGAAGCAAAAATAAAAACAGAAACTTGAAAAATAGGCGGCGAGAGAGTGGGTGTGTTTGAAGAGACGCAGGCAAACATACGCTGTGCATTTTCTCGCCCATAATCTTGAAGATATCTTCTCACCTTATCTCTAAATTATTGTTTTTTTTCTGAAAATTACCATCTCCATTTTAATATCGAAATTTGTCAGTACAAAAATTTTGAAAAAAAAAGTTCATGATAAATTTCGTGAAAATATTTAAAAAAATATTTGATTGGGGGCTTTTTGAGAAAAAACATTTGGGATAAAATCGGGGAGACAAAAAATTTGGTAAGATAAGATTTGCTGGTTTGGCGTGCCAAACCAGCATTTTTTGGATCAAAACACTTGGAAAACTTCGAGAAAACAAAAAATTTGGGGGCGGGTACGAGTAAAAATAAAAATCATTTGACAAATTTGGTGAGATGAGATTTGCTGGCTTGGCGTATTACGTGCCAGCCAGCATTTTTTGGGATCAAAAAGTGGAATAACAAAGGAAAAATTAATCAAGGGAAATTCGGTTTTGGTGGTATTAATTCACCAAAACCGATAAAAAATGAAACAAATACAGGAGTAGAAACCAATTTGGACAACAAAGACAGAAAAGTAACATAACAAAAATGCATAGAATCACATGAAAATCATATTTGTAGGGAAAAATTGATGGATCAAGAAAATATGGGATAATATTCGGCTTTATTGACGACGAGATTCATTGATTTCCTCGAGAAGCTCTGCATTTCTTCTCATCAAGTTCCTGACTTCTTCTCCTCTTCTCTCGATTTCTCTTCCTCTTTGGAGAACCATCTGAAAATATTCGAGTTCGAAAATATTTGAATTCTTTTTCAGAAAGTTTCCAACTTGAAATTGAAAGAGCTTGCTAATTTTAGACACAAAAAGTTCTGAGATTTTTCTAAAATTCAAGCTGAAAGTTATCTAAAATTTTGGAATATAGAAATTTCTAGAAAATTCTAGAACTACTCAAAATTCGGAACCCCTCCCTTAGAACTAACCAGATATTGTGCTTCCCTATGGTCCACAATCCAGTCATGTTGTTCACGAGATCTTTCAATCAGTCGTGCTTGAATTGCAGATGGAAAGAGGACTGGCATTGGGTCCAATGGAACTGACACAAAAGTTCCATCATCTGAAAATAAATTCGAAATTAGATAATGAAAAAAAATGAGCCGGGAAATTTCAAATTGTTTTTGGCTAGAAAATGTGTTTTTTTCCAGAAGAATTTAAAAAAATCATTGAAAACTTCAACACATATATTTTTTAAATATTCCCCCAATGCTTACCTTCAATTGAGTGTTCAAATTGGTTCCGGTGTAAGTCTTCGAAAGAATCTGGGTTATTCGTAAATTCCATCCAATTTTGGGAGCCAATCAAAAACTCGTTGTTGTACCATGTGAACAATCTTTGATCACTATTTGTGAGATCATTGAGAAGTTCTTGATTTGATCGAATATAATTCATGGTATAATTCTAAAATAATTGGAATTTTTCATGAGAAAAAATGAATTCAGAAAAAAACTAACGATAAAATCGGAGACATTTGGGATATTACCATACACTTGTGGATTCCGTTGAATTGCATGGTTCAAGAATCGCTAAAAAATTCAGATTTTTCATGAAAAAAAATATATATAATTCAGAAAAACTAACTCGGATGTAATTTTCATCGATAAGATCTTCATCTTCTTCATCTTCTTCGTCATTTGAATCATCTGATTCATCTGAATTATCTGAAATTTCTTCAGCCTCTTCTCCATCTTCATCCGCATCCGATTTTGCCGAACCATCATCTTCATTTGCGAGTCCCCGCGCTCTTTTTGGTGCATCTGAAGTTGATTGATGAACTCTTGGTGTAGATTGTTCTTCAACGATTTCGATTGATGGCGATCGCTTTCTTTTGCGGTTTGTCGAAGTCGTCGGAACCTGAAAATTAAAATTGAACAATTTTTTCCAACACTTTTTTCCTTTTTTTCTTTTACAATATTTCTGGCTTATCTTTCAACTAGCATGCAAACTTCAGAAAATTCTGAATTAATTTGAACTTGAATTGAAAATTGTAATTAATTTTAACAGGAAAATATTTAATTCCCAAAAATCGTTGTACTAGAAAAAATTTGTTCCAAAATTATTTCCTTCAAAATTCAATTTTTCGCCTATGCAAATTAATATTTTGTAATTAAAAAATCATAATTTTTTCCATGCAAAAAACGTCAAAAAACAAAATATACAGTTGATAATTTTTGAGTAGAGACAACGTGAAATTGAGAGAGCGGAGACTTTTGGACAAAAAACTAATTTTTCTGACTGCGCTCTCTCAATTTAACGTTGTCTCTACTCAACTGTATATTTTGTTTCACAACGATTTTTGCATGGGAAAAATTATGTTTTTTTTTCAAATTTCAAAATATTAATCAGCATGGGCTCCATGATTCTAATTGAATGAATAAATTTCGGGATGGAAGAAAAACGCACTTGGTCATTACTCGCCGGAGGAACTCTTCTCGATCTTGCAACTCTTGAATCTCCTTCTTCTTCCTCTTGTTCTTCCTCATTTTCTTCATCATCCGAATCCTCTTCTAAATCATCTTCCTCCTCTTCATCATCTTCCGGGTCTTCATCATTTTCCAAAATCTCGATCGAAGAATCATCCGATTCATTTTCATCATCGGTTTCATTTTCTTCATTTTCTGATTCATCATTGGATTCTTCTTGCTCCTCTTTTTCATCCTCGTCATCGGATTCAATATCTTCAGAATCATCCGATTCTCCTTCATCATCCGAATCTCCATCAGTATCCACTTCTTCACTCTCATCAGAATCCTCTCCACTTTCATCTTCTTCTTTCACATTCTGAAATTTGAAATTAACATTAATCAATTCTTAACAAAATTTTTGATTTGTCTATTGGAAAAAATAATTTTGTGTTCAATTTGTTTTGAAATTTCATAGATCCATAGTAAATTCAGGATATCTTACTGCTAGATTTTCATTGGATTTCTGAACAGATTTGGAATAATCCAAAAATGTAAAAAAAAAATCGGCCCGAGATTTTTTCAAAAAAAGTTACAGATTTGGAATAATCCAAAAATGTAAAAAAAAGTCGGACCGAGAATTTCAAAAAAAATCGGCCCGAGATTTTTCAAAAAAAAAAGTTACAGATTTGGAATAATCCAAAAATGTAAAAAAAAATCGGCCCGAGTTTTTTCAAAAAAAAAATCGGCCCGAGATTTTTCAAAAAAAAGTTACAGATTTGGAATAATCCAAAAATGTTTAATAAAAATCGGCCCGAGTTTTTTCAAAAAAAAAATCGGCCCGAGTTTTTTCAAAAAAAATCGGCCCGAGTTTTTCAAAAAAAAAATCGGCCCGAGATTTTTCAAAAAAAAGTTACAGATTTGGAATAATCCAAAAATGTAAAAAAAATCGGCCCGAGATTTTTCAAAAAAAAGTTACAGAAGTGGAATAATCCAAAAATGTAAAAAAAAATCGGCCCGAGATTTTTCAAAAAAAAGTTACAGAAGTGGAATAATCCAAAAATGTAAAAAAAATCGGCCCGAGTTTTTTCAAAAAAAAAATCGGCCCGAGTTTTTCAAAAAAATCGGCCCGAGATTTTTCAAAAAAAGTTACAGATTTGGAATAATCCAAAAATGTAAAAAAAAAATCGGCCCGAGATTTTCCAAAAAAAAGTTACAGATTTGGAATAATCCAAAAATGTAAAAAAAAATCGGCCCGAGATTTTTCAAAAAAAAAAAGTTACAGATTTGGAATAATCCAAAAATGTAAAAAAAAATCGGCCCGAGATTTTCCAAAAAAAAGTTACAGATTTGGAATAATCCAAAAATGTAAAAAAAAAATCGGCCCGAGATTTTTCAAAAAAAAAAGTTACAGAAGTGGAATAATCCAAAAATGTAAAAAAAAATCGGCCCGAGTTTTTTCAAAAAAAAAATCGGCCCGAGTTTTTCAAAAAAAAATCGGCCCGAGATTTTTCAAAAAAAGTTACAGATTTGGAATAATCCAAAAATGTTTAAAAAAATCGGCCCGAGATTTTTCAAAAAAAAAAGTTACAGATTTGGAATAATCCAAAAATGTAAAAAAAAAATCGGCCCGAGATTTTTCAAAAAAAAAGTTACAGATTTGGAATAATCCAAAAATGTAAAAAAAAATCGGCCCGAGTTTTTTCAAAAAAAATCGGCCCGAGATTTTTCAAAAAAAAAAGTTACAGATTTGGAATAATCCAAAAATGTAAAAAAAAATCGGCCCGAGATTTTCAAAAAAAATCGGCCCGAGTTTTTCAAAAAAAAAAGTTACAGATTTGGAATAATCCAAAAATGTTTAATAAAAATCGGCCCGAGTTTTTTCAAAAAAAAAATCGGCCCGAGTTTTTTCAAAAAAAAAAATCGGCCCGAGTTTTTCAAAAAAAAAATCGGCCCGAGATTTTTCAAAAAAAAAGTTACAGATTTGGAATAATCCAAAAATGTAAAAAAAAAATCGGCCCGAGATTTTTCAAAAAAAAAGTTACAGAAGTGGAATAATCCAAAAATGTAAAAAAAAATCGGCCCGAGATTTTTCAAAAAAAAAAGTTACAGAAGTGGAATAATCCAAAAATGTAAAAAAAAAATCGGCCCGAGTTTTTTCAAAAAAAAAAGTTACAGAAGTGGAATAATCCAAAAATGTAAAAAAAAATCGGCCCGAGTTTTTTCAAAAAAAAAATCGGCCCGAGTTTTTCAAAAAAAAATCGGCCCGAGATTTTTCAAAAAAAAGTTACAGATTTGGAATAATCCAAAAATGTAAAAAAAAATCGGCCCGAGATTTTCCAAAAAAAAGTTACAGATTTGGAATAATCCAAAAATGTAAAAAAAAAATCGGCCCGAGATTTTTCAAAAAAAAAAGTTACAGATTTGGAATAATCCAAAAATGTAAAAAAAAAATCGGCCCGAGATTTTCCAAAAAAAAGTTACAGATTTGGAATAATCCAAAAATGTAAAAAAAAAATCGGCCCGAGATTTTTCAAAAAAAAAAGTTACAGAAGTGGAATAATCCAAAAATGTAAAAAAAAATCGGCCCGAGTTTTTTCAAAAAAAAAAATCGGCCCGAGTTTTTCAAAAAAAAATCGGCCCGAGATTTTTCAAAAAAAAGTTACAGATTTGGAATAATCCAAAAATGTTTAAAAAAATCGGCCCGAGATTTTTCAAAAAAAAAGTTACAGATTTGGAATAATCCAAAAATGTAAAAAAAAATCGGCCCGAGATTTTTCAAAAAAAAAAGTTACAGATTTGGAATAATCCAAAAATGTAAAAAAATCGGCCCGAGTTTTTTCAAAAAAATCGGCCCGAGATTTTTCAAAAAAGTTACAGATTTGGAATAATCCAAAAATGTAAAAAAAAAATCGGCTCGAGATTTTTCAAAAAAAAAGTTACAGATTTGAATAATCCAAAAATGTAAAAAAAAATCGGCCCGAGATTTTCAAAAAAAATCGGCCCGAGTTTTTCAAAAAAAAGTTACAGATTTGGAATAATCCAAAAATGTAAAAAAAAAATCGGCCCGAGTTTTTTTCAAAAAAAAAGTTACAGATTTGGAATAATCCAAAAATGTAAAAAAAAAATCGGCCCGAGTTTTTCAAAAAAAAAATCGGCCGAGTTTTTCAAAAAAAAAGTTACAGATTTGGAATAATCCAAAAATGTAAAAAAAAATCGGCCCGAGTTTTCCAAAAAAAAAAAGTTACAGATTTGGAATGATCCAAAAATGTAAAAAAAAAAAATCGGCCCGAGATTTTTCAAAAAAAAAAAAGTTACAGATTTGGAATAATCCAAAAATGTAAAAAAAAAATCGGTCCGAGATTTTTCAAAAAAAAAGTTACAGATTTGGAATAATCCAAAAATGTTTAATAAAAATCGGCCCGAGTTTTTTCAAAAAAAAAATCGGCCCGAGTTTTTTCAAAAAATCGGCCCGAGATTTTTCAAAAAAAAATCGGCCCGAGATTTTTCAAAAAAAAAAGTTACAGATTTGGAATAATCCAAAAATGTAAAAAAAAAATCGGCCCGAGTTTTTTCAAAAAAAAAATCGGCCCGAGATTTTTCAAAAAAAAAGTTACAGATTTGGAATAATCCAAAAATGTTTAATAAAAATCGGCCCGAGTTTTTTCCAAAAAAAAATCGGCCCGAGATTTTTAAAAAAAAAAGTTACAGATTTGGAATAATCCAAAAATGTAAAAAAAAAATCGGCCCGAGTCATTTTTTGATCAAAAAACTTGAAATTTTTGATGAATTCAATTGTAATTCGTTTGTTTAACATCTTTCGAGTACACTTAATTCAAAAAAATAATTAAATAAGTTTTTTTTTCGAAAAATATTTTGATGACGTCATCCATGGCAAAATTAGGAAGCCTTCCTGATTTTGCCACGAATCATTTTTTGATAAAAAAATTTGAAATTTTCTATAAATTTGATTGTGAGTCAATATTCTGTGGACAATAATCACAGAAAAAAGTGAAACGGAAATAAATGAGAAGACTGTTACTCCTGGGGGCTAACAGCCCCTAGTCTTTGTGACCAGAAAAAAAAACAAAAGATTCCAAATTAAAATGCAAATTTTCTGCCCACCTTTTCTAACCCACCACATTTTCATTTTCATTGTTTTCCTTGTTCAGTCAAAAATTTCCAGAATTTTCAGATGACTTGGTCAACATTTTTGCTAGTTTCTCTTCTTTTTGCTGGTGTGCTTTCACACTCAAATCTCAAAAGGTACAGATTTTTCAGACTTGAAAATTTGAAGGGCTCCTGAAAATCTGAAATATAATTTCAGAGACTCCTGGAGCCACAAATGGCGAAAATATTTGGATGATAGATGGCCACAAAATCAAGAATATCCGGAAAATGATGTGATCTACACAGACTTTTTCGAGCGCATCAAATCGGGACAAGATGTGAAAACAACACCTGAGACTTCCTCAGAGATTTCAAAAGAAATATATGGACCAATTTGGTAGTTGAATTAATTGGATTATTATTATTCTCAAGTGTTTTTTCTTGGATAATTAATTTGAATTAAAATATCTGATTGAATAAATGTTGATGCAAATTTCAATTTTCAAAAATTTTTTAGTTTGGAATTTTCAAATTTCGCTGAAGAATTCTAGAGCCTCTAGAAGCTTTCTAATGCTTCTAGAAATTTTGTGAAACCTTCAAAACGAAGCTTCTGAAGCTTCAAAACGCCTTCTGAAGACTTCAAAACTCGGCCAAAAAACGACATAGCTCGGGGCGACTCGCTACACAATTTTTGAGACTCGTTTTGTAGCGAGTTGCCCCAAACGCGCCTCAAAAGTGGCGAGTGCCGGGCAACTCGCTACAATTTTTGCCCATTTTTAAAATCATGGTTTTAATGCTTTTTTTTTCGGGATTTCACAGTGATTCATTGATTAAATGGCCCATATAAATGTAGGGTAATAAAGCTATAAGTAGATCTACTTTTGCTCCATAGATACAGTTTTTGAAAAATGCTTCTGGACACCCACCGAGAGAGTGGATCGGGGCGAGAACGGGGCAAGTTGCTTCACGCTCGGGCGAGTCGCCCCAAGCTCGCCCAAAGAGCCTCGGGCCAGTCGCCCGAAACGTGTAGCGACTCCGTCCCGATTGGTAGCGACCTCGCCGTTTTCTGCCCGAGAAGCTTTTTTAAAACTTCAGAAGTCTCTTAGAGCCATTCAAAGGTTTTCTGAATCCCTCTGGACTCCAGAGGAGCCTCTGGAACCTCTCTGAAGCTATAAAAAATTTTATGAAGCGTCCAATAGTCTTCTCAAACTTCAAAAAGTCTACGAAAGCCTCCGAATCCTCAAAAAACTTCTAAAAATTTCAGAAGTCTATAAAAGCCATTTAAAAGTTTTCTGAAACTTTAAAAAGCCTTCTGAAGCCTCCAGAAGTCTTTTTTTTGAGCTTTTAAAATTTTAAGACATTTTGATCTTCCAGCTCTGAAATCCTTATTTTGGTTTTTCAGAAATAAGTTTCATTTCTTTCAGCCCATTTTTTTCTGCAACTATATCTGAAAAAAAAGTTAACTTTAATCATTTCAAAAATTTCAAGACGACTTCTTCTAGCAAAAATAAAAACAGAAACTTGAAAAATAGGCGGCAAGAGAGTGTGTTTGTTTGAAGAGACGCAGACAAACATACGCTGTGCATTTTTTTTCTCGCACCCATAATCTTGAAGAAATCTTCTCACCTATAAATTATCTGTAATTTATTTTTTTTCTGAAAATGACCATCTCCATTTTAATATGAAAATTTGTCAATACAAAAAATTTGAAAAAAAGAATTCATGAAAAATTTTGTGAAAATATAAAAAAGAATATTTGAATGGGGGCTTTTTGAGAAAAAAACATTTGGGGTAAAACCAGGGAAACAAAAATTTGGTAAGATAAGATTTGCTGGTTTGGCGAATGACGCGCCAAAACAGCATTTTTTTGGATAAAAAAACTTGGGATACTTTGAGTAAAAAAATTTGGGGGCGGGTACAAGCATTAAAATCATTTGACAAATTTGGTAAGATCAGATTTGCTGGCTTGGCGTATTACGTGCCAGCCAGCATTTTTTTGGATCAAAAAGTGGAAAGGGACAAAAAAATCGGTAAATTCGGTTTTGGTGGTATTAATTCACCAAAACCGATAAAAACTGAAACAAATACAGGAACAGAAACCAATTTGGACAACAAAGACGAGGAGTAACATAACAAAAATGCATAAAATCACAGGAAAATTATATTTGTAGGGAAAAATTGATGGATCAAGAAAATATGGGATAATATTCGGTTTCATTGACGACGAGATTGATTGATTTCCTCGATGAGCTCTTCGTTTCTTCTTATCAAGTTCCTGACTTCTTCTCCTCTTCTCTCGATTTCTCTTCCTCTTTGGAGAACCATCTGAAAATATTCGAGTTCGAAAATATTTGAATTCTCTTTAAAAAAGTTTCCAACTTGAAATTGAAAGAGCTTGCTAATTTTAGACACAAAAAGTTCTGAGATTTTTCTAAAATTCAAGCTGGAAGTTATCTAATATTCGGGATTATAGAAATTTCTAGAAAATTCTAGAAATACTCAAAATTCGGAACCCCTCCCTTAGAACTAACCAGATATTCTGCTTCCCTATGGTCCACAATCCAGTCATGTTGTTCACGAGCTCTTTCAATCAGTCGTGTTTGAATTGCAGATGGAAAGAGGACTGGCATTGGGTCCAATGGAACTGACACAAAAGTTCCATCATCTGAAAATAAATTCGAAATTAGATAATGAAAAAAAAAATGAGCCGGGAAATTTCAAATTGTTTTTGGCTAGAAAGTGTTTTTTTTCCAGAAGAATTTAAAAAAATCATTGAAAACTTCAACACATATATTTTTTAAATATTCCCCCCCAAAGCTTACCTTCAATTGAGTGTTCAAATTGGTTCCGGTGTAAGTCTTCGAAAGAATCTGGGTTATTCGTAAATTCCATCCAATTTTGGGAGCCAATGACAAAATTCTCGTTGTACCACGTGAACAATCTTTGATCGCTACTTGTGAGATCATTGAGAAGTTCCTGATTTGATCGAATATAATTCATCGTATAATTCTAAAATAATTGAAATTTTTCATGAGAAGAAATGAATTCAAAAAAAAACTAACGATAAAATCGGAGACATTTGGGATATTACCATACACTTGTGGATTTTGTTGAATAGAATGGTTCAAGAATCGCTAAAATAATTCAGATTTTTCATGAAAAAAATATAATTCAGAAAAACTAACCCGGATGTAATTTTCATCGATCCGATCTTCATCTTCATCATCATTTGAATCATCTGAAACTTCTGGAACTTCTCCAGCCTCCTCTTCTCCTGTAACCCTTTCTTGATTATCTTCTTGTACTTCGAGGCGACCTTTCTTTTGCTTTTTGGGAGTGGTTTGAGATCTTCTTGATGTAGATTGTTCTTCAACGATTTCGATTGATGGCGATCGCTTTCTTTTGCGGCTCGTCGAAGTCGTCGGAACCTGAAAATTAAAATTGAACAATTTTTTCAATATTCTTTGACAATTTTTCTGATTTATTTTCAAACTAGCATGAATCGCATTTGAATTGAACATTGTAATTTTAATTTCAACAGGGAAATATTCCAAAATTATTTCCTTCAAAATTTAATTTTTCGCCTATGCAAATTAATACTTTGAAATTAAAAAATCATAATTTTTCCCATGCAAAAAACGTCAAAAAACAAAATATACAGTTTATTATTTTTGTGTAGAGACAATGTGAAATTGAGAGTGCGCAGACTTTTGGACAAAAAACTAATTTGTCTATCTGCGCTCTCTCAATTCAACGTTGTCTCTACTCAAAAATAATCAACTGTATATTTTGTTTTTCGACGTTTTTTGCATGGGAAAAATTATTTTTTTCAATTTCAAAATATTAATCAGCATGGGCTCATTGATTCTAATTGAATCAATAAATTTCGGGATGGAAGAAAAACGCACTTGGTCATTACTCGCCGGCGGAACACTTTTCGATCTTGCAACTCTCGATGATCCTCCTTCTTCCTCTTGTTCTTCCTCATTTTCTTCATCATCCGAATCCTCTTCCAAATCCACTTCTTCCTCTCCATCATCTTTCGAATCCTCTTCCAAATCTTCTTCCTCCTCTTCATCATTTTCCAAGATTTCGATCGACGAATCATCCGATTCATTTTCATCATCGGTTTCATTTTCTCTATTTTCTGATTCATCAACAGATTCTTCTCGCTCCTCTTTCTCCTCTTTTTCATCGGATTCAATATCTTCAGAATCATCCGATTCTCCTTGATCATCCGAATCACCATCACTATCCAATTCTTCACTCTCATCAGAATCCTCTCCATCACTTTCTTCTTCTTTCACATTCTGAAATTTGAAATTAACATTGATCAATTCTTAACAAAATTTTGATTTGTCTATCTTTAATTGAATTCGGAAAAAAAGGATTTTGTTTTCAATTTGTTTTGAAAGTTCATAGATCCAAAGTAAATTTAGGATATCTTACTGCCAGATTTTTTTGGATTTCTGAACAATAAATATTCCAAGAGGATCTATTCGGAAAAATCTGGCAACAAGATATTCTGAATTCATGTTTTTTCAGAAAAATTGAAAGGCTCTTGATTAAAAATTAAATTTTCACCCAAAATTTAAAATTACCTCTTTTGTGGCAGATGTTTTCGGCTTCTGGACTTCTCTCAATAAGATGATGTCATCATCGGCTTCTTCAGCAAGTGGAATTTCAGGCTCTTGAGATTGCGAAGATGATTGCGAAGAAGATGAACTTGTATCAGCTTCTGCAGAATCATCAACTTGTGGATTTTTTGGTTTCTGAAAAAATATAAAATTGTTTGATGAATTATGGTAATTTAATTTATTCAAATTTGTAACCAGAAAACTTACAGTGTCTTTAATTGGTTTTGGCGGCATCTTTGATTTGTTGATAGTTTGTCAGCTGTAAAAAAACAGGTTTTGAGGAAAGAAAATCACAATTAATTTTATAAAGAAAGAAGATCTTCTGAAATACAACACAAAGCTTGTGAAAATAGAGAATGGAATCACAAAAAATCTCAAAAAATTCAAAAAAAAATAAAGATTTACAGCAATTTTCCATAAAATATCAACAAAAAAAGAGGAAAAACGAAAAAAAAGGAACACTGGCAAATGAAAGGACGCCAATGATTTGGAATGGCGCGAAAAAATTTGGCTGCCGACACACACACACACTAAACATTTGATACTCAGTCAAGTGTATGATAAGGTATGCGAGAGGATTTCCTCTAGCCTTTACTCTTTTCTCTTCCCGCTCTCTCATATTCCCTCACTCTCTCGTGTTTCCTCACCCGTTTCTCTGTCGCTTTTTCGAGGAAAAGGGGAAGGGGAAATAAACACGCCTTTTTCAATCAATAAATTATGTTTGCAGGAAAAAGGACGCCGAGAAAATGGAGGTAATTTTTATGATATTTTAGTTAATTATGCCGTTGGTTAATTGATATTTTTGCAGGGAAATTGGCGATGGCAAATGGAACTTTGGTTGACAGAAGAACGACAAAGAAATCAATGGATTTGGCGCAGTTAAAGTTGTAGATGAAACAGATCTCAAAAATGTATCTGGCATGCCATAATTGTTTGGATTTCGGTTGAGTTCGAGGAGAAGTAAACAACGTCGACAAGGATATTCATTATGAAGTTATTTTCGGACAACTTGTGAGATTCTGCAGAATTCATCATCGCGAAACAAATATCAAGAGAAGTTTAAATGTTTTTCGATTTTTTTCTTTGGAGCAACTATGAAGCTGTTCAAGTAGAAGTGATTCAAAACATTCATCAGGTAAATTTTGTTATGTTTTTGTTTTCACATCAAATAGGAAAAGTATTTCAGTGTTCAAATTTAATTTAAGCTAGAGACTTTATGAGTGGTATCAGTCAACCGAAAACGCTATTAAAATTCAGTGAATATATGTGCCGTTAGTATTAATTGTAGTTCACAACAATGGTTAGGCCCGTCTCATTTTTTGAATAAAAAATGAGCTGTAACATAGCTTGTGAACTACACTCTCTCAAAAAATTAATACTATTTAACAAAGGCTGCCTAACTGTTCACTGAATTTATTGACCTTTAATGAAAAAAATAATCTTAAAAAGTATTGGAACTCATCAGTTTTCCTTTTTTTTTTAATCCGCGATTGTGTGAGCGCAGCGTCACGCGGAGTCTTGTTGTTTTATTTTGTTTGTTTGTCGAAATCAACCAACCTGAAGGAGCCAGATAAGAAAAATGGAACAGCAAGCAAATTTATGTATGCAAAATTTTAGTAAATCTGGAAGACCTTCCAGTTTTACAAATCCATCATTATCGAACCAAATTTCAATATTTCTGGCTTAAATTGATTGAAATTCATATGTTGAAGCATTTATTGAATACTTTCCGAAGAAAATACTATTTTTTTTATCAACTTTTTTTTGTTCAAAAATTTGTAAATCTGGAAGGTCTTCCAGTTTTACAAATCCATCATTATCAAAACCAAATTTCAAGATTTTAGGCTTAAATTGATTGAAATTCATATGTTGAGCATTTATTGAATACTTTCCGAAGAAAATACTATTTTTTTGATCAACTTTTTTTTCGTTCAAAAATTTGTAAATCTGGAAGGTCTTCCAGTTTTACAAATCCATCATTATCAAACCAAATTTCAAGATTTTAGGCTTAAATTGATTGAAATTCATATGTTGAGCATTTATTGAATACTTTCCGAAGAAAATACTATTTTTTTGATCAACTTTTTTTTGTTCAAAAATTTGTAAATCTGGAAGGTCTTCCAGTTTTACAAATCCATCATTATCAAACCAAATTTCAATATTTCTGGCTTAAATTGATTGAAATTCATATGTTGAGCATTTATTGAATACTTTCCGAAGAAAATACTATTTTTTTTATCAACTTTTTTGTTCAAAAATTTGTAAATCTGGAAGGTCTTCCAGTTTTACAAATCCATCATTATCGAACCAAATTTCAAGATTTTAGGCTTAAATTGATTGAAATTCATATGTTGAGCATTTATTGAATACTTTCCGAAGAAAATACTATTTTTTTTATCAACTTTTTTTTTGTTCAAAAATTTGTAAATCTGGAAGGTCTTCCAGTTTTACAAATCCATCATTATCAAACCAAATTTCAAGATTTTAGGCTTAAATTGATTGAAATTCATATGTTGAGCATTTATTGAATACTTTCCGAAGAAAATACTATTTTTTTGATCAACTTTTTTTTTTGTTCAAAAATTTGTAAATCTGGAAGGTCTTCCAGTTTTACAAATCCATCATTATCAAACCAAATTTCAAGATTTTAGGCTTAAATTGATTGAAATTCATATGTTGAGCATTTATTGAATACTTTCCGAAGAAAATACTATTTTTTTGATCAACTTTTTTTTTCGTTCAAAAATTTGTAAATCTGGAAGGTCTTCCAGTTTTACAAATCCATCATTATCAAACCAAATTTCAAGATTTTAGGCTTAAATTGATTGCAATTCATTTGTTGAGCATTTATTAAATACTGTCTAAAGAAAATACTTTTTTTGATCAACTTTTTTTTCTTTCAAAAATTTGTAAATCTGGAAGGTCTTCCAGTTTTACAAATCCATCATTATCGAACCAAATTTCAAGATTTTAGGCTTAAATTGATTGCAATTCATATGTTGAGCATTTATTGAATACTTTCCGAAGAAAATACTATTTTTTTGATCAACTTTTTTTTTGTTCAAAAATTTGTAAATCTGGAAGGTCTTCCAGTTTTACAAATCCATCATTATCGAACCAAATTTCAAGATTTTAGGCTTAAATTGATTGGAATTCATTTGTTGAGCATTTATTAAATACTGTCTAAAGAAAATACTTTTTTTGATCAACTTTTTTTTTCGTTCAAAAATTTGTAAATCTGGAAGGTCTTCCAGTTTTACAAATCCATCATTATCAAACCAAATTTCAAGATTTTAGGCTTAAATTGATTGCAATTCATTTGTTGAGCATTTATTAAATACATACTGTCTAAAGAAAATACTTTTTTTGATCAACTTTTTTTTCTTTCAAAAATTTGTAAATCTGGAAGGTCTTCCAGTTTTACAAATCCATCATTATCGAACCAAATTTCAAGATTTTAGGCTTAAATTGATTGCAATTGATTTGTTGAGCATTTATTGAATACTCTCTAAAGAAAATACTATTTTTTTATTAACTTTTTTTTGTTCAGAAATTTGTAAATCTGGAAGGTCTTCCAGTTTTACAAATTCATCATTATCGAACCAATTTTCAAGATTTTAAGCTCAAATTGATTGGAATTCATTTGTTCACAAGTGCCAACATTTTTTTCTTTTGCAGCATTATGAGAGACATTTGGATATTCCCTCTCCAATAAAAAATAAAAAATAAGAAATATTATAAGCCGTTTCAAAATCAGCTAAAATTAAGATATTCAACAACAATATTTTTAAAACAACAACACATTTATTCAACGATTCAAAAAATCAACAAGAAATTGATTATGGCAAAGTGTTCCGGTCGAATTCGTTCCAGGGGGTCAACGTGGGGATGACCAAATGTGGATTTACTTCTTGAAGTCGTTGCATAAAAATGCGAAAGTACCAGCAGAATGTACCGAAAGCCTCTTCGTTTTGACCAATAAGTGGCAGAAGAAGAGCAATGCCATTGTCGAACCATTCTCGTTGCCTCCGCGACGCATTGCCGTATCGATTTGCTTGAGATCGCAACAAAAAAAATCGCATCGTTTGTTCCTGTGCAAGTTGTTCCAGAGAACGGGCCATACTGAAATTTTGAAAATTATGTAGTTTTGTTTCTCAAATTCAGGAAAAACAACGAAGAAAATCGAGTAAAAACAGGTAAAAACAAGAAAAAAAGTGATTTTAGGCGAGAGAAAAATAATTTGTAGGCAGGTGGGTGTGGCTTGTGTCTCGAGTGGAAGACCGCAGCGCGGCAATTCAAATCGAATTTTATTCAGCGGCGACCTCTTCTTATCTAGGCAATTCGGACGAGGAGAAAATGTGAACCGGCTAGTATAGTGGTTAGAGTGTCTGTCTCAGTGGTGAGAGGTTGAGGGTTCGACTCCTGGTTGGAACTATTTTTTTTTAAATTTTTTTCCAGGGATCTGTGTGGTTAGGAACACGTTGGTTGCGAGTTTTCAATAACAGGGACTCCGTTTTTGGAATTTTTTCGAATTTTTTCATCGATACTTTTGGCAGTCAAATTTTCCTTCAAAAAATCTGGGACAAAAAACCAGATAACAATTAACTTTTTAAAATATTCAAACACACATTTCCTACGAAAAATTCTATATCAAAACAAATTAAAAAACAACCGTGAAGACAATTTTTTCTATCTGAAAAACGTGAAAGAAACAGAAGAAATAGAGAAAAAAAGTAAAATTTTCAGAAAAGATTTTTCATTTTGAAGATTGCCTCAATCAAACTTTTTTTAAATGTGAATCATTTCTCGCGATTTTTCCAAATTCTCAGTCTCCTGGAAATTTGAAGAGACAATCTTCAATTGAAAATTCCTCGACGAATGCGATTGGTTGGCCACGCCCTTTTGAATTTCGTTGACAATTTTTCATTTTTCATTTTATTGTTTAGAAAACAATGATTTTCATAACTTTTCTTGAAAATAACATAATTTTTCTATTACAAAAAAATTTATTATGAAATCGCCGGATAAAAATTAATACGAGAAGAAAAAATGAAAAAAACAATAAAAACTATATTATTTGGGAAGAAACAAAACAAAAATAATTATCAAAAATCCCAGCACGACCTTTCGAAGTTTGTTGTCACTTTTAGAATTCAATGGAGAATTTCATCAATAACATCATCTGGATTTTCGAAACTTATCCTCTTGAAAATTCGAGAATCGGCCTTGGCAAATCACAAAATTTCTAACATAAGAAAAAATCTCAACACGCTCTTTTAGACTTTGTTGAGATGTGTAGAGATTGTTTTCAGATCTACAAGATTGGAAATTTCAAGGAGGTATTCAGGATTTCAAACTCACCATTGAAACTTCAGTGAGATCCCCAGCTACAGAAAATATTGGAAGTCCAATAATCTTTTAAATTTCTTCACGATCACCACCAGATTTTCAGTTTGACCTTCGGAGACTTTCAGAATCTCACTTGAAAATCTATTCAAGCAAAAACATCTGCTCAATCTCCCAAATTTCAATAACATCTAGAAGATCACTGTGATGTTCAAGGAGAACATCAACTCAGATTTCATTTAAAAAAAAATCTCGAGTCAAGATAGATGGAACAAATTCAATTCTTACATGTTTTTCAGGAAAAAAATTATGAAGCCGGAAAAAAAGAATAACAGAGAAGAAGCTCAATCATGTTTTTCAGGAAAAAATGAGCTGAGTTGCTACTAGAATTTTTTCTGGAACCTTCCAGGAGCACCAAATTTCAATCGATACCAAGAGAGCTTCTTGGCGGAGCATCAAAAAAACAAAAACAATATTTTCAATCAAAAATGCATTTATTCAAGTAAATTCACAAAAAAATCAAGGAAGACTATTTCCATCAAATTGATTCCAGCGAGTAAGAATTGGAATGATCCAGTTCGGGTTCGATTCTTGAACTCCTGACATTATAATATTATAATATCCGCAGAAGCGGACAAAATCAGCATCGTTTCTCACATTCATAATCATCATAAAATTCACAAACTCATCATTACTTCTTCTAACTCTCTCCATTACATTACCATATCCATTTTCGCTTGACATTGTTGCAAGAATAATTTCATAACAAGCAATTGTGCCGATTGTTGCAAAGTGAGCATATCTGAAATTATGAATTTTCAGTCTAAAACGATAAATTTCAAATTCCTAACTTTAAACGCGATTTTCAGCTTTTTAGAAAGTGTTAGACGCGCGGAAAGTGCGAAAATCGGAAAGAGCATGAAAAAATGAAGCGAAATGTATATTTTTTGATAGCTATAGATGACTAGAAGTGAAAGAAAACTCACTCGAAACTGAGACGCACGGAGCAGAAAATGAGCAAAATTTGACCTAGATGACGTTTTTCGAGGAACGATGACATCGTCTTAACAAAAAAAAATGGGCGACACATTTTCGTGTCGGGACCCGTTACCATAATAATTCAAAAATATTTAGTTGTAATAAGAGTTGAGGGAATATTATATGGACATATAGGTTATCGAGTATGACAAGTTTTTTGGAAGCATTAGTTTCACGTCAAAAGTTTGTTTTCACGTACTTTTTACACGTGGAAAATCAAAACTCCTCTAAAAATCAATATTTTTCGATGATTGATATTGGATCAGATAGATAAGATGTTTGGAAAAAAATTTGTGAACACAAACTTTTTTCTCACGTCACGTTCACCTATTATTTGACGTAATAAATCGAAATTTCTTCAAAAAAATTTTACGTGAACTGAAAAATATCACACATGCTTGAGAAAAATCAGACGGTCTTTTTGGTGTAAAATACGTCAAACTTTTTCACGTCTCAAACTTTTTTTTCACGTTTTTTCACTTTAAAACATTATAAACCGCTTCAAAATGAATAATTTTTCCTGAAAATTTGTATTTGAGGTTTTAAAGTGTGACAAATAACGTGGAATTGATAAAAAAGTCATTATTCAAAAAATAATTTTTTTGACAAAAGGTCCCCTCTTATGATTTTTTTTTTTGAAAAAAAATTTTATCAAAAATTTGAGGAGATTTCTGTCAGAATCTTTGTTTTTACGTTTTTTATGATGGGAAAACAGTGTCACCAAAAATCCAATTGAATCTGATTTTTGGTAATGGATATTTTGCGTGATAAAAAAACAGAACGCTTCAGAAGCCTTCAGAAGGCTTTCAGAGGCTTCGGAAAGCGTCGGATTCCAGATTTTCTTCAATTTAACCTTCTGAACTTCAGTGATGGAATCAACCATAAAACTTCAGTCAGACCTTCGGCATCTCAATGTTCGCATTTCAAGATCTTTAGAATCTCACATTCAAACAAGCCCATCAGCTTGATCTTCCGAACATCTGCTTGCATTTAGATGTTCAGGGAACACATTAACTTAATCTAGAGCCTTCAGAAGGCTTTTATAGGCCTCAGAAAGCGTCGGATTCCAGATATTCTTCAGTCTGACCTTCTGAATATCAGTGATGGAATCACCGATAGAACTTCAGTCAGATCTTTTTTGCATCTCAATGTCAGCAAGATCTTCAGAATCTCAAGACCACCAGCTTGATCTTCCGAACTTCTGATTGCATTTAGATGTTCAACGAATAATCTCAAGTCGAAGTTCAATGTTGGATGAAAACTTGATTTTATAAATTGTTTTTCCTCAATCAAACACATTTTAAATGAGAAAAAAAATTTATTGAGCCGGAAAATGAAAAAAAAACGCATACATAGTACAGATCTGGAGGGTCTACAAGACCAGTAAAACGAAGAAAATGGGTCTTTTTAAGACCAGGAGAAGATGGGATCAATGTGATCGTTGACAGACAAAAACTAATACGGGTCAATTGGACCAAAGTTATGAGGCTGTCCATACAGAACATGAGGAAACGAGTAAAAAAAATGCGGGAAAAAAAAATTTCTCCCAAAAAACTGGAGAACTTTGGGGTTTCGGGGAAGAATTGGGGGACAAGAAAGGGGACAGAAAAAAAAGCCTGATTTTTGGCAAAAATCGGGAAAATCTGGATGGGGGCCTACAAAAAAAATAAAAGAAGGGGATGAAAAAAGACAAGTTTGATTTTCTGGATTTATAATTCGTAGATTTTGAGGAGATTTTGAAAATGAAATAAGCACTCTACAAATTATAACTACCAAAAAATCAAACTTGGGGAACAAATAAAAAAGACGAAAAAATACGGGAAATTTTGAAAATACTAACCAACACAACAAAATACGAGCACTAGTTGCGGCGTTTCCGGCGACGATTGGTTTTGGTTGGCTTATTGGGACGCCAAGAAGAATCCGAGGTCGAATCGCTTTGAGTTGGCGCTTCTCTTCTTCGTGGTTGACGTCTGCTCTGAAAAAAAAAATCAAATAATTTCAAAACCAATGAGAGAAAATCAAACTAACCGAAGACTGGGTTCGATCAACACGCATTTGCCCAAATCGCCGAAAACGTTCCGACAATTCGCAATCTACCTCGTCTTGACGAGGATTAGAAACCATGAGCACAGGTGGCTGAAATAATTAAATTGTTGTTTCAAATGCAAATTCATTTTTTTTCTGTGGGCCAGGGGGAAAATCGAGATGTTTTTTGAGTTTTTTGGACCCCAAATTTTGATTAAAAAAACGTACCCTCTCATAATCCGCATTGGAAGTTGTTGAGCGATTTCGGTGAAGTGAGCGAGGGCGTGGGCGAGGTGTTGGAACCGATGGAACACGAGAAGTTGTTGATGGAGCAGCTGATCTTGAGCGGAATGAATTCTCGCCAGCTCGATTTGGTTGTCTTGATGTTGGGCGACGATCTTCATGAGAATAATTCGAATCATCATCATCATCGGTGCTCGGAGAATTGCGAGAAGATGTTCGAGAAGATGTTCGAGATTCTGTGTTTCGACTTGTTGATCGGCGATTTGGAGAATCATGCCGATAACTTTCGTCGGCGTCTTCGTCATCCGTTGCTGATGATCCAGTAGTTGCGGTTGTTCCGGTTGTTGAAGATCCAGAATTTCTCGAAGTTCCTGATGAACTTTCACTGCTCGTTTGTTGTTGTGGAGCTGGACGAGTTGTTCCTCGTGGTCTGCCAACTGGTTTTCGATTCTTCGGAGCCGGTTTCTTCATAACTGCTTTCTTCTCCACACTCTTCTTTTTCTTCACTAATCCAACGATTTTCCCAACGATATTTTTCGTAACTTTCGGTGGCTGAAATACATGAATTTTGAACTTATGAATGTTTTCCATGAGATTTGAAAAATGTTCAGACTTTCAAGGCTCCCAAGGTTTTCAATATTTTCGAATTTTTCTAGGCTCACTACATTTCAAGAATGAAAATAAACTAACTGTAGGCGGGCAGAATCGCGGTCCCACTGAATTTCTTGGAAGACCGCGCCGTTGTCTATCCGCGGCGATAGCATCTCGAGATTGCTGCGTTTGTGATCGCGTGACGCGGATATTCGAAGGAGGAGAGGGAGATCTTCTGGATACATTAGATCGCGATCTTCGCGTTCCAGGACCTTGTTGTTGTGGTTGTGGTGGTGGATGTTGAGGAGCAGGAGTCGAATTTGATCGGCGAGGTCTACCTCTCTGAAAAATAATGAAAATTATTCAAATGTCTTTTTTTCCTGAGAGATTTTTAGTTCGAAATCCCCCTAAATTTTGATTTTCAAAAATCAGATTTTTAAAACTTAAATCTAGAAATTTTTATTGATTTTTAATTCTCTGGAATTACAGTTTTTATGGTTCTTTACATTTTGATATTCCTTATTTTTCATGGATATTTCTAGAAGCTTTTGCAATTTCAGAAGGATCTAGCTGATTTTTTTAGAGTTTATAAAAATTCCTATAAGTCAGAGAAAAATTCCACGAGAGCTGAGAATTTTCTAGAAGCTGGGGCAGATTCTGAAGGCTTTGGATCATTTCCAGAAACTTAAAGAAGTTAAAAAATCTAGGATTTTTCTAAAATCTCGTGGTAATTCGCTCAAAAAAATTCTATCAGCCAGAGTGAAAATCTACGAGGTTTAGGGTAATTCTAAAAGATTGTGCAACTTCTGAAGGTTTCGAGAGATTCCTAGAAGCCCAACAAAGTTCCGATAATTCAGAGAAAAATTCAACATGAACTTAGGTTTTTCTAAAATTATGGACGGCATCTGGAGGTTTTTAGAGATTGCTAGAAGCTTGAAAAATTTCAGATGAATCAGACAAAAAATCTACTAGGTTTGGGCTTTTTCTAGAAGCTCGTGTTATTTCTGAAGGTTTTGGGATATTCCTAGAAGCCCAAAAAGATCTTATAGGTCAAAGAAGAATTCAAGAATGACTGAGATTTTTCTATAAGGTATCTGAAGGCTTTGGGAGATTCCTAAAAGCTCAGGAAAGTGCCTAAAAACCAGAGAAGTAGATTCTGAAGGCTCAAAAAGACATCTAGAAGTTCAGCGGAAAAATCAACACGGTCTGGAATTTTTATGAAAGTTTGTGCTAGTTCTGAAGGCTCTGGGTGATTCCTAAAGTCTAAGGAAAGTTTCAAAAAGTCTTGAAAAGGTTAAGGATTTTTCTAAAAGCTCGGGTTAATTCTGAATGCTTAGGAAGATTCCTAGAAGCTCAAAACAAGTTTCTATCAGTCAGAAAGAAATCTACAAGACCTGAGGATTCTGAAGACAAAAGGAAACATGAAGAAAATCTAGAGTATTCTCTCCAGCCCGGAAAATATCTGAAAAACCTGGGAGATTTCTAGAATCCCGGGAAAAAATTCTATAGGCTCTACTAGTGAAACTTAAAAAATTATTAAAAACTGTAACTCCAGAAAAAAATCAACTAAAAATTTTGAAATTAAATCATCAGAAAACAAAAATGAACCAGATATATCAGAATAAAAATCGAAAAAATCAATATAATTTTAACAGCAGATCAATTCAAAAAATCTTGAAATTTTTGTTGATTTTTAAGCCTCTGGAATTACAGTTTTTATGGTCCTTTAATTTTTGATAACAGTTTAAACATTTCGACTAAGGTCAGGCTTTTTCTAGAAGCTCGTGAAATTCCTGAAGGTTTTGGATTATCCCCAGAAACTCAAAAAAATTTCTATGAGTCAGAGAAGAAATTTAATAGATTTTAGGGCTTTTCTAAAAGTTCGTGCAAATTCTGAAGGCTTTAGATTATTCCCAAAAACTCAAAAAGGCGTCTTAAAGCGAAAGAAAAATCCAACAAAGTTTGGGGAATTTCTAGATGCTCCTGACAATTCTGAAGGCTATGAGAGATTCCTACGACCTCATGAAAGAACCTAAAACAGAGGAGCAATCTATAAAGTTTGAAGGTTTTCTAGTAGGTTGGTCAGATTCTGAAGGCTCAAAAAGACATAAAAAAGTTCAGTGAAAAAATCAACACGGTCTGGAGTTTTTATGAAAGCTCAGACGAATTCTTGAAGCTCAAAAAATTGTATATAGGTCAGAGAAGAAATCTACAAGATCTAGGAGTATTTCTCGGAGCATTGGGTAAATTCAGAGGACTTTGGAAGGTTCCTTGAAGCTCATTAAAGTCAGAGGAAAAATCTAGAAGATCTACGGTTTTTCTGAAAGCTCGTGCTAATTCTGAGGTTTTGAAAGAATTCTAGGAGTTCAAAAAAGTTGACATAATTCAGGGAAGAAATTTACTAGGTATCGGCTTTTTCTAAAAGTTCGTGCTAATTCTGAAGACTTTGGAAGGTTCCTAGTAGCTCGAAAAAAGTTTCTATAAATCAGAAAATGAATCTACAAGAACTGATGTATTTCTAGAAGCTTGGGCAAATGTTGAAGCCAAGAGGAAACATGAAGAAAATCTAGAGTATTCTCTCAAGCCCGGAAAATATCTGAAAAACCTAGCAGATACCTAGAAGCCTGTGAAAAATTCAAAAGGCCCTACTAGTGAAATTAAACTTAAAGAATCAATAAAAACTGTAATTCCAAAAAAAAAGGAAAAAAGCAATCAAAAAAATTCAGAAAAAATCAGCAGAAAAAATAAAATGAAAATTCAGACGAAAAAGCAGAAAAAATCAGACAACAATAATCAACCAGAATTTTTTTTTGACACGTCTTCAATAAATTCAAATTCAAAATTTTAATGCCAAAAACATATCATAAAAATTAGTTTGTAAAGAGAAATTGGAATTCATCAAAATTATAGTTAGATTTTTTTGAAAAGTTTTTTCTTGAAAGCCAAAAATGTTTAAAATTTGAGATGTTTCGAATAAAAATTTTAAGATCAAATTTTTAGAATATAACAGAATAGATGATAAAAATTCAGCCGAAAAATAAAATGAAAATTCAGACGAAAAAGCAGAAAAAATCAGACAACAATAATCAACCAGAAATTTTTTGAGGTTTTTTTCCGAAAAGTTTTCTAAAAATTTCAAATCAAATCAAAATTCATCGAAATTATAGTTAGAAGTTTTTTCTTGGAAGCCAAAAATGTTCGAAATTTGAAAATTTTTAAGATCACATTTTCAGAAAATAACAGAATAGATGATAAAAATTCAGACAAAAAATCAGCAGAAAAAATCAGACAACAATAATCAATCAAATTTTTTTTTGACACGTCCTCAAAAATTTCACATTCACATTTTCAGCGTCAAAATTATATCAAAAAATTCAGTTTCTAAAGAGGAGTTTTTGGCGCCAAGAATTTGGATATGAAATTATTTGATAACGTGTTGAAAATTGGCGGGAAATTTAGATTTTTCAAATTTACAACACAGCTTCTAATGCTAACATGTTTTGCGCCTAAAATACCACTGGAAAAAAATGCTCGCGATAATTCCACTAAAAGTGTTAGTAATATTAATACACGTAGTACCTGAGAGTATGAATTCAAGTCAATCTCTTACTTAAAATAGAATTCGGTTTGAATGAAGTCAGATAATAAATTGTGAAAATGATAAAATAAGAACACGACTCTTTATATTTTTCGATCAACTTAATTAAATTCATAGACTTCAATTAGTGGTCAAACATTAGACTTTGAAACAGTTCTGTGATTTTCAAAATAACCGTGTTCAACCCAAATTTATTCTAAAACCCTACCCAAAAGAACATTATGTGACTTGTATTATGATTAAATTATCTAATCTGCGACCAAATCTCAGCGTGATAAAACACGTTCAGGTTTCACTACAGGCAAAAGTTTCATTCACTCATTATTCGCGCACATTTCTATAGCAATACTGTTTTCAAAATTCAAAATTTCAAAATTTCCCGCCAATTTTTTGAACATGTCAATGAAATTTTGTCAATTCAGTGATTCACGATATGAAAAAAGTGAAGCTAAAACCCATTTTAGTGTCTAGAAATGCTATTTCAAGACCGTCTAATCAGCCTAGAACAAAAGTCAAGCCTCACATCTCCAAGAAAAATGAAATTTGTGTTTTTCGAAACAATTCGAAGAATTTCGAATATTTTCGAAATGTTTCGAAACGTTTCGAAAATCATCAAATTGATTTTGAAAGCTTGATGTGTCTTTTAGACTCATTGAAAGAGCCTGGGATCTCATTTCTGAACACTAGAATGCGTTTTTGTGTCCAGAAATCTTATTTCAAGACTTTCTAATCAGCCTGTGATGCTTGATTCGTTTTTAGGCTGATTAGAAGGTCTTGAAATAGTATTTCTGGACACTGAAACGCATTTTTGTGTTTAGAAATGCTATCACAAGACCTTCTAATCAGCCTGAAAGACCAATCAAGCCTCACAAGTCCCGAATAATGAAATTGGTGATTTTCGAAACATTTCGAAACATTTCGAATATTTTCGAAACGTTTCGAAAATCATCAAATTGATTTTGAAGGCTTGATTTGTATTTTAGACTCATTGGAAGAGCTTGGGATGTCATTTCTATACACTAAATCCCAAAACTTGAAAGAAAATTCATGACTTTTATCAAAAAATGGATCTAAAACTGGTTTTCTCAAGAAAAATTTTCATTTTTGGTTTCAAAAAGGGTTTTCAAACAGAAAGTTCGATATCAAAGTTGATTAACAAAATTTCACTGACATGTTTATGTTTTCCTTAACCCTCAAATAAACTAAACTAACCTTTGCTCCTGTTGATGACGGGGCGGCGGCGGCTGACTTCTTCGGCGGCATCACAAGACAATCCAAAAACAATCGCAAAAAGTGGCCAAAGTCGGGCGAAAAAAGTCGAACACTGACTGAAGTGCTGAAAAAACAATTCTTTAATCACAAATTCATAAAAGAAACAACGAAAAAGAAAAGAAGAAGCAAAAAAAACCAACAAAAATGAGCGAAAATGAGAGAAAATGAAAAAGTGAAGTGATTTTAGGAGAGTGAAAAATATTTTGTAGGATAGGCGGCGTGGTTTGGGTCTCGAGTGGAAGACCGCAGCGGCGGAAATTCAAATCGAATTATTTGGGCGGCAATTTGAATTTGAATATTTTATAAAGAGATGGAATGAATGAGAAGGATTCAGATGACACATGGAGGATTCAGAAGGCCTATGGGGGATTCTGAAGGCCTATGGGGGATTCAGAAGGCCTATGGGGGATTCTGAAGGCCTATGGGGGGATTCTGAAGGCCTATGGGGGGATTCTGAAGGCCTATGGGGGATTCTGAAGGCCTATGGGGGGATTCTGAAGGCCTATGAGGGGATTCTGAAGGCCTATGGGGGATTCTGAAGGCCAATGGGGGATTCTGAAGGCCTATGAGGGGATTCTGAAGGCCTATGGGGGATTCTGAAGGCCTATGGGGGGATTCAGAAGGCCTATGGGGGATTCTGAGGGCCTATGGGGGATTCTGAAGGTCTATGGGGGATTATGAAGGCCTATGGGGGATTCTGAAGGATTCAGAAGGCCTATGGGGGATTCAGAAGGCCTGTGGGGGATTCAGAAGTCCTGTGGGGGATTCTGAAGGCCTGTGGGGGGATTCAGAAGTCCTGTGGGGGATTCTGAAGGCCTGTGGGGGATTCAGAAGGCCTGTGGGGGTGTTCTGAAGGCCTATGGGGCTTTCAGAAGGCACATGAAGGATTCAGAATCCTTCTGAAATCTCGACAGGCCTTCTGAATCCTTCATGCTTCAAAATTCGACAAAACCTAATCAAAAACAAGTGAAAAAATCAACGAAAATTGAAAAAATAACTTATAGAAACAAGAAAAATGAAAAGATTTCACAGGCAGAATGTATTCTAGAACATTCTAGAAAATTCTGACATAATTTATTAGAAAAATTAATAAAAATCTCGAAATTTAATGGAAAAAAGGCAAAAAACACAGCAAACAGAAAACTATATTCAAATAATGCGAGAGGGAAGAAAATGAGGAAGCGTCAGCCAAGCGCAGTTGGCGCATTTAGTGTGCACACGAGGAAAAGAGGAAAAAACAAAAATTAGCGAGGAAAAAGTGAATATTAACTATGAAAATGAAGAAAATCGGGCATTCTGGGAGCGAAAATATATAGAAATTGTGGAGAATGAACGTTGAAAGAGTGAAAAAACAGTGCCAGTTGGGAAATTTGATGTGCACACGAGGAAATAAATGAAAAAACCAAAAAAATCCACAGAAACCGAGAAATAACCTATAAAAACAAGAAAATGAGAAGATATCACATTCAAACTACATTCCAAAAGAGTTTACTAGAAAATTGAAGAAGATTCTCGAAATTTCAAGCAAAAATAACAAAAAACACCTTTAAGTGGAAGAAAAACACCGCAAGCAGAAAACTATATTCAAATAAGGCGAGAGGGAAGAAAGGGAGGAAGGAGGGCACACAAAAAGCGTCAGCCAAGCGCAGTTGGCGCATTTAGTGTGCACACGAGGAAAAGAGGAAAAAACAAAAATGAACGAGATATACGTTGATAAAATAGACAACAAAGTGAATGAGGAATAAAACGAGCGAAACAAAACAGTATGAAAATAACGAAAATCAATTTTTTTAACACAACCGTTGGTGAAATGGAAAACTGAGTGAATGAGGAGGGAAAATGCATAAAATCACTTGAAAAAATGACGAAAATCATCAATTTTGTTAACAAAATGAAGAGAAACTGTGGAAAACGGATAACTAAATGTTCAGGAATCGAAAAACGAGAAAAAATCTTTTTTTTTGCCGCAAAAAGCCAACAAATCTTGCCAAATTCCAGCTTCAGGGGGCTTTTTTAAGGTTTCCAAGGCTTCTCAGGATTTCAAAAAGCTTCTGAACACTTTTCAAGACTACTCAATCTTTCTAAAGCCCTCTGAAGTCTTCTGAAGCTTTATCAAAGTTTTTTCAGGCTTCAATAGACTTCTAGAGGCTTCTGAATCCTTCCGAACTCTTCTAAAGTTATTTGAAGCCTTCTGAAGGTTTTTTCTTGGATATTCCCTCTCCAATAAACAATAAAAAATAAAAAATATTATAAGCCGTTTCAAAAACAGCTAAAAGTAAGATATTTAACAACAATGATTAACAACTACTGTTTATTCAAAACAAAACAAATCAACAAAACAATTACGGCAACGTATTAAAATCAAACTCGTTCCATCTGGTCAATTGAGGAATTCTGAGATGAGGATTGATTCTTTGGATGCTCTGCATGATAAATCTATACTGCTCGCAGAATCGATTGAATTGTGTCTCGTTTTCACAATCCATAACAATCAAGAAAGCAATGCCCAAATTAAAATTATCTCTTTGCCAAGGCAAGGCATTTCCAAATCCATTTGCTTGGCATCTCAACAGAAAGAAGCGCATTGTTTGAATTTGCGCGAGCTTTTTCAAAGTGAGAACCATAATGACTGAAATTTTGAAATATGATTTCGAAAAAATCAGAAAAAACACGTTAAAATGAAAAAAAAAGTGATTTTAGGCCAGAGAAAAATAATTTGTAGGGAGGTGGGCGTGGCTTGGGTCTCGAGTGGAAGACCGCAGTGGCGGCAATTCAAATGGGGAGAGTGCGGCGGCGATTTGAACTTCTTTTTTTTCCACGTCAAAGAATGATATGACTTTTTGAAATGTTTTAGCGGCGACCTCTTCATATCTACACACACACCTCGGGTACGTATACGTTAAGTCTCCATAACGTACACTTTTTGATTCTCGCACAATTGTACGTTAAGTACACCTGAGATGTCCATATGGAGACTCTCACGTGTACGTAACGGATAAAATTACGGACATAAAAAGTGTACTTGTGAAATTTCAGAATTTATTTTTAAGATTGATAATGTGAATCTATTTCAATTATAGATAAGTTCAAAATTGACTGCAATTCAATATTGCTTCAAAAAAACTTCCATTCCCCGGCATTTTTTAGCGAAACACGCTTTGGGAAATTGAAGCGCTCTGTCTACTTATATAATTCAAGCGACCGACACCTCGCGTGCTGCGCGCTGCGCTATGTTTTCCGTGTGAAGTGGGCGGGGCTTATCTTTTTTTTCTGGATTTCGCGTTTTTCTTGCAATTTTTGAGTTTTATTTGCAAATAAAAAGGTGATAAAATATGAAAATTACTGAAAATTGATGGGATATCAGTCCAGGAATGAAACTTAGACCTAATGTCGAGCAAATTTTTCTTTTTGAGTGGAAAATGAAGACAAAAATGGCCAAAATTGTATAGAAACAATTAACTAGGAAAGAAAAAGTACTGAAATTATGAAAGAACTTATCTATAAGACGTAGGATGGAAAATTTATAAAAATGAAAATGTATTTTTTATAGGTTACAAAAAATGTACTTAACGTATACTTTATGGAGATGAAAAAGTGTACGTTATGGAAATAATACATCTCCGTTACGTGTACTTTTCAAAAAGTCTTTCCGATTTTCGAATTGAGTTTTTGATTCATTCTTTGACATCACAAACATTGAGAAAACAACGAAAATTAAGTTTTTCGAAAAACCTCCAATGATTTATCAATTTTTGCCAAGTCTACTTTACGGATGAAAAATATACACGTTACGTCCACTTTTCCAAAATTTCAACTTTCACCATAAATTTATTCGAAATGGTCTCGAAACCTCGCGAAAAGTTGTTAAACTAACTCCCAAGCTCATAAGGGACAGATTTAGTCCAAAAAAACAGTCAAAATCTTCCATGAAATTTTACACGTTTTGTATCCGTTGAAAACACGTATACGTTATGGACAAAAAAAAGTATACGTTATGGATAAAGTATCCCTAACGTATACCTAAGGTATACGTAGCCTAGGTGTGTGTGTAGGCAATTCGGAAGAGGGGAAGGGGTGAACCAGTTAGTATAGAGGTTAGAGTGTCTGCCTCAGTGGTGGGAGGTTGAGGGTTCGACCCCCGGTGGGAACTAATTAAAAAAAAATTTTTTTTTCAGGGATATGTGTGGTTGGAATCACGTTGGTTGCGAGTTTCCTATAATAGAAACTTCATTTTTTTGAAAACTTTTCGAACACAGGGTCAGTGCTTTCAAATTGTGATAACTGAGCATTTGTGAAAGTTTTCATAACAATGTTTCAATATTAGAAAACACAAAAAATCCTGTTTGTCTGCGTCTCTTCGAAGAAACCACTCTCTCGAAAGAGAGAAAAATAGCACACTTTTTTTTGATTTTCCAACAAACTTCAAGCTGTCGAAAATTCTTATGAGTGAAATTGCACACTTTTTTTGATTTTGCGAATTTTGTGAATTTTCATAGTTAATTGTGTACATGCTCTCCAACTAGTAGCGTTTGAAAAAAATAATTTCAGTTTGAAGCCACGCCCACCTCCCTACAAATTATTTTTCTCTCTCCTAACAAGGGAACCTTTTTTACTCAACACTTCAAATCATGATGAAATTTTGTCCAGAGACAGCTTTTGGGGCCATAAGAACACCCTAAAAATTTTAGTCTCCCAATGGACCTCTGAGCCAAGTTCTGGGCTCTTAAAAGTTCAAAAATTGCCAAAATTGGCTCATAAAACACGTCATAACTCTATTTTCAATCAATTTTATGAAAAACTGAGTAGCAGATGATGATCAGCGTGGTCGATTTACCCAAAAAACATCAATAAATTGAATTTTCAGAAAAATTTTTGATTTTGAAAAAAAGAATGAGCAGGGGCACATATGAAATTTCATGAATTTTCAGCCGAAAAATAAAAAACTTCAAAATTTTTCGAAAAAATATTTTTTATTGATTTACTTTTAGGTAATCGACCATGCCGATCAATATCTGAAACTTTATTTCTCCCGAAAAAAATTTTGAAATGGAGCTATGATGACTTTTATGACCGTTTTCAGGCCTTTTTTGAGTTTTCGAGAGCCCAGAACTTGGCTCAGAGGTCCATTGGGAGACTAAAATTTTTAGGGTATTCTTATGGTCCCAAAAGCTGTCCATGGACCAAATTTCATCATGATTTGAAGTGTTGAGTAAAAAAGGTTCCCTTGTCAATTTTCTCGGCGTCCTTTTTCCTGCAACCAAATTATTGATCGAAAAAGGCGTGTTTATTTCCCCCGTCCCCTTTCCTCGAAAAAAGCGGCAGAGAAACGGGTGAGGAAAAAGGAAAGAGTGAGGAAATATGAGAGAGCGGGAAGAGAAAAGAGTCTAGGCTAGAGGAAACCCTCTCGCATACCTCATCCCACACTTGACTGAGTATCAAATGTTTAGTGTGTGTGTGTTTCGGCAGCCAAATTTTTCGCGCCATTCCAAATCATTGGCGTCCTTTTTTTTGGTATTCCTCTTTTTTTGTTGATATTTTTTGAAAAATTGTTGTAAATTTGTATTTTTTTTTTGAATTTTTAGAGGTTTTTTGTGATGTAAATCTATATTTTCACAAGCTTTGTGTTGTATTTCAGAAGTTCTCCTTTCTTTATAAAATTAAATGTGATTTTCTTCCCAACAAATTGTCTTTAAAATTCTCAATTCTACATATTTCTATGCTCTGTTACTGAAATAAAAAAAACAATTTTCAGAGTTTCCGCTAACTTGGAATTCGCCCAAAACTGTTATCAATCCACAGTTCAACCACACTTCTCGTCGAATTTCCGTTGGTGTTCCAATTGTTTGTGCAAATCGAGAATTGAGTCCAAAAAAGTGGGTTCACATTTTTCAGAAGCTGAAAAAGTTCAAAATCTGCCAGAATTTTGTATAGACACAACACACAAGCGAGAGACGCAGACAGCAACTTTTTTTTTCTAAATTCTAAAAAGTTCGATTCAGACACCTTCAAAAATAGGTCCGAGTCTATAATAAATAAAAAAAACCCGTGTGTTTTTGAAAATACGCAAATCTGTTTTTTACAGCCGCCGCCAAATCATACACTATTCAATATGCCGCCGAAATCAATTAGAGGAAAAGTTAATGAAAGAGCCACGTCATCAAATGTCAATAATCCTGCAATTCCTGGTGTTGAAGAAGAAGATGACGATGTGACGTTTTTATGCGAAATCGAGAAGCCCAAAATATCCGACAAAAATAAGGTAATTTTTATTTTTTGGTTGAAAATCTGAAAACAAAAGAAAATTTGTTCAAGATTTTTTCAGTTTTTCAAAATCTAATTAGTAGCTCCAAAAAAAATGATTTTTTGCCACATTTTTGAACAAAAACAAATTTTTTATTCGACTTTGTTCATGAAAAAATAGATAAAAAATGCTGATGAATGATAATTTTAATTTTAGGAAGAAGAAAGCAACAAAGATGAGTCAGAATCAGATGAGGAAGAAGAGGAATCGGAGGATAATGATGAGGAAGATGAGCAAGAAACAAGTGAGGATGAAAAAGAAAAAGAGAATGAAGAAAATACGGAGGAGAGTTCAAAGGATTCTTCAATTCAAATTGTCGAGTTGGAGGATGATACAACAGAAGATGTGAAAGAAAACGAGGAAGAAAATAGTATTGAAATTGAGGAAAGAGAGGAAGAGGCTGATGTGAGTTTTTAATTCAAATCTAATCGCAAAAATTAAATTTTTTAAACTGATGGATGTTTCTTAAAAAAAATAAACACGTAAAAAAAAATTTTGTCCCAAAAATTAAATGTTGAGAAAAAGTGACACCGTTAATTTTGGAATCCTGACACAAAGATTCTTGGAAATTAAATACAATGTTCAATTCAAATTCCCCCTGAAATTTCAATAAGAATAATTGTTCGATTTCAATTTTCAGGTTCCAACGACAAGTAGAAAAAGAAAGAGATCTTCTTCTGTTGAATTTCTCGGATTCTTTCCATCAAGCTCGTCGAATTCTTCCACAATGGCGCCAAAAAAGGCGAGAAAAGGTGAAACTGAAAATGAAAATCCGGTTGATGCTCGAGGACATCAAGAAGTAGAGGAATTGGATTCCGATGGCGATGAAGGGGAGGAAGATGAAGAGGATAATGCCGAATTTGTTAAGGTTAGTTATTCTGAAGTGAATTGTTTCCATGAAAAATTTGAATTTTTTAGACTTTCCTGAAGAGGCAATTTGCCCAATGTCCGTATGTATTCCGAAATCTCCGACACGTATCCGAGCTGCTGGTCAGTTTTTTTTTGAATTCAATTTGTTTCATAAAAAAATATAAATCATTTCAGGATTATGTGATTTGTTATTTGAAAAAAGACAAAGAACTTTACTATAAAGTAACACACAATGTTGAAGATCTTATCGATTGGTACAACACAGAATTCCTTGTTGGCTACAAAAATTGGATTAGCTTCATCAATGATCCGGAATTTTCAGGAATCGAAAATATGACTGCGAATAAATACAATCTTGAATACCAAGGTAAGCATCGGCGGAATGATTTTTGCAACATTCAAATTTTTTTCAGTGAATGGTTCCATCGTCGAACAACCAGTAGATGCTCATCCAGTGATTTTTCCAACACATGTTAGACAGCGACTCGTCGCAAAAATTCGTGAAGAACACGAAACAAGGGAAAATCGGCGATTGGAAGAGGAAAGATTGGTTAGTTCTAACCAGGGGGGATGGTTTCTAGAATTTTTTCAAAAATTACTCGACATTTTTTCTATCACATTTCGATTCAGTAGTTCATTCTGAAAATAAACTGCAATTTGAATTCTCAGAAATTCACAAGCTTTTTGAAATTTCGCTGAACACCCAAAGTTCACAATCTACAAAGAATCCAAATATTTTATAACTCTAATATTTTCAGATGTTCCATAGATTCTATGAACATCAAAGACAAATGTTCATCGAGCAATTAAGAAGAAGCCGCGAAAGATGGGAGCAATATATGCAAGGTCGCCGTTTCTAAATCATTCTTCCTCTCAAGTCCCTTAAATTCTCCAAAAACCTCCCGATTTTCTGTCATTTGTACTGTACTCTTGGTTTCAATATCTTCACCCAAACGGATTTTTTTAATTCTTGTCACCCCATTTTTTTGTTGTTCAAATCGGTTACAGTGACCTTTTCCCACTGGAACCGATGTTTTCTGTATTTGTTTCAAACTTTTTCTTGTCCCCCAAATTTTTATTTTTTAATTTTTTTAAACCCCACTTTTACTTTTTTTTGATCGGTCTTGGTGACTTGACACCACCAAGATCGAATTTGTTTCAATGATTTTATTTCCATTTTTCCCCGGTTTTGGTGACTTGACACCACCAAAACCGAATTTCCCTGTGATTTTTTCTCCCTTTTTTACCAAAAAAGTACAAATTATGTTCTAAATACATTTATGGTATCCGGTTTCTACCAATTTTGTTGTCTCAAATCCCCCCCCAAATCAAGTTGTGTTTTACTTTATTTTACAATTTTTATGATGAATTTTTTGCTCCATTTTTTGTACTGACAATTTCAAATTTAAAAAAAATAGGATTGTTTCCAATGTTAATTTTCAGAAAAAAAGATAAGGTGAGCAGATTTCTTGAATATTATGTTTCATTTTTGAAACAGACAGGGTTTCGGTGTGCTTGTTAGTGAAGAACAAGTGGCTCTTTTTCTATAAATGACATAATTCTAGTGTCATAAACTCATTGCCAGTGGAACTGAAAACGAGTTCCAAACGAAATCCTCAAAAATTCGTTCCTTGGAATTCCATTGTAAACCAACGGGTGTTCCAATAAAGGTAAACAGGAACTACGCGCTTTGAGTTACAATCGAATTCTCGCCATTCTTCATCGCCAACTTCATCGCCTCAAATGCCCTTACCAAGCTCTTCCCAATTTTCGCCGCTTTTGTTTGAGCCCGATTAGGTGTTTTTTATTTGTAATTTTTTATTGAAAAATCAACGTGTGTTAGTACATAAAAAGTTTTGTTAAGCTCGAATTCAAAAATAATGCATTGTAACTTTGGAATTTTTCTCGTTGAATTTCTCAGATTTTTTTCTCGTTCCCACAGTTCAGACTTCCGTTTATTCTTCAGTTTTTCTGCCAGATATTCACCAATTCGTGTGACTCAAACTTTGGAGTTCAATTTCATGTGCTCAAAGTTTCTGCAGCCGGATTGATTTTATACATGTTCATTAATGCATCTCAAAACAAATTTTGAGCTCAAAACTCGATGGCGACTTGAAAATATTCCCTTGTCAAAAAATTTTTCAGCGTTTTCAAAGTGTGATTACTGAACACTTTTGAAAATGTTCTCTAAAAAATTTTAAATTTTAGAAAACACAAAAAATCATGCATCAAACCAAACAAAAAAACAACCGTGAAGATAATTTTTTATCTGGAAAACGACAGAAAAAAAAACTCAAAAAGCTAAAAAAAACACCACCACAAGGGTGGGAGAAAATAATCTCTATGTGTCTGCGTCTCTTCAAACAAACACACTCTCTCGCCACCCAAATGTTTTCAAGTTTTTTTTTAATTTGTGTTTCAAGGAGCTGTTCTACATAGATTTTGAAAAATCCCTGTTTTCAATAAGCTAAAATTTTTATTCTTGTTTCCAATTTTTTCTGAAGCTTGAATAATTTTCCCGATTTTCTATTTTTTCAGTTTATTTCATCCTTCCAGAATTTGAAAATCCTCCACAGTTTCGTTTAGCTTTTCTCTATTTTTTAATATATACAATTCCAGCAAAAATAAGGGTTTTCAGACGATTCTTCAAAGAAAAACCAAAAATTTAGGGAGGCGAGAGAGTGAAGAGACGCAGAGAAACATACACACACATACACCTCCTGCATTATTCTCGCACCCTTGTGTTGCAGTGTTTTTTTTGTATTTCCGGGGGGTTTTTTGTTTTGTTTTCATTCGCGGGAGCTTATTTTGAATTGCTGTTTTTTTAGTCTTGTATGATTTAAGTTATCTTCTCGTTTTGCATAGGTTTTTGTGTTTTTTTTTAAATTTTTTTGGTTCCTTAACAAAAACTACAATTTTGTGGTTAATTTTCATGTTGAATCCCTGTTTTCTTTCAATTTGCAAGTTTTTTTGTGAAACTCTTTAATCTTACGCTAATTTCTGTATATCATACAGGATTCCATTATTGCTTGTCTTTTCTTTTCCGCTTGTAAGTCCTCTCAAAACTTGTGGAATAACGTGTTTCTCATTTCGATGCTTCTAGAGTTTTTCTAATTTCATTGTCAGTTTAGATTTTATATTTGTCGAAATCCAGAGATTGTATTGTACAAATTTCAGTTTATCAAATACTCCAAAATATTTTCAAACAATAAAATCTAGTTCTCTTCGCATTTTTTCATTTTTGACTTATTTAAACTCTCTTCCTTCTTCCAGCAAGACATTTTCATTTTCACATTCAGGAATCCTCTTTGTGTCAAGAGAGCTAAGCGCGCTCTATTGAACTCGAATATTCGCTGCGCAGCAACACACTTACTCTGCGTCTCTCTCACAATACTCTGCTTCTCTTTACTTTTTTTCTCGGAGTGATTTGTCATCATTTTATTTTTTTCAAATTTCGTTAACTTTTTTTGACGGGTTAAAATCGTATAACTTTTCCTTTTAGACTTTAATTGGTTTTTTTCAGGTAATTAGCCAGTATCATTTGCGATTGCCAGTCAGAATGGACACCGATCCAAATGTTCCACCGCTCGCCACTTGGGAGCATGTGATTTATAAAAATGCGCATGAAGCTGTTGAAAAAGCACAAGAAATTGTTAAGGTTAGTTTTTTTAGGCTTCTGATATATTAATCCCCAGAACAAAATATTTTTTACGCAGGTTTTGGACTATCGCTTCATCCACCATTTCCCGATGTCCGATGTTAGAGCCTTGTCTCAATTGTCAAGAAAAATCTACCAACAAGCCAATGAACTTGACATACTTTTGGTAAGAAGTTTTAGGATAAATATGGAGAATGAAGAATAATTTTTTCAGGTCCGAGTTCATTTGATGCTCGAAAATTCTCAACAAAATGCCAATCATGGTGAACATTCCGATCGAGTTATGATGGAGATTGGAACCATCCGCAACGAAATGTTAGAGGTAATTTTTGGGCTTCATAGGCTCATAAGGCCTAAAAAAAACTCAGAAACATTCTTAGTTTCTTTCAGAATTGGAGATTGTTCCAGTCAAAAGATCAACACTTCTTCAATTTCTGAGTTGGACTCAAGCTGCTCATGTTAAACCTGTTAAACCTGTTATTTTTTATAGGGAATTGTTGATTTTCCCCTGTTAAGTTTTTTTATCCCTGTTACCCGAATGTTTTCCCAGATTTATTGAAAATCTATTTTTTCCCGCACTTCTAGGTCCTTGCTAAAAAAAGTTCTCTGAACTTTTAAGCAAACTGTTATTCCCGCAAAAACTGTTATCAATATTAATCAATTCAATAAACTGTTACATTTTAAAAACAAATCGATTTTTTTTTCATTAAATGTACTCTGAGCGAAGCTCTAGAAAATTTCTTTTTTTTTTTAACACTGTTAAAAAAAACAAGAAAAATTTTATTTTCAAAAATTGTTCGATGACGTCATGGCAAAATTAGAAACCGTTCCTGATTTTGCCACGAGTCATTTTTTGAACGAAAAACTTGAAATTTTCTATGAATTTGTCTTCAAACGAAAATTTCATTTTTTTTTTGAATTTTTTCAACAAAAAATTAAAATTTCGGTTTTTGTTGAATTTTTTGAAATTTCTGACAAAAATACCCGCCCGAATGAAAATTTCGATTTGAGCGGGTAGCTGACAAAAATTCAAAAATGTTGATTTTCGTCTATACAGTCAACAAAAAAAGTTACAGATTTGGAATAATCCAAAAATGTAAAAATGAAGCCGATGAGTTGGGACCTAAATGACACTTCCTCTCAGGCTTAGGCTTAGTAAGTCACCTAGAAGAAAAAAATCGGCCCGAGTTTTTTCTTGTTATCGAAAAAAAATCGGCCCGAGATTTTTTTATTCATCGAAAAAAATCGGCCCGAGTTTTTTCTAGTTTTCGAAAAAAAATCGGCCCGAGTTTTTTTATTTATCGAAAAAAATCGGCTCGAGTTTTCTTTGTTATCGAAAAAAATCGGCCCGAGTTTTTTCTTTTTTTTTTAATTCAAAAATTTTGATTTTCGTCTATACAGTCAACAAAAAAAGTTACAGATTTGGAATAACCCAAAAATGTCAAAATCATGTTGCTTATGAAGACAGCGAAGAATTGTCTCAGAGTGTTATGCTCATCAAACTTGCGACAAAATGCTGGCGATTACAAAATCAGATTGTGAAGAAGGAGGATTTTTGCATTAGAAAAGGAAAATGAAATTGAGACAACAACAAATATATCAATGGAAGATGGGAATGGATCAACTCAACAAAATGGAGCCGCGATTTTTGAAGGGATATTCTACTCACAACACATTATTGGCTTCTTGGAATGTTTTTTGTTTCGGTCGCGTTTTTCCAGGTATATTTTTGAAAAATGTGTTGTTCCACAGCTATTTCCATCCTTTCTACCTTTTTGTTTTGTTTGTTTTTCTTTTAACCACGCCTTTCTCGATCAATAAATTGGTCTGCAGATGTGTCTGCGTCTCGTTTGTTTTTCTCTCTCTCTCTCACACACACACATGCCACCTTTCTTCTTTTTCTTCTTTTCTTTTGTTTTTGTTTGTTTGTGTTTTTTCTTTCCTAACCACGCCTTTTTCAATCAATTTATTGGTTTTCAGGGAAAAAGACGCCGAGTAAAGGGAAATCGAAGATGATTCAAATGAATGGAGCAAATTATGGACATCGACAAAGTTTCCCAGGTAAATTTAATGATATTTTAGTTCGGCAACACAATTTTCTCGTTGGTTAATTGGTATTTTTACAGGGAAATGGCGTCGACAAGAGGATTCTGGAAGGAAACGAGAAGAATGAGAACAGCAAAGATATCGAATTGTCAGGACGACCAAGGATTTCACAGAAAACACGGCGATCTGAAGAGTTTCAATATTTTCAATGGCTGAGGATTTGCAAACACAGGAAAAAAACGCCAACAAGTACATATTCAAGTTTTTTAAAAAAAGATAAGAAGAAACAACAACACCGATAGAGAAATCAAAAGATTTTTTCTGGTTCAATGTTTGGACAACATTGTGTTGGATGAAAATGAATTGGAAGGTTGAGCGATTCGAAGGATTTTGCTATTCTCAGGTAATTTATATTATAATTCAATTCGGCCAAGCTATATTCCCGTTGGTTAATCGATATTTTCTCAGAAAACTGGCGTCAAGAGGATTTTTGCTTTCGAGTGAACGATCAAGAGAAAAAAGAACAACAATTGAAATATTCGAGGATTTTGCATATGAAAAGGAAAATGAAATCGAGACAACAACAAATGTATCAATGGAAGATTGGAATGAATCAGCTCAACAAAATAGAGCCGCGATTTTTGAAGGGATATTCCACTCACAACACATTTTTGGCTTATTGGAATGTTGTTTGTTTCGGTCGCGTTTTTCCAGGTATATTTTTGAAAAATGTGTTGTTCCAGCTATTTTCATCCTTTCTACCTTTTTGTTTTGTTTGTTATCCTTTTAACCACGCCTTTCTCAATCAAAATTTCACCTTTTTTGGTTATTGTTATTTTTCAAAAGATCATGCGCAATCTAATGTAAGAAACACTACCTGTTTGTTTATCTGTCTATGTCTCGTCATTTCTCACACACTCTCACACACACATGCATGCCACTTTTCTTCTTTTTTTGTTTTGTTTGTTTTCCTTTTAACCACGCCTTTCTCAATCAATAAATTGGTCTGCAGGTGTGTCTGCGTCTCGTTATTTTTTCTCTCTCTCTCACACACACACACATGCAACCAAGGATGTCGTTTCGGAGCGGGCCAGCGGGGCCCCCCCCAAAAGTCAGCGGGTTTTTATGGCCCGGGTTTTCGTGAACAAATTTAAGAGGGCCCCGGGCTTTTTTGGGCCCGCTGATACCTTTAGAAGTTAATTACTTATTTTAAACTTGACAATAGTGTTTTTGACCAAAATTTTTATTATAAAATTCAAACTTAATAATAAATAGAAAAAATTGACTACCAAACAAAAATTCAAATTTTCATCATTTTACACGATTTCATGGCACATAGAGATCAACAAGAAAAATTAAAACTGGGAGGAAATAAACAAAAGACATAAATTATATTGGCGGATTTATAAAACAAGCGGTTGATTTTTCAGCTTCATATGCTAGCAAAAGGTTTTCTAGAAAACTAGTCTCTAGATTTTCGCGATTTGGTCGATACAGAAATTTAGCATTCGAAAACGCCCTTTCTGAAGTGGCTTCTGAAACCAGTATTGAGAATACTTTCCTGGCAACTTTGTATAATTTTGGATATGTGTTTTTGTTGGCAGGCCAGAAAACGGTGAGATCAACCGAGTTTCTTTGAAGAATATATTTGCTGAATTCTTCTTGTGTTGTTTCAGGTGGTTGCTCTTCCGGAGTTGTCGCGCGCGCAATAATATCCATTGAGTCCAAATTCGCAATATTTGATTGAATAGCAACAGGTTGATCCAATTGTAAATTTGTTGAAATTGTTTGTAAAGCAATTAAAGATTGTTGATATAAATCGATGTTCATCTGAAAATTAAAGATATTCATCTGAAAATCACAGAAAATTAAACTCACATTATGATCGTCCAGAATCGCTTGATTTTTCGCATTTCTCCTCGGATCCAGATAAAAAGCAAGACAGTGTTCAGGTGAAATTATATCACTATTAACTCGCAAAACTTCCTGAGCTGATAATCCAACTTTTGCTCTAATCTATAATAATAGAATTGGAGAAAATAAAAATGTATAACTAAATTACCTCGTCGCTACTTTTGGCCAATTTACTGAAGTGCTCAACAGTTAGAGCATAAAATGGGATTACGAAATTCGTGATGATTTCGTCTTTCTGCGAAAAAGTGCACATTTTGTTGATAGGTTCCAAGCACTCTTCAATCAATTTCAAATAAACTTTATTTTCGTCCAAATATTTCATTATTTCAATTTTTTGAATTCTTCTTTTCGCGTTTTGATTGTTTTTGATTAAACCAGCCAATTTGATACTTTGATTAATAATCTCCAACAATTTACTCAAAATATTTTTTTGATTTGGTGTCATCATCGAGTTGGCATATGGTGTGAAAATTCGTCTTGCCAGAGTATTAGAAAAGTGAGCTAAACACCTTATATATCCTTGAAAATATCGCGATCCTGTGCACTGCATGTTTCTCGCGGCATCAGCCGTGAAGTACGAATTGCCTGCCTTTTCCGGTTCCCATCCATAGCTTGAAAAAGAGTTCTTCAAACATTCGTTGATATCCTTGGCTGATTTTGATTCTTCCTTATAGACGAACATTCCAATTGGGACAATCGACAGCTGCCAAAACCACGTTCCATCACCTCGATCAATATCAACTATTAAAGACACTTTGATTGAAATGAAATCGTGGCTTATCTTTCCAAAATCCACCACAACATTCACCATCGAAGTGTTAACATGATATGTCAAGGCATCTTTTATTTCTTGCTTGTAGAAATCCAATTGCGAAACGATTTCTTCTCTCACAGCGGTTCTCCCGGGAAAAATTGATGAAATAGTTCCGTCGTCGGATCTAAATTTTATGTTTTATGTCAATGTTTAATGAAAAAAAACTCACTGGCCACGCAATATGACATTCGTCAGCATTTCTCGGAGCGCCGAGTTTTCGCAAAGTGAAATGGATAAACCAGTTTTAATGATGAACGTGGCAATGTAAGATTTCATATCACTCTTACTCGGAATTATTTGTTGACATAATAACTGATTGTCTTGTTGTCTCAATTGGCACAATTCAAAGTGGCGACCTGTGTGACCTCCAGTTGCTCGAAGAATAGCAAAACATAATGAACATCTTTTATAACCCGTTGACATCAATATACCATCTTTTTCAATTTCAATTTTTTGCATATCGTCGTTTGTTGGGAAAATTTTCAAATTGTCAACATCTGTTCCGTCTAATAAATCCTGAACCCTTTCAATTGAAATATTCAGATAAGGCTTTTTTGGTTGCCTTGGTTGTCTTGGTTTCCGTGGTTGAATGGCGGTGTTTCTAGTTCTTCCCATCGTCCGATGTTTCAATTTAGATGAAACCTGGAAAATACAAAATCTGGAGGAAAACAACAATTTGAACAAATAAGTCTTCGATACAAAGAAATTATGACGTTTCTTTAGTAAAATAATGGTTACATCAATTGATGATGAATTTAGGATCAAAATAAAACTAATAAACAACGATAAACAGCAATATATGTCTATAAACTCTTTCTGTGCGCCTAAAAACTTTGAAAAAAAGAAAAGAAAACAAAAGTGTGCAATTGTGCGACAATTGTTGTGTGTGTTTTTGTGCAAACACCGCATTGTTTTATTTGAAAATCACACAGCTGAAAAAATCATAGGCGGGCCGGGCTGAGCCCGGCCTTCTTCGTTTTTTTCAAATAGAGAGGCAGCCCAGCCGGAAAATGATGATCGGGCTCTAGGGCCCACTTTTTCGTGAAAAACGACATCCCTGCATGCAACCTTTCTTCTTTTTCTTCTTTTCTTCTTTTTCTTTTGTTCGTGTTTTTTCTTTCCTAACCACGCCTTTTCAATCAATTTATTGGTTTTCAGGGAAAAAAACGACGAGAAAATGGATATCGAAGGTGATTCAAATGAATGGAGCGAATTATAGCCATCGACAAAGTTTCCCAGGTAATTTTTATGATATTTTAGTTCGGCAACACAATTTTCCCGTTGGTTAATTGGTATTTTTGCAGGAAGATGGCGACGACAAGAAGGATTTGAGGATTCTGGATGAAATGAGAAGAAAAACAACAACAAACATATCGAATTATTGGGACGATCAAGGATTTCACAGGAAAGACGGCGATGTGAAGAAATTTATTATTTTCAATCAGCTGAGGATTTGCAAACACAGAAAAACAACGCCAACAGGTACAAATTCAAGTTTTTCAAAAAAATATAAGAAGAAACAACAACACCGATAGAGAAATCAAAGGATTATTTTGGAAGATAAGATTATGAAGAAGAACAACATTGATCATTTTATTGGATAGAAATGAAGTAGAAGGTAGAGCGATTCGAAGGATTCTGATCGAATGTTTTATGCTGGTTTTGGGATGATGATTTCACCGGAAATACGGCGATTATTTTCAATAAGCTGAGGATTCGCAAACAAAGAAGAACAACGAAGCCAAGGAAATATCGTGTTCAGTTGAATTGGATGATGACAAAGGATTTTCCAGGTATTTTTATTGAATTTCAGGTTCATCCAGTTATTATTTCTGATTTATTCATCTGCTGTGAAATGATGGCAACGTGGAAGTAGGATCAGGAAGGCAGAAAAAGAAGAAAAACATCGACAAGGATACTACTGAACTTGCGACAAAATGCTGGATTGATATACTCTCAATTTCCGCCCTTCCGATGTCAAGTCAATCACGCCACTCTACATACACTGTATTGGATAAAGGACGCGTCTTTATTTATCTTCTCCCATCCTCTACAAACCTCCAGGTAACTCCTTTCACCCTTTTGGTTATTGTTATTATTTTTCAAAAGACCCTGCTCACTCCAACAAACAATACCTGTTTGTTTATCTGTCTGTGTCTCGTCATTTCTCACACACTCTCTCACACACATGCATGCCACTTTTCTTCTTTTTTGTTTTGTTTTATTTGTTTTCCTTTTAACCACGCCTTTCTCAATCAATAAATTGGTCTGCAGGTGTGTCTGCGTCTCTTTTTTTCTCTCTCTCTCAAGCACACACATGCCACCTTTCTTCTTTTTCTTCTTTTCTTTTGTTCGTGTTTGTGTGTGTTTTCCTCTCCTAACCACGCCTTTTTCAATCAATTTATTGGTTTTCAGGGAAAAGAACGACGAGCAAATGGATAGCGAAGGTGAATCAAATGAATGGAGCAAATTATAGGCATCGACAAAGTTTCCCAGGTAAATTTTATGATATTTTAGTTCGGCAACACAATTTTCCCGTTGGTTAATTGGTATTTTTGCAGGGAAATGGTGGCGACAAGAGGATTCTGGATGGAAACGAGAAGAAAAACAACGAAGAGAGGAATTGAGAGGCTTTGGAAGTAATTTGAGTGAAGCAAAGAAACAACAAGTGTATCCGTCGCCGTGAAGACTTTTCAACAGAAGAACAGCTCCAAAATGAATATTCATTCTCAGAAGATGGCAATACATTTCGTTGCTGATTGATCCAACTTGCGACAAAATCAAAGCGACAACAAGATTTCAATGTTTTCGAGTGGAAGATGAAGAGAAGAAGGAGCAGCTCAACAAAATGGAGCCGCGATTTTTGAAGGGCAATTCTACTCACAACGCATTTTTGACTTCTTGGAATGTTTTTTGTTTCGGTCGCGGTTTTCCAGGTATATTTTTATAAAATGTGTTGTTCCACAGCTATTTTCATACCGTAGATTAATCGAGATCATTTTGCAGATTGGCAAATATGTACATCTTCGACATTTTATTGGAGACTCTTTTATTCTCGACGTATTTTTGGTTTTCAACTATTTATTCACTGCTGTGATTCATCCATTTTCCAAGAATCATCCATGTTTTTCATTGTCACTGTTTTTTAAAGTGTCACAGAAAAATGGATGCTTTTTGGAAACATTATACTTTTCTCCTTCGGAAAATTATTATGGGCCTATGCAGAATAATATTTTGTAATAAAAAACATTAAAAAACATTTTTTTCCTATGCAGAAAAACGTCGAAAAAACAAAATAAAGACAACGTGAAATTGAGAGAGCGCAGACATAAAATGGGTTTTTTGTCTGCACTCTCTCAATTTCACGTTCTCTCTACTCAAAATAGTAAACTGTATATTTTGTTTTTTCGACGTGTTTCTGCATAGGAAAAAAATGTTTTTTATTACAAAATATTATTCTGCATAGGCCCATTAGGAGAGAAAGTGCGCTCTATTGCACTCGTTTCTCTCATTTCGTCATCATTGTCTCTTCCTCTTTTTTTCTCGATTTTTCGTTTTTGTCCTTAATATTACTCGTTTTTACTTAATCATGAAAACGATTGAATATAAAATGTGTTTTTTTCAGAAATACTTGGAAAAATGCCAGCTCAACTAAGAATTCGCGCCGTAGATGCATCAACTGCGAAAACCAGAGGACAAAAAGCGAAAGTTGCTCCAGTGAACAAAGTTGCAACTCGTGGAATTGCGAAAAGTGTGGCGAAAATGGCTTTGGCTGAAACGACTGCGTCAAGAAGAAGAGCCAAGAGTGTTGCACCGAAGTCTGCTGAAATGTCATCCAAAAAGCGAAAAGATGTGAGTTTTTTCTTCATTTTGCCAAAACATTTAGACGTTCTCTCAAAAAAATTAAATAACAAAAAGAAAAAGATATTAATTAAAATTTGAATTTCAGGTCGGCGAGGTCAATTCCGAAGATGTTCGAAATCAAAGAAGTTCTCGAACCCGCGGAAAAACTCCTGCTCCGAAAGCGATTTCATCATCTTCACGATCAACAGCAAAATCTGCGCAAGGATTGAAGGCGAAAAAATCGGTTAGTTGAATTTTTATCTCCAAGCTTTCAACAAAAAAATCATGGAAAAGAAGAAAATTTAGCATTAATCTGAAAAAAATTTCAAACAAAAATTGCAAAGTTTGAAATAACATAGAATATCAATAAAAATTTCAGACTCAATCGGCTTCGAAATCGAATGACGTCAAAAGATCGAGATCCAAATCGATCAACCCAAAGGCTCATGCATCAGTGCCAATTATTCATCGCCGTATACTAGTTGGAGGAATTCCTGGACCTGAAGCTTATGTTCTTCCTTCACCCGAACCAGTTGCAACTTCAACAGGAGATCAATCGGAAGATACTTCAACTTCTGCACTCTCAACGGAAAAATCTGCGCAAGGATCATCGGCAGATAAATCGGTTAGTTCAATTTTTATCTTCATATAAAGCTTTCAACAAAAATCAATCGAAAAAATAAAAATTTAGTATCAATCTAGAAAGAATTTCAAACCAATTTTAGAAGAAGAAATCATAAAGTTTCAAATTTCAAAAGGAATAATTTAAAATAAACAGAAAAAAGTTTGAAATAACTGAGATTGTAAATCAACATTTCAGGCTCAAATGCCAACGGAATCCGTCAATTCAAATGCTGTCGCAACATCAACAACAGTATCAGATGTTCCTCGTGCTATGCCAGTTGAAGGAATTCCTGGATCTCAAGCTGATGTTCCTTCTTCAACGGAACCAGTTGCAATTTCATCAGGAGACCAATCGAGTCCAGATGTTCCTTCTTCAACGGAACCAGTTGCAGTTCCAACAGGAGATCAATCCAGTCCAAATGTACCATCTTCCAGCGGACCACTTGCAATTCCATCAGGAGATCAATCGAGTCCAGATGATCCATCTTCGAGCGGACCACTTGCAATTCCACCAGAAGACCAATCGAGAGCGGATGTTCCATCTTCCAGCGGACCAGTTGCAGTTCCAACAGGAGATCAATCCAGTCCAGATGATCCATCTTCCAGCGGACCAGTTACAATTTCATCAGGAGACCAATCGAGTCCAGATGATTCATATTTGACCGGACTACTTGAAATTCCACCAGAAGACCAATCGAGAGCGGATGATCCATCTTCCAGCGGACCAGTTGAAATTCCATCAGGATACGAATCGATAGCGGATGATCCATTTTTCAGCGGACCATTTGCACTTCCATTATTTGATGTTGATCCTTCGTTCATAGCGGTTAGTTTTTTTTTGATTTATAAAGAATTCTCATCTGCAACTAGCAAAAATTACCAGTGAAAAGTATAATTTTTAATATCCAACAAAAGTAATCTCACAAGTTGATATGCAAAAATTTCAAATCATTTTCAACCGAAGTTTAAAACCACTACAGTTTTCCACAAGCCTCATGAAAATTGGAATTTCAGAATGACCCCCCTCCACAACATTTTGATGCTCCAATTCCTGAATACTTTATCAGAGAATATCAAAGACTTTTGCCTTTTACCAATCTGAAATTTATCTCATTGTTAGATATTGTAAGGTTGGAAACGCGGATGGAGTATCTGATAGACATAAAGAAACCTGATAGTTATGTACTGATGATGAAAGTCGAAAGAAGCGTAATTTTTCGAAGTTTACCAGTGGATATGATGACCGAAAATTTGGATTATATGCTCAAAAAAAGTTTATCGCACGTTGATGGGGATATATATGAAACACCAATAAATTTAACGTGAGTTTGGGTTGCGAGGGTCCTCACAAGGAAACGTTTTCAATGTTCCCTCCTGAAAAAAAGTGATACTATGCGGAAAGTGTACAGTGCGTCCAATAAAGATAGGACCCCCTAGAATTTGAGATTTCCAATGAAACGGTTATAGATGACTGATATTTGAGAATGGGAATCGTTTTTAAATCAAAAAATAACCCAGGAAACACATTCCTATGATTTGTGAGTTGTTTCATCTACACGTGACGTGAAAATGCTGATTTTCGAGCGTCCAATAAAGATAGGACCCCCCCCCCCACCAAAAAATGAGAATTAGCCTCGATTGTTATGAATATTGACTTTAGTTACCTAAATAACGATATTGACATGTGTTTTGAATCATAAAATTCAAGATATAGTTCGCTCCGAACTTCTGAATCAAAATTTCATAATTATTCAATTTTTCATCAAAAATCAGTATTTAGAAGCTAATCTTAATTGAATCACAGTTTTTATGTCTAATTTATCACTAAATTTGCATTTTGAACTATTGTTAACAAATTCCGATGTCAAATTTCGATTTTCTGATGTTTCGTTCCAGTCATGTCCACTGATCTTTTCGATTCTAACATCAAGAACAATGATTGTTTTGAAATTTTGGATCATGAATTTGCTGATTAATTGTTTGCGAGTGTTAGAAATTTCACTCCAACATTTTGAACATTTGTTATTCAACTTATTTCAATCATGGCATGAAACATTTAAAAATAGGATGCGAATAAAGAGAAATGGATTGTTATTGAAACAAATCTCAAAGAGGCGTGTATAAGTTCAGGAGTAATGTTTAAATGATTAGATATGGTTCAAAATACGTTGTTCATCCAATTTCAGCTTCATAATATAAAATTAATCGATGTTCTTGGTGTTAGAATCGCAAAGATCAGTGGACATGGCTGGAACGATCTTCGATGACAACTTTCCCATGAAAATAAATTTTTGTTTCCAAATTCCCTTTGGGCTTTTTCATACCCATGGGGGTACTACACTTTCCGCATAGTATCACCTTTTTTCAGGGGGGAACATTAAAAACGTCTCCTTGTGAGGAATTCAGAAGGCTTCAGGAAAAAAAATAGTTTTTCACCAAAACACATTTAAAATTATTTTTTCCAGAATTTATCATCCAAAACTTCCTGGTGGTCTATTAGCCTGGAACAACCAACCAATGAGTGTGTTAAATGGGGAAAATGTGATGACGCATTTGTTGGCTGCTCAACAATCACATCCCGAATTCAGATTCGATGAACATCTTCGTGTTTTGATTAAAATCAATTTGCCGCTGACTCACCCACGGTTTGATGACAATGCAGAAAATACTCCTCCTCCAACTGCTCAAGAATCAGGAAACACCTTTTTTATGTAATTTCATTTTTGAAATTTATGAGAAATTTTATGGTGTTTTTCGATTCTTTCTAGTTTTGTCTTTGTGATAATAAACTATGTTAATAAAAACTGTGTTTATCGAAAAATTATCAAACTCAACAAGTCTTTTTAAGAGACGTTTTTTGTAACAAGAAAAAAAAATCCTATGGTACAAAAAATTTTCAAATTTGCTAATTTTTGGCTGGTTGGTAGCCCCTTAGCTATAGAACATATTCCCGGAGTAAAATAACAAAAAAATGTTTTTGGTGGATGGTGGACACCAATGTATGTCAAAACTTCAATAAATCATTATTTCACTCTCCGTGAATGATTTTTCAAAGTATAAACGTCATTCTGCTCAGAATTCGAAGGGCTTGGATTTAGAAATACGAAAGAAAAAAATTCGACTTACCCTAACTTTTGAAAATTGAACAAAATTTTCAAAGTCAAAAATCGATATTAGGGGGACTTTGTTGCTCGCTAAATTTGGAGTTTTTACGAAAAAAAATCGGCCCGAGTTTTTCCAAAAAAAATCGGCCCGAGTTTTTAAAAAAAAATCGGCCCGAGTTTTTCCAAAAAAATCGGCCCGAGTTTTTTCTTGTTTGACAAAAATACCCGCCCAAATGAAAATTTCGATTTGAGCGGGTAGCTGACAAAAATTGAAATTTTTATTTTCGTGTCAACAAAAAAAGTAACAGATTTGGAATAATCCAAAAAATGTAAAAATGAAGTCGATGAGTTGGGACCTAAATGACACTTCCTCTCAGGCTTAGGCTTTATTAGCCACCCAGAAGCAACTTTGAAGCTAAAAAAATTGAAAGAAAATTTTTAACACTTAAAAAACAAGAAAATTCAGAATTTCATCAGAAATGAAATTATTGAGAAAAAGACATGTCTCCAAACTTCTTAGGAAAATAGAATAAACACGGCTTTAAAGGCTCCTATAGGTTTCATAAATTTGCAGAAGCTTTGAAGCCTCCAAAAAGCCTCCAAAAACTTTCTTAAACCTTTTGAAGTTTTTCGAAGCCTTCTGAAGACTTATGAAGAATTCAAAATTCTTCTGATGCCTTCACAATTCTTCAAAAGCCTCCACAATTTTTCTGAAGCCTTCTGAAGCCTCCACAATTTTTCTGAAGCCTTCTAAAGCTTCCACAATTTTTCTGAAGCCTTCTAAAGCTTCCACAATTTTTCTGAAGCCTTCTAAATCCTCCACAATTTTTCCTAAGCCTTCTGAAGCCTTCACAATTTTTCTGAAACCTTCTAAAGCCTCCACAATTTTTCTGAAGCATTCTAAAGCCTCCAAAATTTTTCTGAAGCCTTCTAAAGCTTCGACAGCTTTTCTGAAGCCTTCTGAAGCCTCCACAATTTTTCCTAAGCCTTCTAAAGCCTTCACAATTTTTCTGAAACCTTCTAAAGCCTCCACAATTTCTCTGAAGCCTTCTGAAGCCTCCACAATTTTTCTGAAGCCTTCTAAAGCCTCCACAAGTTTTGAAAAAAACTCGGGCCGATTTTTTTTTTGAAAAAACTCGGGCCGATTTTTTTTGGAAAAACTCGGGCCGATTTTTTTTTTGAAAAAACTCGGGCCGAGTTTTTTTTTTTGTTTGACAAAAATACCCGCCCAAATGAAAATTTCGATTTGAGCGGGTAGCTGACAAAAATTCAAAAATTTTGATTTTCGTCTATACAGTCAACAAAATAATCCAAAAATGTAAAAATGAAGTCGGCTTTAGAAGAGTTTCAAAATTTAAATCAAACAAATAAAATATTAATTTAAAAACAAACAAAAATTATCATTTCACACAAGAATTGAAATGATCGAGTTCAACTGTGTTGTTTTCGAAAATGTGTCTCGTTATTTCTTTGCCTTTCTTCTTCTTTTTTGTTTGTTTTCCTTTAAACCACGCCTTTCTCAATCAATAAATTGGTCTGCAGGTGTGTCTGCGTCTCGTTTTTTTTTCTCTCTCTCTCACACACACACACATGCCACCTTTCTTCTTTTTCTTCTTTTTTTTGTTTGTGTTTGTGCTTGTTTTCCTCTCCTAACCACGCCTTTTTCAATCAATTTATTGGTTTTCAGGGAAAACGACGACGAGAAAATGGAAATCAAAGTGTATATGGATGGGTGGAGCAAATTATAGCCATCGACAAAGTTCATCAGGTAAATTTTATGATATTTTAGTTCGGCAACACAATTTTCCGTTGGTTAATTGGTATTTTTGCAGGAAACGGCGTAGACAAGAGAGATTCGAGGATTCTAAATGGAAACAAGAAGAAAAACAACAACAAACATATCGAATTATTGGGACGATCAAGGATTTCACAGGAAAGACGGCGATGTGAAGAAATTTATTATTTTCAATTAGCTGAAGATTCACAAACACAGAAAAACAACGCCAACAAGTACAAATTCAAGTTTTCCAAGAAAGTTTAAGAAGAAACAACAACACCGACAAAGAAATCAAAGGATTGTTTTGGAAGATAAGATTATGAAGAAGAACAACATTGATCATTTTATTGGATAGAAATGAAGTAGAAGGTTGAGCGATTCGAAGGATTCTGATTGAATGTTTTATGCTGGTTTTGGGGTGATGATTTCACCGGAAATACGGCGATTATTTTCAATGAGCTGAGGATTCGCAAACACAGAAGAACAACGAAGCCAAGGGAATATCGTGTTCAGTTGAATTGGATGATGACAAAGGATTTTCCAGGTATTTTTATTGAATTTCAGGTTCATCCAGTTATTATTTCTGATTTATTCATCTGCTGTGAAATGATGGCAACGTGGAAGTAGGATCAGGAAGGCAGAAAAAGAAGAAAAACATCGACAAGGATACTACTGAACTTGCGACGAAATGCTAGATTGATATACTCCCGATTTCCACCCTTCCGATGTCAAGTCAATCACGTCAGTCTACATACACTCTATTAGATAAAGGACGCGTCTTTATTCCTTTTCTCCCATCCTCTACAAACCGCCAGGTAACTTCTTTCACCCTTTTGGTTATTGTTTTTACTTTTCAAAAGACCATGCTCACTCCAACAAACACTACCTGTTTGTTTATCTGTCTGTGTCTCGTCATTTCTCACACACTCTCTCACACACATGCATGCCACTTTTCTTCTTTTTTTGTTTTGTTTGTTTTCCTTTTAACCACGCCTTTCTCAATCAATAAATTGGTCTGCAGGTGTGTCTGCGTCTCGTTTGTTTTTCTCTCTCTCTCACACACACACATGCCACCTTTCTTCTTTTTCTTCTTTTCTTTTGTTCGTGTTTTTGTTCGTTTCTTCCACTAACCACGCCTTTTTCAATCAATTCATTGGTTTTTAGGGAAAACGACGACGAGAAAATGGATATCGAAGGTGATTCAAATGAATGGAGCGAATTATAGCCAGCGACAAAGTTTCCCAGGTAAATTTTATGATATTTTAGTTCGGCAACACAATTTTTCCGTTGGTTAATTGATATTTTTGCAGGAAACGGCGTAGACAAGAGGGATTCGAGGATTCTCTATGGAAATGAGAAGAAGAAGAACGGCGAGAAGAATTCAGAGGCTATGGAAGAAATTGGAGTGAAGCAGAGAAACAACAAATGTCTCCGTCGCCGTCGCGACTTCTCAACAGAAGAGCAGCTCCAACATGAATATTCAGAAGATGGAAAAGCATTTCGTTGCTGATTGATTATCCAACTTGCGACAAAATCAAGACGACAACAAGATTTCAATGCGTTCGAGTGGAAGATGAAGAGAAGAAGGAGCAGCTCAACAAAAATGAATCCGCAATTTTTGAAGGGATATTCTACTCACAACACATTTTTTGGCTTATTGAAAGGAATATGTTGCGATCGCGTTTTTGTCAGGTATATTTTCATTAACTGTGTTGTTCCACAGCTATTTTCATACCATAGGTTAATCTAGATATTTTTGCAGATTGCCAAATACATCTTCGACATATTATTGGAGAGTCTCCAATGGAGACTATTTTATTCTCGGCGTATTTTTGCTTTTCAACTATTCATTCACTGCTGTGATTCATCCATTTTCCAAGAATCATCCATTTTTTTCCTTGTCACTGTTTCTTCGAAGTGTCACAGAAAAATGGATGCTTTTTGGAAACATTATACTTTTCTCCTTCGGAAAATTATTAGGAGAGAAAGTGCGCTCTATTGCACTCGTTTCTCTCATTTCGTCATCATTGTCTCTTCCTCTTTTTTACTCGATTTTTCGTTTTCCTCCTTATTATTACTCGTTTTTATTTAATCATGAAAACGGTTGAATATAAAATGTTTTTTTTTCAGAAATACTTGGAAAAATGCCAGCTCAACTAAGAACAAATGCATCAACTGCGAAAACCAGAGGACAAAAAGCGAAAGCTGCTCCAGTGAACAAAGTTGCAACTCGTGGAATTGCGAGAAGTGTGGCGAAAATGGCTTTGGCTGAAACGACTGCGTCAAGAAAAAGAGCCAAGAGTGTTGCACCAAAGTCTGCTGAAACGACATCCAAAAAGAGAAAAGATGTGAGTTTTTCTTCATATTTCAAATATTTTTTGCCAAAACATTTAGACGTTCTCTCAAAAAAATTGAATAACAAAAAGAAAAAGATATTAATTAAAATTTGAATTTCAGGTCGGCGAGGTCAATTCCGAAGATGTTCGAAATCAAAGAAGTTCTCGAGCCCGAGGAAAAACTCCTGCTCCCAAAGCGATTTCAACTTCTGCATGCTCAACAGCAAAATCTGCGCAAGGATCGAAGGCGAAAAAATCGGTTAGTTCAATTTTTATCTCCATATGAAACTTTCAACAAAAAATTCATCAAAAATAAGAAAATTTAGCATTAATCTTTAAAAAAAATTCCAAACAAAAATATCAAAGTTTGAAATAACATAGAATATCAATAAAAATTTCAGACTCAATCGGCATCGAAATCGAATGACGTCAAAAGATCGAGATCGAAATCGAAATCAATCAACTCAAAGGCTCATGCATCAGTGCCAATAATTCATCGCCGTATACTAGTTGGAGGAATTCCTGGACCTGAAGCTTATGTTCTTCCTTCACCCGAACCAGTTGCAACTTCAACAGGAGATCAATCGGAAGATACTTCAACTTCTGCACTCTCAACGGAAAAATCTGCGCAAGGATCATCGGCAGATAAATCGGTTAGTTCAATTTTTATCTTCATATAAAGCTTTCAACAAAAATCAATCGAAAAAATAAAAATTTAGTATCAATCTAGAAAGAATTTCAAACCAATTTTAGAAGAAGAAATCATAAAGTTTAAAATTTCCAAAGAAATAATTGAAAATAAACAGAAAAAAGTTTGAAATAACTGAAAATGTAATTCAACTTTTCAGGCTCAAATGCCAACGAAATCCGTCAATCCAAGTGCTGTCGCAACATCAACAACAGTAGCAGATGTTCCTATGCCAGTTGAAGGAATTCCTGGATCCGAAGCTGATGTTCCTTCTTCAACCGAACCAGTTGCAATTTCATCAGGAGATCAATCTAGTCCAGATGTTCCAAGTTCGAGCGGACCAGTTGCAGTTCCATCAGAAGACCAATCGAGAGCGGAAGATCCATCTTCAACCGAACCAGTTGCAGTTCCAACAGGAGATCAATCCAGTCCAGATGTTTCATCTTCCAGCGGACCACTTGCAATTTCATCAGGAGACCAATCGAGTCCAGATGTTCCATCTTCCAGCGGACCACTTGCAATTCCACCAGAAGACCAATCGAGAGCGGATGATCCATCTTCCAGCGGACCACTTGCAACTCAATCATTTGATTCTGATCCTTGGTTCCTAGAGGTTAGTTTTTTTTTGATTTATAAAGAATTCTCACTAGCAAAAATTACCATTGAAAAGTATAATTTATAATATCCAACAAAAGTGATCTCACAAGTTGATATTCAAAAATTTCAAACCACTAAAGTTTTCCACAAGCCTCATGAAAATTGGAATTTCAGAGTGGCCCCATTCCACAACATTTTGATGCTCCAATTCCTGAATACTTTATCAGAGAATATCAAAGACTTTTGCCTTTTGCCAATCTGAAATTCGTCTCATTGGAAGGTATTGTAAGGTTGGAAACGTGGATGGAGTATCTGGTAGACATAAAGAAACCTGATCGCTATGTACTGATGATGAAAATCGAAAGATGTTTAGTTTGTCCAAATTTACCAGTGGATAGGATGACCGAAAATTTGGATAGTATGCTCAAAAAAAGTTTATCGCACGTTGATGGGAATATATTTGAAACACCAATAAGTCTAACGTGAGTTTGGGTTGCGAGGGACCTGAAGGCTTCAGGAAAAAAAATAGATTTTCATCAAAACACATTTAAAATTATTTTTTCCAGAATTTATCATCCAAAACTTCCTGGTGGTCGAGTAGGCTGGAAGAACCAACCAATGCGTGTGTTAAATGGGGAAAATGTGATGAAGCATTTGTTGACTGCTCAACAATTGCATCCCGAATTCAAATTCAATGAACATCTTCGTGTTTTGATTAATATCAATTTGCCGCTGACTCACGCTCCACAGGTTGCTGACGACGGTTCACAAAGTACTCCTCCTCCAACTGCTCAAGAATCAGGAAACACCTTTTTTATGTAATTTCATTTTTGAAATTTATGAGAAATTTTATGGTGTTTTTCGTTTCTCTCTAGTTTTGTCTTCGTGATAATAAACTATGTTAATAAAAACTGTGTTTGTAAAAAAAATTTCAAATTCAACAAGACTTCTGAAATAGAACAATTCAGATTTTCAGGGTTTTTTTCTGTGCTCTGTTTTTCTTCTTCTCTTTTTTCTTGTGAAAACTTCAGAAAAGTTTCGGAGGCTTCATAAGGATTTCGGAGGCTTCAGAAACAATTTGGAGGCTTCAGAAAAATTGTGGAGGCTTTAGAAGGCTTCAGAAAACTTGCGAAGGCTTCAGAAAGCTTCAGAAAACTTGTGGAGGCTTCAGAAGGCTTCAGAAAACTTGTGGAGGCTTCAGAGGGCTTCAGAAAAATTGTGGAGGCTTCAGAAGGCTTCAGAAAAATTGTGGAGGCTTCAGAAGGCTTCAGAAAAATTGTGGAGGCTTCAGAAGGCTTCAGAAAAATTGTGGGGACTTTAGAAGGCTTCAGAAAGCTTCGAAAGGCATTAGAAGGCTTCAGAAAAATTTTGGAGGCTTCAGAAGGCTTCGGAAAAATTGTCGAAGCTTTAGAAAGCTTCAGAAAAATTGTGGAGGCTTTAGAAGGCTTCAGAAAAATTGGGGAGGCTTCAGAAGGCTTCAGAAAAATTGTCGAAGCTTTAGAAGGCTTCAGAAAAATTGTCGAAGCTTTAGAAGGCTTCAGAAAGCTTCGAAAGGCATTAGAAGGCTTCAGAAAAATTTTGGAGGCTTCAGAAGGCTTCGGAAAAATTGTCGAAGCTTTAGAAAGCTTCAGAAAAATTGTGGAGGCTTTAGAAGGCTTCAGAAAAATTGGGGAGGCTTCAGAAGGCTTCAGAAAAATTGTCGAAGCTTTAGAAGGCTTCAGAAAAATTGTCGAAGCTTTAGAAGGCTTCAGAAAAATTGTCGAAGCTTTAGAAGGCTTCAGAAAAATTGTGGAGGCTTCAGAAGGCTTCAGAAAAATTGTGGAGGCTTCAGAAGGCTTCAGAAAAATTGTGGGGACTTTAGAAGGCTTCAGAAAGCTTCGAAAGGCATTAGAAGGCTTCAGAAAAATTTTGGAGGCTTTAGAAGGCTTCAAAAAAATTGTGGAGGCTTTAGGAGGCTTCAGAAAAATTGTGGAGGCTTTAGGAGGCTTCAGAAAAAATGTGGAGGCTTTAGAAGGCTTAAGAAAAATTGTGGAGGCTTCAGAAGGCTTCGGAAAAATTGTCGAAGCTTTAGAAAGCTTCAGAAAAATTGTGGAGGCTTTAGAAGGCTTCAGAAAAATTGGGGAGGCTTCAGAAGGCTTCAGAAAAATTGTCGAAGCTTTAGAAGGCTTCAGAAAAATTGTCGAAGCTTTAGAAGGCTTCAGAAAAATTGTCGAAGCTTTAGAAGGCTTCAGAAAAATTGTGGAGGCTTCAGAAGGCTTCAGAAAAATTGTGGAGGCTTCAGAAGGCTTCAGAAAAATTGTGGGGACTTTAGAAGGCTTCAGAAAGCTTCGAAAGGCATTAGAAGGCTTCAGAAAAATTTTGGAGGCTTTAGAAGGCTTCAAAAAAATTGTGGAGGCTTTAGGAGGCTTCAGAAAAATTGTGGAGGCTTTAGGAGGCTTCAGAAAAATTGTGGAGGCTTCAGAAAGCTTCAGAAAAATTGTGGACGCTTCAGAAAGCTTCAGAAAAATTGTGGAGGCTTTAGAAGGCTTCAGAAAAAATGTGGAGGCTTTAGAAGGCTTAAGAAAAATTGTGGAGGCTTCAGAAGGCTTCGGAAAAATTGTCGAAGCTTTAGAAAGCTTCAGAAAAATTGTGGAGGCTTTAGAAGGCTTCAGAAAAATTGGGGAGGCTTCAGAAGGCTTCAGAAAAATTGTCGAAGCTTTAGAAGGCTTCAGAAAAATTGTCGAAGCTTTAGAAGGCTTCAGAAAAATTGTCGAAGCTTTAGAAGGCTTCAGAAAAATTTTGGAGGCTTCAAAGCTTCTGCAACTTTATGAAACCTATAGGAGCCTTTAAAGCCGTGTTTATTCTATTTTCCTAAGAAGTTTGGAGACATGTCTTTTTCTCAATAATTTCATTTCTGGATGAAATTCTGAATTTTCTTGTTTTTTAAGTGTTAAAAATTTTCTTTCAATTTTTTTTAGCTTCAAAGTTGATTCTGGGTGGCTTACTAAGCCTAAGCCTGAGAGGAAGTGTCATTTAGGTCCTAATTCATCGACTTCATTTTTACATTTTTGGATTAATCTAAATCTGTTACTTTTTTTTGTTGACTGTATACACGAAAATAAAAATTTCAATTTTTGTCAGCTACCCGCTCAAATCGAAATTTTCATTTGGGCGGGTTTTTTGTCAAACAAAAAAAAACTCGGGCTGATTTTTTTTTTGAAAAAACTCGGGCCGATTTTTTTTTGAAAAAACTCGGGCCAATTTTTTTTGAAAAAACTCGGGCCGATTTTTTTGAAAAAACTCGGGCCAATTTTTTTGAAAAAACTCGGGCCAATTTTTTTGAAAAAACTCGGGCCGATTTTTTTTTAAACTCGGGCCGATTTTTTTAAAACTTGGGCCGATTTTTTTGAAAAAATTTTTTTGAAATGGAGCTATGATGACTCATTGTATTCCTTTCTTGAGTTTTTGAGATCTAAGAACTTGGTTCGGATCCAAAATATAATCCTGATCAATACATAAATTGAAGCACAAACTTTGGCAAATTATGAAAAATTCTCTTCAAAAATTGAAAGTTAATTTGAATCCTGAATCGCCCCCAAACAGAGAAAAATATTTTTTTCTGCGCTCTCTTCAATAAGCACAAACTCTCGCTGCTTTTTTATATCTGTTTCTCTCGTAGTCTCTTCAAGAAACAAACGTTTTCACAAAAAAAATTTTAAAAAATGTTCGAAAAAAGTTGTGGCCCCGCCCACTCTGCATGAAAAAGATAGAGACATGTGAGACCTGTCAGTTGTCGTCGCAAGCAAATAAATAAAAGGGGAGGTTTGTTATGAGTGATATTCCAATTACCATATCTCCTTCAAAAAAAAAAACAAACGATGAAAAAAAGTGAATGCGAGAGAGGTTATTGTTTCACAATAATTTTTTGTCACTGTTTCAGTGGCAGAAAAATTGTTGTAGAACAGTAACCTTTCTTGCATTCATGAAAAATGAGGAAAATCTAACATGAATTTTTTGAGGTTTGAAAAGTTCTTGAAAAACGTACTTTTAAGAGTGGAGTCTGAATGTGAGCAAAAATAAGTTGGGCTTATTTAAAAGAGCATGTTCTAATCAGTTCACCGTGTAAATTTGCTCAAAAATCCAGATTTTCGGTAGTTTGGAGCTGTGTTTCTCTGAAAGTTCCGATTTTTATGGAACTTTTTCAATGGCGTTTTTTTAACCAGAATTGAAATTGAATTTTTTCATGTCAGACATCACCTTTGAAGATTTTTATTGTTTTTTTTTCAAATTTGCACCGAAATCGAGTAGAAAAGTAGAAACAGAAAATTTCCAGAAAAAAATCCAAATTCTAACTCCTGAGAATGAATTTGAAAACACAAAACTGGCTCCGTGCCCAAAAAACTTTAACATGAAACCCTTAATTTTCTCAAAAACCCTTTATCAGATTTTTAGTTCATCATTATTTTCCTCTCAAAAAATGTGCTCAAATCTAATGCTCCAAAAAATGAAATTCCCATTTCCATAACAAAAATACAGCCCAAAGACTGCCCAGTAAACAAAGCAAACACACTCAAATGACACACTTTTTATGTCTCTCACTCTCTCCAAAACACACACTATTTTTCGTCTTCTCTTTTCGATTTACGAGGAGAGAAAAATCATGGAGAAAAAACCAATAATTATATTTTTCCGGGGTTTTTCGAAACATAACTGGGATTTTTGTTTGTCCAATCTTTATTCTAGACAATTCTGAATTTTTTCCAGAAAAGATCTTCGAAAATGGTTGAGCTTAAGAGATTTTAGAATTTTCCGTTGTGAAAGCAAAATTGTCTTTTGGCTTGGGGAAAAATTTTTGAAAAAAAAATTTTTTTTTGAAATTTTTGGAGGAGTTTGGCTGGAAATCATTGGATATTGGTAGAGTATTGGAAAAAAGTGTTTTTTTATTATTTTTTTTAATCATGTAAATTATGAAAATTTTGTATCAAAAAATCAACCTGGTTTCAGGTTTTCAGAATTAAAAAAAAATAAATTTAGAATTCAAAAATAAATTTCAGAAAAAATTCTAACAAGTTTAGCACATTTTTTTAAACCAGAAGTCAAAATTTTTAATTGGAACTTATTTTAATTTTAAAAAATAAATCAATTTTTCTGTGAGACTCCAACATAAATTAAATATTCCGGTCAAAAATCCGAGCTCATTCGGGCTCAAAAAATCCAAATCTTCAGATCTCAAAAAAAAAAATTTTTCAAAAAAAAAAACTCAAAACCCCCCGCCTTTTTCCTTTCTCTCCACCTGCTAGACTTGTGTGAAAGGGACAGAGACATCTCTTTTTCTCTGCGTCTCTTCTGTATACACTCTCTCTCTCCCATTCTCTTTAAAGAGACAACACAATGTAGAAAACTCGAAAATTTTAGACAAAAAAATAACAAAAAAAAATTTAAAGCATAGGATTTGTTACCACCAAACATCGGTGAGTAAATTTCAAGTACAGAAATTTTCTTCGATTGTCATTTCTTCGAATTGCAAGAAGTTTCTCACTGAAAAATTGATATAAAAAAGAATTATATAAAAAGAAGTTGAGATAACTCACAGATTCTGCTCATTCGATCCCAAAAGTCTCCACAATTTATGGCAATCAAAATCGGAATCTCTGACAGAAAACGTGTAATGAATTATAGTATGTTGCATTGTTCCATTTTGATAGGTTCTCAGCCAATTTGCAACATTTTCTTCGGTCAAATCTCCAATTGTTATTTCCAGATGTTTTGCTGTGAATCTGATGAGATGCTCATTTTTCAAATGCAAATTATCTAATGATACTTTATCTTGCACTTGATAGATCTGAAAAATATATAGAGGATTTTTAAGGAAACTCTTTAACTTCTGAAAATAAATTCATTCTCTAAAAAACCCTGTACCCAAAATTATTACCTGATCATATTCCAAAATATCAGAATCCGAATCGCTTGAATCAAAACCTTGAAGAACTTCCAGAGTTTTCAAAGGTCTCACAAGTTTCCCGAAAATTTGATAATAATCAATACCAAATTTAAGTGTGATTTGAAGATTTTCCAATCTTGGAAAACTAGCCACATCAAATTTCAAATACCGTGCAGAATAAGGGTTGATAACAATAGATCTGATTGATTTTTGATGTTCTTCCAACATTTTTTCAAAGTGTCGACAACAATTGAGATTTGCGTTTCCTTCGGATTTTTCCAGGGTTTCTCTCCATAAAACTTTTTCTTCATTTCGTGAGAGGCTGCAAAGAAAAAATATTTGAAAAAAATATAGATGTTTCATCCTCAAAGGTTCTAGGCTCACCAAACAATCTCATTTTCTCCGAACGTTAAAATATAATCTGTTCGATTTGCGGCATGTCCAACTTCAATCTTTGGTTTGATTTCAGAACTGGAAAACTCCAGATTTTGCAGATAGAATGATGATTCTTTGCATTGTGCGGCACACAATTTTGAAACTTGTGACATTTTTGATCTGCCTTTTGAACCAAGCATATTTATGATATCCATTTTTATTTCATTTGGAAGATCGTTGTAGGTCTGGAAATTTTGAATTTCAGGAACTTTCGAGGCGCTTAAAATTTCTGTCTGAAATTCTGAAAACTTTCCGGAAACCTCCTAGGCTATTTGAAAGGATTCTAGAAAAATCTGAAATACTTCTGGAGCTTCTAGATCTTTGTTTCTCCTCTACAAAATCTCAAAAAAATTCTAGAAAATTCTGAAAATCTTCTAGGCCTTCCAGAATTCCTCCTGAATGTGAGCCGGAAAAATTATGGAAAGCTTCTGAGCGCTCTAGAATTCTGTCCGGCTTCTGAAAAGTTCAGAAAACCTCTGGAGCTTCTAAAGATCAGCCACAAACTATACACAATTCTAGAAACCTTCAGATTTTTGTCTGAAATTCAGAAAATTTTTTACGAAACCTCCACAAAATTCTGTAAAAATTCTAGAGCTTCTAGAATTCTGTCCAGCCTTCTACAGAATCCTGATAACCTTCAAGACCTTCAGAACCTTCTCCCAGACTCTCAAAAAATTTAGGAACATTATAATCTATTATTTAAAAAAAATTTTAAAACAAACTCACAGGTGGCTCCGTTTTGTTGATGCCAATTCTGGCGAGCAACTTTCTAATCATTTCCATTCTCCAAGATTGATCTATGAAAATCAAAAAAAAATGAATCCTGTATTTTTTTAGGCATGAAAAAATCGATAAAACAATGACATCTAGGTGGTATTTTTCTGGAAAAATCCCTATCAGAGATTTTGGGTTAACATGAGCAATCAGAATATATTTTTTAAAAGAAAAATTTGACATGAGATTCGTGTAAATAAAAAAGGTGGAAAAACTTTGTTGCGTCTTTTTTTATGGCGCGCAGATGTTCATTATGCTTCTCACAAAAAGAAAATCATTATAAATCATTATTGGCAAAAGTTTTAGCGCTCAGAAAATTTGAAAAGACAAAAAGAAACTGTTGTAAATGAGAAATTCGAGGAAAAAGATTGGGGGAAAAGTAGGCAAAACAATTCATGAGTCATTCGACTTCTTTTGTCTTTTTTACAAGAAGATATTTTGGCACACATTTTTCTTGGGCTACTTGTTACAAAAATACACCCTGATTGCTCATGTTAACTCAAAAAACTCTTAAATATTTTATATTTTTCAAACAAGGATTTCTACAGAAAAAGACCATCCAGATGTTATTATTTTATCGATTTTCTCATGAATTTTCTCTACAAAAAAATACAGGATTCTTTTTTTCATGATTTTCAGGGAAAGATTCTCGAGGAGTTTCTTGAAGTTTTTTGAGAATTCCGATCAGACAAAAATCTGGAGGATTCAGAAGTTTTCCAGGATCCAAGATGTTTGAGAAACCCGGACAGAACTCTAGAAGGCCTAGGAGGTTCCCAGGATTTTCTGGAATCCTGGACAAAATTCGAAAAAAATTTTCATTAACCCTGATTGAACCAGTTAAACTCGAATAGATCTTCCTTAAGATCTCAAAATTTTTCCACCTTCTCTCCACCCAAGATAAATTTTTATTCAATTTTTCCTGAAAACCAAAAATTTTGAGCACCAATTTAGCTTCATCATGCTGAAATTCCAAGCTCCTCTCATCTGTATAATTATAACCTGTTTCCAATTTACAAATCCATTATTTTTCCAGGTAAAATGCATGTTTTTAATATCAGTTTGACATCAAATCTTATGTTGAGCATCTCTTGAATACTATCTTTTCGATAAACTTTTTTTTTGGATTCAGGTCCCGTTTCCAATTTTACAAATCCAAATTTTTCCAGCCAAGATTCTTCAAATTTATTTGCTGGAAACGCGCGAAAAAAGTTATTTCGCAATACTTTTAATCAAAAATATTTGATGGCCGATAATTTTCAAATTCTAGTCCCCTTTTCCTTTCTTTTTTTCTTTTCCCTCCCTCTTTTTTTCACTATCTTCTCATATTCAAACCTTCTGAAGATTTCAACAGCCTTCTGAATTCTGCAAAAACCTTCTGAAGCTTCCAATTATCTTCTAAAACCTACAAATGTCTTTTATATTAAAAAAGGGGGAGAAGGAAAAGAGCGCAATATAGCTACATAGCTAAAATAAGCTTTGAAAACTGTAAAACCCAGAAAAAACCTGAAACTCTGGTTTTTTCCATTGCAGAATTTAAAAAAAATTAGAAAAAAAGTCGGTCGGCATGTGGGATTGAACTTGGCCCCGCCCACTCCGCATGAAAAAGATAGAGACATGTGAGACCCGTCAGTTGTCGTCGCACGCAAAAGAATAAGAGAGGAGACGGTTTGTTACAAGTAATGTTGCAATAACCAAATTTTCTTACCAAAAAAATGATGAAAAAAAGTGGATGTAAGAAAGGTTATTGTATTACAATAATTTTTGTCACTGTTTTAGTGGCAGAAAAATTATTGTAGTACAGTAACCTTTCTTGCATTCATGAAACAAGAGGGAAATCTAACAAGATTTTTTTGAGGTTTGAAAAAAGTTAGCGAAATTTTCATTTGAGCACTTTTATCTTCTAAATAAACTCTTCGTTTGCTCAATTTTTTCTCAAAATTAGGTCCCGTTTTAAATTTTACAAATACGAATTTCTCCAGCCAAGGTTTCTTCTTTTTATATGCTGAATTGCGCGAAAAAAATTATTTCGCAATACTTTTAATCAAAAATATTTGATGGCCGGTGATTTTCAAATTCTAGTCCCCTTCTCCTTTCTTTTTTCTTTTCCCTCTCTCTTTTTTTCACTATCTTCTCATATTCAAATTTCAATGCGTTTTGATATAAGTTCTTCAAAATCAAAGTTTTGAATGTTCTTCATAGCAACTACAGTACCTCGAATCAATTACAGTACTCTTGATTCAGAACACCCGGATAGGTTTTTGTTTTTCATTCAAAGAATTCTTTAATTTTCAAAAAAAAAATACAGTACTACAAAATTACAGTAATCAGTTGTCTATTGAATGCTAAACTTTTTCACATTACAGTAATTTCAATTAGCTACGGTGTTTTCAGATTTCTCTAATTATTCGAGACAATTAAAGGTACCGTAGCTGGTTCGAAGTACTGTAGTTTCGCCTTCTTTAAAGATTTTCAAAAACATATTGGAATTTGAATAAAAGAAGAGAGTGAGAAAAACAAGGAGAGGGAAAAGAAACAGAGAAATAAAAAGGGGACTAGGATTTGAAAAACAACGGCCATCTAATTGTTTTATGAGAAAGATTGCGAAATAACTCTTTTTGCACGTTTTCTCTTTTTTTTCTTTTGCTGCTCCTTAATCTCAATATTTCTAGATGTTGCCGACAACACTTTCACAACGAGAAATTGAGCCGACCTCTTCGTTTCCAAGTGTTTCAGCGTATTTCGATGAAGATTATTTGGTAAAATCGCTTCGAAGAACAAGTGTTCTCAATGGGCACGGCGGACCTGTAAATGCGTTGAGATGGAATAAAAAAGGAACTCTTCTAGCATCTGGATCGAATGATAAAAAGATCAAAATTTGGCAAAATGGAACTAACAATTTATTGCATTCATTAGAGGATGATAACTTGGCAGATATATTTTCGGTGGAATTTTTGCCGGGCTCAAATGACAATGTCATTTTGAGCGGTGGTGATGATAAACTATTGCATATTAGTCACATTGAAAGTGAGTTTAAATTTAAAAATTTAAATTAGTGTGATGTGTATATAGATTTTTCAGACAATGTTTCGAAGACAATAAGTGTAGATGCGGTTGTGCGAAGAATATGCACTTTGGAAAGTGAGCCGAATAGTTGTTGGCTGGCAACAGAAGACGGACATTTGCGACAAATTGATACGAGAATAAATGAAGTCAATATACTAATGTCGTTACCGGAAAGTTCGGCGATTATTAAAACTATGGCGGTTTGCGCCGAAAGACCGTTTATTGTGAGTTTTGTCTCGAGGTTTTTGGGAAAAAATAATTCTGAATTTCAGATGGCCCTAGGATTGGATGAAGCTGAAGTGCCACTTTATGATCGTAGAATACCTTCGAGACCATTCCTTAAACTCAAACCGGGTGATAGTCATACATATGAACATAGAACAAATCATGTGGAATTCAGTAAAAATGGCCAGGAATTAATTGTGAATCAATTTGGAGGATCAATTGTAATATTCGATACACAAAGAGGAAAGAATCCTCAAACCCTTGATGATGCCTATAAATTACTCGAAGATCCCGCAGAATTTGAGATGATTCTTCGCAACAATTTGCCATTTGAAGAACTTCGAAATCCACGTACACATATTTTAGTGGAAAAAAATTATTTGAAAGGATATGATTATTATGGCGAATTAATGGCGACGACGAAAACTAGGGATTTGAGATTTTTGAGTGTTTTGCATTCGAATCGAGCGACTTGTTTGAATGAAAGATTATATCCTGGTGATTGGTGGCATTCGATAAAGGAATGTGTGAAAGCGTTGAAACTTCATCAGGGAAATTCGAAGGCGATTTGGCGGATGGGACAAGCGGCGGTGGGGATGGAGAATTATGATTTGGCAAATAAATGTTGCGAGGTTTTTAAGAAACGATTCCCGAATGATGAGTCGATATCGAAAATTGAAAAGCAGGTATGGTTTTGTTGTTTGCTCCAGCTCTATGCTCTGTCTATATTTGTTGGCCGAATTCTCGACATTTCTATCCATAATTTAATTTCCAGCTTGAACAACGTTCCGAATTATCATCCCGTGCAGCTCGAATCCGCTATGATATTATGGATTACAAGGAGAGATATTTGGGAAGTTATAACAAAAACAACACAAATATCAGACAGGCCAACTTTTTCGGATCCAATGATCAATATATTGGTGAGTTTGTAGCTAGAATTTCAACAACAAAAAACACTTTTAAGTTGGTGGATCTGATTGTGGTTCAATGATTATTTGGTCGAGAGCAACTGGAGGAATTTTGGGAATGTGGAAAAGCACGTTGAAAAATGCGAATATTTGTGAACCGCATCCGGAATTGTTGAAAATTGCCGCATCTGGAGAGGATCCACATATTCGAATGTTTGAGTGTTGTTTTGAGGAGAAACCGAAACGCGATGAAGAGGAGGTTTGTGAGAAATGTGCTAGGAAAAAAGTTATGACGTGCGAGGAGACTTCAAAAATTATGAAATTCAAAATTTTTTAAAGTAGCACGAATTTTGAAATTAAGTTTTTTTTTCGAAGTAATGCATTCTCATTAGAAACTTTTTCGCACATTTTTTTACCATTTTTGTCAATTTTCTTCAGAAATTTTAAAAATCATACTGGGAATCGAAAAAATTTATCAGAATTTTAGAGATTTTGAATTTTCGCGCCAAAAAATTTGAATTTCGATTTTTTGGCGCCAAAAGTTATATGTTTGAACTTTCAAATTTCGCGTATAATCTGAGCAATGAATTTTTTGCTTTTGTTTTTTTTTAAATAAAAATGAAAACTTTTTAAAATTTTTATCTGAAATAGGATTTTTTCAAACAAAAAATTACTGTCTCAAAAATTGCATATTTTCAAAATAAAAAAAATTTCAACAATATTTCATCGTCTAAGAAGAAATGTTAACTTTTCGAATTTTTATCTGGAAAAATCATATTCCGGAACCTTTGCCACGTCATAACTTGGTTTCACCATTCAGCGAGCTCAAATTTGTCAGTTATCAAACTACTTTTTTCCAGGATAATGATGGTCCATACGAGGACCCTTATAAATACTTGAAAGAATATTCATCGCAACGAACCATCAATCTTGTCCCTGTTTACGTGGAACCTGAAGTGGAACCTGAAGTGGAACAGCGTCAAGGCAGAGGTCGTCGACGTCGTTTTAGTGAGACTGGTTTTGAGAGAAACTTCGAGAGAGGTTTCAATCCGCGTTATTTTCTTCGAAGTAATCCTCGAATTACATATTCAGTTTAACTATTTATGTATACTTGCCGTATGACAAATTCAGCTTCATCATGCTGGAATTCCAATAATCATGACCTGTTTCCAATTTAACGAATTCACTTTTTTCCAGCCAAAATGCATGTTTTCAATCTTAACTTGACATCATATCATATGTTGAGCATCTCTCGAATACTATCTTCTGAATAAACTTTTTTCGATCAACTTTTTTTTTTGGATTCAGGTCCCGTTTCCAACAAATTCAAATTTTTCCATCCAAGATTTTTCGAATTTATATGCTGGAAATGGGCGAAAAATGTTATTTCGCAATCCTTTTAATCAAAAATATTTGATGGCCGATAATTTTCAAACTCTAGTCCCCTTCTCCTTTTTTCTTTACCCTCTCCTTTTTTTCTCTTTTACACATTACCGTAAGCTAGAGTGTTTACAGATTTCTCTAATTCTTTGAGGTAAAAATGTATTCATTTAGAGCTCTAAATTAGAGGTACTGTAGCTGGTTCAAAGTACTGTAGTTTTGCCTTTTTTTTTGAATATTTTCAAAAACATATTGAAATTTGAATATAAGAAGAGAGTGAGGAAAAGTAGGAGAGGGAAAAGAAACAGAGAAAGAAGGAGGGGACTAGGATTTGAAAAATATCGGCCATCTAATTTTTTTAATGAAAAAGATTGCGAAATAATTTTTTTTCATGTTTTGAGTATGGGAAATTTTTATTTTTGTGTGGAGGTACTGTAGATCTGAATTTTGGAAATCGATAATTTATATTATGAAAGTCAAGCCATTGTTTCAGAGAATAGATTAGAGAATCAAAGAAATTGCAAGAAAAGTCACCAAATTTCAGAAAAACCAAACCTGAGGTGATATTATCGATCGATTGGAGTTTTCCTGGAGAGACATAAATACAGTAGTTTTTTATCCAAAATAAATAAAAATTTTCACAACAAAAAATTCAAAAATTAAAAAAAACATTTATTCCGAATATGCAAATAGATTTCTTATGTTTAAAGTATTATTTGTAAAATTGAGAAAAATCATCCTTTTTTTCAAAATGTTGTGTCGAATAATCAGATTCTTTTCGCTGAAAAATATTGATTTAGCTAAAAAAAAACCACTGGGGAGCTCCAGGAGCTTCAGGGGATTTTTTTTGAAGAGCTCCGAATGCTTTGAGAGGCTCTAGAGGGTTCAGGGCTTCATGAGGCTCTCTTTAGGGGCTTTAGGGGCTTTACGGATCTGAGAGCTTCACGAGACTATCAAGGGCTTCATGGGCTTCAAAAATGATTAGGAGAGCTTCAGGAGACTTCTAGGCTTATTTCAAAAGGGCTTTGGGAGGCTTCATAGGACTTTTGAAGGCTCTAGGGGGCTCTAGGAGCTTTAAAAGTGTTCAGAAGGCTTCAGAGGGCTTCAAAAAATTTCCCTCAAAAAAATGATTTTAGAAAATCCACAATATTTTGTTCTGTCAAATTACCAATCAACATTGAAACATTTTTGGCGGATAATTGGCGAAATTGTTGATTTGTGAGATGCAAACGATCGAGGCTTAGAGTCTTCGAAACTTGATAAATCTGAAAGAATTTGGATTTTCAAAATTAAAATTGATGAAATTTTTCAGATCGTTCAAAAATTTATAAAGAAAGTTTTGGAAAATTTTCTAAATTTTCCGAAAAAAAATCTAGAAAGTGTTCTGAATTTTTAGAAGCCGAATCATTTTGTTTAGAAAATCTAGAAAGTTTTTGTATTCTTCAGAATTCTGGAAAAAAACTAGAAAGTGGGGGGAAGTTTTCTAAATTTTTTTTCAAATTTTTAAATTCTAAAATATGTTCTCAAAGCTTCTCAATAAATTTAGAAACATTTCAGAATTGCTCGAAAATTTGCTAAACAAATCTGGGAAAATCTAGGATCTAAAAAACCTTTGAAAAATTTTAAAGTCTACAAAAATTGAATATTAAATCATACCTGTGGTTGTTTCAAAATGTCTTCTGAAAATTCTTTAAAAAGCGCAAGCCGAATCTCATCCACTGGTTTCTTGATGTTCGCAAGAACTCGAAGAGCAGCACAGTCAGGTTTCCAATAAAATAACAATTTTTTGTAGCATATGACTTGCTCAATGGAATTGGATGGTGAATTTTTGATAAGCAGGCGTTCAAACAAACACTCTGGATTTTAATATAAGTTTTTTTTTTTCCGAAATTTATTTAACTAATAAACAAGATTTGTAATGTAATATATTTATTAAAATAAGAGTAAATCATGTAGGGGTCAATACATTATAAGAGAATTAGGTATTAGGTCCATCTAACATCCCGGTGTTGATCGTTGCGGGAATTTGGCCCACAGGGTCCTGTTTTGGCAGGTTGCAAAAAACACGTACTTTGATATCCCCACCGAAAAAATCTGGAGTGATTCTCGGCAACAAGTGCTTCTTTGCCAAATAATTGGCCAAGTCCTTTTGAACTCTCTTCAGGAAAGGCTCTGAAAAATAATGATAAAAAGGCAAACTTTAAAAAAAAACTCACTGGTCTCCTTTTCTTCGATGATTTGAACATCGTCGTCATTAGAGATTGGTCGCGCATTGATGTATGGGAAAGTGGTTGGATAGTTGCAGTCCATTGTTGTTTCTATAATGAAAATCGTAGCAAGGCTAAGAAAGAAAAATAAAAATAAAAATAAAGAGAGAAAATAACCGCCGATCAGAAAAAAGTGCCATCGTATAAGAATGAAAAAAAAACACACACACACCATTCACCAATACAAAAAAAGAGAGCAACAAACAATTGCGTCTGGCACTCTCTCTTTTTCCCCACTATTTCGCAGTCATAATAAATACGACATTTTTTGGAGCGCGCGGGAGATAGACAGCAGATATATGTATGTAAAATACACCAGGAGCGAAATAATAACAGATTTATTAGCTACATTTTATAACAGTAAGAAAGATAAAAAACAATAAAGTTGAGCTCTTTTATAGCTGTTGTAATCGTACAGTTGGATTCAAATTGATTGAGAAAGTTGATAAATAATCAACAATATGAAAATTAAAACATTTTTGCCGCCAATTTTTTTTCTGACAGAAACTATGAGAATTCTGAATATCTTCAGATTTGACGTTGATTTTTCCTCGAAAATTTGGACTTTGATTGCTCATAGATCCTTCGAGAAAATTTATTAACAGTATGTCAATGTTTTTTTCTCAAAAATGCATATTATTTTTGATAATTTTCTAGTAGATATAAGCTTTTCAGTGATTTTTCATCCGAGTATACCCGACCCGGGTCGCTTCCAAAACCATAAAAATGACTTCACAGTCTACTGTTTCCTCTAGAAAAAATTCATATTATTTTTTGATATTTTTCTAGTTGTTTTTAGCTTTTCACTAATTTTTTATCCGAGTATTCCCGACCCGGGTCGCTTCCAAAACCATAAAAATCACTTCACAGTCTACTGTTTCCTCTAGAAAAAAATTCATATTATTTTTTGATATTTTTCTAGTTGATATAAGCTTTTCACTAATTTTTCATGCGAATATTCCCGACCCGGGTCGCTTCCAAAACCACAAAAATCACTTCACAGTCTACTATTTTCTTTAGAAAAAAATTCATATTATTTTCTGATAATTTTCTAGTTGATATAAGCTTATCACTAATTTTTCATCCGAATATTCCCGACCCGGGTCGCTTCCAAAACCACAAAAATCACTTCACAGTCTACTATTTTCTTTAGAAAAAATTCATATTATTTTTTGATAATTTTCTAGTTGATATTAGCTTTTCACTAATTTTTCATGCGAATATTCCCGACCCGGGTCGCTTCCAAAACCACAAAAATCACTTCACAGTCTACTATTTTCTTTAGAAAAAAATTCATATTATTTTCTGATAATTTTCTAGTTGATATAAGCTTATCACTAATTTTTCATCCGAATATTCCCGACCCGGGTCGCTTCCAAAACCACAAAAATCACTTCACAGTCTACTATTTTCTTTAGAAAAAATTCATATTATTTTTTGATAATTTTCTAGTTGATATTAGCTTTTCACTAATTTTTCATGCGAATATTCCCGACCCGGGTCGCTTCCGAAACCTCAAAAAACACTTCACAGTCTACTGTTTCCACCAGAAAAAATTCATATTATTTTTCGATAATTTTCTAGTTGATATTAGCTTTTCACTAATTTTTCATCCGAATATTCCCGACCCGGGTCGCTTCCAAAACCACAAAAATCACTTCACAGTCTACTATTTTCTTTAGAAAAAATTCATATTATTTTCTGATAATTTTCTAGTTGATATAAGCTTATCACTAATTTTTCATGCGAATATTCCCGACCCGGGTCGCTTCCAAAACCACAAAAATCACTTCACAGTCTACTATTTTCTCTAGAAAAAATTCATTTCATTTTTCGATAATTTTCTAGTTGATATTAGCTTTTCAGTGATTTTTCATCCGAGTATTCCCGACCCGGGTCGCTTCCAAAACCATAAAAATCACTTCACAGTCTACTATTTGTTTTCAGTGTGGGAAATTGAATATGTGGAGGTACTGTAGATCTGAATTTCGGAAAAAAACAAGAAAATGGTATTGGATGATAAAACAATCGATTATTTATATTTTGAAAATCAAGCTATTGAAAAATAGAAAAGCCCAAATTTTCCCATACACACAAAATTTTGCGTAAGAGTGGAACTTGTAAGAGTGAAAATATTTTTAAAATTATTCAAAATTAAATAAACCAAACCTGTGCAATGATTTTTTTGAAGAGAATCAATTGGAGTTTTTCTGGAGAGACATAAATACATATGTTTTTTATTCAAAATAAAAATTTTCACAACAAAAAAATCAATAATTAAAAAAAACAATTATTCCGAATTTGCAAATAGATTTCTTATGTTTAAAGTATTATTTGTAAAATTGAGAAACATCATCCTTTTTTTCAAAATGCTGTGTCGAATAATCAGATTATTTTTGCTGAAAAATGTGAGTTTATTTTTCAGAAGGTTGTAAGCTTCAGAGAGGCTATATGAAGCTCTAGCACACTTTCGAAGGGTCTAGAGGCTCTAGGCTTCATGAGGCTTGAGGGGCTTCAAAAGGCTTCAGGGGCCTTCAGAGGCTTTACGGAATTCTACTAAGGGCTTCACAGACTTCATGTGGCTTCAGGGGCTTCAGAGATGATTGAGAGAGCTTCAGGAGAATTCTAGGCTTATTTCAAAAGGCTTTGGGAGGCTTCTTAGGACTTTTGAAGGCTCTAGGGGGCTCCAGGGGCTTTGAAGGGGGCTTTAGGGACTTTGACCCAAAAAAAAATGTCTCTCAAACTCACAAATTTGTCTCTGAAGATCGAAGAAGTTTCCATAATTCACTGGGTTCGAATGAACTTATTTCTGCGTGAATAATTGGCGGAATTGTTGATTTGTGAGATGCGAACGATCGAGACTTAGAGTCTTCGAAACTTGATAAATCTAAAAGAAATTTGATTTTGAAAATTAAAATCGATAAAGTTTTTCAGATCGTTCAAAAATTAATGAAGAAAGTTTTAGAAAATTTCCAAAAATTCAGAAAAAGTGAAGAAAGTTTTCTGAATTTTTTTAGAAGTCTAATATTTTTGTTTAGAAAATCTAGAAAGTTTTTGGATTCTTCAGAATTCTGGAAAAATCTAGAATGTGTGGGAAAATTTTCTAAATGTTTTTTCAAATTTCTAAACTCTAGAATATGTTCTCAAAGCTTCTCAATAAATTTAGAAAAATTTTAGAATTGCTCGAAAACTAAAAAAAACCTTTGAAAATTTTAAAAGTCTACAAAAATTGAATATTAAACCATACCTGTGGTTGTTTCAAAATGTCATTTGCAAACCCAGCTAAAATAGCAAGCCGAATCTCATCCACTGGTTTCTCAATGTTCTCAAGAACTCGAAGAGCAGCACAGCCAGGTTTCCATTAAAATAATAATTTTTTGTAGCATGTGACTTGCTCAATGGAATTGGATGGTGAATTTTTGATATTCAGACAATGCCCAAATTGTTTACAAAGCAGGCATTCAAACAAACACTCTGGATTTTAATTTAAGTTTTTTTCCTAAATATATGTACTTAACTAATAAATAAGATTTGTAATGTAATATATTTATTAAAATAAGAAATATAAATCATGTAGAGGTCAATACATTATAAGAGAATTAGGTATTAGGTCTATCCATAAATCCCAGGGGCAACGTTGGGCAAGCCATCTGGTAAAAGATGCACCTTTGTCATTGATGGTTGATTCTTTCATCGTCGACGTCAAACATTTGGTCGACCACCGAATCGGTGTCTGGAAAAATATTATTTAGAAATATTCAGAAAATCTTAGACACTTACTGCAGTAAAGTAAACGCTTCAATTCCAATTTTTCTAGAGCTTCATATAATCTTAGTCTGGCCATTGATGTTGTAACAATCCCGATCACAATATTCGCGAATCTTTTGGTTGTAACATATTCGGATTCGGGACGCCGGATAATCATGGTGACTTGATTAGGAAGATCGAAAATTCTCGAAACACAACCAGCTTCTTTTCGGAACTTTTTTTGCGATTCCCAATCCAAGGTGTAGAACAGTTTGAGTTCGCTCTTTTGTGGATCTTCGGGGAATTTACCCCAAGTACTGTTCATTGTCGTTTTTGCCATCAAACGAATTGGCGGATTCTTCTTGATCGAATCTTTATCCAACACAACTCCATCGTGTTCCTTGATAGCTTCAATGTATGCATCTTCATCTACTGCTGTTTTCACATAATCTGGATATCCTGAAGCCTCATGTTTCATTTTCAAGAGTGGTTTGATGAGCGGTGCAAAAAATCCACCAGTCATCCCAATGCCAAATCTCGTGAAACCTCAGAATTTTATAACCTGAAATAAAAATCCAGATTATTAATGGTTGATCCACAAAAAAATCTTACCAAGAGAAAGAGCTTTGTTTAGTACCATAGATGTATATTCGCCAGTGACTCGTTCGGATACAAGACTGTGATCATATCGTTCGCGCATACTTCCGGATTCAGTGCAACTTCGACACAAACGACAATTCTTGAAAAAGGTTTCGTTCATCCATTCGATCCTTGTTACAAACATCACAACCATGCCATAAACATCCTCAGATTTCCACAACCTTCTTATCTTCGTCATCATACAAATCTACACTGTACGACAATATTTTCTTTTCACCTCCTCGTAGCTTGTGTTGGAACTTTTTCCCGGATTCTTTTTCTAACCAAAGTATAAACTTCATAGCCAGTTCAGACTGGTTAACTCCGGCAAATCCTAGCTCGCTTATGATTCCAATATCACCATTCTTGATGCATTTTTGCATCAACAAGAATTTGACATATGAAGCAGTTGTGATGCCGACATCCATTGGATTTATGTCGTATAATTTGGATTTGGAGTTCTGAAATTTTTGCTGAATTAGATTTTTAACATGACAAACTCACGATAGTGAACAGGCAGACAGCTCGACAAAGCACATTTACATCTGAAACACAATAATCCATGATGTTCTTGTCAAAATCGAATCCCTGATCTTTGACTTCTTCCAAATATTATTAGGGGAAGAATCCCTTCACATCTTCATCGAATCCGGAAGCTTTTGGCATAGATTCTAACGACATATTCAGGAAGTTGTAACTATCTATGAATCTTATTTTGTTGAATCCAATAGTCCTTTGTGTCCTCGATGCATCCACTTCAGCCATTGACTTATTCTTGAGGAGATGTTCCACGTGAGCAACTTCTTGCCGATTTGCACCTCGATTTTTGGAACTACTTGGAATGTTCGAAATATCCACGGTAGTCGAAAGAATATTTCTTCCTTGAGCAATGATGCTGAGACGGTCCAGACACTTGTGATAAATACTGCTTAAAATAAAATGCAAATCATATCGACCTCCAATGTGAGCTATGAAAGTGCGATCATGATATGCAACTTCTTTCAACAACAAATTGGTGAACGCTTCGATGACAGTTTCACCAGCTTGAATTGTATTATAAGCAATATATCGAGGCTTTGGACATTCCTGACAACCAGCTCCATTCTGAGGCATACACAGATCGCATACCGATTTCAGAGCTACAGCGTTCACCTCGTGATCCACATCAATTCGGATTTCGGCTCTGCTCTTTCTTGTGGGCCAAGAAACATATTGATTTGTCAAAGAATTTGTGACAGTCTAGACATTCTTGTTTATTCATCGATGCCCCATTACAATTTTGTCGACCACAATTTCGGCATTTCTTCATACAGTTTCGATTATGATTCGCATCATCGTGAAATTTATGACATTTGGGACAATATCTATAAAAAATTCTTATTTCTTACTAAACTTCGTAAAAACTCACGATTGGTCCAGAGCCGAAGGCAATCGAACATATTCGGCGCGAATTAGGATTAAGATTCATAAAGACTTTATATTTGGTCGAATTATACGGCCTGGTCCATAGAATAAATCTCCAAGATTTGTCTTTTGCTGCAATTGCCTTGAGATCCTCCAGAGAATGTGTTTCAGTTGATGGAATTTTTAGTTGATGTTCGTAGCTGCTGACTGAATAATCTATGCTGGAGCCTTGGTTCTTTTTTCTATTTGACCATGTATTTCCGGTTTTTTGTTTGTCCGATTGTGATTCAGCAGAATAATGTAGAAAATGCGATTTTCCAAATACTATCGCTTTCAGTAGACATTTTCCTTTGGTGATTATGATCGATTTGAGACCCGATTCTTCATCAAAGAAATCATTTGAGTTGTCATCGACACAGCCACCCCGAACATCATTGAATACATGTAATTCTAATTCCAGCTCATCATCTAACATTACTGTAGCATTTGATTGCATAATCTTCATCAGTTCATTTTGTAGAACGAATCCATTAATCATTTCACGTGGTCGGCGATTATGCCAGATTCCACTGGACTCCTTCAATCCAGGATGCGTGATTCTGAAACATTTTTTTTGGTTAGATTATTTATTTTTATTAACTTACCCAACATTAAAGATTTCTATATTTTTTTATTGGAAAAAAAAGAAAAGAAAAAGAAAATGGAATTTGGGGATTTTATGAGATCCCTGCATTCTGTGACGGTTGTCTCTGAAAAAAAAGAAAATTGAAAAATGTACATTTCTGCGCTGAAAAAAAAAACAAAAAAAAAATGATTCAGTTCGAAAAAAACGATCAATCAATGATTTCTTTTCGAATAAAAAACATATCTCTCTCTCTCTCTCTCTCTAACCCTCTCTCTATTTCCCACACTCTCTCGTCTAGCCTGCAAAAAACAACAAAACAAACACGCTAAACAACGCGCACGCGGGGTATCGTTGTTTTTTTTTTGCACGACATTATTATTTTTTACTTTTTTCTGGTTTTCAGTGGTTTTTTTCAGCGAAGAAAAAGTTTTTAATTTTCTTATTTTTTTAGAGACAACCGTCACAGAATGCAGCGGTCCCATAAAATCCACAATTGTCCACATTTTCTGATGTAAGTTTAAGAAGAGGCGAAAATTTTGAGAAAAAAATGTGGAAGTTTCAGGCTTCCAATCAAGAAGATATTTCGCTTGGCCAGGATTCAAAGAAATCAACAACTTTTCACGGAACGGGCAAGTCAAGTTAGTTTATTTTGAGATTTCGGGGGGGGGGGGAAGGAACAGAACTAACAGGTGAGATTTGAGCTTCATTAAAAAATATTGGGTTACGTTTTTTATTCATAATTACACTTGAAGCTATAAGATCAGCTTCAAGATTTTATTGAAAAACAAACCATGAAATATTTCATACGTATATTAATTTTTTCATAGGTTTATGCACGCGATTTCCAGTTTGATTCTATTTTTCTTTTATAATTTATGATTTTTATAATCTTCTTTGGTCACAACGTCCAGGTCCTTTTAATCCTTTTGAACGTTCTAGAAGGTATAATTTTCGGAAGATATTAATTTGAGCTTCTAGCAGGGTTCCAAACCGAGCCAAAAACCCTAGCCAAAACAATGAGTCATTCTATGTATTTCTAACCCGCAATGAAAATTTAGAAAAACATTTTCATAATCTCCGCCATTGATTCGAGTATACCCGACCCGGGTCGGAACCCTGGCTTCTAGTATTTTTCAAAAAATTTTCCCTGGCTCGGCATATTTTTTTTGAGCATCTAGTATTTTTCAAATATTTCTCCCTGGCCTGAGATATTATTTTAAGATTCTAGTATTTTCAAAAAAATTTTCCCTGGCCTGAGATATTTTTTTAAGCTTCTAGTATCTTTCAAAAATTTTTCCCTGGCCTGAGATATTATTTTGAGCTTCTAGTATTTTTCAAAAATTTTTCCTTGGCCTGAGATATTTTTTGAGCTTCTAGTCTTTTCAAAAAATTTTTCCTTGGCTCGAGATATTTTTTTTGAGCTTCTAGTATTTTTCAAAAATTTCTCCCTGGCCTGAGATATTATTTTAAGCTTCTACTATTTTTCAAAAAATTTTCCCTGGCTCGGCATATTTTTATTGAGCTTCTAGTATTTTTCAAAAATTTTCCCTGGCTCGGCATATTTTTTGAGCATCTAGTATTTTTCAAATATTTCTCCCTGGCCTGAGATATTATTTTAAGATTCTAGTATTTTCAAAAAAATTTTCCCTGGCCTGAGATATTTTTTTAAGCTTCTAGTATCTTTCAAAAATTTTTCCCTGGCCTGAGATATTATTTTGAGCTTCTAGTATTTTTCAAAAATTTTTCCTTGGCCTGAGATATTTTTTGAGCTTCTAGTCTTTTCAAAAAATTTTTCCTTGGCTCGAGATATTTTTTGAGCTTCTAGTATTTTTCAAAAATTTCTCCCTGGCCTGAGATATTATTTTAAGCTTCTACTATTTTTCAAAAAATTTTTCCTTGGCCTGAGATATTTTTTTTTTAACAACTTTGTAATTATACACAAAGAATGGTATTGGACAGGAAGTTCTGAAATATCACTTTTCAATGAAAGGTCAAAAGTGAGTTTACACGAAATTGAAGCTAGGAGAAAATTTCATAAAAAACTGTTCCACAACTATTTTTTTGTCTCTAGAAAACATGTTTTTCAAAAAAAAATTTCTCAAAAAAAAACATAAGAGGGGACCCTTATGATTTTTTGCTTCATTAAGTTAAAAAAAATTTTTTGTGGGTCAAAATTGAGTTTCATAAAAAGTTGTTGAGATGAAAGTTGTGTATAATTTCACATACAACAACTTTGTAATTATACACAAAAAATAGTAATGGACAGGAAGTTCTGAAATATCACTTTACAATGAAAGGTCAAAAGTGAGTTTACATGAAATTGAAGCTAGGAGACAATTTCATGAAAAATTGTTCCACAACTATTTTTTTGTCTCTAGAAAACATGTTTTTCATTGGAAAAAAAAACATGTTTTTCAAAAAAAAAAATTTCTCAAAAAAAAAAAAAAAAAAGGGGGGACCCTTATGATTTTTTTGTTCAATGAAAAAAGTAAAAAAAAATTTTTTTGTGGGTCAAAATTGAGTTTCGTAAAAAGTTGTTGAGATGAAAGTTGTGTATAATTTCACGTACAACAACTTTGTAATTATACACAAAAAATGGTATTGGACAGGAAGTTCTGAAATATCACTTTTCAATGAAAGGTCAAAAGTGAGTTTACACGTAAGTGCAACTTGGAGACATTTACATGAAAATCTGATCCATAACTTTTTTCTGTCTTCTGAAGACACGACTTTCATCAATTTACACAAAGTTGAGTTACTGGATATGAACAAAGTTGAAAATTCAAACTTGACTTTACATCTATTTTCACTAAAATCACTCACCATTTTGAAATCAAGGAATGAGCAAAAAAACGTGTTCTAGAAAAAAAACGTGTTCTAGAAAAAAAAACATGTTTGATCAGATAAGGATCCTATATAAACTGAGCCTAAACCCTTGTCAAATCAGTACTAGCTTTTGCTATCTTATTGGATTGGTCGTATATTTGCCCTATATTTGCTGCTGTATCATGCCGGAATCGAATCAAAATGCGAATGGAAATGGTGAAGAGAGAGATGAGAATGTGCCGCCAAGAAGATCGGGTGAGGATGGAAGACAAGCTGAAAATGGTGAGAGACGTCGAGCAAATCGTGCACCGAGAAGATCAAGAGTGATGCCTGATGCGGACCAGATTCAACGCCAAAATCAGGCGGTTATTAATGGGATGATGAGAGAAGCTCATACGGATGTTGCTGTAATTAATGGAGTTTTGACAAAGACATGCAGAAAGCGTGTGGAAACTGAGTCGGAGAAAGACTTTCGGGAGAAGAAGAGAGTGAAGATAATGAAAGAGAATGCAGTGAGTTTGGGGAGATTTTTTAGAAAATACTCTCGGAAAAAATTGTCCGATATTTTTTGAGCTCAAACACTTTCAAAATTCGTCTTTTTTTGCAGCAACGACAACGAGTTTTTTATGATAGAGCTTGTAAAAGCGGTGGAAGACAGTACGATGATGCGAAAGATAGAAGAACCTTATATCATTGTCCAGTTGATGCAGAAAATACTACGAAGGAGACATTGGAACTGGTGGATGGATATGGGATAAGACGTAAATTGGATGTGAAAAAAATGAAGGAAAAGAAAGAGGCAAAAGAGGAGTTTAAGAAAAAACAACAAGTCAAACAAGGTGTTCGAACAGATGATAATCCAGCAGATAGTAATGGATCTGGCGCTGAAAATGGTGGAAATATTGCAGATGTTGAAGGTGGTGGTGGAGGACGTCGAAGTGAGAGTTTTTATGAAGATCAAACGCAGAGAGATGAAGAAGAAGAGCCCGGAAATGCTCATTAGTACCTTTTCATTCTCAGATCTCCGAATTTTTCTTGTGAATAAATTTCTTGTGAATAGAAATCAATGTGTTATTTTTGTTTTTTGAATTTTCTAGAACACGATTTTTTGCTCATTCCTTGATTTCAAAATGGTGACTGATTTTAGTGCAAAATGATGTAAAATCAAGTTTCAATTTTCAACTTTGTTCATATCCAGTAACTCAACTTTGTGTAAATTGATGAAAGTCGTGTCTTCAGAAGACAGAAAAAAGTTATGGATCAGATTTTCATGTAAATGTCTCCAAGTTGCACTTACGTGTAAACTCACTTTTGACCTTTCAATGTAAAGTGATATTTCAGAACTTCCTGTCCAATACTATTTTTTTGTGTATAATTACAAAGTTGTTGTACGTGAAATTATACACAACTTTCATCTCAACAACTTTTTATGAAACTCAATTTTGACCCACAAAAAAAAAAATTTTAACTCATTGAAGCAAAAATCATAAGGGTCCCCTCTTATGTTTTTTTTGAGAAATTTTTTTTTGAAAAACATGTTTTTTCCAATAAAAAACATGTTTTCTAGAGACAAAAAAATAGTTGTGGAACAGTTTTTTATGAAATTGTCTCCTAGCTTCAATTTCGTGTAAACTCACTTTTGACCTTTCATTGAAAAGTGATATTTCAGAACTTCCTGTCCAATACCATTTTTTGTGTATAATTACAAAGTTGTTGTACGTGAAATTATACACAACTTTCATCTCAACAACTTTTTACGAAACTCAATTTTGACCCACAAAAATTTTTTTTTAACTTATTGAAGCAAAAAATCATAAGGGTCCCCTCTTATGTTTTTTTGAGAAATTTTTTTTTGAAAAGCATGTTTTTTTTTTCCAATAAAAAACATGTTTTCTAGAGACAAAAAATAGTTGTGGAACAGTTTTTTATGAAATTGTCTCCTAGCTTCAATTTCGTGTAAACTCACTTTTGACCTTTCATTGAAAAGTGATATTTCAGAACTTCCTGTCCAATATCATTTTTTGTGTTCAATTACAAAGTTGTTGTACGTGAAATTATACACAACTTTCATCTCAACAACTTTTTACGAAACTCATTTTCAACCCACAAAAAAAATTTTAAACTTTTTTCAATGAAGCATTTTTTTTAAGCTTCTAATATTTTTCAACAATTTTTTCCCTGGCCTGAGATGTTATTTTGAGCTTCTAGTATTTTTCAAAAAAAATTTACTGGCTCGAAGTGTATTTTTCTCTTATGATTTTTTTTTGTTCAATGAAAAAAGTAAAAAAAAATTTTTTTGTGGGTCAAAATTGAGTTTCATAAAAAGTTGTTGAGATGAAAGTTGTGTATAATTTCACGTACAACAACTTTGTAATTATACACAAAAAATAGTATTGGACAGGAAGTTCTGAAATATCACTTTTCAATGAAAGGTCAAAAGTGAGTTTACACGAAATTGAAGCTAGGAGACAATTTCATAAAAAACTGTTCCACAACTATTTTTTTGTTTCTAGAAAACATGTTTTTCATTGGAAAAAAAAACATGTTTTTCAAAAAAAAAATTTCTGAAAAAAAAACATAAGAGGGGACCCTTATGATTTTTTGCTTCAATGAAAAAAGTTCAAAATTTTTTTTTTTGTGGGTCAAAATTGAGTTTCATAAAAAGTTGTTGAGATGAAAGTTGTGTATAATTTCACGTACAACAACTTTGTAATTATACACAAAAAATAGTATTGGACAGGAAGTTCTGAAATATCACTTTTCAATGAAAGGTCAAAAGTGAGTTTACACGAAATTGAAGCTAGGAGACAGTTTCATGAAAAATTGTTCCACAACTATTTTTTTGTCTCTAAAAAACATGTGTTTCATTGGAAAAAAAACATGTTTTTCAAAAAAAAAAATTTCTCAAAAAAAACATTAGGGGGGACCCCGTGGTTAAAATTGAGTCACAATTTTTTTTACTGGCTCAAGGTATTATTTTGAGCTTCTAGTATGATTTAAAAAATTTTCCCTGGCTCGAGATAGTTTTTTTGAGCTTCTAGTGTTTTTCCAGAAATTGTTTGATGGCTTGAAATATTTTTGCTGAGCTCCGAGTATTGTTTTAAATTGGTTTTTTTTCATTCTCATCATATGATTTTTTCCAAAACCAAAAAAAACCATAGAATTTGGCAATTTATTGTTTTAAAAATTCCTATTTAAAATCATATGCATCAATTTTTTATGTATCATTTGAAAAAAAAATGAAAATCATCATCTTATTGTTCCTATTCTCAAATTTTTCGCCATTGTTAGCAAAAAATTTTTTTCTACAGTATATTGAAGAGTGGGTTTTTGAAAAAGAAAAAGATTGAGAGGCTCAAAAAATTCCAAATTTTGCAGCTCAATTGATCCAAACATAAAAGTTTGCGATAATTTCTACCGGCATGTTTGTAAAAAATCCAAAGATGGAAGATCAGTGGAATCAATATTTCAAAGACCAACTCGACAATTTTTCGAAAATGCAAAATATTCGAGCAACTTTGTAGATATCTCAAAATTCCAAAAATTTCTCGAAAAAGAAAATAGAAAAATTATCAAAAAATTCAGCAAACAAACATTGAAAGACTTCGAAAAATTATGCAAGAAAAATCAAAATTCGAATTTTTTGACACAATTTGCGGGAAATGTCACAAATATTGTTGGAGTTGTTGGAAAATGTGTTGAAGAAATCAAAAGCGATGGAAATTGTGTGGAGCAAGGAAAGAGTTTGGAGAAATGTTTGGATTTGTTTGGCAGAGAAAACGAGGTTGGTTTACTTTTCAAGAGCATTTGGAAATTTTAAATAGGGAAATAGGTTTCACAAGGCTTTTATCAGAAAATTCTAGAGGCTTCAGAAAATTTTTGGATACTTCAGAAGGCTTCTCGAAGCTTCAAAAAAATTTGCGATGTTTCAGAAGACTTCAGAGAGCTTCGAGAGGATTCAGAAGACTTCTGAAAGGTTCATGAGGATTCAGAGGGCTTCAGACAATTTTGTGATGTTTCAGAAGGCTTTTGATGGATTCAGAAGACTTCTCGTGGCTTCAGAAAATTCCTTCAGACTACAGGATGCTTCTCGAGGCTTCAGAGGGCTTTAGAAAATTTTTGGAGGCTTCAGAAGGCTCCTGAGAGCGTCAAATGATTTTTTTTTGGTTCAGAAGGCTCTCCAGAACTTCAAATGAATTTTTGTTGGTCCAGAAGGCTTTAGAAGACTTCTCGAGCCTCTAGAAGAATATTTGATGGTTCAGAAGACTTCAGGAGGCTTCAGAATTTTTTTTGATGGTTCAGAAAGCTGCAGAATATATTAGCATGAAATTCAAAAATTCAGATTTCAATAAAAGTTTTTTGCTCCAATTTTTGGGCCAAATTTATCTCCAAAATCTTAAAAAATCAGCGAAAATTCGAATTTCCAGCTTGGAAACCCCTGAACTTTTTAACAAAAAATAATCAGAGTTGAAAAATACCTGGAATTCATCAATCAAAAAAAAATCCAGAAAATCAATAAATAATTGCAGGTCGTTTACGAACAACAAGAGTTGCAAGACAAAATTCTAACCCCAGTTAAAATCTACAATTGGCTCATAACTGAAGGAAATTCCACTGTCAAAAAGCTCAATGAAACCTTTCACGAAGTTAAAGAAAATGCTTCAAACCTCATCAAGGTACGGTATTCTACAAACAATACAGTACCCCAAAATTGTGTTTTTCAGCAAACTCCTTGGCTCCAAAACACCAACAATGTTCATATTTTCGAAAACTTGACTCTAGTTTTAAAATATCCCGCAGTTTTTGAAGAGTTTTTCGGGAAAACAGAGAAAAATCTGAAAAAAGCTGCTGAAATTTTTGCGAGTTGCGTGAAGTCTTCGAGCTTCGACAAAGATATTGCCCAAGTGTTTTGTTTATATGAGAAAAATTATGAGAATTTGAAAATGAAACCGCTTGAGCACATGTATTTTGAAGGATCGAATGGACAAAATCGATATTTTGATGTTAAATTTGGCTTGACGTTTTATTATGCTGCACATGTTTTTGAAAAACATCCGGAATATGTGAGTAATTTGGAGATACTGTATATTTTTTAATTAAAATTCAAAATTTTTGCAGTTCGGCTTTATTGGAACTTCTCTAATTGGACATGAATTTGCACATTCCTTGATTATTTCTGATTTGGAAAAACAGAGCAACAATGTGCACTTTTCAAATGAGGCAAAACAGTGTGTTCAGCAACAATTTCGAAATACTTGTGAAGCTTTTGGAGAGGTGAGATGAAAATATTTTGAAAATTCTGGGTTGGGGGAGTACTGTAGTTTTTAAAACGAAAATATTGCTCCAAGTCAAGTCAACAATTTTTTTCCATACCCACAGTACCCCTTCATTTTTTCCCGCCAAAAATCCCCCAATTTTTCCAGGAAACCTGTAAAGTTACTGAAAATCATTTCGAAGAACACGGAGCCGATATTCTTGGTTTTCAATTGGCTCATGATATTTTCAAAGGAAAAATTGGATCTGCCAAATCTTTTCAAATCAAGTAAAAAATTCAATTTCACTCAAGAACAATTGTATTTTTATTCATATGCCGCAGGATTGTGTGATGTGAGTTTTTTTTTGTTAAACCTGAGAAATTCCAGAAAAAAATTTTTTTCAGCCAAGACCATTAAAATCGGGTCCATCGCATCAAGCTGGAATAATTCGTGTAAACGCAGTTCTGGCACAAATTCCAGATTTTGCAAAAGTTTTTGGATGTGGCATCGATTCTCCGATGCTCAAAACAAATCAAAAACAATGTGTTATACTTGGCGAAAATGCACCAATTAATTGATTTTGTTTGAAATTGTGAGATAAATAAATACATATTCTGGGCAAAGATTTTCAAGCAAAAAAATTTTTTCATTTCACAAAATTAAAAAAAAATCGATTAATTATTTGGTCGGCGCCAATTCAAAAATTTGAACGCGGAAATAAATATCACCATCATCATAGTAGCTTCCAGAATCCTCTGCGGTGACTTTTTCAAGAACCAAATTTTTTCCAACTTTTTTGGTCACTGGAGCATTTGCCACTTTTTTCTTGGTCTGAAAATTGAAAAATTTAAGGTTAGGGTAGGTCAGCAAAGATTTTAAGAGCTTTTAAGGAATTTTTCAGTTACCCTAACTTCTAACACAACAAGTTAGCCCAACTAACCTTTAAATCTTCCCAATATCCACAAGTCTTGGCATTTTTTCCATCACAAACTCGATAAACTTGAATACCTCCAGCGCTTCCAACAGATCGTTTGAACTCCTTTGAATCTCCAATTCCGATTGTTGCATTTTCTCCAGCATTGAATGTAAATAATGGAATAGAGGCTAGAATCAAACTAGCGAACACGAATAAAATTGTGAAAAATAGGATACGGTTAGTCATGTTGATATCAAAATTGTTGTGATTTTTTTGTGATTTAAACTGAAGACTTTTTATACTTCTTGAGAGATGTTCCCGCCCCCAAAAATCTTCTTCATCTCGTTCAAATTGTACAACACGGAAGTTTTGACATAATATATCTTTTAACAGTTGTTCATTTTTTGGAACAAAAAATTTCGAAAGGTCAGCTATTTTATGACCGAACAGGAACGTTTTGAAGATGAACATCAAAGTCAAAAATAAATTTTCAAAGGAAAAGATAACATATTTCCTTGACATTAAAAAAAATTCTGGTTATTTGATAAAAAACAAGAGGAACAAAATTAAAATGTAAAATTATCTCAATTTTTAACCCACACCTTTTTTCAAATATCAAATTCAAAACTGTACTCCAAAACAATCAAAAAGAGCACAATTCAAGCTTCAAAACGCGCTATTTATTGATTTTTTTCGTTGAGCTTGAGCTGAATTACAAATTTCAAAAGGTTGTCTGTTTTTTTTGAAAATTATTCACATTTAGAATTTTGATTTCAACCTTCGGATTCTCATGAAAGAAAATTTTCACTCACAAAATTCCCTTCGAGTTTTCATAACTTCATTTTGAACATAATACCGAACATTTTCAGGGGATCTAATTTTGTTAATATTTTTAATCAACTAACAAAAATCCAATTTTCCTCTTCGCATTCTCCTTACAAAAAATATATATTTTTTATTGTAAACCATATTTTCTTCAACACATTTATTATTTTACACAGCATTTTAGTTTTGCTATATTTTTTGAAAAAAAAATTGTTTGAACTTTGCAATTCATGTGTTTTGTGTTCTCATTAGACTAATTTCTTGTTATACACTTGTATTCAAAATATTCTCTCAAAAGATTTCTGTTTGCTTTCCTCTTTCCTCTTTTTCTCTTTTCTCTCTCTCTCTCTCATCCACAAGAGCGCAACCGCGCTCTATCGCACACACATAACTGCAAGCAAGTATTCAATGTTTTTATTTTGTGTGGCCACATTTTTGTGTTTTTTTTTTGTCGATGGACATGTTTTCTGTTTTTTTTTTTGCTTCTTATTCATTTTTTGCAGAATTAGAATTTATATAAAATTCAAATTTTAATATAGATAATTTATGGTTTTCTGGTCAAAAGTATGTAATAATGTTCTAGAACTTTCTGTTTTTTTCAAATACTCTCTAGATTTTTGCAAATTATTTAATAATTTTTTTCATTGTCCATCTACATAACTTTTTTGTTAAATTACCGCGATGAAACTCAATTATTGATTTCGTCGAAAAATTCACCAGAAACGCATTTAGTAAACTATTTCTTACCTAGCTAGGTCAAACTAGAGTATATCTTTACTCGAATATTTCCCTAACACCAAACTACAAAACCAAAAAACATTCCTCTAGCTAGGTCAAACTAGAATATTTCTTTACTCGAATATTTTCTCAACACCAAACTACAAAACCAAAGAAAAACATTTATCTAGCTACAGGTCAAACTAGAGTATATCTTTACTCGAATATTTCCTCAAAGCCAAACTACAAAACCAGAAGACATTCCCCCCAGCTAGGTCAAACTAGAGTATATCTTTACTCGAATATTTCTTTAACAGCAAACTACAAAACCAAAAAACATTCATCTAGCTAGGTCAAACTAGAGTATATCTTTACTTGAATATTTCCTGAACACCAAACTACAAGAACAAAAAACATTCCTCTAGCTAGGTCAAACTAGAATATATCTTTACTTGAATATTTCCTCAACACCAAACTACAAAACCAAAAAAAAACGTTCATCTAGCTAGGTCAAACTAGAATATGTACATCTTTACTCGAATATTTCCCTTAACACCAAACTACAAAACCAAAAAACAAACATTCATCTAGCTAGGTCAAAATAGAATATATCCTCACTCTCATTCAATATAATATAAGAACTGTTTTCTCTCTTTCTCTCTATTTTCCTCTCTGGCTTTTTAATATTTTTAATCTTGTGTTTTGGATTCGAGAATTTTCTTAATTTTTCTTCGATGCTAATTTCTAATTCAGATTTTTTTCAGCCAAGCCACAAAATGAGCCAAAAGCGCGCGAGATCCTACGACCACACATCTTCATCAGATGAAGTGAGTTCTTCCAATTTTCTAACTTCAAAACAAAATGTTTCTTTCAGAATGTCATCTACGCCGGAACATATGATCCGGATATTCAAGTCATTGGTGTGAGTTCTTATTTTTTTTTTTTGGTTTTGGAATCATAATCATAAAATGTATTTTTGCAGGGTAGTTCGGCGGAATTTCGAAGAGCCAGAGCACGCCAGGAACGAAGACATGCTCGGAAAGTTGCCAAAAGAGAGGAAAAACGCGCTCGCCAGGTAAATTTGTGAGGTTTCTTCTAGGAAAAATCGATATTTTTCAGAATGAAAGTTCGTCCACATCGAGTCAAGGTTCATCTTCTGGTATCCAATATTCTGGAGCGGTTGGAGCAGATGATGATGTTCAAGAATTGAAAGTTGAAAGTGGACCTCCAGATGCTCAAGCTGGCTTCGAAACAAAGATGAGCAAAGGTACTGCTGGACAAGAAGGATCTTCAACATCTTCACAGGCTGCTCAAGATGTCAAGGCTCACAAGGCTCGTCCTGGAGAGGAAAGATCTGAGGAAACATCGAAATTTAGCAAACAATCTGGAAAGGCCGATAATTCATCAGGTTCAGGTCATACATTTTTCTTCGGGGCTTCCAGAAAATTTACAAAAATTTCCCCGAACCTTTTAGATTTCACCGGGCTTCTAAAAAATTCAGAAACAATTCCTGAACTTTTCAATTTTTTTCCACATCTTCTAAAATGTCCAGAAAAGATTTTCTAGATGATTTTTCGAAATGAAAATTATTCTTTCAGGTTCGCGTGAAACTGCTAGCTGCTCAGAAAATTCTCCAACTTTCAAAAAGAATTTGGAACATCAACATGAAGAAAAACCGATCGCATTCAATTTCGCACAAGTTGTTGCTGGACAGGAAGGATATTCAACAACTTCACAGGCTGCCGATCAAGATGTTATGATTTTCAAGACTCGTACTGAAGAGAAAAGATCTGAGGAAACATCGAAAGTTGGCAAACAATCTAGAAAGGGCGATGATTCATCAGGTTCAGGTAAAACATTTTTTCAATCGGTCTTCTAGATTTTTTTGGGCTTTTTCCGGGGCTTCCAGAAAATTCAGAAAAATATCCCAAGCCTTTTAGATTTTTCCGGGCTTCAAAAAAATTCAAAAACATCTTTGAAAACTTCAGACTTCTCTGGATATTTTATAGATATTTAAAAATGCTTTTCGAAATTTTAAAATTAAAATAATTATTTCAGGTTTTCGTGAACTTTCTGGCTGCTCAGAAAATGCTCCAACTTTGAAAAAGAATTTGGAACATCAACATGAAGAAAAACCGATCACCTTCAATTTTGCACAACAACAAGTTCAAGGAGCCACCGCCAGTGTTATCGAAAAACCGATTAAATTGGAAGTTGAAAATGTTGAAGTTGGTGGAAATTCGAACAATGTGCTGGAAACTAAGCCACAGGTAACAATTTTTTGATTGAAATTGGGGAACATTTAGAAACCTGTAATTCAGAAAATAATTTTCAAACATTTCGCCAATAATTTATTTTTTTTTCAGATCGAACAACAAATTGTTGGCACATCTTCTGGCAAACCAACTGGTGGCACTGTAACTGGAGAACATTGTGAAGAAGCCAGCGAAGTCAAGCCAATCCCAGAAGCTTCCAGAACATCAGATGAAACCCAAAACGATTTGGAAGTTAAGGTAAGTATTTTTGCCGGTTTTGTTTCAGAGGGAAAATGAAAGATTTGCAATTTCAAACATTTCTGTATTCAGAAATTGAGCTTGCAGATCTGAAATTTTCGAAAAGTTCGGACTGTAATTTGCTAATTTCCTGAAGCTTTTCAATGTATTTAAAACTATAATTGTACTTGAACTTGAAAATTCGAAATTTCTAATTTCAGCCTGGTACATCTTCAAATCTCTAAACGCCATCCAAACGAATCCTGTTAATTTTTTTCTCAAATTTAATTTTTTGTTTCCCCGCCCAGTTTTTTTTAATTTTCCGGTTTCTTCAAAAGAAAAATTATAGTTTATTGTTATTTTCTGTTCCATGTCAAAAATGTTTTCAAATTTTTACCGTTACAATAATTTTTTTCACTTGATGATAATGAATGTTTTTTGAAAAAAAGCTAGTTCAAAATGATTTGATGGATTTTTAATCTATAGATTTCCAGCACATTTTTTCAACCAGAAGTTTCAAGTTTTTAATCTTCAAAAAAAAAATTTTTCAAAACTTGAACTTCATTTCACACACTCAACAAATCAATCGATAAACAAATAAATTTTTAACCTTGCTTTTGCAAAACATGAACATTATAATAGATTTGGCCATCATTATAGTAGCTTCCAGAATCCGCTTCTGTGACTTTTTCAAGAATCAAGTTCTTGCCAACTTTTTTGGTCACTGGAGCTTTTGCCACTTTTTTCTTGGTCTGAAAATTTAACAAAATTTTCAGATTTTTTTGGAGCTTCAGAGCTATAGTCTCAAGCTCAAAACCCCAGGAGACCTGGAAAATCCTTGAGAACCTTGAAGTTCTTCTGAAAGGTTTAGTCTTCTGAAGAAAAATTCCCCAACGGCTATCCTAACGAATATCTCAAGTTAGCCCAACTAACCTTTATATCTTCCCAATATCCACAAGTCTTGGCATTTTTCCCGTTGCAAATTCGATAAACTTGAACACTTCCATTTCCAACAGTTCGTTTGAATTCTTTCGAATTTCCAATATCAAACTCTGCATTTTCTCCAGCATCAAGACTCAATATTGGAAAAGAAGTGGCTAGAATGCAACTAGCACAAACCAATAAAATTGTGAGAAACAAAATACTATTAGTCATGATGATTTTGGTTTTTTTCGGAAACGAACTAGACTCTTTTTATAGTTTCGTTCAAGGTTTCTCATTTTGCTCCGCCCGTTCAACGCGGAAGTTTCAATTCATCTTTGGAATAAGGAAAGGTCTAAGAAAAATGGCTAAAGATCAATTTTGTTTGATGTAATTTTGACATTCTTTAGTAACTGATTTGAATTAGAGATACAGTATTCCTGTGAAAATTTTTGTGAGAAAAATCGGAACATTGGGGGCTCTTTTAAACTGAAATTTTCAGAAAAATATTTCTCAACTTCACACAAATAAAAAATTTGAAGAACAAATGTTTCATGGTAGAATTTTGGTTTAACAAAAATTTCAAGATATTTTATTTCACAAAAAATAGATGTACAATGTTAATATAAAATAACTACGGTAGCTGATGTTCAAATAGGGTTTTTAGCTTCAAATTCATGAGTACTGTAGGTGACATTAAATTTGATTTTTTGGGATTTAAATTCGTGAGTACTGTAGGTGACTGGATGTTTTTTGTGCGAAATTTTAAACACAGTTTTTTGAAATATATCAGGATTTTAAAAAAACAAATGGAAATTTGTAGACAAAAATTTCAAATTTTAGAAATTCTCTTGGGTTGCCGATGATGTTGGAATTTTTGACGACCAATTTTTGAGTAGACTCTATTTTTTTACTTGTATATTTTTTTTTCAACTGAAAATTACTGGTATATTTTTCATGAGGAAAATTGAATTTCGATTTTCAGCTTCATCTTGCTGGAATTTCAATTTTCTCACATTCAGAAATCAGAAAAAAAAATCTCCAAACTAAAACTTTATTCCAAACATTCAAAAAATCAATCGATAAATACATAGATCAAAATATTTATCAACCTTGAACTATATCCAAAACATGAACAGAATAATAAATTTGGCCATCATTATAGTAGTTTCCTGAATCCTCGTCTGTCACTTTTTCAAGAACCAAATTGTTCCCAACTTTTTTGGTCACTGGAGCTTTTGCCACCTTTTTTCTTGGTCTGAAAATTGAAAAATTTAAGCATGTTAGCAATGCTTTTTGAAGCTTTTGAGGATTTTTTCAGTTACCCCAACTTCTTACACAACAAGTTCGCCCAACTAACCTTTGTATCTTCCCAATATCCACAAGTCTTGGCATTTTTCCCATTGCAAATTCTATAGATTTGAATACCTCCAGCTTTTCCAACAGATCGTTTGAATTCTTTCGAATCTCCGATTCCAATCTCTGCATTTTCTCCAGCATTGAAAGTCAATAATGGAACAGAGGCTAGAATTAAACTAGCCAAGACGAATAAAATTGTGAAAGATAGTGTACAGTTGGTCATTTTGATATCAAAATGAAGGGGGTATTTTGAATTGAACACTTTTTATACTGCCCCAAGAGATGTGCTATATCGTTCAAGGTTTTTCATATAAACAACAAGGAAGTTCTGACAGATATTATCTCTTTTTCTTTTTTTTTGGAAAAAGAAAATTGAAAAGGTCATGTTCTTGTGTAGAACAAAGATCGATTATTTCTCAAAAACAAAAAAAAATAAAAAACATTGCATCGGGCGGGATCCGAACCCGCCACCTTTCGGCGCACAATCCAGCGCTCTACCCCAACACCACACGTCACACATTTTCCCCTGTTCAAAATTGCCTTTAAATGAAGGCCTGCCTCTCAAACAAGCTTGTCGTGTTGAAGAACGGTTTTACAACAAGTAAACACATCAAAATGACCGTAATTTCATTCTCTTTTCAATGAAAGAGGTCCCGCCGAATTTCCGTGAAGTAAAAAAATAGTTGGAAGTCAATTTTTCAAACACATCTTCAAATACAAAAATTTATGATCGAGAGTGGTAAGATTTCGAGCTTGCAAAACCAGAAAAATGACCTCACAGTCTCCTGTGTTCTCCAGAATTTTTTTATTTTATTTTTTCGATAATTTTCTAGTTGTTATTAGCTTTTCAGTGAAATTTCGAGCTTCCAAAACCAGAAAAACCAGATTCAAATAGCAGCGATAAATATTGACAGATTCATTTGTATGCACATAATTACTTACAATACTTCTTAAACTACTGTGTATCTCTTCGCTTACTCAAACATTTTTCACACATTAATAAAGATCCAATGAAGACAACAATCGCTCCTCTGAAAATTTTTCAGAATGTTACTTGATTCCAAAAAAAAATAGAGAAAACTTACATAACACCAGCGGCAGCTGTATAATATGAGCAACAATCAAGATCACAACAATAATTCATGCCTTTGCATCCAAAAATAATTTTTTGCGGAACAGTTCCATTTGGAAGTGTTGAATTGTACAACTCCTCATCGGATTCTTGAATTTCGTAGGAGCATTGTTTTGGCCTATCTTTGTGCGGCTTATAAAATCCATCCCAATAATAATTGTTCGAGTTATAACTAAAATTTCCGGTTACATTTATCCGTGGCAAAAATAGGAACTCACATAATTGGCCTTGTTGGAGATAGAATCATATTTGATGTAGAACCCTTGGCAAACTGAAAATGATCTTTTGACTCTGACACAAATCCCTTGTGAAACTTCGATTGCACACGACGTCTTTCAACTCCGAGTCTCCAATTTCGAGACTTTGCAAAATCCAGTTTCGCCTGTGCCATAGTTTTAGTCCTTTTTTTTCCCTCTACATAAACGTCATCGAAAAAAACGAATAGTAAAAATAAAGAAAATAACTTCATTGTGGTTGCTGTTGTAGTTAATGTGATCAATCAATTAGTTCACATAACGGAGAAAAAATAGCAGTAAAGAAGAAATATGTTTTTTCAGATAAGAGAAAAAATTGTTCGACCTTCTTCTCTTCCTTATTGTAAAAATAAAGGAAATGGTTTTCGATTTGTTCAATTACCGCCCTTTTTTTGGGAATTCTGGAATAGATATAGATAAAATCAATAATTAAAACATAGAAAACCAGAACTGATGTTCAGATATTTTATCCAGATCAAGGTGGTCCCGATCCAACTTGATACTTGTGGGGTGAAAGAGAAAGATAGAGAGTTTGGAGACGCAGAGAAAGTGTTTTCTGGGAAACTAGTGGTTCCTGGGCGCCATGTTTTTAAACATTTAAAAATTTATTCATTCTTCACCCGGCCATGATTGCAAAACCAGAAGAACGACCTCACAGTCTCCTGTGTTCTCTAGAATTATTTCATTTTATTTTTCGATAATTTTCCAGTTGATATTAGCTTTTCAGTGAAATTTCTAGCTTACAAAACCAGAAAAATGAAAAAATGACCTCACAGTTTCCTTTTTTCTCTAGAAATAATTATTCTCAAAAAAAAAAAAATAAAATATAAAAAACATTGCATCGGGCGGGATTCGATCCGATCACCTCTCGGCGCACAATCCAGCGCTCTACCCCAACACCACCAGTCTCACATTTTCTCCTGTTCAAAATTGCCTTTAAATGAAGGCCTGCCTCTCAAACAAGCTTGTCGCTTTCAGGAAAGATTTTGCAACAAGTAAACACATCAAAATGACCGTATTTCCATTCTCTTTTCAATGAACGAAGTCCCGCAAAATTCTGAAAAGCCGGAGAAGAATTGGAAGTCATTTTAAGAAACACATCTTCAAATAGAAAAATTTATTCTTGCGTTTACAAATTCATAAGTCGATAGTCGATTTTGTCACCGGCAGCTAAAATGGTTGATTACATTAGCTTTTTCGTATTTTTTAACAGCTAGAAAAACAATAAAACCTCTTATTATCTTCAGATTTCATGTATATAACAAAAAAAAAAATATGAAGAAATTTTTTTTTTTGAAAATTCTCATTTTTCTTTTGATGTTATATACATGAAACCTAAAGATAATGAGGGGGTTTTATGATTGTTCTAGCTGTTAAAAAACATGAAAAAGCTAATGTAATCAGCCATTTTAGCCGCCGGTGACAAAATCGACTTTCAACTTATGAATTTGATAAGGCGTTTTTCAACAAAAAAGGTGAAATTACTTTCATCACTCGAAAGTCGATTTTGTCATCGGCGGCTAAAATGGCTGATTACATTAGCTTTTTCATGTTTTTTAACAGCTAGAACAATCATAAAACCCCTCATTATCTTTAGATTTCATATCTGAAACTTCGAAAGAAAAATTAGAATTTTCATTTAAAAAATTTCATCAACTAGAGGAAAATATTCAAGCTCTCGAGTAAAATTCTAAGCCAAGGGTTTGATGGAAGAAGTTCTTTTATTTATTTTCTGATTTGTTTTTCTCAAACACATGTTTTCCCAAAAAAGTTTTATTATCCCGCTAAAATAATAATTATGAAAATGCATAATACAGATCTATTAGTGTCACTCAAAGACACCACACACAAAAAAAATTGGATCCCTTGGATCAATAAAAACACGGGGAATTCGGATTCCCAAAGAGGAGTCCCAAAATAAAAATGCATTTGGAAATGCTAGAGATCGGGGACGAGAATACAAATAAATTTGGACAATAATATTACAAATCCAAGAAAATTGAGAGAGCGGGGTTGGAAACGGGAAAATGCGAGTAAAAATAATGAAAATGATAAAGGGGGCGAAGAAAAATATCAAAAGTGGGAGGTACAAATAAAAAATAGTGTTTCGGGGAGGACAAAAAATGAAGAGAACAATCGCGAAACATACTCAACGTCTTTGGCGACGTTTCGGAGCAGCAGTTGATGTCGATGGTCTTTGTCCATCATCCGACGATTGAGTCTCGTCGCCTGAATCCTGTGTCCTGTTCTCGCGAACTGATTGGCGGCGACGTGATTCGGAAGCCTGAAAAAAGACAGAATTGAATGAATGAAAATGTATTGAGATTTGAAACTAACCGATTGTGTACGATCACTGCGCATATGTCCATATCGGTGGAATGTTGGATCGATTTGACAATTCGTCTCCCCTTCTGTGATGCCACATCGAACATAAGGCACCTGAAATAATTCAATTTCTGGTACACTTTTGAAAATTGAAATTCATCAAGTTTTTTTGGTGTCATTTTTTAGCGGAAAAATTCAAAAAAAAAAACTTACTTCCGGAAAACTCTCGAATTTTGGCACAGAACGGTTTCGGCGCGGTTGATGTTGTGGAGAGCGAGATGGGCGAGTTGATTGTGCTGAAGCTGCTCGATTTGTGGCGCGGAATGAATTATCAGATCTTCGCTGATTTCTGGGTGGAGGAGTTGGGGTGTTGTGGTTATACTCCTCGTCTTCTTCTCGATCTTCATCGGAACTTCTGCGTCTTCTCGAATCTCTTGGAGAAGATCTTCCTCTTCTAGAACTTCTTGGCGAAGATCTGCGTCTTCTTGAATCTCTTGGTGAAGCCGTTCCTCTTCTCGCATTTCTCGCCGGACTTCTCCCTCTCGAATTTCTCGCCGGACTTCTTCCTCTCGAATTTCGCGGTGACGGTGAATGGTGATAAGATTCGTCTTCATCATCATCAGTTGGTTCATCATCATTTCCGCGTCTTCCATTTGCATTTCCACGACTTCCTGTATTCGCATTTCTCGGTGTTGGTGGTTTTGGAGGAGCTGGCGCTTTCTTTGGTGGAGCTTTTTTCGGTGGCGGTTTCTTCGCTGGAGCTTTTTTAGCCGGAGCTTTCTTCGTGGTCGTTTTCGATTTTCCTTTACCTTTCAATAAGTTCTTGACGACATTGACGGCTTGAGTGATGCGAGGCGGCTGGAAAAAAATGGATTATTCAATTTGTTTTCTAAGTTCTCTAGGCTCTCTAAGTTTCTAAACTCTCTAACTACACATCTCAAAAATAAAAATAAACTAACATCTGGGTCGAGGTAGTAGGCCGTGACCTCGTTGACCGGCAGTCCTTCCCGAACCCGCCTCGCAGCTTCGGCAGTTCTCGCAGGAAGTGTTTGGCTTCGGGTGATACGAGGCTCCGGCGGTGTGTTTTGAACTCGAGAACGACTTTGGCGAGTTGTCGAATTTGAACGTCGCGGAGCTCTTGGAGTTGGAGTTTGTGGTGGAGGCGAAGATCGTCTTCTGTTCGGCTGAAAAATTATGAAAATTATTCAAATGTCTCTTTTTTCATGATATTATTTTTGATATTTTTTTCTACTTCAAAATCGCAAAATTTTGTGGTGGATTTTTGACGCCAAAAAGTTTGGAACCAAGAAAAACCCAACATTTTTTTCATTTTTCTGGGATCACAGTTTTTATTGAAGTTTGAAATGCCTCTCCTTCTATGAGATTTCTAAAAAAGTTTATAGAAGTGTCTATAAACTGGAGAAAAAAATAAAACATCTACATTTTCTAGGGTATCTGGGAGGTACTGGAAGCTTGGGAGATTTCTACAAGATCCTCAAATGATAACAAATTTCGGGAAGAATTCAACAAGATCTGAGAAATTTCTAAAAGTTCACTAACAGACCTGGGAGGTACTAGAAGCTCAGGGTTATTTCTGAAGGCCCGAGACAAATTCTAGAGTATTTTTGGAAGCTCGTGAAATTTCAGAAAGTTCTGGAAAATTTCTAGAAAGTCAAAAAAAGTTCCAGTAAGTCAGAGAAGAACTCAACAAGGGATAGGGAATTTCTAAAGCTCGTTCAGATTCTGAAGGCTCTGGGAGATTCCAAGAAGCTCATAAAAGTGTCTATAAGTTGGAGAAGAAATCTACTAGAATTGTGAAAACTTGGACGGATTCTGAAGACTTTGGGATACTCCTAGAAGCCTGAAAACTTTCCTATAAGTCAGGGAAAAATTCAACAAGAAGAACTGCGGTTTTTCTAAAAGCTCGTGAAATTTCTGGGAAATTCCTAGAAGTTCGAAAAGATTTTATAAGTCAGAGAAAAAGTTCACAAGGTTTGGGCTATTTCTGAAAGTTTGTGCAAATTCAAAAGGGTCTGAGAGATTCCAAGATGCTCATAAAAGTGAGAGAGAAAATCAACAAAGTCTGGAATATTTCTACAAGCTCTTACAGATTCTGATTGCTTTGAGAAATTCCTAGAAGCCTAAAAAAGAGAAGTCAGAGAAGAGTGATGCATCTTTGCTGGACCTTAAGTATTAGTTGTAAACCTAACCTACGCGCGAAAACAAGAAAAAATAATGAGAAGTGTTAAAAGGTGTATAAATAAAACTATTTGTGAGAACATGTAGAGTGGAGGGAGGCGAGAGAGGAAGAGTAGATGAGAGAGTGAGGAAAATATAGAGAACATTAGTGAGAGGAAGGAGGAAATTATTGATAGAATAAAAACAAACAAGAAAAAAATTGAGGTTTCTCTAAAGCTCGTGCACCTTCTGAATGATCTTGGAGATTCCTGGATAATCACAAAATTGTCTATTTGTCAGAGTAAAATTAAAAAAGAGAATAGGGTAACTTCAAACGCTCATGCAAAGTCTGAACTTCTATAAGTTTCTATAAGACAGAGAAGAATTGAACGAAGCGTGGAGAATTTCTGAAAGCTAGTGAAAATTCAGAATGGTTCTGGGAGATTTTTAAGAAACGTTTCTACGACTCAGATAAAAAATAAACAAGGTCTCGGAGATTCTGAAAACTTTGGGAGCTTACTGAAAGCCCAAAAAAGTTCCTATAAGTTAGAGAAAAATTTAACAAAAACTGAGGTTTCTCTAAAAGCTCGTGCAACCTCTGAATGATCTTGGAGATTCCGGGAATATCACAAAAATGTCTATCAGCCAGAGAACAAATTTACAAGGTTTAGGCTATTTCTTAAAACTTGTGTAACTTCTGAAGGCTCTGGAAGATTCCTAGAAACTCAAAAAACTGTCTATAAGTTAGAGAAGAAATCTATAAAATCTAGGGTAACTCTGAAAGTTCGTGCAACTGTGCCAGAAAAATCTACAAGGTTGAGGCTATTTCTTAAAGCTTGTGTAACTTCTGAAGGCTCTGGAAGATTCCCAGAAGCTCAAACAACTGTCTATTTGCCAGAGAAAAAATCAACAAGATCTAGGATAACTCTAAAAGCTCATGCAAAGTCTGAACTTCTATAAGTTTCTATAAGACAGAGAAGAATTGAACGGAGGCTGGAGAATTTCTGAAAGCTAGTGAGAATTCTGAAGGTTTTGGGAGATTCCAAAAACCTTACAAAATGTCTATAAGTTAAAGAAGAAATCTACAAGATCTAGGAACTTTCTAAAAACTCGTGATGATTCAGAGGCTATGAGGGATTCTTGGGATCTCACCGGAGTATCTACGAGTAAGAAAAACTATCTACAAAGTTAAAAGCTTTTTTCTAAAAGGTTGGGGATATTCTAAGATTCTAGAAGAGTCTACAAGTTCGATTAGAACTCAACAAAAATTGGGCTATTTCTGAAAGTTTGTTGGAGGCTTCGGAAGATTTCTAGAAGCTCATGGAATATCCTATCAGCCAGAGAAAAAGAGGTATTTCTAAAAGCTTATGCCGATTCAGAAAAATCTGGGAGATTCGTCAAAGTTCATGAAAGTGAGAGAAAAATCAACAAAGTCTGGGAAAATTCAGAAAACTCTAGGAGATTATTACATTTAGAAGCCCAAAAAAAGTTCCTATAAGTTCGAGAAAAATTTAACAAAAACTGAGGTTTCTCTAAAAGCTCGTGCAACTTCTGAATGATTTTGGAGATTCCTGGAAGATCACAAAAATGCCTGACAGCCAGAGAAGAAATCTACAAGGTTTAGGCTATTTCTATGAGCTTGTGTAGCTTCTGAAAGCTCTTGGAGATTTCTATAAGCTCAAACAATTGTCTATAAGTTAGAGAAGAAATTCACTAGAACTGTGAAAACTTTGGCGGATTCTAAAGACTTTGGGAGCTTGCTGGAAGCCTAAAAAAATTGCTATAAGTCCGAGAAGAACTCAACAAAGTCTGAAATTGTTCTACAACCTCGCGCAAATTCAGAAGGCTCTGAAAGACTTTTAGAAGCTAAACAAAGTTTATATTTTTCAGCGAAGAGTTCAACAATTTCTGGGGTATTTCTAAAAGCATGTTCTAATTCTGAAGACAAGAAAGCCCGAAAAATAGAGGAAAGAAGTCTGGGAAAAATGCTATAAGCCCTAGTAATATGTAAACTAAAAAAGTCATTAAAAACTGTAACTCCAGAAAAATAAAATGAAAAAAAAATCAATCAAAAAATTTCAGACAATAAATCAGCAGAAAAAATCAGAAAGAAAAATCTGCAGAAAAAATCAGCAGAAAAAAATCAGAAAAAAAAATCAGAAAGAAAAAATTCAGACACAAAATCAGAAGAAAAATTCAGACAAAAAATCAGCAGAAAAAAAATCAGAAGAAAAAAATCAGAAAGAAAAATCAGCAGAAAAAGTAAAATAAAAAATCAGACAAAAAATCAGCAGAATAAATTTCAGACAAAAAATCAGCAGAAAAAAATCAGACAAAAATATTCAACAAGAAATTTTTGACACGTCATCGAAAATTTCAAATTCATATATTTTGGTCCAAAGCTATAACATGAAATTCAAATTTTTGTGACTAAAAGCTTTTGGGGCAAAAAATATGAATATGAAATTGTTTGATGGCGTGTTGAAAATTGGCGGGAAATGTAGATTTTTTGAACTTTCAATTCAGTGATTCACGTAATAAAAAAACGTTTTTTAACGTTGAAAAACCAAAAAAACTGAAACACGAACAGTATTTTCATTAATTTTTCTAAACCAATTTCTCAACACATTCTTAACTGAAAAAAGTGAAGCTAAAACGCATTTCAGTGTCCAGAAATGATATTTCAAGGCCTTCTAATAAGCCTAAAGGACAAATTAAGCCTTACGTCTCATAAAAAATGAAATTGGTGACTTTCGAAACATTTCGAAATGTTTCGAAACATTTCGAAAATCAAAAATGTGATTTTAAAGGATTGATATGTATTTAGACTTATTGAAAGACTTTTGGATGAAATTTCTGGACACTTAAATGCGTTTTAAAGACAAATACAGCCTAACATCTCCCAAAAAGTGATTTTCGAAACATTTCGAATAGTTTCGAAAGTCAACACTGTTCGAAGAATTCAAAATTTCTAAATTTCCCGCCAATTTTCTGAACATGTCAATGAAATTCTGCCAAAATGTTTCGAATTCAAACATTTTTTCACAGTTTTTTCACTAAAACTTTCTAAAAAGAAATGATTTTCCACCCGAAATTTAGATTTTTAGTTTCATTCCAAGATTCTCAAACAAAAGTTCAATTTCGAAAACATTTGCCGAAATTTCAAAGACATGTTACAATTTTTCCTAGGTTTTCAAAACATAAATAAACTAACCTGCTTCTCCTTTGATTTGGCTGCGGCCGTGGTCTTGGTGGGCTTTTTCGGAGGCATCTGGACAAATCTCGATCGAAGTTGGCGAACACGGAGCTGCAAAACAATGTTTAAATTACAAATTCATCAAAGAAACAACGAAAAGAAAAAGAAGAAGCAAAAAAAACCAACAAAATTGAGCGAAAATGAGAGAAAATGAAAAAGTGAAGTGATTTTAGGAGAGAGAAAAATAATTTGTAGGATAGGCGGCGTGGGTTGGGTCTCGAGTGGAAGACCGCAGCGGCGGAAATTCAAATCGAATTATTTGGGCGGCAATTTGAATTTGAATATTTTATGAAGAGATGGAATGAATGAGATGGATTCAGAAGGCCTATGGGGGATTCTGAAGGCCTATGGGGGATTCTGAAGGTCTATGGGGGATTCTGAAGGCCTATGGGGGGATTCTGAAGGCCTATGGGGGATTCAGAAGGCCTATGGGGGATTCAGAAGGCCTAGGGGGCTTCAGAAGGCCTAGGGGGCTTCAGAAGGCCTATGGGGCTTCAGAAGGCGTATGGGGGATTCAGAAGGCCTATGGGGCTTCAGAAGGCCTGTGGGGCTCCAGAAGGCCTGTGGGGCTTCAGAAGGCCTATGGGGGATTCAGAAGGCCGATGAGGCTTCAGAAGGCCTATGGGGCTTCAGAAGGCCTATGGGGATTCAGAAGGCATATGAAGGGCTGAGAAGGCCTATGGAGGATTCAGAAGGCACATGAAGGATTCTGAATCCTTCTGAATCCTCGACAGGCCTTCTGAATCCTTCATGCTTCAAAATCCGAAATTCGACAAAACCTAATCAAAAACAATTGAAAAAATCAACGAAAATTGAAAAAATAACTTATAGAAACAAGAAAAATAAAAAGATTTCACAGGCAGAATGTATTCTAGAACAATCTAGAAAATTCTGACAGATTTTACTAGAAAAAAAATGAAAAATCTCGAAATTTAATGGAAAAAAGGCAAAAAACAACGCAAACAGAAAACTATATTCAAAATATGCGATGAGGAAGAAAAGGAGGAAGGAGGACACACAAAAAGCGTCAGCCCAGCGCAGTTGGCGCATTTGGTGTGCACACAAAAAGAGAAAAGAGGAAAAAAACGAAAAAGAACAAGGAAAATGAAAATGAATGAAATTAAAATTTTGTGAGCAAAAATGAATGAAGTGAAGTTAAGAGAAACGGAAAGTAATGAGTTGATAAAATAGAATATTTTTTCCTGCCAAATTTCATAAAAAAGTTTTTTTCTATTGCATAAATTTTTGTGGGAACTTTCCTATGAACTTGAGCTTGAGGAGGCGGTCATTTTGATGTATATACTTGAGGGTTCGACACTCGGTCGGAACCAATATTTTTTTTTAAATTTTTTTCATGGATCTGTGTGGTTCTGAACAGGTAGGTTGTGAGTTTACGATAATAGGGACTCAATTTTTCGAAAACTTTTCGAGTTTCTTCATCAATGCTTTTGACAATGGTCAGTGCTTTCAAAGTGTGATCACAGAACATTTTCAAAAATTTTCATCGAAAAGATGGTAGGTTTTAAGAATACAAAAAATCCTGCATCAAAACAAACCAAAAAATAACCGTGAAAATAACTTCAATATCTGGTAATCGTGAAAGAAACAGAACAAAACACGAAAAATGATGCAAGAAAATAATCTATATGTGTTTGTTTGTCTGCGTCTTTTCTCGAAATCTCGTCTCAAAATGAGAATTTAAAAAAATATTAGCTTTTCAGTGAGATTTCATGCTTATGGGGCTATTCAACAAAATAAAAACGGTTTTCTCAGCGCTGAGAAAGTAGGAAAAAACATATTCAGCGCGGCTGAGAAAAGCGGAGAAAATAGGAGAAAAAACCCTTTTCTCCACCGACATACTGTAGTTTTCGTGGCGAGAAGCAAACAAAAATATTATGTTCCTTTGACCTTTTGGTGATTACTGTAGGTTGTCGCGTTGAGACCATTCGAAACAATTCGATGATCCTTGATTTTGTGTTGTTTTTTCATTTAATTTCGGCCTAAACTTTTTGTTATCTTACGAAATTGTTGTTATCTCACGAAAATGAACGGGTCTGATGTTATTTCGGTCGATCCACCCGCAAAAAAAGCCCGTGGTAGACCATCAAAATTGGCTGCAAATGCAAAATGGAATGATGTAAGTTTTCTTGTCATTAAAAATAATAAATTCATGTTTTGATTTCAGTATGAAACCGAAGACCTCAAACTCTTGGCATGCTACGTTGAAGAAAATGAAGTGATTTGGGATAGCCAAAACCACAACTATCATCGACGTGAGGTGACAAATCCGGTGTGGTACAACATCGAAAAAAACGTGAAATTTATAAGGAGCGATGGGCATCAATATGGTGAGAATTTTTATAAAACATATGACAATTTTTGTAATTATAGGTGGTTCGACCAAAAGATTGTTCGATCAACTTATCAATAGATTCAAATTTTACCATTCAAAAATGCACCATCCAGCTTCTGGCCATTTACCATGGGAATTGTGCGAAGTTCTAGATGAATTTCCAATTTACGAGGATTTATTGTTTCTTGAGAGAAATCTGAGAAATCGAGAAGTTACGATGTTAGTTTGAAAATTGGAAAAAAAACTGTTTTATCAAAAACTTTCAGCACATGGCAATCTGAAGTCCCGGAAGGTTGTAAAGGAGATAATAATGGATCCCGCGACCCACCTTCTCCGCCTACAAAAAAATCGAGATTTTCCACAACGCCTGAGTCGCAGCCAAAAAAGAGAGGTCAGTTTTGATAGAAAAATCTACTTACCATAAGTTCAATATTCCAGAAACAACCCGAGACAAGTGCTTGATTATGATGGAAAAGAACAACGCTGCACAACTCGGGATGTTGGAAAAACTTTTGTGCTCATCTCAAAAATCCGAAGATCGTGTTCAAACCCCAAAACAAGATGAACTCACGGAGACTTTCAACAATTTGCGAATTATTTTCGATGAATTGGATCAATTCGCCAAAATTTCATTCAAGGCGAAAATCGTTGCCGAGGCGATTAATATTCGAGATGAGGCAGAGAGAAAGAAGAATCTTGGTCAAAGACAACCTTGGCCGATGCAAGAGGATCCGTTTCTTATAAATATCCATTGATTTCTTTCGGATTTTTAGTTTTTGTTATTGTTATTCTTAATGATACATAAACAATTGTTAACAAAAATTCATTCGTTTTCACTTGTTGAATCAAAAATATTGAAGAATTTATTATAAATTAAAGTTTTTCATGCAAACGTTGCCTGAAAAGTTTTCCCGATTCTCTAGGTGCCACGTGGTTTGTTGTGAGAATGGGAAGAGTTCCGGGTTCGCCAAACTGACTGTTATAAATAACAGATGCCGCAATTACCGCCAATTGATTTTGTGTCATATCAAGGTCTAATGGTCTGTTGAATAAACGAAACTTTTGGGTAATTCTTCCAAATAAATTCTCCACAAGTACTCGTTGATTTGATAAGTGTTTGTTGAACATATCTTTTTCTGGATTAAGCTCGGTTTGGCGAAAAGGAACCAGTAATTGAGGCGTTAACGCAAATCCACCATCTCCCAGAAGAAATGAATCACATATAAAATGTTCGTGGTGTTTAATTGGTGGTGGAAAATTTTGTTTTTTTTCCAGAAGTTTTGAAATGGGGCCAGCGTTGAACATTTGACCATCTGAGTGGCATCCATTTTTGCTCAATTGAATATAAATTATCCTAGCTTCATTGTCCACCACAAAAAGACTGTTGAAGGCGAATCTCGATTTATATGACATATTGAGAGTTCCTGTTCCAGGCGGTCTATTCACATACCATAATTTACCATCAATTTGACCAAATGACGGAATTTTATTCTTTGTTAAGTCTTGTTGATATGCAATTTGTTCAGCTGTCGGCCATTTAATTGTCTCTCCGAACTTTTCGCAAATATCATCAAACCCTTGCCGCAAAATTCTTGAAATCGATGGCTGACTTATGCCTGACCACAGGGCGATCGCATTCTGACTAACTCCTGGAAGATGATTTCAGATGATTTTTTTTGTCACAAATAAGTGTTCCTTACCTTTTGTCAAAAATATAAGAATAACAGCAAGTCTCAAATCATTGTCAAATTTCGAGCAAACCACTGGTCTTAGCATTTTACTGATTTTGTCAAATGTTTCGACATCCAAAAACAGAAATATCTGAAATAATGAGAAATTAGCAATTAATTATTTGATTATTTAACATTACCTCCAATTTATCCATTTTAATAAATGCATCCAAAGTTTCCCTGAAGTGAGCGAAATTCTTTTGATTAACTTCAACTAGTTGGTTCGACAAATATGACTCCATTCGCAATACTTCGGTGAATCGCTGCTGCGAAATGTTTAACAACATCAACATGACTGCATCAGTTTTTGATTTTTGATTTATCTTCGACAATTCCATTGTAGCACCACGAAATGCACGTTTTAGGGCGAAATGTGATAAAAAACAACACAAAATCAAGGATCATCGAATTGTTTCGAATGGTCTCAACGCGACAACCTACAGTAATCACCAAAAGGTCAAAGGAACATAATATTTTTGTTTGCTTCTCGCCACGAAAACTACAGTATGTCGGTGGAGAAAAGGGTTTTTTTCTCCTATTTTCTCCGCTTTTCTCAGCCGCGCTGAATATGTTTTTTCCTACTTTCTCAGCGCTGAGAAAACCGTTTTTATTTTGTTGAATAGCCCCATTACAAAATCACAAAAATCACTTCACAGTCTACTGTTTTCTCTGGAAAAAATTCATATTATTTTTCGATAATTTTCTAGTTGATATTAGCTTTTCACTAATTTTTCATGCGAGTATTCCCGACCCGGGTCTCTTCCAAAACCTCAAAAATCACTTCACAGTCTACTATTTTCTTTAGAAAAAATTCATATTATTTTTCGATAATTTTCTAGTTGATATTAGCTTTTCAGTAATTTTTCATGCGAGTATTCCCGACCCGGGTCGCTTCCAAAACCAATTGTGGATTACGGTTGGACTTTTTGGCTTCAGAGTGATGAGTACTGTAGCTGGAAATGAACTGGATTTTTTGAGGTGAAATTGTGGATTATGGTTGGACTTTTTGGCTTCAGAGTGATGAGTACTGTAGCTGGAAATGAACTGGATTTTTTTGTGGTGAAATTGTGGATTATGGTTGGACTTTTTCACTTCTCAGACTTCTCTTAATCTTTCCGGCTTCTCAGAATTTTTCGGGACCTCTTTCATTGAAGAGAGCATGAAAATGCGGTCATTTTGATGTATTTACATGTTGCAAAACCGTTCTTCAACGCGACAAGCCTGTTTGAGAGGCAGGCCTTCATTTAAAGGCAATTTTGAACAGGAGAAAATGTGAGACGTGTGGTGTTGGGGTAGAGCGCTGGATTGTGCGCCGAGAGGTGGTGGGTTCAGATTCCGCCTGATGCAATGTTTTTTTATTTTTTTTTTATTTTTTAGAATAATGTTCCTGGGGACACTGTAGCTTGGAATAAATTGAATTTTTTGACGCCAAAAGGTCTGGTGTACTGTAGTTCGGCTGCATAAGGCTTGAGAAGGCTTGGCTACCGTAGGGGTTTTAGGCTTGATTTTTGACAAAAAAGGGAAAGAAATATTGGAGTATGTTGAGTGAAATTGCAAATTTAAATAGTTCTTGCACCCAAGTTCAAGTTTTGAGCGAATCATGACACTTTTATCATAAGTCGTTCAATGTTTGATATCAAAATGTGAAGAGGAAGAGAAAAAACCCTTCCTCTTCCAGGCTGTTTTGATGACAAAGGGGTAGAAATATTGGAGTATGTTGAGTGAAATTGCAAATTTAAATAGTTCTTGCACTCAAGTTCAAGATTTGAGCGAATCATGACACATTTATCATAAGTCGGCCAGTGTTTGATATCAAAATATGAGCTGATGGGTAGTTTGATTGCATAAAGTCATCTGATTGTCTTCCAAAATCTCAAATAAATTCCCAAGTTGCCTCAAAAGCCTCCTGAAGACTTCTGAAGCCTCCGAAACTTTCCTGAAGCCTTCCCAAGCCTCCTGAAATTATCTGAAGTCTTTTGAAGCCTCTAAAGCATCTGAAGTCTTCTTATGTCTTCTGAAGCCTTCTCAAGCTTTCTCGAGCTCACTGAAGTTAAACTACAGTACCCCAGAGCTCATGGCGTCAAAAAATTCAATTTATTTCAAGCTACAGTACCCCTTGAACATATTTAACAAAAACAAAAAAAAATAAAAATGATTGCACCGGTCAGGGATCGAACCCACCACCTCTCGGCGCACAATCCAGCGCTCTACCCCTACTCCATCAGGCACACACTCGACGCCATGCGAAATTGCCTTTTTATGAAGCCCTCGCGCTCTCGAAAACAAATGGAAAAAAAAATCGACCCTTCTAGAATGTTCTAGAAGGAAAAAAATTAATTTTGCGTGAAAAAATGAGGAAATAGATGCCCTAGTTTTATTTTTTTCAGTGCCATTTTTGTGTGGTTTTTGATTTGCGTCTGTATTTGCGCCTTGATTTTTCTATTTTATTCGAACTTTTATCGCTAAAAATTCATTATGCCAAAGAAGATGTTGACAAGAGCAGAAAGAGCGAAAAAGAAGGAGAAGAAGACAACTGGCGAGGTGGTGGCGCCAAACAAGACGGGGCAATGGATGTACACCCCACCAGTGAGTTTTTTTGCAGAATTTCGAGAGAAATAGTGTAGAAAAATGAGAGAGTGTGGAGTGAGAGAGAGAGAAATTTGTTCTAGAGACAAAACAATGTTTTTTCAGCCTCGCCAGGTTCGCCCCAATGCGTCAACTCCTCACACCACCCATGGCAATGCCAATTTCGAGCGTTATAGCTCGGATGAAACCGAAGTTTTTGATGAGGTTCGAGATCCTCCGGTAGATGTCGTGGTCGAAATCTTGCCTCAAGTTCCTGCTGCAGTTGCTCCGATTGAGCCCGAGCCCGTTGTGGAGCCGATTCTCGAGGATGTTGTCCAACCAGTTGCCGAGCAAGGTGTTGCGGCCGAGCCAGTTGTTGTTGCTGAGTCGAGTGGTACCGAGTCTGGTGTCGAGGAAGCTGCTCCAGCGCAATTGCCGCGCCGTCGTCGTCGCGCGCGTCGAGGACGCCCACGCCGTAACCGTCGTCCCGCTTTCGTCTACCCAAGAGTGAGTTTTTTTTATTGCAATTCCAGACTTTGTATATGAAATAGAGTTTTTTTCAGCCACCAGTTCTCCTTGGCGACCCGCACGCCGACGAAGTGTTGATCGATGAGTTCTTACCTCTTTCGGAGGATCCGACGCAGTCTGACTAATTTTCTCCCTTGTATTTTCTTTTTGACTTGTATTGCTGATTTTTTCATTGTGATTTGATTACTTGTATTGTGAAATAAAGACTGCTATTTTCAAATGTGTTTGAATAATTGATCATTTTTCGACTTTCATCTCTTCTCCGGCTTCTCAGAATTCTTCGGGACCTCTTTCATTGAAGAGAGCATGAAAATGCGGTCATTTTGATGTATTTACTTGTTGCAAAACCGTTCTTCAACGCGACAAGCTTGTTTGAGAGGCAGGCCTTCATTTAAAGGCAATTTTGAACAGGAGAAAATGTGAGACGTGTGGTGTTGGGGTAGAGCGCTGGATTGTGCGCCGAGAGGTGATGGGTTCGGATCCCGCCCGATGCAATGCTTTTTATTTTTTTTTGTTTTTTAGAATAATGTTCCTTGGGGTACTGTAGGTTGAAATAAATTGAATTTTTAGACGCCAAAAGGTCTGGTGTACTGTAGTTCGGCTGCATAAGGCTTGAAAAGGCTTGGCTACGGTATGGGTTTCAAGCTTGATTTTTGTTAACAAAAGGGAAGAAATAATGGAGTTTGTTGAGTGAAATCGCAAATTTAAATAGTTCTTGCACTCAAGTTCAAGTTTTGAGCGAACCATGATACATTTATCATAAGTCGGCCAGTGTTTGATATCAAAATGTGCAGTGGAAGAGAAAAAACCCTTCTTCTTCCAGGCTGTTTTGATAAAAAGGGAAAGAAATATTGGAGTATGTTGAGTGAAATTGCAAATTTAAATAGTTCTTGCACTCAAGTTCAAGTTTTGAGCGAACCATGACACATTTATCATAAGTCGTTCAATGTTTGATATCAAAATGTGAGCTGATGGGTAGTTTGATTGCATAGAGTCATCTGATTGTCTTCCAAAACCTCAAATAAATTCCCAAGTAGTACTCATCAGTTTGAAGCCAAAAAATCCAACCGTACTCCATATTTTCATCCCAAAAACTCCAGTTCAATCTCACTGCCTTCTGAAGCTAAACTACAGTACCCCAGAACTTCTCAAGCCAAAAAATTCAATTAATTTCGAGCTACAGTACTCCCCAGGAACATATTTAACAAAAACAAAAAAAAAAAATAAAAAGTATTGCATCGGGCGAGATCCGAACCCACCACCTCTCGGCGCACAATCCAGCGCTCTACCCCAACACCAGACGCCTCACATTTTCTCCTGTTCAAAATTGCCTTTAAATGAAGGCCTGCCTCTCAAACAAGCTTGTAGCGTTGAAGAACGGTTTTGCAACATGTAAATACGTCAAAATGACCGCATTTTCATGATCTTTTTCAATGAAAGAGGTCCCACAAAATTCTGAGAAGCTGGAGAAGAGATGGAACTCATTTTTTTATGAAACATATCTTCAAATAGAAAAATTTATTCTCGCGTTTTCAAATTCATAACTCGAAAGTCGATTTTGTCATCGGCGGCTAAAATGGCTGATTACATTAGCTTTTTCATGTTTTTTAACAGCTAGAACAATCATAAAACCCCTCATTATCTCTAGGTTTCATGTATATAACGTCAAAAGTAAAATGAAGAAAATTTTTTTTTTGAAAATTCTCATTTTTCTTTTGATGTTATATACATGAAACTTTGAGATAGTGAGGGGTTTTATGATTGTTCTAGCTGTTAAAAAACATGAAAAAGCTAATGTATTCAGCCATTTTAGCCGCCGATGACAAAATCGACTTTCGAGTGATGAAAGTAATTTCACCTTTTTTGATGAAAAACGCCTTATCAAATTCATAAGTCGAAAGTCGATTTTGTCACCGGCGGCTAAAATGGCTGATTACATTAGCTTTTTCATGTTTTTTAACAGCTAGAACAATCATAAAACCCCTCATTATCTTTAGGTTTCATGTATATAACGTCAAAAGTAAAATGAAGAAAAATTTTTTTTTGAAAATTCTCATTTTACTTTTGATGTTATATACATGAAACCTAAAGATAATGAAGGGTTTTATGATTGTTCTAGCTGTTGAAAAACATGAAAAAGCTAATGTATTCAACCATTTTAGCCGCCGATGACAAAATCGACTTTCGAGTGATGAAAGTAATTTCACCTTTTTTGATGAAAAACGCCTTATCAAATTCATAAGTCGAAAGTCGATTTTGTCATCGGCGGCTAAAATGGCTGATTACATTAGCTTTTTCATGTTTTTTAACAGCTAGAACAATCATAAAACCCCTCATTATCTTTAGGTTTCATGTATATAACATCAAAAGTAAAATGAGGATTTTCAAAAAAAAATTTTTCTTCATTTTACTTTTGACGTTATATACATGAAACCTAAAGATAATGAGGGGTTTTATGATTGTTCTAGCTGTTAAAAATGATGAAAAAGCTAATGTATTCAGCCATTTTAGCCGCCGATGACAAAATCGACTTTCGAGTGATGAAAGTAATTTCACCTTTTTTGTTGAAAAACGCCTTATCAAATTCATAAGTCGAAAGTCGATTTTGTCATCGGCGGCTAAAATGGCTGATTACAATAGCTTTTTCATGTTTTTTAACAGCTAGAACAATCATAAAACCCCTCATTATCTCAAAGTTTCATGTATATAACATCAAAAGTAAAATGAAGAAAAAATTTTTTTTTGAAAATCCTCATTTTACTTTTGATGTTATATACATGAAACCTAAAGATAATGAGGGTTTTATGATTGTTCTAGCTGTTAAAAATGATGAAAAAGCTAATGTATTCAGCCATTTTAGCCGCCGATGACAAAATCGACTTTCGAGTGATGAAAGTAATTTCACCTTTTTTGATGAAAAACGCCTTATCAAATTCATAAGTCGAAAGTCGATTTTGTCATCGGCGGCTAAAATGGCTGATTACATTAGCTTTTTTATGTTTTTTAACAGCTAGAACAATCATAAAAACCCTCATTATCTTTAGGTTTCATGTGAAAAACTTTGAAAGAAAAAAAAAGATAATAATTGGAAGTTTTCAAAAAAAAATTTATTTTGAAGTTTTTCAAAATAAACTACAGTACCCCAGACCTTTTGGCGTCAAAAAATTCATTTTGTTTCAAGCTACAGTGTCCCCAGGAACATTATTCTAAAAAACAAAAAAAAAATAAAAAACATTGCATCGGGCGGGATCCGAACCCACCACCTCTCGGCGCACAATCCAGCGCTCTACCCCAACACCACACGTCTCACATTTTCTCCTGTTCAAAATTGCCTTTAAATGAAGGCCTGCCTCTCAAACAAGCTTGTCGCGTTGAAGAAAGATTTTGCAACAAGTAAATACATCAAAATGACCGGTTTTTCATTCTCTTTTCAATGAAAGAGGTCTCGAAGAAGCCGGAGAAGACGGAGAAGAGATGGAAGTCGAAAAATGATCAACAACCGGATGAAAACATGATGTTTTTTCATTGTATTTTTCAAACACTTTTTCTCACAAAAAAGATTCATTTCACAGTAAAAAGAGGAAGAATATCATGAAGATTGAGACGAATGAAGATTGAGACGAGAAACACTGGAAGATTGAGAAGATCACGCGGCATCACTGTCGCTTTCTCGCTGAGTCTCATCTTCAACAGGAGGAAGAAATAAGTCAATGACGACTTCCCCCTCATGGGGGTCGCCCATCAAAAGAGCAGGCTGAAAAAAAATCAATTTTGAATACAAAGTCTGGAGTTGCTATTGAAAAAACTCACTCTTTCGAAATCGAAATTCCCTCGGCGACGACGCGGTTGACCGCGACGTCTGCGGCGCCTTTGTCGGCGAGCCTCTCTCGCGATTGCTTCAGCAATCGCCTCTTCTTCTGCTGTCTCATCGCCGCTTGATGACGAAGCATCACCACCACCAACAGCTGGACCAACCGGCGCAACTACTCCTTGACCATCAACTTGACCTCCATCATCAACTCTTCCTTGATTCACCGGCTGAACAACATCCTGACGATCTGGCACAGCTACACCACCAACTCCCACATTCTCGCCGCCAACAACACCATTTCCATTCGGTTGAACAACGCCAACTCCATCGACAACAGCATCTTGAGGAACCGGCGGTTGAATTGGCGAATTCGGCTCGGCCACTGGTCCGGCGACCGGACTTCTTCCTACGTCCATCGGCTCTTCTTCCCCAGAAGTATATCTTCGGAAATGGCGATTGCCAAGCGTCGATGTTGCCCCACCAGCATTACGAGGCTGAAAAAACATTGTTTTTAGTTTAAGAAGACATATTTCTCTATCTCTCCACACTCTCCCTTTTTTCTACACTCTCTGTCTCGAAATTCTCGCCTATGAATTCAAATTCTGAAGCAAAACTCACTGGGGTATACAGAAATTGACCCGCGCGACGGACTCTGCCAATTTCGCCTCCTCTTTGCATTCGTTCCGCATTTTGTCGACGTTGAAGGCGTGTCAAAGCTTTTTTCGTCATGTGATGAACCATATTGAGAGCAGAGAATAAAGTTGGAATAGTAGAACAGGAAAAATGGATGAAAAACCAGCGGAATTTCAACAACCAAGACAAAATTGGCACTGACTAAAATAAAACTAGGGCATTTGTTCCCTCATTTTTTTTCACGCAAACACGGAAAAATTAATTTTTTTCCTTCTAGAAAATTCGATTTGCTTCTTTTTCATTTTTTTGAGAGCTGTTGCGGGAAGCCTTCATATAAAGGCAATTTTGAATAGGGAAGAGTGTGTAGGGGGTAGAGCGCTGGACTGGTAGGCGGGAGGTGGTGGGTTCGATCCCTGACCGACGCAAACATTTTTATTTTTTTTTGTTTTTGATAAATATGTTCCTGGGGGTACTGTAGCTTAAGATTAATTGAATTTTTTGACGCCATAAGCTCTGGGGTACTGTAGTTTAGCTTGAGAAAGCATGACAAAGCTTGAGAAGGCTTCAAAAGGCATAAAAAAGGCTTGAGAGGCTTTACAGGCTTCAAGAGGGTTCAGATAATTTCAGGAGGCTTGGGAAGGCTTCAGGAAAGTTTTGGAAGCTTCAGACGGCTTCTGGAGGCTTTTGAGTCAACTTGGGAATTTATTCGAGGTTTTGGAAGACAATCAGATGACTTTATGCAATTAAACTACCCATCAGCTCATATTTTGATATCAAACACTGGTCGACTTATGATAAATGTGTCATGATTCGCTCAAAACTTCAACTTGGGTCCAAGAACTATTTAAATTTGCAATTTCACTCGACATACTCAAATATTTCTTTCCCTTTGTCATCAAATTAGTCTGGAAGAAGAAGGGTTTTTTCTCTTCCTCTTCACATTTTGATATCAAACATTGAGCGACTTATGATAAATGTGTCATGATTCGCTCAAAACTTCAACTTGGGTCCAAGAACTATTTAAATTTGCAATTTCACTCGACATACTCAAATATTTCTTTCCCTTTGTTATCAAAGACTGTCTGGAAGAGGAAGGGTTTTTTCTCTTCCTCTGCACATTTTGATATCAAACACTGGCCGACTTATGATAAATGTGTCATGATTCGCTCAAAACTTTAACTTGGGTCCAAGAACTATTTAAATTTGCGATTTCACTCAACATACTCCAATATTTCTTCACCTTTGTTATTAAATTAGTCTGGAAGAGGAAGGGTTTTTTCTCTTCCTCTTCACATTTTGATATCAAACATTGAGCGACTTATGATAAATGTGTCATGATTCGCTCAAAACTTTAACTTGGGTCCAAGAACTATTTAAATTTGCGATTTCACTCAACATACTCCAATATTTCTTCACCTTTGTCATCAAATTAGTCTGGAAGAAGAAGGGTTTTTTCTCTTCCTCTTCACATTTTGATATCAAACATTGAGCGACTTATGATAAATGTGTCATGATTCGCTCAAAACTTCAACTTGGGTCCAAGAACTATTTAAATTTGCAATTTCACTCGACATACTCAAATATTTCTTTCCCTTTGTTATCAAAGACTGTCTGGAAGAGGAAGGGTTTTTTCTCTTCCTCTGCACATTTTGATATCAAACACTGGCCGACTTATGATAAATGTGTCATGATTCGCTCAAAACTTTAACTTGGGTCCAAGAACTATTTAAATTTGCGATTTCACTCAACATACTCCAATATTTCTTCACCTTTGTTATTAAATTAGTCTGGAAGAGGAAGGGTTTTTTCTCTTCCTCTTCACATTTTGATATCAAACATTGAGCGACTTATGATAAATGTGTCATGATTCGCTCAAAACTTTAACTTGGGTCCAAGAACTATTTAAATTTGCGATTTCACTCAACATACTCCAATATTTCTTCACCTTTGTTATTAAATTAGTCTGGAAGAGGAAGGGTTTTTTCTCTTCCATCTAACATTTTGATATCAAACACTGGTCGAGTTATGATAAATGTGTCATGATTCGCTCAAATCTTTAACTTGGGTCCAAGAACTATTTAAATTTGCGATTTCACTCAACATACTCCAATATTTCTTCACCTTTGTTATTAAATTAGTCTGGAAGAGGAAGGGTTTTTTCTCTTCCATCTAACATTTTGATATCAAACACTGGTCGAGTTATGATAAATGTGTCATGATTCGCTCAAATCTTTAACTTGGGTCCAAGAACTATTTAAATTTGCGATTTCACTCAACATACTCCAATATTTCTTCACCTTTGTTATTAAATTAGTCTGGAAGAGGAAGGGTTTTTGTTCTTCCATCTAACATTTTGATATCAAACCCTGCCCGACTTATGATAAATGTGTCATGATTCGCTCAAAACTTTAACTTGGGTCCAAGAACTATTTAAATTTGCGATTTCACTCAACATACTCCAATATTTCTTCACCTTTGTTATTAAATTAGTCTGGAAGAGGAAGGGTTTTTCTCTTCCTCTTCACATTTTGATATCAAACATTGAGCGACTTATGATAAATGTGTCATGATTCGCTCAAAACTTCAACTTGGGTCCAAGAACTATTTAAATTTGCGATTTCACTCAACATACTCCAATATTTCTTCACCTTTGTTATTAAATTAGTCTGGAAGAGGAAGGGTTTTTGTTCTTCCATCTAACATTTTGATATCAAACCCTGCCCGACTTATGATAAATGTGTCATGATTCGCTCAAATCTTTAACTTGGGTCCAAGAACTATTTAAATTTGCGATTTCACTCAACATACTCCAATATTTCTTCACCTTTGTTATTAAATTAGTCTGGAAGAGGAAGGGTTTTTGTTCTTCCATCTAACATTTTGATATCAAACCCTGCCCGACTTATGATAAATGTGTCATGATTCGCTCAAATCTTTAACTTGGGTCCAAGAACTATTTAAATTTGCGATTTCACTCAACATACTCCAATATTTCTTCACCTTTGTTATTAAATTAGTCTGGAAGAGGAAGGGTTTTTGTTCTTCCATCTAACATTTTGATATCAAACACTGGTCGAGTTATGATAAATGTGTCATGATTCGCTCAAATCTTTAACTTGGGTCCAAGAACTATTTAAATTTGCGATTTCACTCAACATACTCCAATATTTCTTCACCTTTGTTATTAAATTAGTCTGGAAGAGGAAGGGTTTTTTCTCTTCCATCTAACATTTTGATATCAAACACTGGTCGAGTTATGATAAATGTGTCATGATTCGCTCAAATCTTTAACTTGGGTCCAAGAACTATTTAAATTTGCGATTTCACTCAACATACTCCAATATTTCTTCACCTTTGTTATTAAATTAGTCTGGAAGAGGAAGGGTTTTTGTTCTTCCATCTAACATTTTGATATCAAACCCTGCCCGACTTATGATAAATGTGTCATGATTCGCTCAAAACTTTAACTTGGGTCCAAGAACTATTTAAATTTGCGATTTCACTCAACATACTCCAATATTTCTTCACCTTTGTTATTAAATTAGTCTGGAAGAGGAAGGGTTTTTTCTCTTCCTCTTCACATTTTGATATCAAACATTGAGCGACTTATGATAAATGTGTCATGATTCGCTCAAAACTTCAACTTGGGTCCAAGAACTATTTAAATTTGCGATTTCACTCAACATACTCCAATATTTCTTCACCTTTGTTATTAAATTAGTCTGGAAGAGGAAGGGTTTTTGTTCTTCCATCTAACATTTTGATATCAAACCCTGCCCGACTTATGATAAATGTGTCATGATTCGCTCAAATCTTTAACTTGGGTCCAAGAACTATTTAAATTTGCGATTTCACTCAACATACTCCAATATTTCTTCACCTTTGTTATTAAATTAGTCTGGAAGAGGAAGGGTTTTTGTTCTTCCATCTAACATTTTGATATCAAACCCTGCCCGACTTATGATAAATGTGTCATGATTCGCTCAAATCTTTAACTTGGGTCCAAGAACTATTTAAATTTGCGATTTCACTCAACATACTCCAATATTTCTTCACCTTTGTTATTAAATTAGTCTGGAAGAGGAAGGGTTTTTGTTCTTCCATCTAACATTTTGATATCAAACCCTGCCCGACTTATGATAAATGTGTCATGATTCGCTCAAATCTTTAACTTGGGTCCAAGAACTATTTAAATTTGCGATTTCACTCAACATACTCCAATATTTCTTCACCTTTGTTATTAAATTAGTCTGGAAGAGGAAGGGTTTTTTCTCTTCCTCTTCACATTTTGATATCAAACATTGAGCGACTTATGATAAATGTGTCATGATTCGCTCAAAACTTCAACTTGGGTCCAAGAACTATTTAAATTTGCGATTTCACTCAACATACTCCAATATTTCTTCACCTTTGTTATTAAATTAGTCTGGAAGAGGAAGGGTTTTTGTTCTTCCATCTAACATTTTGATATCAAACCCTGCCCGACTTATGATAAATGTGTCATGATTCGCTCAAATCTTTAACTTGGGTCCAAGAACTATTTAAATTTGCGATTTCACTCAACATACTCCAATATTTCTTCACCTTTGTTATTAAATTAGTCTGGAAGAGGAAGGGTTTTTGTTCTTCCATCTAACATTTTGATATCAAACCCTGCCCGACTTATGATAAATGTGTCATGATTCGCTCAAATCTTTAACTTGGGTCCAAGAACTATTTAAATTTGCGATTTCACTCAACATACTCCAATATTTCTTCACCTTTGTTATTAAATTAGTCTGGAAGAGGAAGGGTTTTTGTTCTTCCATCTAACATTTTGATATCAAACCCTGCCCGACTTATGATAAATGTGTCATGATTCGCTCAAATCTTTAACTTGGGTCCAAGAACTATTTAAATTTGCGATTTCACTCAACATACTCCAATATTTCTTCACCTTTGTTATTAAATTAGTCTGGAAGAGGAAGGGTTTTTGTTCTTCCATCTAACATTTTGATATCAAACCCTGCCCGACTTATGATAAATGTGTCATGATTCGCTCAAAACTTTAACTTGGGTCCAAGAACTATTTAAATTTGCGATTTCACTCAACATACTCCAATATTTCTTCACCTTTGTTATTAAATTAGTCTGGAAGAGGAAGGGTTTTTTCTCTTCCTCTTCACATTTTGATATCAAACATTGAGCGACTTATGATAAATGTGTCATGATTCGCTCAAAACTTCAACTTGGGTCCAAGAACTATTTAAATTTGCGATTTCACTCAACATACTCCAATATTTCTTCACCTTTGTTATTAAATTAGTCTGGAAGAGGAAGGGTTTTTTCTCTTCCTCTTCACATTTTGATATCAAACATTGAGCGACTTATGATAAATGTGTCATGATTCGCTCAAAACTTTAACTTGGGTCCAAGAACTATTTAAATTTGCGATTTCACTCAACATACTCCAATATTTCTTTCCCTTTGTTATCAAAGACTGTCTGGAAGAGGAAGGGTTTTGTTCTTCCATCTAACATTTTGATATCAAACCCTGCCCGACTTATGATAAATGTGTCATGATTCGCTCAAAACTTTAACTTGGGTCCAAGAACTATTTAAATTTGCGATTTCACTCAACATACTCCAATATTTCTTCACCTTTGTTATTAAATTAGTCTGGAAGAGGAAGGGTTTTTTCTCTTCCATCTAACATTTTGATATCAAACATTGAGCGACTTATGATAAATGTGTCATGATTCGCTCAAAACTTCAACTTGGGTCCAAGAACTATTTAAATTTGCGATTTCACTCAACATACTCCAATATTTCTTCACCTTTGTTATTAAATTAGTCTGGAAGAGGAAGGGTTTTTTCTCTTCCTCTTCACATTTTGATATCAAACATTGAGCGACTTATGATAAATGTGTCATGATTCGCTCAAAACTTCAACTTGGGTCCAAGAACTATTTAAATTTGCGATTTCACTCAACATACTCCAATATTTCTTCACCTTTGTTATTAAATTAGTCTGGAAGAGGAAGGGTTTTTTCTCTTCCTCTTCACATTTTGATATCAAACCCTGCCCGACTTATGATAAATGTGTCATGATTCGCTCAAAACTTCAACTTGGGTCCAAGAACTATTTAAATTTGCGATTTCACTCAACATACTCCAATATTTCTTCACCTTTGTTATTAAATTAGTCTGGAAGAGGAAGGGTTTTTTCTCTTCCTCTTCACATTTTGATATCAAACATTGAGCGACTTATGATAAATGTGTCATGATTCGCTCAAAACTTCAACTTGGGTCCAAGAACTATTTAAATTTGCGATTTCACTCAACATACTCCAATATTTCTTCACCTTTGTTATTAAATTAGTCTGGAAGAGGAAGGGTTTTTTCTCTTCCTCTTCACATTTTGATATCAAACATTGAGCGACTTATGATAAATGTGTCATGATTCGCTCAAAACTTTAACTTGGGTCCAAGAACTATTTAAATTTGCGATTTCACTCAACATACTCCAATATTTCTTTCCCTTTGTTATCAAAGACTGTCTGGAAGAGGAAGGGTTTTTGTTCTTCCATCTAACATTTTGATATCAAACCCTGCCCGACTTATGATAAATGTGTCATGATTCGCTCAAAACTTTAACTTGGGTCCAAGAACTATTTAAATTTGCGATTTCACTCAACATACTCCAATATTTCTTCACCTTTGTTATTAAATTAGTCTGGAAGAGGAAGGGTTTTCTCTTCCATCTAACATTTTGATATCAAACACTGGTCGAGTTATGATAAATGTGTCATGATTCGCTCAAATCTTTAACTTGGGTCCAAGAACTATTTAAATTTGCGATTTCACTCAACATACTCCAATATTTCTTCACCTTTGTTATTAAATTAGTCTGGAAGAGGAAGGGTTTTTTCTCTTCCATCTAACATTTTGATATCAAACCCTGCCCGACTTATGATAAATGTGTCATGATTCGCTCAAATCTTTAACTTGGGTCCAAGAACTATTTAAATTTGCGATTTCACTCAACATACTCCAATATTTCTTCACCTTTGTTATTAAATTAGTCTGGAAGAGGAAGGGTTTTTGTTCTTCCATCTAACATTTTGATATCAAACACTGGTCGAGTTATGATAAATGTGTCATGATTCGCTCAAATCTTTAACTTGGGTCCAAGAACTATTTAAATTTGCGATTTCACTCAACATACTCCAATATTTCTTCACCTTTGTTATTAAATTAGTCTGGAAGAGGAAGGGTTTTTTCTCTTCCATCTAACATTTTGATATCAAACACTGGTCGAGTTATGATAAATGTGTCATGATTCGCTCAAATCTTTAACTTGGGTCCAAGAACTATTTAAATTTGCGATTTCACTCAACATACTCCAATATTTCTTCACCTTTGTTATTAAATTAGTCTGGAAGAGGAAGGGTTTTTTCTCTTCCATCTAACATTTTGATATCAAACACTGGTCGAGTTATGATAAATGTGTCATGATTCGCTCAAATCTTTAACTTGGGTCCAAGAACTATTTAAATTTGCGATTTCACTCAACATACTCCAATATTTCTTCACCTTTGTTATTAAATTAGTCTGGAAGAGGAAGGGTTTTTGTTCTTCCATCTAACATTTTGATATCAAACCCTGCCCGACTTATGATAAATGTGTCATGATTCGCTCAAAACTTTAACTTGGGTCCAAGAACTATTTAAATTTGCGATTTCACTCAACATACTCCAATATTTCTTCACCTTTGTTATTAAATTAGTCTGGAAGAGGAAGGGTTTTTTCTCTTCCATCTAACATTTTAATATCAAACACTGGTCGAGTTATGATAAATGTGTCATGATTCGCTCAAATCTTTAACTTGGGTCCAAGAACTATTTAAATTTGCGATTTCACTCGACATACTCAAATATTTCTTCACCTTTGTTATTAAATTAGTCTGGAAGAGGAAGGGTTTTTTCTCTTCCATCTAACATTTTGATATCAAACACTGGTCGAGTTATGATAAATGTGTCATGATTCGCTCAAATCTTTAACTTGGGTCCAAGAACTATTTAAATTTGCGATTTCACTCAACATACTCCAATATTTCTTCACCTTTGTTATTAAATTAGTCTGGAAGAGGAAGGGTTTTTGTTCTTCCATCTAACATTTTGATATCAAACCCTGCCCGACTTATGATAAATGTGTCATGATTCGCTCAAAACTTTAACTTGGGTCCAAGAACTATTTAAATTTGCGATTTCACTCAACATACTCCAATATTTCTTCACCTTTGTTATTAAATTAGTCTGGAAGAGGAAGGGTTTTTTCTCTTCCATCTAACATTTTAATATCAAACACTGGTCGAGTTATGATAAATGTGTCATGATTCGCTCAAATCTTTAACTTGGGTCCAAGAACTATTTAAATTTGCGATTTCACTCGACATACTCAAATATTTCTTCACCTTTGTTATTAAATTAGTCTGGAAGAGGAAGGGTTTTTTCTCTTCCATCTAACATTTTGATATCAAACCCTGCCCGACTTATGATAAATGTGTCATGATTCGCTCAAAACTTTAACTTGGGTCCAAGAACTATTTAAATTTGCGATTTCACTCAACATACTCCAATATTTCTTCACCTTTGTTATTAAATTAGTCTGGAAGAGGAAGGGTTTTTTCTCTTCCATCTAACATTTTGATATCAAACACTGGTCGAGTTATGATAAATGTGTCATGATTCGCTCAAATCTTTAACTTGGGTCCAAGAACTATTTAAATTTGCAATTTCACTCAACATACTCCAATATTTCTTCACCTTTGTTATTAAATTAGTCTGGAAGAGGAAGGGTTTTTTCTCTTCCATCTAACATTTTGATATCAAACCCTGCCCGACTTATGATAAATGTGTCATGATTCGCTCAAATCTTTAACTTGGGTCCAAGAACTATTTAAATTTGCAATTTCACTCAACATACTCCAATATTTCTTCACCTTTGTTATTAAATTAGTCTGGAAGAGGAAGGGTTTTTTCTCTTCCATCTAACATTTTGATATCAAACACTGGTCGAGTTATGATAAATGTGTCATGATTCGCTCAAATCTTTAACTTGGGTCCAAGAACTATTTAAATTTGCGATTTCACTCGACATACTCAAATATTTCTTCACCTTTGTTATTAAATTAGTCTGGAAGAGGAAGGGTTTTTTCTCTTCCATCTAACATTTTGATATCAAACACTGGTCGAGTTATGATAAATGTGTCATGATTCGCTCAAAACTTCAACTTGGGTCCAAGAACTATTTAAATTTGCAATTTCACTCAACATACTCCAATATTTCTACCCCTTTGTCATCAAAACAGCCTGGAAGAGGAAGGGTTTTTTCTCTTCCATCTAACATTTTGATATCAAACATTGAACGACTTATGATAAATGTGTCATGATTCGCTCAAAACTTGAACTTGGGTCCAAGAACTATTCAAATTTGCAATTTCACTCAACACACTCCAATATTTCTACCCCTTTTTGAACAAAAATCAAGCTTAAACCCCCTACGGTAGCCAAGCCTTCTCAAGCCTTATGCAGCCAAACTACAGTACCCCAGAACTTCTCAAGCCAAAAAATTCAATTAATTTCGAGCTACAGTACCCCCAGGAACATATTTAACAAAAACAAAAAAAAAATAAAAGACATTGCTTTGGGCGGGATCCGAACCCACCACCTCTCGGCGCACAATCCAGCGCTCTACCCCAACACCACACGTCTCACATTTTCTCCTGTTCAAAATTGCCTTTAAATGAAGGCCTGCCTCTCAAACAAGCTTGTCGCGTTGAAGAACGGTTTTTCAACAAGTAAATACATCAAAATGACCGCATTTTCATGCTCTTTTCAATGAAAGAGGTCTCGAAGAAGCCGGAGAAGACGGAGAAGAGATGGAAGTCGAAAAATGATCAATTAATCAAACACATTTTTCAAAATATCACTTCATTTTCAAATCATACAAATACAAGTACAAAGAATGCGGAGAAATACAAGAAGACAAATGATCAATTATTCAGACTCCTCAGTTTGCGTCGCATCTTCCGCCATTGGCAAGAATTCATCAATGATGACCTCCCCCTGATGGGGATCGGCCATCAAAACCTCGGGCTGAAAAAATCAATTTCATTTACAAAGTCTGGAGTTGCTCATGAAAAAAACTCACTCTCTCATAGTTGTATTGATTTTGGCGTCTTCGGGCTTGACGTCTGCGTCTACGACGACGTTGGCGTCGGGCTTCTTGCGCCAAAGCTTCAGCGATTGCTTCATCACCCTCAGTTTCATCAGCAGATGATGCGACAGAAGGCGGTGCTTCAACAGCTTGGTGACCCGCCGCCACAACTCCTTCGGCTCGAACAACATCAACAGCAACAATTGGATTTGGAGCATCAGCTGCGATTTGCGGAGCTACAGCTGCGACTGGTGGCTGTTGATTTGGAACATTGGCACCATTATTGACTCCTGCAGGCGCATCCACCGGGTGCACAACTTCCTCCACATTCGACTCTTCACCTGATGTGAAGCGCTTAAAGTGAGAATTTCCTTCGGTCGTAGTCGCTCCACCAGCATTACGAGGCTGAAAAAACATTGTTTTTAGTTTTAGAAGACATATTTCTTTAACTCTCCACACTCTCCCTTTTTTCTACACTCTCTGTCTCGTAATTCTCGCCTATGAATTCAAATTCTGAAGCAAAACTCACTGGAGTAAACAAATATGAACCTGGTGGACGGTTTGGGTTGAGTTCATCACATTTGTTCTGACTTTCGGCGTTGATTTTGCGTTGAGCACGTGTGAGAGCTTTTTTCGGAATTTGACCAGGCATTTTGATACAAGAATATCGACTAGAAATATCAATAAAAGGAGCAAAATCCAGCAGCAATTCGACAATCCAAGAATAATTTGGAACTGACAAAAATAAACTAGGGCATTTGTTCTCTCATTTTTTTTGACGCAAACACGCAAAAATTAATTTTTTTCCTTCTAGAAAATTCGATTTGCTTCTTTTTTATTTATTTTTGTTTTTGATAAATATGTTCCTGGGGGTACTGTGGCTTGAAATAAATTGAATTTTTTGACGCCATAAGCTCTGGGGTACTGTAGTTTAGCTTGAGAAAGCATGACAAAGCTTGAGAAGGATTCAAAAGACATAAAAAGGCCTGAGAGGCTTTACAGGCTTCAAGAGGCTTCAAAAAATTTCAGGAGGCTTGGGAAGGCTTCAGGAAAGTTTCCGAAGCTTCAGAAGGCTTCAGGAGGCTTTTGAGGCAACTTGGGAATTTATTCGAGGTTTTGGAAGACAATCAGATGACTTTATGCAATCAAACTACCCATCAGCTCATATTTTAATATCAAACACTGCCCGACTTATTATAAATGTGTCATGATTCGCTCAAAACTTGAACTTGGGTCCAAGAACTATTTAAATTTGCAATTTCACTCAACATACTCCAATATTTCTTCACCTTTGTTATCAAAGACTGTCTGGAAGAGGAAGGGTTTTTGTTCTTCCATCTAACATTTTAATATCAAACACTGGCCGACTTATGATAAATGTGTCATGATTCGCTCAAAACTTGAACTTGGGTCCAAGAACTATTTAAATTTGCAATTTCACTCAACATACTCCAATATTTCTTACCCTTTGTTAGCAAAGACCGTCTGGAAGAGGAAGGGTTTTTTCTCTTCCACTGCACATTTTGATATCAAACACTGGCCGACTTATGATAAATGTATCATGATTCGCTCAAAACTTGAACTTGGGTCCAAGAACTATTTAAATTTGCAATTTCACTCGACATACTCCAATATTTCTTACCCTTTGCTAGCAAAACAGCCTGGAAGAGGAAGGGTTTTTTCTCTTCCACTGCACATTTTGATATCAAACACTGGCCGACTTATGATAAATGTGTCATGATTCGCTCAAAACTTCAACTTGGGTCCAAGAACTATTTAAATTTGCAATTTCACTCAACATACTCCAATATTTCTTTCCCTTTGTCATCAAAAATCAAGTTTAAAACCCCTACCGCAGCCAAGCCTTCTCATGCCTTATGCAGCCGAACTACAGTACCCCCGACCTCCTGGAGCCGAAAAGTTCAATTTATTTCAAGCTACAGTGTCCCCAGGAACATATTTCTCAAAAACAAAAAAAATAAAAAACGTTGCATGGGCGGGATACGAACCCACCACCTCTCGGCGCACAATCCAGCGCTCTACCCCAACACCACACGTCTCACATTTTCTCCTATTCAAAATTGCCTTTAAATGAAGGCCTGCCTCTCAAACAAGCTTGTCGCGTTGAAGAACGGTTTTGCAACAAGTAAATACATCAAAATGACCGCATTTTCATGCTCTTTTCAATGAAAGAGGTCTCGAAAATTTCTGAGAAGCCGGAGAAGAATTGGAAGACGAAAAATGATCAACAACCGGATGAAAACATGATGTTTTTTCATTGTATTTTTCAAACACTTTTTCTCACAAAAAATATTCATTTCACAGAAAAAAGAGCAAGAATATCAAGACGATTGAGACAAATGAAGATGGAGCATTGACAGATTGACAAATTGAATCACGGGGCATCACTGTCGCTTTCTCGCTGAGTGTCATCTTCAACAGGCGGCAGAAACAAGTCAATGACGACTTCCCCCTCATGGGGGTCGCCCATCAAAACAGCAGGCTGAAAAAAATCAATTTTGAACACAAAGTCTGAAATTGCAATAAAAAAACTTACCCTCTCATAAACAAAAGCTCCGCGACGTCTTCCATCTCCACGTCTACGTCTTCTGCGGCGGCGACGTTGAATAACCGGTTGAGCAGCTCGATTGTCGCTTTCATCTGCCGATGACTCCTCTGAAACCGCTTGAACAACAACATCACGCGCCGGTGCAACCACATCTTCGGGACGAGCAACCTGAGCATCAACCGGAGCAACAACAACTTGATTAACATCATCTTGAACCACCGGTTGTTGAACATCTGCAGCAGCTGGAGGAGGTGGCGGACCAGCTTGAGGTTGTTGTGGCGCTGGATCCGCCACTTCATCAAACTGCTCCCCATCCGAAGAAAATCGATTAAACATCACATTTCCCGATGTGGTTTGAGGCGTGTCCGAACGAGGAATTACGCCACGCTGAAATAAAACATTGTTGGTGTTTCTAGAAGATATTTCTCTGTCTCTCTCTCTCATTTTTCTACACTCTCTCCCTCGCCTATGAGATCAAATTCTGAAAATAAACTCACCGGTGGAGTGAAAAGGAAGTAGCCGGGCCTTGCCCGTTTGTTCAATTCCTCAGTTTTTTGTTGCCGCTCCGCCTTTCTTTTTCGTTCAGCACGTGTAAGTCGCTTGTCTGGCATGATTTTGATGAAAAAAGTAGCGAAAATACGAGGAAACAAGTCGAATAAAAGCTAGTAAACTAGAAATCGAAACTGACTAAAATAAAACTAGGGCATTTGTTCTCTCATTTTTTTTGACGCAAACACGCAAAAATTAATTTTTTTCCTTCTAGAAAATTCGATTTGCTTCTTTTTCATTTTTTCGATAGTTGTTGCGGGAAGCCTTCATAAAAAGGCAATTTCGAGTAGGGAAGAGTGTGTACCCAATGGAGTAGGGGTAGAGCGCTGGACTGGTAGGCGGGAGGTGGTGGGTTCGAACCCAGACCGATGCAAACATTTTTATTTTTTTTTGTTTTTGATAAATATGGTCCTGGGGGTACTGTAGCTTAAGATTAATTGAATTTTTTGACGCCATAAGCTCTGGGGTACTGTAGTTTAGCTTGAGAAAGCATGACAAAGCTTGAGAAGGCTTCAAAAGACATAAAAAGGCTTCAGAGGCTTTACAGGCTTCAAGAGGATTCAGATAATTTCAGGAGGCTTGGGAAGGCTTCAGGAAAGTTTCTGAAGCTTCAGAAGGCTTCAGGAGGCTTTTGAGGCATTTTGGGAATTTATTTGAGGCTTTGAAAGACAATCAGATGACTTTATGCAATCAAACTACCCATCAGCTCACATTTTGATATCAAACACTGGCCGACTTATGATAAATGTGTCATGGTTCGCTCAAAACTTTAACTTGAGTGCAAGAACTATTTGAATTTGCAATTTCACTCAACATACTCCAATATTTCTTTCCCTTTTTATTAAAAACAGCCTGGAAGAGGAAGGGTTTTTACTCTTCCACTGCACATTTTGATATCAAACACTGGCCGACTTATGATAAATGTGTCATGATTCGCTCAAATCTTTAACTTGAGTGCAAGAACTATTTAAATTTGCAATTTCACTCGACATACTCCAATATTTCTTTCCCTTTTTATCAAAGACTGTCTGGAAGAGGAAGGGTTTTTTTCTCTTCCATCTAACATTTTGATATCAAACACTGGTCGAGTTATGATAAATGTATCATGATTCGCTCAAAACTTCAACTTTGGTGCAAGAACTATTTAAATTTGCAATTTCACTCAACATACTCCAATATTTCTTTCCCTTTGTTATCAAAGACTGTCTGGAAGAGGAAGGGTTTTTTTCTCTTCCATCTAACATTTTGATATCAAACACTGGTCGAGTTATGATAAATGTGTCATGATTCGCTCAAAACTTCAACTTTGGTGCAAGAACTATTTAAATTTGCAATTTCACTCAACATACTCCAATATTTCTTTCCCTTTGTTATCAAAGACTGTCTGGAAGAGGAAGGGTTTTTGTTCTTCCATCGAACATTTTGATATCAAACACTGGTCGAGTTATGATAAATGTGTCATGATTCGCTCAAAACTTCAACTTTGGTGCAAGAACTATTTAAATTTGCAATTTCACTCAACATACTCCAATATTTCTTTCCCTTTGTTATCAAAGACTGTCTGGAAGAGGAAGGGTTTTTTTCTCTTCCATCTAACATTTTGATATCAAACACTGGTCGAGTTATGATAAATGTGTCATGATTCGCTCAAAACTTCAACTTTGGTGCAAGAACTATTTAAATTTGCAATTTCACTCAACATACTCCAAGATTTCTTCACCTTTGTGAACAAAAATCAAGCCTAAAATCCCTACCGTAGCCAAGCCTTCTCAGCCTTATGCAGCCAAACTACAGTACCCCAGACCTCCTGGAGCCAAAAAATTTTAATAATTTCAAGCTACAGTATCTCCAGGAACATATTTATCAAAAACAAAAAAAAATAAAAATGTTTGCATGGGTCAGGGATAGAACCCACCACCTCTCGGCGCACAATCCAGCGCTCTACCCCAACACCACACGTCTCACATTTTCCCCTGTTCAAAATTGCCTTTAAATGAAGGCCTGCCTCTCAAACAAGCTTGTCGCGTTTAAGAACGGTTTTGCAACAAGTAAATACATCAAAATGACCGCATTTTCATGCTCTTTTCAATGAAAGAGGTCTCGAAGAAGCCGGAGAAACGAGAAAAAAACTAGGGGAAAAGCTATCAGAATAAAACAACAAACAAATTTCAAATTGAATTCATTCATTCACCACATACAAGTAATATCAATGGGATAATTCTCACTCATCTTCATTCTCCTCTTCATCCTCCTCATCTATATCCATCGTCTCATCCGGTTCTTGAATTGGCGCATTCGATGTTGTGGGCGGATTGCCATCAGCATCCAAAACCGTCTTCTTATTCTTTGCCAACCAAAATCCTAATGACGTGTCGCAATCGACTTCACTTCGTCTCCATCTCGGAGGTGGAGGCGCGTTACGGTTCCAATTGGTTAGGCGCTGCTCAAGCTCTTGCGGGTCGACCGTGTCACACCACTTAGGCCAAACAATCGACAAAATATCCTTGGAAGGCGGAGCTGGTGTTTTTGTATCAGCCCACTCGGCCTCGAGAAGAGCTTCCTCTTCAGCTCTGACTGAAGCATCAGTCATAGCTTTGCTCTTTGAAAGCTCACGGCGAATATTATAGGGATCAACCAACTCCAACGCTTCTTTAGACTTTCCATGGCAGTTTAAAGGTTCATAATATTTGGTTCGGCGATCCTTCTTTTCGTCATATTCGGCACCTCCTTTACAAGATCTTTTCATAAATTTCCGTGTTCTTTTTGGCTGTAAAAACGTGTTTTTAGAACTAAGAACGATATTGATTTTTAAAACTCACATTGACAGCAGCGTTATGCTGAAACTTCTTCGATTCATCTTCAGATCCTTCACCAGTTGAAGAGTTGCTGCGTTCATTGTTGTCGGACATTGTAATATTAGGAAATCGAGAATATTAGAGTCAAAAGCGGCAAAAGAATTGCAAAAAGCCAATAAATTGGAACTGAAAAAAATAAAACTAGGGCATCTATTTTTCGATTTTTCACGCAAAATTAATTTTTTCCTTCTAGAACATTCTAGAAGGGTCGATTTTTTTTCCATTTGTTTTCGAGAGCGCGAGGGCTTCATAAAAAGGCAATTTCGAATAGGTAAAAGTGTGTGCCTGATGGAGTAGGGGTAGAGCGCTGGATTCTGCGTCGAGAGGTGGTGGGTTCGATCCCAGACCGATGCAAACATTTTTATTTTTTTTGTTTTTGATAAATATGTTCCTGGGGACACTGTAGCTTGAAATTACTTGAATTTTTTGACGCCAGAAGCTCTGAGCTACTGTAGTTTAGCTTCAGTGAGCTTGAGAAAGCTTGAGAAGGCTTCAGAAGACATAAGAAGGCCTCAGATGCTTTAAAGGCTTCAAGAGGCTTCAGATAATTTCAGGAGGCTTGGGAAGGCTTCAGGAAAGTTTTGGAAGCTTCAGAAGGCTTCAGGAGGCTTTTGAGGCAACTTGGGAATTTATTTGAGGTTTTGGAAGACAATCAGATGACTTTATGCAATCAAACTACCCATCAGCTCATATTTTGATATCAAACACTGGCCGACTTATGATAAATGTGTCATGATTCGCTCAAAACTTCAACTTGGGTCCATGAACTATTTAAATTTGCAATTTCACTCAACATACTCCAATATTTCTTTCCCTTTGTTATCAAAGACTGTCTGGAAGAGGAAGGGTTTTTTCTCTTCCATCTAACATTTTGATATCAAACCCTGCCCGACTTATGATAAATGTGTCATGATTCGCTCAAATCTTCAACTTGGGTCCAAGAACTATTTAAATTTGCAATTTCACTCAACATACTCCAATATTTCTTTCCCTTTGTTATCAAAGACTGTCTGGAAGAGGAAGGGTTTTTTCTCTTCCATCTAACATTTTGATATCAAACCCTGCCCGACTTATGATAAATGTGTCATGATTCGCTCAAATCTTCAACTTGGGTCCAAGAACTATTTAAATTTGCAATTTCACTCAACATACTCCAATATTTCTTTCCCTTTGTTATCAAAGACTGTCTGGAAGAGGAAGGGTTTTTTCTCTTCCACTGCACATTTTGATATCAAACACTGGCCGACTTATGATAAATGTGTCATGATTCGCTCAAATCTTTAACTTGGGTGCAAGAACTATTCAAATTTGCAATTTCACTCGACATACTCAAATATTTCTTTCCCTTTGTTATCAAAGACTGTCTGGAAGAGGAAGGGTTTTTTTTCTCTTCCATCTAACATTTTGATATCAAACATTGAACGACTTATGATAAATGTGTCATGATTCGCTCAAATCTTCAACTTGGGTCCAAGAACTATTTAAATTTGCAATTTCACTCAACATACTCCAATATTTCTTCACCTTTGTTATCAAAGACTGTCTGGAAGAGGAAGGGTTTTTTCTCTTCCTCTTCACATTTTGATATCAAACACTGCCCGACTTATGATAAATGTGTCATGATTCGCTCAAATCTTTAACTTGGGTGCAAGAACTATTCAAATTTGCGATTTCACTCAACATACTCCAATATTTCTTCACCTTTGTTATCAAAGACTGTCTGGAAGAGGAAGGGTTTTTTCTCTTCCTCTTCACATTTTGATATCAAACACTGCCCGACTTATGATAAATGTGTCATGATTCGCTCAAATCTTTAACTTGGGTGCAAGAACTATTCAAATTTGCAATTTCACTCAACATACTCCAATATTTCTTCACCTTTGTTATCAAAGACTGTCTGGAAGAGGAAGGGTTTTTTCTCTTCCTCTTCACATTTTGATATCAAACACTGCCCGACTTATGATAAATGTGTCATGATTCGCTCAAATCTTTAACTTGGGTGCAAGAACTATTCAAATTTGCAATTTCACTCGACATACTCAAATATTTCTTTCCCTTTGTTATCAAAGACTGTCTGGAAGAGGAAGGGTTTTTTCTCTTCCTCTTCACATTTTGATATCAAACAATGCCCGACTTATGATAAATGTGTCATGATTCGCTCAAATCTTTAACTTGGGTGCAAGAACTATTCAAATTTGCGATTTCACTCAACATACTCCAATATTTCTTCCCTTTGTTATCAAAGACTGTCTGGAAGAGGAAGGGTTTTTCTCTTCCTCTTCACATTTTGATATCAAACACTGCCCGACTTATGATAAATGTCTCATGATTCGCTCAAAACTTGAACTTGGGTGCAAGAACTATTCAAATTTGCAATTTCACTCAACATACTCCAATATTTCTTTCCCTTTTTATCAAAGACTGTCTGGAAGAGGAAGGGTTTTTTCTCTTCCTCTTCACATTTTGATATCAAACATTGAGCGACTTATGATAAATGTGTCATGATTCGCTCAAATCTTTAACTTGGGTCCAAGAACTATTTAAATTTTCGATTTCTTTCCCCTGTTCAAAATTGCCTTTAAATGAAGGCCTGCCTCTCAAACAAGCTTGTCGCGTTGAAGAACGGTTTTGCAACAAGTAAATACATCAAAATGACCGCATTTTCATTCTCTTTTCAACGAAAAAGGTCCCGAAGAATTCCAAGAAGCCGGAGAAGAGATGAAAGTCGAAAAATGATCAATTATTCAAACACATTTGGAAATATCACTCTTTATTTCACAATACAAGACATAAAATCAGAAATACAAATCAAATCTATACAATCAATACACAAATAGGACAATCAATCGGTCTCGCCATTCTGAGTTGGATCCTCACGCATCAAAAGATAATCGTCGATCAGAACCTCGTGCAAATGTGGATCGGCGTAGACAACAGGCGGCTGAAAAAAATCAATATCATATAGAAAATCTGAAATTGCAATCAAAAACTTACACGCGGATGAACATAGCGACGTCGATTTCGACGAGCACGTCTTCTGCGTCTACGACGCTGAGCCAAATCCGCCGCAACCGCATCTCCTGCGGATTCGTCCGCACTGGACACCGCATCAACATCACGGACAACAACTTGAGGCGGGGCCTCCGCAACCGGCTCCGCGACCACCTCCACAACTGGCAAAGGATCAACCGGCGCCAAAACAGGATCGGCTTGGACGATTGGAGCAGCTGGAGCATTCGGAATCACTTCGACTACAACATCGTCGGGCGGATTCGCAACTTCGTCATATTCACCGTCGTCAGATGTGTATCTTTGGAAGTTCTGATTTCCAGCAGTGCTCTGAGGCGTCACAGCATTGCGGCGAACCTGGCGAGGCTGAAAAAATAAACATTTGTGCTGTTTCTGGAAGATTCTGCAAAAAAAACTCACTGGTGGTGTCCAGAGCCATTGCCCCGTCTTCTTTGGTGCCTCCACATCGCCAGTTCGCTTCTTTTCCATCAATTTGGCTCGCTCGGCTCTTGTAAGGCGTTTGTCATCTTTCCCGTTTGTCATTGTTGATAAATAAAGACACAGAATAGAAAAATACAGAAGAAATAGAGCGAAAAAATAGCGGAGCTTCGCTTTTCAAACAAAAATTTGAACTGAAAAAAATAAAACTAGGGCATCTATTTTTCGATTTTTCACGCAAAATTATTTTTTTTCCTTCTAGAACATTCTAGAAGGGCCGATTTTTTTTCCATTTGTTTTCGAGAGCGCGAGGGCTTCATAAAAAGGCAATTTCGCATGGGGTCGAGTGTGTGCCTGATGGAGTAGGGGTAGAGCGCTGGATTGTGCGTCGAGAGGTGGTGGGTTCGATCCCAGACCGAAGCAAACATTTTTATTTTTTTTTGTTTTCGATAAATATGTTCCTGGGGACACTGTAGCTTGAAATAAATTGAATTTTTTGACGCCATAAGCTCTGGGGTACTGTAGTTTAGCTTCAGTAGGCTTGAGAAAACTTGAGAAGGCTTCAGAAGACATAAGAAGGCTTCAGATGCTTTAGAGGCTTCAAAAGGCTTTAGATAACTTCAGAAGGCTTGGGAAGGCTTCAGGAAGGTTTGGGAGGCTTCAGAAGGCTTCAGGAGGCTTTTGAGGCAATTTGGGATTTTATTTGAGGTTTTGGAAGACAATCAGATGACTTTATGCAATCAAACTACCCATCAGCTCATATTTTGATATCAAACACTGGTCGAGTTATGATAAATGTATCATGATTCGCTCAAATCTTCAACTTGGGTCCAAGAACTATTTAAATTTGCAATTTCACTCAACATACTCCAATATTTCTTTCCCTTTGTTATCAAAGACTGTCTGGAAGAGGAAGGGTTTTTTCTCTTCCATCTAACATTTTGATATCAAACACTGGTCGAGTTATGATAAATGTGTCATGATTCGCTCAAAACTTGAACTTGAGTGCAAGAACTATTTAAATTTGCAATTTCACTCAACATACTCCAATATTTCTTTCCCTTTGTTATCAAAGACTGTCTGGAAGAGGAAGGGTTTTTCTCTTCCATCTAACATTTTGATATCAAACACTGCCCGACTTATGATAAATGTGTCATGATTCGCTCAAAACTTGAACTTGAGTGCAAGAACTATTTAAATTTGCAATTTCACTCAACATACTCCAATATTTCTTTCCCTTTGTTATCAAAGACTGTCTGGAAGAGGAAGGGTTTTTTCTCTTCCATCTAACATTTTGATATCAAACACTGGTCGAGTTATGATAAATGTGTCATGATTCGCTCAAAACTTGAACTTGAGTGCAAGAACTATTTAAATTTGCAATTTCACTCAACATACTCCAATATTTCTTTCCCTTTGTTATCAAAGACTGTCTGGAAGAGGAAGGGTTTTTCTCTTCCATCTAACATTTTGATATCAAACACTGGTCGACTTATGATAAATGTGTCATGATTCGCTCAAAACTTGAACTTGAGTGCAAGAACTATTTAAATTTGCAATTTCACTCAACATACTCCAATATTTCTTTCCCTTTGTTATCAAAGACTGTCTGGAAGAGGAAGGGTTTTTTCTCTTCCATCTAACATTTTGATATCAAACACTGGTCGAGTTATGATAAATGTGTCATGATTCGCTCAAAACTTGAACTTGAGTGCAAGAACTATTTAAATTTGCAATTTCACTCAACATACTCCAATATTTCTTTCCCTTTGTTATCAAAGACTGTCTGGAAGAGGAAGGGTTTTTTCTCTTCCATCTAACATTTTGATATCAAACACTGGTCGAGTTATGATAAATGTGTCATGATTCGCTCAAAACTTGAACTTGAGTGCAAGAACTATTTAAATTTGCAATTTCACTCAACATACTCCAATATTTCTTTCCCTTTGTTATCAAAGACTGTCTGGAAGAGGAAGGGTTTTTTCTCTTCCATCTAACATTTTGATATCAAACACTGCCCGACTTATGATAAATGTGTCATGATTCGCTCAAAACTTGAACTTGAGTGCAAGAACTATTTAAATTTGCAATTTCACTCAACATACTCCAATATTTCTTTCCCTTTGTTATCAAAGACTGTCTGGAAGAGGAAGGGTTTTTTCTCTTCCATCTAACATTTTGATATCAAACACTGCCCGACTTATGATAAATGTGTCATGATTCGCTCAAAACTTGAACTTGAGTGCAAGAACTATTTAAATTTGCAATTTCACTCAACATACTCCAATATTTCTTTCCCTTTGTTATCAAAGACTGTCTGGAAGAGGAAGGGTTTTTTCTCTTCCATCTAACATTTTGATATCAAACACTGCCCGACTTATGATAAATGTGTCATGATTCGCTCAAATCTTCAACTTGGGTCCAAGAACTATTTAAATTTGCAATTTCACTCAACATACTCCAATATTTCTTTCCCTTTGTTATCAAAGACCGTCTGGAAGAGGAAGGGTTTTTTCTCTTCCATCTAACATTTTGATATCAAACACTGCCCGACTTATGATAAATGTGTCATGATTCGCTCAAAACTTGAACTTGAGTGCAAGAACTATTTAAATTTGCAATTTCACTCAACATACTCCAATATTTCTTTCCCTTTGTTATCAAAGACTGTCTGGAAGAGGAAGGGTTTTTCTCTTCCATCTAACATTTTGATATCAAACACTGCCCGACTTATGATAAATGTGTCATGATTCGCTCAAAACTTGAACTTGAGTGCAAGAACTATTTAAATTTGCAATTTCACTCAACATACTCCAATATTTCTTTCCCTTTGTTATCAAAGACTGTCTGGAAGAGGAAGGGTTTTTTCTCTTCCATCTAACATTTTGATATCAAACACTGCCCGACTTATGATAAATGTGTCATGATTCGCTCAAAACTTGAACTTGAGTGCAAGAACTATTTAAATTTGCAATTTCACTCAACATACTCCAATATTTCTTTCCCTTTGTTATCAAAGACTGTCTGGAAGAGGAAGGGTTTTTTCTCTTCCATCTAACATTTTGATATCAAACATTGAACGACTTATGATAAATGTATCATGATTCGCTCAAATCTTCAACTTGGGTCCAAGAACTATTTAAATTTGCAATTTCACTCAACATACTCCAATATTTCTACCCCTTTGTCATCAAAACAGCCTGGAAGAGGAAGGGTTGTTGTTCTTCCATCTAACATTTTGATATCAAACATTGAACGACTTATGATAAATGTGTCATGATTCGCTCAAATCTTCAACTTGGGTCCAAGAACTATTTAAATTTGCAATTTCACTCAACATACTCCAATATTTCTACCCCTTTGTCATCAAAACAGCCTGGAAGAGGAAGGGTTGTTGTTCTTCCATCTAACATTTTGATATCAAACATTGAACGACTTATGATAAATGTATCATGATTCGCTCAAATCTTCAACTTGGGTCCAAGAACTATTTAAATTTGCAATTTCACTCAACATACTCCAATATTTCTACCCCTTTGTCATCAAAACAGCCTGGAAGAGGAAGGGTTGTTGTTCTTCCATCTAACATTTTGATATCAAACATTGAACGACTTATGATAAATGTATCATGATTCGCTCAAAACTTGAACTTGAGTGCAAGAACTATTTAAATTTGCAATTTCACTCAACATACTCCAATATTTCTTTCCCTTTGCTAGCAAAACAGCCTGGAAGAGGAAGGGTTTTTTTCTCTTCCATCTAACATTTTGATAACAAAGTATGTGAAATATCAAAGATCTATGAGTGAAATTGCACATTTTTTTCAAAGTGGTCCAACAAAAGTCCGAAGAAACGAGGAGAAAACTAGAAGCTTTTGAATACTTTGGAAAAAGCTTTCGAAAATTAACAACAAACAAATTTCAAGCAAGAATAGATTTATTTCTCTATAAAAATACAATACAAGTTCACTCAAATCTCATCTTCACCGCTGTCATCATCATCATTATCCTCCATATGCGCATCTTCCGGAATCGGTGCATTCGAAGTAGTGGCCGGCATTCCACTAGCATCCAAAGTCTCCTTATCTTTCTTCTCTCTCCAATAATTCAACGCGACGTCGCAGTCAACTTCACTGCGACGCCATCTGGGAGGCGGTGGACAATGTCTGGACCAATTGGTTAGACGTTGTTCCAACTCTTCACGTGGAACAACGTCTATCCAATCAGGCCAGACCTGCTCAAGAATATCCACATCTGGTGGAGCCGGTGTCTTCAAATCTTTCCATTCTTCTTCCAATCGTTTCTCCTCCTCCTCCATTTTTGCTTTCTCAAATAATGCTACACTTTCAGGCAATTCTCTTCTCAAATTATATGGATCCAACAGCTCAAGTTCCTCTTTAGTTTTGCCATATACATTCAAAGGTTTGTAATAATTTGTGCGTCTTTCTTTCGCTTCGTCGTAACTTGAACCACCTTTACATTGTCTCTTGTGATACTTTCTCTTTCTTTTTGGCTGAAAAATAGGTGTTTTTCGAGGTAAAATATCAATTTTTCACTCACATTAACATTCTTATTCGGCTTAAATTCCTTCGATTTATCAGCTCCAGATTCGTCACCCGAAGATTGATTTGGCGATGGTGGTGGACCTTGATTATTTGCCATCTTGATTGAGCGAAATTTAGGGAATATTGATAGAAATATGTAGCACTTCGACAATCCAAGAATAATTTGGAACTGACAAAAATTTAACTAGGGCATTTGTTCTCTCATTTTTTTTGACGCAAACACGGAAAAATTATTTTTTTTTCCTTCTAGAAAATTCGATTTGCTTCTTTTTCATTTTTTCGAGAGCTGTTGCGGGAAGCCTTCATAAAAAGGCAATTTCGAATAGGGAAGAGTGTGTGCCTGATGGAGTAGGGGTAGAGCGCTGGATTGTGCGCCGAGAGGTGGTGGGTTCGATCCCAGACCGATGCAAACATTTTTATTTTTTTTTGTTTTTGATAAATATGTTCCTGGGGACACTGTAGCTTGGAATAAATTGAATTTTTTGACGCCATAAGCTCTGGGGTACTGTAGTTTAGCTTCAGTAGACTTGAGAAAGCTTGAGAAGGCTTCAGAAGACATAAGAAGGCTTCAGATGCTTTAGAGACTTCAAAAGGCTTTAGATAACTTTAGAAGGCTTGGGAAGGCTTCAGGAAAGTTTTGGAGGTTGACACCAATCACTCTGGCGTACTGTGGTTTTATTGAGCAACAAATCCGGTGAACTACTTTGACTTTCATGCAATATTTTCTATTTATAACTGTAATGAAGATTATTTATAACAAAGTGAGTGAAAAATCAAAGATTGAGGGGTGAAAATGCACACTGATGTTGGGTTGACATCAAAGTTGAAGCCCTGAAAAAATCGGGCAACATTTATTACATTTCGTTTGATGTTTGTTATCAAAATGTGAGATGGAAGAACAAAAATCCAGGCTGTTTTGATGACAAAGGGGTAGAAATATTGGAGTATGTTGAGTGAAATTGCAAATTTAAATAGTTCTTGGACCCAAGTTCAAGTTTTGAGCGAATCATGACACATTTATCATAAGTCGGGCAGTGTTTGATATCAAAATGTTAGATGGAAGAACAAAAACCCTTCCTCTTCCAGACAGTCTTTGATAACAAAGGGAAAGAAATATTGGAGTATGTCGAGTGAAATTGCAAATTTAAATAGTTCTTGGACCCAAGTTAAAGATTTGAGCGAATCATGACACATTTATCATAAGTCGGGCAGTGTTTGATATCAAAATGTGTAAGGTGGAAGAACAAAAACCCTTCCTCTTCCAGGCTGTTTTGCTAGCAAAGGTGAAGAAATATTGGAGTATGTCGAGTGAAATTGCAAATTTAAATAGTTCTTGGACCCAAGTTGAAGATTTGAGCGAATCATGACACATTTATCATAAGTCGGGCAGTGTTTGATATCAAAATGTTAGATGGAAGAACAAAAACCCTTCCTCTTCCAGACAGTCTTTGATAACAAAGGGAAAGAAATATTGGAGTATGTTGAGTGAAATTGCAAATTTAAATAGTTCTTGGACCCAAGTTCAAGTTTTGAGCGAATCATGACACATTTATCATAAGTCGGGCAGTGTTTGATATCAAAATGTTAGATGGAAGAACAAAAACCCTTCCTCTTCCAGACAGTCTTTGATAACAAAGGTGAAGAAATATTGGAGTATGTCGAGTGAAATTGCAAATTTAAATAGTTCTTGGACCCAAGTTAAAGATTTGAGCGAATCATGACACATTTATCATAAGTCGGGCAGTGTTTGATATCAAAATGTGTAAGGTGGAAGAACAAAAACCCTTCCTCTTCCAGGCTGTTTTGCTAGCAAAGGTGAAGAAATATTGGAGTATGTCGAGTGAAATTGCAAATTTAAATAGTTCTTGGACCCAAGTTAAAGATTTGAGCGAATCATGACACATTTATCATAAGTCGGGCAGTGTTTGATATCAAAATGTGTAAGGTGGAAGAACAAAAACCCTTCCTCTTCCAGACAGTCTTTGATAACAAAGGTGAAGAAATATTGGAGTATGTCGAGTGAAATTGCAAATTTAAATAGTTCTTGGACCCAAGTTAAAGATTTGAGCGAATCATGACACATTTATCATAACTCGACCAGTGTTTGATATCAAAATGTTAGATGGAAGAACAAAAACCCTTCCTCTTCCAGACAGTCTTTGATAACAAAGGTGAAGAAATATTGGAGTATGTCGAGTGAAATTGCAAATTTAAATAGTTCTTGGACCCAAGTTAAAGATTTGAGCGAATCATGACACATTTATCATAAGTCGGGCAGTGTTTGATATCAAAATGTGTAAGGTGGAAGAACAAAAACCCTTCCTCTTCCAGACAGTCTTTGATAACAAAGGTGAAGAAATATTGGAGTATGTCGAGTGAAATTGCAAATTTAAATAGTTCTTGGACCCAAGTTAAAGATTTGAGCGAATCATGACACATTTATCATAACTCGACCAGTGTTTGATATCAAAATGTTAGATGGAAGAACAAAAACCCTTCCTCTTCCAGACAGTCTTTGATAACAAAGGTGAAGAAATATTGGAGTATGTCGAGTGAAATTGCAAATTTAAATAGTTCTTGGACCCAAGTTAAAGATTTGAGCGAATCATGACACATTTATCATAAGTCGGGCAGTGTTTGATATCAAAATGTGTAAGGTGGAAGAACAAAACCCTTCCTCTTCCAGGCTGTTTTGCTAGCAAAGGTGAAGAAATATTGGAGTTTTTCGAAGAAATAAAACAATTTCCCGGGAAATCGAATGTCTTTTTCTTTTCTTTCTTCAATTAATAATTTTAATATGCTGAGAGTCGAAAAAAATAAAGCTTTTCATTATTTTTATTAAAAACCTGGATTTTAAAGTTAACCTTAAATTGTTTTTTTAACCTTCTTCGCATATCAAAATCATTTAATTGCGAAATATTTCCATTTTCGTAAAGTTCAAATTTTCCAAAAATTCAAACACCTGCCAAATTTTTGAATAACAAAAGACACGCAATTTTTTGCATTCAAGGTTGTTAAAAGAAATTTATTTATGTCTCTTTTTTTTGTTAAGAATGCTAATTAGCACAACGTTTGCTTATATTTCTAACATTATTTTTTTTTACTCAAAAAATGTAAAAAATTTTTTATGAAATTTATAATTTCCAAATATATCGATTTTTACAAAAATAGTTTTATCCCAACTTTTTTTTTTTGTCTGAAGATATATTTGTATATATAAAAAATTGTTTATACAAGAAAAAAGTGCATCATTACTCATATCCCAGACAGACAGAAAAATTGTCCCCTTCCTCTTTTTCACACCATTATTTTTTCTTGGTCATTTTTTCGCTACTTATTTATCGTGTGTCTGTGATTTATTGCGAAATTTATATATTTTTTGGCCTAAAAATTTTGATTTTTTATCTGTTGGGCAGGATTTTAAGGGGTGAATAGACATATGTTTAGGTAGATTTTAGACAGAATTTTTTTTTCATTTTGGATTAGTTAAGAAATTTTAGGCGGGCTTTTTAGAGGAAAATTTTAGGGCTTTTTTAATGAAATATTTTTCTTCATTATTTTTTTCAAAAAAAAATCGCCGTATTTCTCTAGGCAGGATTTTCAGGGAACCTTTTTCATATAAATTTTTTAATTAGGAATTTTTTCAGATATTTTTATGCTGGATTTTTGAGAGAAAATTCCATGTAGCTTTTGAAATGTTTTTTTTAACTCCCAAAAGCTTTCATTTTTCACTACAAATTTTCTATTTTCAATAAATTAGTCGATTTCGAATCCATATTTTTTTAAAGCTATTTTTAGTTTCATAAAATGTTTCAGTCACACAGTAGGCTTCTTTGAGTTTTTTTTTTGTTTATGAGTCATCTTCTATTTTTTCTTTTGTAATTTTTGTTTATCAATCAATAATTGTTTATATATTGTGTGACCTTTTTTCGTATTTTTTTGGGTTTGTGGAACTTTTAAAGGAAGTTTTGGAAGTAGAAAATGCGTATATCAAAAGAATCGTGTTGACGTGTAAAATCTGAATATGATACTCATCTTAGTTTGAAAAATAAAATATTTTAAAAAATAAAGAAAAAAAGTTTTTTTATTTTTGAATTTATTTTTTTTAAATTTAGGTCAACATCTTTGACAGTAAAGAATTTGGAATTTTTTTTTCAAAAATTTAAATACTTTTCAATAAAACCCTTTGTATCATTTTAATATATTATTATTTTCCATTATTCAAACCGAATCAGAAAGCGGTAGACTAATTTATCAAACGACCACCCGCTGAGTTTATTTATTCAGATCTTTCTTTAGATGATAAAAAGTGAAATCCAAAAATAGGGTGTATCAAATTCCAAAAATTCGGCTATATATTGACCCAAAAATTGGGTATTTAAGAAATCAAAAATTTTTCATCCTGAACATCTCACGTTTTTTGAAAGAAGATGGTTATCTAGATAATTATCTCTTATTATTATTGCACCTACGCAATAATTTTATTAATCATTTTTATATCACTCTACGATTCATTTAAAATTTTGAGAGGGCCTTGGCGACCTCGTTTTCGCCTGGAATGCACATCATAACAGAGGAATAATACTCAATTGACAGAAAGTGAAAGCATCTTGAGAATGAACACCAATCATGTGCAAGAAACAGGTGAATTATTAATTGATGACGACTTGTGTGTATGTGTGGACTATTTTTTTTAAATTTTTTTTTAAATTTTTATATATGTTTTGAATTATTTTTATTTTTTATTTGAAAAAAATTTAAATTACGAAAGAACGGAAGATAAAAAATCAATTTTTAAAAATGGCTACGACGGACCTTAACGAAAAAAATGAGAAATACAATAAACTTGCAAGAAAATTGAAAATGGAAGAGCGATTAAACAAGAATCCGGAACTCTAGAAGCCGAAAAGAAGAATCCACAAAATGTAAAAAATGGAGTGGTTACGAACTGTGAAATGGCGTTTGTTCCAGAGGAAGATCACAGAAAGCGAGAAAGATGATTCAAAAATTACTGGTTTTCCAAGAACTCCAGCTCCTGAAAGGTTGGAAGTTCTACTTCATCACCTCCGCGCGTGTAAACCACGGCTTCATCCCAATCGACCAAGATGACAATTGGCCGGAGATCCAAAAGTTCAATGAATGGAAAATATTTTATTTTCTTTTATTGAATCAATTAAAAAAGGGTGAGAAGCTATGGACCAAATGAAGACATACAAGGAATATGGAAAATATTCTCAAAAATGAAAACCAGAATTCGAAAAATCTTGGACCTCAACATGATTGCGTTGAATACGGGCCACCTGAATCTCCAAAATTCAAAAATAATGGAAAAACTGGTTCAAAGCTAATATTCAGCATTTCTGGAAGCGAAAAGGATGATTCCGAAATCACAATTCCTCCAAAAACACGGAGACTTGTCAATGAATGGAAAATATTTTATTTCGATGGATTTATTGAAAGTGGGTTTTGAAAAAAAAAACAAAATTATGAACTTTATGATGGAAAACCCTGAGAAACCCCTGGAGAAGAATCTGAAATTATTTTTAATTGAATTCTACATCAAAGATGATTTCCTCGATTTCATGCCATCTGAATCTCCAGAAGGATAGGATTATAAGAAAAATTTGGAGAACCGAAGTTTTGCTTCATCACATTTAATGGGTTGATTTCAATCGACCAAGATGACAACTGGCCCGATCTAATTTGGATCGAACCTGAAAATTTGAACAAAAAGCGGGAAGTTTTATTTGAAAACTGGAACAAATTTAGGAACCTGAACAAAATGAAGACATACGATGGGAAATATTAAAAAAATGATTCGTGAAAAGACGATTTAGTGACCAAGAGTCAATGAATGGAAAATATTATATTTCATTTTATTGAATCAAAATGGAGTGGTTACGAACTGTGAAATGGCGTTTGTTCCAGAGGAAGATCTCAGAAACGAAAAAGATGATTCATAAATTACTGGTTTTCCAAGAACTCCAGTTCCTGAATGGTTGGAAGTTCTACGTCATCACCTTCGCCTTGTAAATCACGGCTTCATCCCAAACGACCAAGATGACAACTGGCCGGAAGTCCAGAAATTCAATGAATGGAAAATATTTTATTTTCTTTTATTGAATCAATTAAAAGTGGGTAAGAAGCTATGGACGCATGAAAAGCTATGGAATCAAATGAAGACATACATGGAAAATATTCTCAAAAATGAAAACCAGAATTCGAAAAATCTTGGACCTCAACATGATTGCCTTGAATACAGGTCGCCTGAATCTCCAAAATTCCAAAATAATGGAAAAATGGTTCAAAGCTAATATTCAGCAGGAAAGACAGTGTGCTGCAGACATTTCTGGAAGCGAAAAAGATGATTCAAAAATTACTGGTTTCCCAAGAACTCCAGCTCCTGAATGGTTGGAAGTTCTACGTCATCACCTTCGCGCGTGTAAATCACGGCTTCATCCCAATCGACCAAGACGAAAATTGGCCGGAGGTGCAAAAGTTCAATGAATGGAAAATATTTTATTTTCTTTTTTTGAATCAGTTGAAGGTGGGTGAGAAGCTATGGGCGCATCTCCTGAATCAAATGAAGACATACATGGAAAATATTCTCAAAAATGAAAACCAGAATTCGAAAAATCTTGGACCTCAACATGATTACCTTGAATGTCACCTGAATCTCCAAAATTCCAAAATAATGGAAAAACTGGTGCGAAGCTGATTTTCAGCAGGAAAGACAGTGTGCTCCAGACATTTCTGGAAGCGAAAAAGATGACTCCAAAAACACGGAGACTTCAATGAATGGAAAATATTTTATTTCGATGGATTTATTAAAAGTGGGTTTTGAAAAAAAAACAAAATGATGAACTTTATGATGGAAAACCCTGAGAAACCCCTGAAGAAGAATCCAAAATTATTTTGAATTCAGTTCTATATCCAAGATGATTTCCTCGATTGCATGCCATCTGAATCTCCAGATCAATCGGATAATGAGAAAATTTGGAGAACCGAAGTTCTGCTTCATCACATTTGCGCAGTTACATGAGTTGATTCCAATGGATCAAGATGAAAACTGGCCCGATCTAATTTGGATCAAACCTGAAAATTTGAACAAAAAGCGGGAAGTTTTATTTGAAAACTGGAACAAATTTATGAACCTGAAAAAAATGAAGACATACAATGGGAAATATAAAAAAAAATGATTCGTGAAAAGACGATTTAGTGACCAAGAGTCAATGAATGGAAGATATTATATTTTGTATAAATATATTAATTAAGGAGATTCTCCCTATTTTATAAAATACCACAAGATTGACCGATGAACTATTCAACACAACAATTGTGAGGGAGTAACGATTAAAAAAAACTCCCTTCTGGCCCAACAATGAGTGGAACTTGAAGTTCTCAGAAGCTCCAATTCACGAACTGTGAAATGGCGTTTGTTCCAGAGGAAGATCTCAGAAAGCGAAAAAGATGATTCATAAATTATTGGTTTCCCAAGAACTCCAGCTCCTGAATGGTTGGAAGTTCTGCTTCATCACCTTCGCCTTGTGAATCACGGCTTCATCCCAAACGACCAAGATGACGATTGGCCGGAAGTCCAGAAATTCAATGAATGGAAAATATTTTATTTTCTTTTTTTGAATCAGTTGAAGGTGGGTGAGAAGCTATGGACGCTTCTCCTGAATAAAATGAAGATCAAAAACGGAATTCGAAAAGTCTTGGACCTAAACATGATTGCTTTGAATACAGGTCACCTGAATCTCCAAAATTCCAAAATAATGGGAAAACTGGTTCAAAGCCTGAAAATGGTTTCCTCGATGCCATCTGAATCTTATGAGAAAAATTTGGAGAACCGAAGTTCTGCTTCATCACATTTGCGCAGTTACATGGATTTATTTCAATGGATCAAGATGACAACTGGCCCGATCTAATTTGGATCAAACCTGAAGATTTTAACAAAAAGCGGGAAGTTTTATTTGAAAACTGGAACACATTTAGGAACCTGAACAAAATGAAGACATACGATGGGAAATATAAAAAAAATGGTTCGTGAAAAGACGATTTAGTGACCAAGAGTCAATGAATGGAAAATATTATATTTGTTTTAAAATATGACTGAATGAGAGCTATGATATCTCACTGCGAAGAGACGCTTGAAAACTGGAACAAGCCTAGAAACCTGAATCGAATGAAGACATACGAGTACCACTTAAAGTTCTCAGAAGCTCCAATTCAAGCCATGTACCCAAAAAAGTCCCAGTCCAAGTTATGGCTCAGGATTTGGCCGGACCATCAACGTATGTAAAACCCAGAGCTTACAAAATCAATCAATGAATGAAAAATATTATTTTTTTTTATTTTATCAAATTGTGGATGTCTTCTACATCGCTCAACTCATAAAATCGATTTAAAAATCAATTTGAAAAATAATAGGATATTTTTTGCTAGAATAAATATTTTGTATTTTTAATTCTGTTTTTATTTATCTGAAAAAAAAGCTGAAGTTTGCTGTTCTGAAAATAAAAAAGGTTGGTTTTTTCCCAATGTTTCCTTAAAAAATGAATTTTTTTAATGTTTTCAGGTTCATATGCGATTGGAAGTTAGTGGAAGTTGTATGCAGTTCAGAAGATTTTCTGAAGTTCAACAAGATTCAGAAAATTTTGAAAGGTTAGTTCAACTTAATAAAACTTTGATTCAAAATTTAGTTTTGAATTTTCGATGTTCGAACAAAAATGAATTGTATTTTTACAGATATCGAAATCAACAACTTCATAGATCTTGAATAAATTTGAGATAACAAATTGGGCTTAAAAAATTCAAAGCTCTCCTTTTCTCTGAAAATGGAAAATGTTTTTTTTTGTATTTTTAAAATCAAAACTTAATTTCCATTTTTCGGTTGCCTTTTTTTTCTAAATCCATTTGTTCTTTCATTTATTTTTTTCTGTTAAAATTATCCTTTTTTTATTTAAAAATTAATTTTCCACTTCTCCTAGTTTTATTTTTCCCCTTTTAATGTTATCAGGAACTTTGAAAACCCCAATTTTTGTTTATTCCCATTATTATTTTAAGATTTTTTTGCTTTCGAAAATTCTTCTTTACTTGTCATTTTTCTGAATTTACCTTCATTTTTTTTTGTAAAAAGTTGTCCCTTTTCATTTTTCCCTTGAAATCCTGCATTCCCATTTCCTATCACCCCAAATCCTTAAATTCCAAACACCCCAAGCTGATTTGATTTATGATAACTTATTTTGAACTTTTGTAACGAGGCTGTATTTCAAATTAGAATATAAAAGGTACAAAAATCTTCTAGAAAAATAAATTTCAAAAAATATTGATTTTTCCAGATCCACAACGAGTTCAACAATCAAAATTCCAAATATTCAAGGAAAAATCAACGTCAAATCTGAAGGTATTTTGAATTCTCATAGTATACTGTAGAAAAAAAATTGGCGGCAAAAATGTTTTAATTTTTCCATCTGCTGTCTATCTCCCGCGCGCTCGAAAAAATGCCGTATTTCTTAAGACTGCGAAAGAGTGGGGGAAGAAGAGAGAGTGCCAGACGCGAGTGTTTTTTGGCTCCCTGCCATATGCATTTGTTCATAGCTTCCTTTTTTGTATTGGTGGAAGGTGTGTGTGTGTGTGTTTTTTTCTTTAGAATTAAAATTTATTTATTTTTTCCAGAGATGTCGGTTGAAAATAGTTTGAATGATTTGGAGATGGATGGATCTGTGAGTTGGGGATTTTTGAACCTTGGAATTTTTTTAAAAGCTTGGGAAGATCTAGGAAATTTTTTTAAATGAAAGGTAGAATTTTGAAGGCCCAGGAAACTTTTTCAGAATTTTTCAAAAGTTTGAAAATATCTAGAATGCCTAAGAATCTCTGATTTTTTTTGAATTTTTCAGAGGCAAAAAAAACCCCAGTAAAAATTCTGAAAATGATTTTTCAGGAATCTGAAAAGTCGAGAAGGTCCAGAGAACTTTTTAGCAATTTTTAGAAACCCCAAAAAAATCTAGAAAAAATAATTTTCTGAATTTTTCAGAAGCCTTCAACATTTTTCAGTTTCAAATCACATTTTTCCAGGTCTCCTCCGAAAACTCTCCGATCGATTCAGAACCCGAGAAACCTGTAGGTTACTTTATTTTTTTCAAAAAAAAAACATTATTGATTTTTGTATTTCCAGAATTACCTCAATCTTCCTCCTGAAATAAGATTCATGATAATCAATATGCTTGGAGCTAAAGGAAGATCAAAAATGTCGAGAATGTCAAAATTGTGTGCTGCAGAATGTCAAGCATCAAAGTTTTATATGAAAGAGCTGAAATTTTATGGTTATTTGTGTGATCCTAGAGTTTGGATTTACCTTGATGACGACAATTATTACTATCTAAAGTTCGAAAAATATCAGTTGTCTTGGTGAGTGAGAAACATTTTTGGGAGACGCGGAAAAACATATTTCAGTCGAGCCTAGAGAGCACAGTGAGACTGGATAGGCTAGAGATATTTTTCATACTGTAACTGCATCTCATCAAGGCTCAATATAAATTCAAAAAATTTCAGCATCTCAAAATACGGAAAATTGTTGTGGAAGGAGATCATGAACGTGAAATCAATCAAATTCATTTCCGAATATGTCAACAAAATATTGTACAAATATCGAAATAGTTTGAAAACAGTTACATTCAATTATAAGGACATCAATTATGCTTTTGATATTGATCAAATCACATGCTACAAAACATTATTATTTGATTGGAAACCTGGTTGTGCTGCTCTACGAGTTCTTGAGAACATCAAAAAACCAGTGGATGAGATTCGGCTTGCTCTTTATAAAGGATTTACATATGACATTTTGAAACAACCACAGGTATGGTTTAATGTTAAAAATTTTCAAAGGTTTTTCAAATCCTGGATTCTCCCAGATTTGTTCAGCAAATTTTCGAGCAATTCTAAAATTTTTCTAAATTTATTGAGAAGCTTTGACAAGAACATATTCTAGAATTTAGAAATTTGAAAAACATTTAGAAAACTTTCCCTCACTTTCTAGATGTTATCAGAAGCTCCCCAATTTTTTTCAGACATTAAAAAAAATCAGAACATTTTCCAGATTTTTTTTCAAAAAATTTCAGGCTTCTGAAAAATCCAGAAAACTTTCCCACGCTCTCTAGTTTTTTCCAGAATTTTGAAGAATCCAAAAACTTTCTAGATTTTCTAAACAAAAATATTAGGCTTCTAAAAAAATTCAGAACACTTTCTTCACTTTTTCTGAATTTTGGAAAATTCAGAAAATGTTCTAAAACTTTCTTCATAAATTTTTAAACGATCTGAAAAATGTTATCGATTTCATTTTCAAAATCCAATATCTTTCAGATTTATCAAGTTTCGAATACTCTTCGCCTTCATAATTTGCACCTCACAAATCAACAATTCCGCCAATTATCCGCCAAAAATGCTTCAATGTTAATTGGTAATTTGACAGAACAAAATATTGTGGATTTTCTAAAATCATATCAAAATGGAACACTTGGAAAAACTATCACACATTATTCGTTTCACGCAGAAGGAAGTTCATTCAAACCCAGTGAATTATGGAAACTTCTTGGATCTTCAGAGACAAATTTGTGAGTTTTTGAAAATCTTCGAAGCCCCTAAAGCCCCGAGAATCCCATAAAGCCTTCAGAAGTCTTATGAAGCCTTCAGAAGTCCAATGAAGCCTCCTGAAGCTTCTTGAAAAAGTCTGGAAGTCTCCTGAACCTCTTTTAAAGCCCCTCAAGCCTCATGAAGCCCTAGAGCCCTCTAGCGCCTCTCAAAGCATAAGGAGCTCTCCAAAAATCCCCTGAAGCTCATGGAGCTCCCCTGTGCTTTTTTTAGCCAAATCAATATTTTTCAGCGAAAAGAATCTGATTATTCGACACAAAATTTTGAAAAAAAGGATGATGTTTGTCAATTTTACAAATAATACTTTAAACATAAGAAATCTATTTGCATATTCGGAATTTTAATTGTTTTTTTTTAATTATTCAAATTTTTTGTTGTTAAAATTTCTATTTTTTTTGAATAAAAAACATCTCTATTTATGTCTTCCCAGAAAAACTCCAATTTATTATTTTCAGAATATAAAAGAATGATTTTTTTATCATTCAATACCAACTTCTTGTTTTTATTTTCAAAATTCAGATCTACAGTACCTCCACATATTCAATTTCCCCCACTGAAAACGTGCGAAAAGAATTATTTCGCAATCTTTTTCATAAAAAATTAGATGGCCGATATTTTTCAAATCCTAGTCCCTTTCTCTTTTTCTTTTTCTTTTCCCTCTCCTACTTTTTCTCACTCTCTTCTTATATTCAAATTTCAATATGTTTTCGAAAAACTTCAAAGAAGCCAAAACTACAGTACTTTGAACCAGCTACAGTACCTCTAACTTAGAGCTCGAAATAAATACATTTTTGCCTCAAAGAATCAGAGAAATTTGAAAATACTGTAGCTTACTCTAATGTGAAAAAGTTTAGCATTCAACTGATTACTGTATTTTTGTAGTACTGTATTTGTTGAACATGGCAAGGTTTAAGGTACTGTAGAAAATTGAATATGTTTTGAAGCTCTGCCTGGAAAACAATATTGTGAAATTAGGAATACTGTAGTTAGTCGAGGTACTGTACATTCAAAACTTTGATTTTGAAGAACACGCATTGAAATTTGAATATGAGAAGAGAGTGAGAAAAAAGAGAGGAAAAAGAAAAAGAGAAAGGAGAAGGGGACTAGAATTTGAAAATTATCGGCCATCAAATATTTTTATTTGAAAAGATTGCGAAATAACTTTTTTCGCGCATTTCAGCATATAAATTCGAAGAATCTTGGCTGGAAAAATTTGGATTTGTAAAATTGGAAACAGAACCTAATTTTGAGAGAAAATTGAGCGAATGAAGAGTTTATTTCAAGATATATAGTGCTCAAATGCAAATTTCTCTAACTTTTTCAATTCTCAAAAAAATCTTGTTAGATTTCCCTCTTGTTTCATGAATGCAAGAAAGACTCCTGTGCTACAATAATTTTTCTGCCACTAAAACAGTGACAAAAATTATTGTAATACAAGGACTTTTCTTGCATTCACTTTTTTTCATCGTTTTTTTGGATTTCTTCGAATTGCAGCAATTATCACTTGCAACAAACTTTCTCCCCTCTTATTCTTTTGCGTGCGCCGACAACTAACAGGTCTCACATGTCTCTATCTTTTTCATGCAGAGTGGGCGGGGCCAAGGTTCGCTCCCACATGCCGACCAACTTTTTTTCTTATTTTTTTAATTCTGCAATGGAAAAAATCAAAGTTTCAGATTTTTTATGGGTTTTACAGTTTTCAAAACTTACTAGCTATATTGCGCTCTTTTCCTTCTCTCCTTTTTTTTTAATACAAAAGACATTTGTAGGTTTTAGAAGATAATTGGAAGCTTCAGACGGTTTTTGCAGAATTCAGAAGGTTTTATTTTTGGAAAGGTGAGATTGACAAGGTGTCAAAAATAAAAATTGAAAAAGTCTCAGAGCTTCAGCTCAAATAAAATTCCCGAAGAAAACTTATTCAATTTTTTAAACTACTTCTCACTGTACCCGTATTTTTAATTGATATACTATAGCTGACTAAAGATACTGTAGTTTCGATGAAAAATACAAAACCTTGATTTTGGTGAATTTTGTGAACCTATCAACACGCATTGAAATTTGAATTTGAGAAGATAGTGAAAAAAAGAGAGAGGGAAAAGAAAAAAAGAAAAGAAAAGGGGACTAGAATTTGAAAATTATCGGCCATCAAATATTTTCAATTAAAAGGATTGCGAAATAACATTTTTCGCGTATTTCAGCATATAAATTTGAAGAACCTTGGCTGGAAAAATTTGGATTAGTAAAATTGGAAACGGGACCTGAATCCAAAAAAAAAGTTTATCAAAAAGATAGTATTCAAGAGATGTTCAACATGAGATTTGATGTCAAATTCGAACTGAAAACATTGATTTTGGCTGGAAAAATATGAATTTTTGAATTGGAAACTGGTCATAGTTTTACAGATGAGAGAAGCTTGGAATTTCAGCATGATGAAGCTGAATTTGTGCTCAAAATTTTTGATTTTCAGAAAAAATTGAATGAAAATTTATTTTGGGTGGAGAGAAGGTGGCAAAATTTTGAGATCTTAAGGAAAATCTAGATTTGTGTTCAACTGATTCAGGGTTAATAACAATAATGAAAATTTTTTGAATTTTGTTCAGATTCCGGAAAATCCTGGAGACCTCCTAGGCCTTCTATTCTGTCCGGGATTCTAGAACATTCTGGATTCTGGAAAACTTCTGAATCATCCTGATTTTTGTCTGAGAATCAGGCTTAGGCTTAGTAAATCACCTAGAAGTAACAATAAAGTCGGGAAAATGTTCTGTCAATTTTTCTGTTTTTAACGGTGTTAAAAATTCTGATTACCTTAGGCTCAGTGTTTTCTTGTTATCGAAAAAAATCGGCCCGAATTTTTTCTTGTTATCGAAAAAAATCGGCCCGAATTTTTTCTTCAATTATTTTTTTGAATTAAATGTACTCGTAAGATGTTGAACACACGAATTACAATTGAATTCAAGAAAAATTTTAAGTTTTTTGATCAAAAAATGACTCGTGGCAAAATCAGGAAGGCTTCCAATTTTGCCATGGATGAAGTCAACGATAAATTTTTCGAAAAAAAACACTTATTTAATTTTTTTCGTATTAAATGTACTCTGAGCGAAGCTCTAGAAAATTTTTATTTTTTTAACACTGTTAAAAAAAACAAGAAAATTTTTTTTTTGAAAAATTGTTCGATGACGTCATGGCCAAAATAAAAACCGTTCCTGATTTTGCCACGAGTCATTTTTGAACGAAAAACTTGAAATTTTCTATGAATTTGTCTCCAAACCGAAATTTCTGTTTGGAGACGGTCATGTCTTAAAACGAAAATTTCATTTTTTTTTTGAATTTTTTCAACGAAAATCAAAATTTCGGTTTTTGTTGAATTTTTTGAAATTTCTGACAAAAATACCCGCAAAATTTCGATTTGAGCGGGTAGCTGACAAAAATTCAAAAATTTTGATTTTCGTGTATACAGTCAACAAAAAAAGTTACAGATTTGGAATAATTCGAAAATGTAAAAATGAAGTCGATGCGTTGGGACCTAAATGACACTTTCTCTCAGAATCAGCTCTCCAAAATTCACCAAATTCTTCATGTTGCCGTCAAAATTCGTGATCCCGTGTAAAATCGTCTTGGCTGACCAAATCGTCACATACATAATTCAAGATGAATAGAGAATTCAGCAAGTACTCAATCAACCTGAAATCAAAGGTACCTTCGAGAATTCTTTTTTAACATCCAATTTACTCTCTGCAAGTCCTCAGCCTTTCAAAAATTCTCCACATTGACATTTTTCTTGTAAAATCGTTGATCGTCCCAAAATCACTTCTTGTTGTTGTTTTTCTTCCTCACTTCAATTTCTTCCAAAACCTTTGAATATTTCTCCTCGAAGTCCCAGTATAAGAAAAGTGAGAGAGAGAGAGAGAGAGAGAAATAAGGAGACACAGACAGTCAGCGCATGGTCCAAAAAAGGTGAAGGGAGTTGTTGTCCCCTACAGTGTAGTTATCTCGCCGGGAGAGAAAAACAGGGACACGTCATATATCCAACTTGTTGTATGCAGAGCGGCGTGGTTGACCCGGAGGGAAGTAGTTTATTGATTATTCATCTTTTCTTTTCAGGTGTTTTCTTTATTTTATTTTTTTCGTTCTTTGCTTTTTTATATACAAATTCTATTTTTTTTTCAGGAATTAAAAAATGACCGAAGTTATGCCAACTCAAGCGCCATATATTTCTGCAAAACAGCGATTGTTGAATGATTGGACAAAAGGAAATATTGCACCAATTATGATTAATGGAAAAATAGTTAAAAGAAAAAGATGTGGCGACAAAAACGAGGATAATTCGAATGCTCCAAACTCAGTTAGTTTTTGTATGATTTCAAAATTTACTAACTAAAAAGTTTCGATATTTTCAGAAACGCAGCAAATCAACTAATTCCAATGCTGTGACTTTAATGAAGCCTGATGCTCTTCAGAAAATGCAAAAAGTGGTGGCTGAAAATAATGTCGGAAGAACCTTCAAACAACGCGGGAATTGTCAACAATTGGTGGAGAAGAAACAAGAATTGGTGCCAAAAAAGATGTTTGAACAAAAAGAAGATGAAGCTGTTGTCACTGAGGAGTTTCTGATGAGTTTGGACCCAAGTGATCCACTCGGTCTCAAACTGATGGTATAATTTATTTTCATTTTACATTGAATTTTTTGCTAGAATTTTGTGAATCATCTAGGATTTTCCCGATTTTGCTCCTTTTTACAGTCTTCTCACTTTACTTTTTGCTTTTTCAATGGCTTGATTTTCAGAATGAAAATATCGATTGTTTTATAATTCAAAACCAATTTCTTGTTTTTTTCAAAATTCAAGATCTCAAATCCTAGTCCCCTTTTTCTTTCTCTGTTTCTTCTCCCTCTCCCTTTTTCCCTCACTATCTTCTTATACCAAAATTTCACTGCGTGTTAAAAATAGAACTAAAATTAATTTTAAATCTATCAGCCATCAAATACTTTTGATTGAAAGTATTGTGAAATAGCTTCAGCAAATAAATTTGACGAATCTTTCTTGGCTGGAAAAAAATGGATTTGTAAAATGGGAAACGGGACCTGAATCCAAACAATTTCCGGGTTTTCTTTCTCTTTTCAAAAGATTTTAATGAATGGATAAATGAATTTAATTAGAACATGGATGGATACAAAGTACATCATACGGCAAGTAAAAATACATTAATAGTTGAACTGAATAATTCAAGGATTAGTTCGAGATAACAAACGCAGATTGAAACCTCTCTCGAAAATTCTCTCAAAACCAGTCTCACTAAAACGACGTCGACGACCTCTGCCTTGACGCTGTTCCACTTCAGGTTCCACGTAAACAGGGACAAGATTGATGGTTCGTTGGGATGAATATTCTTTCAAGTATTTATAAGGGTCCTCGTATGGACCATCATTATCCTGGAAAAAAAGTAGTTTGATAACTGACAAATTTGAGCTCGCTGAATGGTGAAACCAAGTTATGACGTGGCAAAGGTTCCGATGATTAGGAATATGATTTTTCCAGATAAAAAATCGAAAAGTTAACATTTCTTCTTAGACGATGAAAAATTGTTGAAATTTTTTTTTATTTTGAAAATATGCAATTTTTGAGACAGTAATTTTTTGTTTTAAAAAAATCCTTAAAAAAAAGTTTTCATTTTTATTTAAAAAAACAAAAGCAAAAAATTCATTGCTCAGATTATACGCGAAATTTGAAAGTTCAAACATATAACTTTTGGCGCCAAAAAATCGAAATTCAAATTTTTTGCCGCGAAATCTCAAAATCTCTAAAATTCTGATAAATTTTTTTCGATTCCCAGTCAAAGCATTTTTCTATATCCGCTAGGTATGATTTTTAAAATTTCTGAAGAAAATTGACAAAAATGGTAAAAAAATGTGCGGAAATAATTTGAAAAAAAACTTAGTTTCAAAATTTGTGCTACTTTGAAAAATTCATAATTTTTGAAGTCTCCTCGCACGTCGTAACTTTTTTCCTAGCACATTTCTCACAAACCTCCTCTTCATCGCGTTTCGGTTTCTCCTCAAAACAACACTCAAACATTCGAATATGTGGATCCTCTCCAGATGCGGCAATTTTCAACAATTCCGGATGCGGTTCACAAATATTCGCATTTTTCAACGTGCTTTTCCACATTCCCAAAATTCCTCCAGTTGCTCTCGACCAAATAATCATCGAACCACAATCAGATCCACCAACTTGAAAAAGAAAAAGTGTTTTTTGTTGTTGAAATTCTACTCACCAATATATTGATCATTGGATCCGAAAAAGTTGGCATTTCTGATATTTGTGTTGTTTTTGTTATAACTTCCCAAATATCTCTCCTTGTAATCCATAATATCATAGCGGATTCGAGCTGCACGGGATGACAATTCGGAACGTTGTTCGAGCTGGAAATTAAATTATGAATAGAAATGTCGAGAATTCGGCCAATAAATTCGCTCTAATAATTATTTGCGTAATATTAGAGAGCCTAGAGCTGGAGCAAACAACAAAACCATACCTGCTTTTCAATTTTCGATATCGACTCATCATTCGGGAATCGTTTCTTAAAAACCTCGCAACATTTATACGCCAAATCATAATTCTCCATCCCCACCGCCGCTTGTCCCATCCGCCAAATCGCCTTCGAATTTCCCTGATGAAGTTTCAACGCTTTCACACATTCCTTTATCGAATGCCACCAGTCACCAGGATATAATCTTTCATTCAAACAAGTCGCTCGATTCGAATGCAAAACACTCAAAAATCTCAAATCCCTAATTTTCGTCGTCGCCATTAATTCGCCATAATAATCATATCCTTTCAAATAATTCTTTTCCACTAAAATATGTGAACGTGGATGTCGAAGTTCTTCAAATGGCAAATTGTTTCGATGAATCATCTCAAATTCTGCGGGATCTTCGAGTAATTTATAGGCATCATCAAGGGTTTGAGGATTCTTTCCTCTTTGTGTATCGAATATTACAATTGATCCTCCCAATTGATTCACAATTAATTCCTGGCCATTTTTACTGAATTCTACATGATTTGTTTTATGTTCATATGTATGACTATCACCCGGTTTGAGTTTAAGGAATGGTCTCGAAGGTATTCTACGATCATAAAGTGGCACTTCAGCTTCATCCAATCCTAGGGCCATCTGAAATTCAGAATAATTTTTTCCCAAAAACCTCGAGAGAAAGCAACTCACAATAAACGGTCTTTCGGCGCAAACTGCCATAGTTTTAATAATCGCCGAACTTTCCGGTAACGACATTAGTATATTGACTTCATTTATTCTCGTATCAATTTGTCGCAAATGTCCGTCTTCTGTTGCCAGCCAACAACTATTCGGCTCACTTTCCAAACTGCATATTCTTCGCACAATCGCATCTACACTTATTGTGTTCGAAACATTGTCTGAAAAATCTATATACACATCACACCAATTTCAATTTTTAAATTTAAACTCACTTTCAATGTGATTAATATGCAATAGTTTATCATCACCACCACTCAAAATGACATTGTCATTTGAGCCCGGCAAAAATTCCACCGAAAATATATTTGCCAAGTTATCATCCTCTAGTGAATGCAATAAATTGTTAGTTCCATTTTGCCAAATTTTGATCTTTTTATCATTCGATCCAGATGCTAGAAGAGTTCCTTTTTTATTCCATCTCAACGCATTTACAGGTCCGTCGTGTCCATTGAGAACACTTGTTCTTCGAAGCGATTTTACCAAATAATCTTCATCGAAATACGCAGAAACACTTGGAAACGAAGAGGTCGGCTCAATTTCTCGTTGTGAAAGTGTCGTCGGCAACATCTAGAAATATTGAGATTAAGGAACAGCGAAAACAAAAAAGAAAAAAAAAAGAGAAAGCGTGCAAAAAGAGTTATTTCGCAATATTTCTCATAAAACAATTAGATGGCCGTTGTTTTTCAAATCCTAGTCCCCCTTTTTCTTTCTCTGTTTCTTTTCCCTCTCCTCTTTTTTCTCACTCTCTTCTTTTATTCAAATTCCAATATGTTTTTTGAAAATCTTCAAAAAAAAGCGAAACTACAGTAGTTTGAACCATCTACGGTACCTTTAATTGTTTCGAAGAATTAAAGAAATCTGAAAACACCGTAGCTGATTACTGTAATTTTGTAGTACTGTATTTTTTTTTGAAAATTAAAGAATTCTTTGAATGAAAAACAAAAACCTATCCGGGTGTTCTGAATCAGGAGTACTGTAATTGATTCGAGGTACTGTAGTTGCTATGAAGAACATTCAAAATTTTGATTTTGAAGAACTTCGAAAACATATTGAAATTTGAATTTGAGAAAATAGTAAGAAAAAGTGGAGAGGGAAAAGAAACATAATAAAGAGAAGGGGACTAGAATTTGAAAATTATCGGCCGTCAAATATTTTTGATGAAAAGGATTGCGAAATAACATTTTTCGCGCATTTCAGCATATAAATTTGAAGAATCTTGGCTGGAAAAATTTGGATTTGCAAAATTGGAAACGGGACCTGAATTCGAAAAAAAGTTTATTCAGAAGGTAGTACTCAAGAAATTCTCAACGAATTTGATGTCATATTAAAATTGAAAACATAGATTTTGGCTGGGGAAAAAAGGATTTGTAAAATTGGAAACAGGTCATAATTTTACAGATGAGAGAAGCTTGGAATTTCTGCTCAAAATTTCTGGTTATTTGAAAACTGAACTACAATTTTCCTGATTTTCATCAAAAAAATTCTTTCAAATCTCCCGTCTCTTTAAAAAACGAACGTTTTCACAAAAAAAAATTTTTTTAATTAAAAAAAAAATTGGTCGGCATGTGGGATTGAACTTGGCCCCGCCCACTCCGCATGAAAAAGATAGAGGCATGCGAGACCTGTCAGTTGTCGTCGCAAGCAAATAAATAAAAGGGGAGGTTTGTTATAAGTGATAATGTTCGATACAAATTACAACAAAAAAAAATATGAAAACAAAGTGAATGCAAGAAAGGTTCTTGTTTTACAATAATTTTTGTCACTGTATCAGTGGCAGAAAAATTGTTGTATTTCAGTAACCTTTCTTGCATTCATGAAAAAATAGGGAAATCTAACACGAATTTTTTGAGGTCTTGGAAAAGTTAGAGAAATTTGCGCAGAAAAAAACGTACTTTTAAAGGTGGAGTCTGAGCAAAAAATAAGTTGAGCTCATTTGAAAGAGCATGGTACAATTCTTGCAGGATTTTCGGAAGCTTCTCGAAAATTAGTTCGAACATTTCAAAATTCGAAAAAAAAACTGAATTCGCGCTCAAAATTGTTGGTTATTTGAAAACTGAACAACAATTTTCCTGATAGAAAATCTTCAGGGTTCGTAAAAATGATTTGAATTTTTTCCGGGATTCCAGAAAATCCTGGAAACCTCCTAGGCCTTCTAGATGTCTATCCGGTAATTTAAAACATACTGGATCCTGGAAAACTTCTGAATCCTCCAGATTTTTGTCTGAGGTCTCAAAAAATCCTAGAAACCCCTCAAATCTTTTAGAAGTTTGTCTGGGATTCTACAAAATCCTGGCAGCCTTCAAGACCTTCAGAACCTTTTCCCAAACTCTCCAAAAATTCAGAGACCCACTGGGCTATTTTTAAAATCCACCTAGGTTCTCTAGATTTCCTCCGGGCTTGAAAAATCATCTGCTCCTCCTTGACTTTGCCTATTTCTTTTCGAGAAATTTTCCTTGAAAATCAGAAAAAAAAAGAATCCTGTATTTTTTTTGTGGAGAAAATGCATGAAAAAATCGATAAAATAATAACATTTGGATGGTGTTTTGCTGTAGAAATCTTTGTTTGAAAAATATATAAGAGTTATTTGAGTTAACATGAGCAATCAGGGTGTATTTTTGTAACAAGTATCCAAAGAAAAATGTGTGCCAAAATATCTTCTTGTAAAAAAGACAAAAGAAGTCGAATGACTCATGAATTGTTTTTGCCTACTTTTTGCCCAATCTTTTTCCTCGCATTTTTATTTTACAACAGTTTCTTTCAAATTTTCTGAGCGCTAAAACTTTTGCCAATAATGATTTATAATGATTTTTCTTTTTTGTGAAAAGCATAATGAACATCTGCGCGCCATAAAAAAAGCGGCAACAAAGTTTTTGCACCTTTTTTATTTTTACGAAACTTGAGTCAATTTTTCTTTTGAAAAAATATATTCTGATTGCTCATGTTAACCCAAAATCTCTAATAGGGACTTTTCCAGAAAAATACCAAATACAGAATTATTTTTTTTTCTGATTTTCAGAAATCAATCTTGGAGAATGGAAACAATTAGAAAGTTGCTCGCCAGGCTTGGCTTTTTCAAAAAGGAGCCACCTGTGAGTTTATTTTTAAATTTTTTTAAAGCTTAGGTGGATTTTTTAAAAATAATAGATTATAAGGTTCCTAAATTTTTTGAGAGTCTGGGAGAAGGTTCTGAAGGTCTTGAAGGTTTCCAGGATTCTGTAGAAGGCTGGACAAAATTCTAAAAGCTCTAGAATTCCATTAAGATTTTTTAGAGGTGAGACAAAGATTTAGAGCCACCAGAAGTTTTTAAGAATTTTGTGGAGGTTTTCTCCGGCCCGGAATTTTCTAGAAGCTCTAGAATTTTTTTGAGATTTTGTAGAGGAGAAACAAAGATCTAGAGCCATCAAAAATTTCTTAGGACTTTTAAAAATCTCAAACAGAAATCAGGAGATTCTGAAAATTTCCTAGAAGTTTTTAGAGGCCATATTTATGAAGATCTAGAAGTTTTCCTGGATTTTCGAAGAATTTTAGACTGAAACCTGAAGCATCTTGAAGATTTATAGATTTTTCATAAGCCCGAGCCTAGTTCAAGAAGCTCTAGAATTTTATTAACAGATTTTGAAGAGGTGAAAAAAATCTAGAGGCTCTAAAAGTTTCCCAGGATTTTTATAGATATGTAGAATGCCTAGAAGTATTTCAAGATTTTTCTAAAATCCTTTCAAAAAGCCTAGGAGGTTTCCGGAAATTTTTCAGAATTTCAGAATCAGACAGAAATTTAAAGCGCCTCTAAGTTTCCTAAACTTCAAAATTTCCAGACCTACAACGATCTTCCAAATGAAATAAAAATGGATATCATAAATATGCTTGGTTCAAAAGGCAGATCAAAAATGTCCCAAGTTTCAAAATTGTGTGCCGCACAATGCAAAGAATCACCATTCTATCTGCAAAATCTGGAGTTTTCCAGTTCTGAAATCAAACCAAAGATTGAAGTTGGACATGCCGCAAATCGAACAGATTATATTCTAACGTTCGGAGAAAATGAGATTATTTGGTGAGCCTAGAACCTTTAAGGATAAAACATCTATATTTTTTTTAAATATTTTTTTGCAGCCTCTCACGAAACGAAGAAAGAGTTTTATGGAGAGAAAACCTGGAAAAATCCGAAGAAAACGCAAATCTCAATTGTTGTCGACACTTTGAAAAAATGTTGGAAGAACATCAAAAATCAATCAGATCTATTGTTATCAACCCTTATTCTGCACGGTATTTGAAATTTGATGTGGCTAGTTTTCCAAGATTGGAAAATCTTCAAATCATACTTAAATTTGGTATTGATTATTATCAAATTTTCGGGAAACTTGTGAGACCTTTGAGAACTCTGGAAGTTCTTCAAGGTTATGATGAAAGGGATTCGGATTATGATATTTTGGAGTATGATCAGGTAATAGTTTTGGGTGGAGGGTTTTTGAGAGAATAAATTTATTTTCAGAAAGTTTTCTCTAAAAACCCTCTAATTCCACTCTCTCTCTCTCTCAAACTATATATTTTCCAGATCTATCAAGTGCTAGAAAAAATATCATTATCTCATTCGCATCTGAAAAATGAGCATCTCATCAGATTCACAGCAAAATATCTGGATATAAAAATTGGAGATTTGACCGAAGAAAATATTGCAAATTGGCTGAGAACCTATCAAAATGGAACAATGCAACATACCATAATTAATTACACGTTTTCTGTCGGAGATTCCGATTTCGATTGCCATAAATTGTGGAGACTTTTGGGATCGAATGAGCAGAATCTGTGAGTTACCAGGAGTTTTCAAAATTCTTTTTTTTTATATCAAATTTTCAGCGAAAAACTTTTTGCGATTCGAAGAAATGACAATCGAAGAAAATTTCTGTACTTGAAATTCACTCACGGATGTTTGGTGTTAACAAATCCTATGCTTTAAATTTTTTTGTCTAAAAATTTTGAGTTTTCTACATTTCTTTTGTCTTTTTAAAGAGAATGAGATAGAGAGAGTGCATAAAGAAGAGACGCAGAGAAAAAAAGATTTCTCTGTCCCTTTCACACAAGGCTAGCAGGTGGAGAAAATGGAAAAGGGGGGAGGGGGAATTTTTGTAGGCTTTTCGTAAGTTTTTTTTTGAAAATTTTCAAAAAATTCAAATTGTTGATCCTAGGTTTTGAGACGTGAAATTTTGGATTTTTTGAGCCCGAATGAGCTCAGATTTTTGACTGGAATATTTTATTTATGTTGAAGTCTGAGTTGGGTGAAAGCCGAGTTTTTTCAAAAAAAAAATCGGCCCGAGTTTTTTATTTATCGAAAAAAAATCGGCCCGAGTTTTTTCAAAAAAAAATCGGCCCGAGTTTTTTTCAAAAAAAAATCGGCCCGAGTTTTTTTCAAAAAAAAATCGGCCCGAGTTTTTTCAAAAAAAAATCGGCCCGAGTTTTTTTTCAAAAAAAAATCGGCCCGAGTTTTTTTCAAAAAAAAATCGGCCCGAGTTTTTTTCAAAAAAAAATCGGCCCGAGTTTTTTTCAAAAAAAAAATCGGCCCGAGTTTTTTTCAAAAAAAAATCGGCCCGAGTTTTTTCAAAAAAAAAATCGGCCCGAGTTTTTTCAAAAAAAAATCGGCCCGAGTTTTTTCAAAAAAAAATCGGCCCGAGTTTTTTTCAAAAAAAAATCGGCCCGAGTTTTTTTCAAAAAAAATCGGCCCGAGTTTTTTTCAAAAAAAAAATCGGCCCGAGTTTTTTTCAAAAAAATCGGCCCGAGTTTTTTTCAAAAAAAAATCGGCCCGAGTTTTTTCAAAAAAAAATCGGCCCGAGTTTTTTTCAAAAAATCGGCCCGAGTTTTTTTCAAAAAAAAATCGGCCCGAGTTTTTTTCAAAAAAAAAATCGGCCCGAGTTTTTCAAAAAAAAATCGGCCCGAGTTTTTCTAAAAAATAATCGGCCCGAGTTTTTTCAAAAAAAAATCGGCCCGAGTTTTTTTCAAAAAAAAATCGGCCCGAGTTTTTTTCAAAAAAAATCGGCCCGAGTTTTTTTCAAAAAAAAAATCGGCCCGAGTTTTTTCAAAAAAAAAATCGGCCCGAGTTTTTTCAAAAAAATAATCGGCCCGAGTTTTTTCAAAAAAAAAATCGGCCCGAGTTTTTTTCAAAAAAAAATCGGCCCGAGTTTTTTTCAAAAAAAAAATCGGCCCGAGTTTTTTCAAAAAAAAAATCGGCCCGAGTTTTTTTCAAAAAAAAAATCGGCCCGAGTTTTTTTCAAAAAAAAATCGGCCCGAGTTTTTTTCAAAAAAAAAATCGGCCCGAGTTTTTTCAAAAAAAAAATCGGCCCGAGTTTTTTTCAAAAAAAAATCGGCCCGAGTTTTTTCAAAAAAAAAATCGGCCCGAGTTTTTTCAAAAAAATCGGCCCGAGTTTTTCAAAAAAAAATCGGCCCGAGTTTTTCAAAAAAATCGGCCCGAGTTTTTTCAAAAAAATCGGCCCGAGTTTTTTTCAAAAAAAAAATCGGCCCGAGTTTTTTTCAAAAAAAATCGGCCCGAGTTTTTTCAAAAAAAAAAAAATCGGCCCGAGTTTTTTTCAAAAAAAAATCGGCCCGAGTTTTTTCAAAAAAAATCGGCCCGAGTTTTTTCAAAAAAAAATCGGCCCGAGTTTTTTCAAAAAAAAAAATCGGCCCGAGTTTTTTCTAAAAAATAATCGGCCCGAGTTTTTTCAAAAAAAAATCGGCCCGAGTTTTTTTCAAAAAAAAATCGGCCCGAGTTTTTTTCAAAAAAAAAATCGGCCCGAGTTTTTTTCAAAAAAAAATCGGCCCGAGTTTTTCAAAAAAAATCGGCCCGAGTTTTTTCAAAAAAATAATCGGCCCGAGTTTTTTCAAAAAAATCGGCCCGAGTTTTTTTCAAAAAAAAATCGGCCCGAGTTTTTTTCAAAAAAAAAATCGGCCCGAGTTTTTTTCAAAAAAAATCGGCCCGAGTTTTTCAAAAAAAAAATCGGCCCGAGTTTTTTTCAAAAAAAAATCGGCCCGAGTTTTTTTCAAAAAAAAAATCGGCCCGAGTTTTTTTCAAAAAAATCGGCCCGAGTTTTTTTCAAAAAAAAAATCGGCCCGAGTTTTTTTCAAAAAAAATCGGCCCGAGTTTTTTCAAAAAAAAATCGGCCCGAGTTTTTTTCAAAAAAAAATCGGCCCGAGTTTTTTTCAAAAAAAAATCGGCCCGAGTTTTTTTCAAAAAAAAAATCGGCCCGAGTTTTTTCAAAAAAAAAATCGGCCCGAGTTTTTTCTAAAAAATAATCGGCCCGAGTTTTTTCAAAAAAAAATCGGCCCGAGTTTTTTTCAAAAAAAAATCGGCCCGAGTTTTTTTCAAAAAAAAAAATCGGCCCGAGTTTTTTTCAAAAAAAAAATCGGCCCGAGTTTTTTCAAAAAAAAAATCGGCCCGAGTTTTTTCAAAAAAATAATCGGCCCGAGTTTTTTCAAAAAAAAATCGGCCCGAGTTTTTTCAAAAAAATCGGCCCGAGTTTTTTTCAAAAAAAAATCGGCCCGAGTTTTTTTCAAAAAAAAAATCGGCCCGAGTTTTTTTCAAAAAAAAAATCGGCCCGAGTTTTTCAAAAAATCGGCCCGAGTTTTTTTCAAAAAAAAAATCGGCCCGAGTTTTTTCAAAAAAAAAATCGGCCCGAGTTTTTTTCAAAAAAAATCGGCCCGAGTTTTTTCAAAAAAAAAATCGGCCCGAGTTTTTTCAAAAAAAAATCGGCCCGAGTTTTTTTCAAAAAAAAATCGGCCCGAGTTTTTTTCAAAAAAAAAATCGGCCCGAGTTTTTTTCAAAAAAAAAATCGGCCCGAGTTTTTTTTCAAAAAAAAAATCGGCCCGAGTTTTTTTCAAAAAAAAAAATCGGCCCGAGTTTTTTTCAAAAAAAAATCGGCCCGAGTTTTTTCAAAAAAAAATCGGCCCGAGTTTTTTTCAAAAAAAAATCGGCCCGAGTTTTTTTCAAAAAAATCGGCCCGAGTTTTTTTCAAAAAAATCGGCCCGAGTTTTTTCAAAAAAAAATCGGCCCGAGTTTTTCAAAAAAATAATCGGCCCGAGTTTTTTCAAAAAAAAATCGGCCCGAGTTTTTTTCAAAAAAAAATCGGCCCGAGTTTTTTTCAAAAAAAATCGGCCCGAGTTTTTTTCAAAAAAATCGGCCCGAGTTTTTTTCAAAAAAAAATCGGCCCGAGTTTTTTCAAAAAAATAATCGGCTCGAGTTTTTTTGTTGGGTGAAAAAAATCGGCCCGTGTTTTTTTTTTGTTTGACAAAAATACCCGCCCAAATGAAAATTTCGATTCGAGCGGGAAGCTGACAAAAGTTGATATGTTTATTTTCGTCTATACAGTCAACAAAAAAAAGTTACAGATTTGGAATAATCCAAAAATGTAAAAATGAAGTCGATGATTTGGGACCTAAATGACATTTCCTCTCAGGCTTAGGCTTAGTAAGCCACATAGAACCAACTTTGAAGCTAAAAAATTGAAAGAAAATTTTTAACACTGTTAAAAAACAAGAAAATGCAGAATTTCATCCAGAAATGAAATTATTGAGAAAAAGTCATGTCTCCAAACCGAAATTTCTGTTTGGAGACGGTCATGTCTATAATTATGCAAATAAAAAAAAAGAGATTCAATAATTTTTTATGAAAAATAGTTTCATGACTTTATCCATGGCAAAATTGGGAAGCCTTCATGATTTTGCCACGAGTCATTTTTTGATCAAAAGCCTCCACAATTTTTCTGAAGCCTTCTAAAGCCTCCACAATTTTTCTGGAGCCTTCTAAAACCTCCACAATTTTTCTGAATCCTTCTGAAGCCTCCACAATTTTTCTGAAGTCTTCTAAAGTCCCCACAATTTTTCTGAAGCCTTCTCAAGCCTCCACAATTTTTCTGAACCCTTTTAAAGCCTTCAAAATTTTTCTGAAGCCTTCTGAAGCCTCCACAATTTTTCTGAAGCCTTCTGAAGCCTTCTGAAGCCTTCACAATTTTTCTAAAACCTTCTAAAGCCTCCACAATTTTTCTGAAGCCTTCTGAAGCCTCCACAATTTTTCTGAAGCCTTCTGAAGCCTTCTGAAGCCTTCACAATTTTTCTAAAACCTTCTAAAGCCTCCACAATTTTTCTGGCGCCTTCTAAAGCCTCCACAATTTTTCTGAAGCTTTCTAAAGTCCCCACAATTTTTCTGAAGCCTTCTAAAGCCTCCACAATTTTTCTGGAGCCTATAGTTGGACATGGTTCGAAAAAACCGAGCGAAACCAGTTTTTTTGGTTCGCTCACTCATTTGGTTTTCGGTTCGCCCATTTGAAATGGTTTGGTTTGGTTTTGGTTCGCTCACTCATTTGAAAACCGGTTTTCGCTCAAATGTCAACTGGTTTTGGGGTATTAGGTATTGATGAATTTCGAGGTTTTGGGCTATGGAGATTCACGTGATGGACTTATTTTCACGTATAATCACTCTTAAAGGCACACACCAAGCAAAAATTTTTTTTTCGAAAAATGGGGTATTTGGGCTCGGGGAACATTTTGGTGAGGTATACGCTCCAAAACAGACTTTTAAAGACACATGCCAGGTTATTATACATTTTCAAGACACAAAAACTAAAACGATCATAACTCTGCCATCTTTTGAGCTTTTTCAAAATTTCGACAGCCATTTTGACGTGCTCGTCGTCAGCTAAATTTTTTCTCATTGGACCGAAGTTCAAATATTGCTCCTAAGGAGTGAAAAATACGTTTTTTTCTCGGAAATATCAATTTTTGAACGCAAATTTTAGCAAAAATGCGTATTTTCACGTGCCCAAATACCCCATTTTCCGAAAAAATTTTTTTTTTGCTTGGTGTGTGCCTTTAAGAGTGATTATACGTGAAAATAAGTCCATCACGTGAATCTCCATAGCCGAAATCCTCGAAATTCATCAATACATAATACCCCAAAACCAGTTGACATTTGAGCGAAAACCGGTTTTCAAATGAGTGAGCGAACCAAAAACTAAAGCCTCCACAAGTTTTCTGAATCCTTCTGAAGCCTCCACAATTTTTCTGAAGCCGTCTGAAGCCTCCACAATTTTTCTGAAGCCTTCTCAAGCCTCCACAATTTTTCTGAAGCCTTCTAAAGCCTCCACAATTTTTCTGAAGCCTTCTCAAGCCTCCACAATTTTTCTGAAGCCTTCTAAAGCCTTCAAAATTTTTCTGAAGCCTTCTGAAGCCTCCACAATTTTTCTGAAGCCTTCTGAAGCCTTCACAATTTTTCTAAAACCTTCTAAAGCCTCCACAATTTTTCTGAAGCCTTCTCAAGCCTCCACAATTTTTCTGAAGCCTTCTAAAGCCTCCACAATTTTTCTGGCGCCTTCTGAAGCCTCCACAATTTTTCTGAAGTCTTCTAAAGCCTCCACAATTTTTCTGAAGCCTTCTGAAGCCTCCACAATTTTTCTGAAGCCTTCTGAAGCCTTCTGAAGCCTTCACAATTTTTCTAAAACCTTCTAAAGCCTCCACAATTTTTCTGAAGCCTTCTGAAGCCTCCACAATTTTTCTGAAGCCTTCTGAAGCCTTCTGAAGCCTTCACAATTTTTCTAAAACCTTCTAAAGCCTCCACAATTTTTCTGGCGCCTTCTAAAGCCTCCACAATTTTTCTGAAGCTTTCTAAAGTCCCCACAATTTTTCTGAAGCCTTCTAAAGCCTCCACAATTTTTCTGGAGCCTATAGTTGGACATGGTTCGAAAAAAACCGAGCGAAACCAGTTTTTTTGGTTCGCTCACTCATTTGGTTTTCGGTTCGCCCATTTGAAATGGTTTGGTTTGGTTTTGGTTCGCTCACTCATTTGAAAACCGGTTTTCGCTCAAATGTCAACTGGTTTTGGGGTATTAGGTATTGATGAATTTCGAGGTTTTGGGCTATGGAGATTCACGTGATGGACTTATTTTCACGTATAATCACTCTTAAAGGCACACACCAAGCAAAAATTTTTTTTTCGAAAAATGGGGTATTTGGGCTCGGGGAACATTTTGGTGAGGTATACGCTCCAAAACAGACTTTTAAAGACACATGCCAGGTTATTATACATTTTCAAGACACAAAAACTAAAACGATCATAACTCTGCCATCTTTTGAGCTTTTTTCAAAATTTCGACAGCCATTTTGACGTGCTCGTCGTCAGCTAAATTTTTTCTCATTGGACCGAAGTTCAAATATTGCTCCTAAGGAGTGAAAAATACGTTTTTTCTCGGAAATATCAATTTTTGAACGCAAATTTTAGCAAAAATGCGTATTTTCACGTGCCCAAATACCCCATTTTCCGAAAAAAATTTTTTTTTTGCTTGGTGTGTGCCTTTAAGAGTGATTATACGTGAAAATAAGTCCATCACGTGAATCTCCATAGCCGAAATCCTCGAAATTCATCAATACATAATACCCCAAAACCAGTTGACATTTGAGCGAAAACCGGTTTTCAAATGAGTGAGCGAACCAAAAACTAAAGCCTCCACAAGTTTTCTGAATCCTTCTGAAGCCTCCACAATTTTTCTGAAGCCGTCTGAAGCCTCCACAATTTTTCTGAAGCCTTCTCAAGCCTCCACAATTTTTCTGAAGCCTTCTAAAGCCTCCACAATTTTTCTGAAGCCTTCTCAAGCCTCCACAATTTTTCTGAAGCCTTCTAAAGCCTTCAAAATTTTTCTGAAGCCTTCTGAAGCCTCCACAATTTTTCTGAAGCCTTCTGAAGCCTTCACAATTTTTCTAAAACCTTCTAAAGCCTCCACAATTTTTCTGAAGCCTTCTCAAGCCTCCACAATTTTTCTGAAGCCTTCTAAAGCCTCCACAATTTTTCTGGCGCCTTCTGAAGCCTCCACAATTTTTCTGAAGTCTTCTAAAGCCTCCACAATTTTTCTGAAGCCTTCTGAAGCCTTCACAATTTTTCTAAAACCTTCTGAAGCCTCCACAAGTTTTCTGAATCCTTCTGAAGCCTCCACAATTTTTCTGAATCCTTCTGAAGCCTCCACAATTTTTCTGAAGCCGTCTGAAGCCTCCACAATTTTTCTGAAGCCTTCTCAAGCCTCCACAATTTTTCTGAAGCCTTCTAAAGCCTCCACAATTTTTCTGAAGCCTTCTCAAGCCTCCACAATTTTTCTGAAGCCTTCTAAAGCCTTCAAAATTTTTCTGAAGCCTTCTGAAGCCTCCACAATTTTTCTGAAGCCTTCTGAAGCCTTCACAATTTTTCTAAAACCTTCTAAAGCCTCCACAATTTTTCTGAAGCCTTCTCAAGCCTCCACAATTTTTCTGAAGCCTTCTAAAGCCTCCACAATTTTTCTGGCGCCTTCTGAAGCCTCCACAATTTTTCTGAAGTCTTCTAAAGCCTCCACAATTTTTCTGAAGCCTTCTGAAGCCTTCACAATTTTTCTAAAACCTTCTGAAGCCTCCACAATTTTTCTGAAGCTTTCTGAAGCCTCCACAATTTTTCTGAAGTCTTCTAAAGTCCCCACAATTTTTCTGAAGCTTTCTAAAGTCCCCACAATTTTTCTGGCGCCTTCTAAAGCCTCCACAATTTTTCTGAAGCCTTCTAAAGCCTCCACAATTTTTCTGAAGCTTTCTAAAGTCCCCACAATTTTTCTGAAGCTTTCTAAAGTCCCCACAATTTTTCTGGCGCCTTCTAAAGCCTCCACAATTTTTCTGAAGCCTTCTAAAGCCTCCACAATTTTTCTGAAGCTTTCTAAAGTCCCCACAATTTTTCTGAAGCTTTCTAAAGTCCCCACAATTTTTCTGAAGCTTTCTAGAGTCCCCACAATTTTTCTGAAGCCTTCTAAAGCCTCCATAATTTTTCTGGCGCCTTCTAAAGCCTCCACAATTTTTCTGAAGCCTTCTAAAACCTCCACAATTTTTCTGAAGTTTTCTGAAGCCTCCACAATTTTTCTGAAGCCTTCTAAAGTCCCCACAATTTTTCTGAAGCTTTCTAAAATCCCCACAATTTTTCTGAAGCCTTCTAAAGTCTCCGCAATTTTTCTGAAGCCTTCCAAAGCCTTCACAATTTTTCTGAAGCCCTCTGAAGCCTCCACAATTTTTCTAAAGCCTTCTAAAGCCTCTACAACTTTTCTGAAACCTCCAAATTGTTTATGAAGCCTCCGAAATCCTTATGAATCCTCCCAAACTTTTCTGAAGTCTTCACAAGAAAAAAGAGAAGAAGAAAAACAGAGCAATATGTATATTTACATTTAGTTAGGATAATTTTTGAAAACTGAAACACCCGTACAAACTCTGAATTGTTCTATTTCAGAAGTCTTGTTGAATTTGATATTTTTTTCTCCAAACACAGTTTTTATTAACATAGTTTATTATCACGAAGACAAAACTAGAAAGAATCGAAAAACACCATAAAATTTCTCATAAATGAAATTACATAGAAAAAGTGCTTCTTGATTCTTGAGCACTTTCTGGAGGAGGAGTAGTTTCTGAATTGTCGTCATCAACCTGTGGAGCGTGAGTCAGCGGCAGCTTGATACCAATCAAAACACGAAGATGTTCATCGAATTTGAATCCGGGATGCAATTGTTGAGCAGCCAACAAATGCTTCATCACATTTTGCCCATTTAACGCACACATTGGTTGGTTGCTCCAGCCTACTCGACCATCAGGAAGTTTTGGATGAGCGATTCTGGAAAAAATAATTTTTTCTGAAGCCTTCTGAATTCCTCAGGTTCCTCGCAACCCAAACTCACTTTAGACTTATTGGTGTTACATTTTCATCCCCATCAACGTGCGATAAACATTTTTTGAACATAATATTTAATATTTCGGTCATAATATCCACTGGTAAAGTTGGGCAAACTAATATGCTTTGGACTTTCATCATCAGTACATAATGATCAGGTTTCATTATGTCAACCAGATACTCCATCCACATTTCCAACCATACAATATCTTCCAATGACAGAAATTTCAGATTGGCAAAAGACAAAAGCCTTTGATTTTCGCTCATAAGTGATTCAGGAATAAAAGCAACAAAATTTTGTGGAATGGGGGGAGGACCCTGAAATTCCAATTTTCATGAGGTTTGTGGAAAATTTTAGTGGTTGAAAATGATTTGAAATTTTTGAATATCAACTTGTGAGATTACTTTTGTTGGATATTAAAAATTATACTTTTCACTGGTAATTTTTGCTAGTTGCAGATGAGAATTCTTTATAAATCAAAAAAAAACTAACCTCTAGGAACCAAGGATCAGAATCAAATGAATGAGTTTCAAGTGGTCCGCTCCAAGATGGATCATCCGCTATCGATTGGTCTTCTGGTGGAATTTCAAGTAGTCCGGTCAAATATGAATCATCTGGACTCGATTGGTCTTCTGATGACATTGCAAATGGTCCGCTCGAAGATGGATCATCCGCTATCGATTGGTCTTCTGATCGAATTGAAAATGGTCCGCTGGAAGATGGTACATCTGGACTCGATTGATCTCCTGATGGAATTGAAAATGGTCCGCTGGAAGATGGTACATCTGGAGTCGATTGATCTCCTGTTGGAACTGCAACTGGTCCGCTCGAAGATGGATCATCCGCTATCGATTGGTATCCTGATGGAATTGCAAATGGTCCGCTGGAAGATGGTACATCTGGACTTGATTGGTCTTCTGATGACATTGCAAATGGTCCGCTCGAAGATGGAACATCCGCTCTCGATTCGTATCCTGATGGAATTGCAAGTGGTCCGCCGGAAGATGGAATATCCGCTATCGATTGGTATCCTGGTGGAATTGCAACTGGTAAGCTCGAAGATGGAACATCTGGACTCGATTGATCTCCTGATGGAATTGCAACTGGTAAGCTCGAAGATGGAACATCTGGACTTGATTGATCTCCTGTTGAAGTTGCAACTGGTCCGCTGGGAGATGAAACATCAGCTTCGGATCCAGGAATTCCTTCAACTGGCATAGGAACATCGGATACTGTTGTTGAAGTCGCGACAGCATTTGAATTGACGGATTCCGTTGGCATTTGAGCCTGAAATGTTGATTTACATTTTCAGTTATTTCAAACTTTTTTCTGTTTATTTTCAATTATTTCTTTGGAAATTTGAAACTTTATGATTTCTTGTTCTAAAATTGGTTTGAAATTATTTTTCGATTGATACTAAATTTTTATTTTTTCGATCGATTTTTTGTTGAAATCTTTTTATGAAGATAAAAATTGAACTAACCGATTCATCTGCCGATGATCCTTGCGCAGATTTTTTCGTTGAGAGTGCAGAAGTTGAAGTATCTTCCGATTGATCTCCTGTTGAAGTTGCAACTGGTTCGGGTGAAGAAAGAACATAATCTTCAGGTCCAGGAATTCCTCCAACTAATATGCGGCGATGAATAATTGGCATTGATGAAATCGCTTTGGGAGCAGGAGTTTTTCCGCGGGCTCGAGAACTTCTTTGATTTCGAACATCTTCGGAATTGACCTCGCCGACCTGAAATTCAAATTTCAATTGATATCTTTTTCTTTTTGTTATTCAAATTTTTTGAGAGAACATCTAAATGTTTTGGCAAAAAATATTTGAAATACGAAGAAAAAACTCACATTTTTCCGCTTTTTGGATGTTGTTTCAGCAGACTTTGGTGCAACACTCTTGGCTCGCATTCTTGACGCAGTCGCTTCAGCCACAGCATTTTTCGCAATTCCACGAGTTGCAACTTTGTTCACTGGAGCAGCTTTCGCTTTTTGTCCTCTGGTTTTCGCAGTTTCAGCATTTACGGCGCGAATTCTTAGTTGAGCTGGCATTTTTCCAAGTATTTCTGAAAAAAACACATTTTATATTCAATCGTTTTGATGATTAAATAAAAACGAGTAATATTAAGGAGGAAAACGAAAAATCGAGAAAAAAAGAGGAAGAGACAATGATGACGAAACGAGAGAAACGAGTGCAATAGAGCGCACTTTCTCTCCTAATAATTTTCCGAAGGAGAAAAGTATAATGTTTCCAAAAAGCATCCATTTTTCTGTGACACTTCGAAGAAACAGTGACAAGGAAAAATTGGATGATTCTTGGAAAATTGATGAATCACAGCAGTGAATAGATAGTTGAAAACCAGAAATAAGTCCAGAATAAAAAGAGTCTCCAATAATATGTTGAAGATGTACATATTTGCCAATCTGCAAAAATATATCGATTAATCTACGGTATTGTCGAAGTTGAAAAATGTGGCAGCCGTAAAAAATGAAAACCAGTGCAGAGCTGAACTCAGGAAATTTTGGGCAACGATTTAGCAAGTTGCTGCCCTCTCGCAACTTGCTATCTCCTTGCTGCACTTTTAGCGACTCGCTCGATTCTTGCTGCATTTTTAGGTTGCAATTTGTGTCATGAATTTGGTCCAGCAAGTTGCGAAATTCTTGCTGGAACCATTTTTATTGAGATGGATAGTAGGCGGAGCATCTCTTTTGAAAGCATGCCAATAGGCAAAACTCATTTTTTGTCGGGCAGCAAATAAATATAAATTGAACCTGATAATATCTTCACAAGTTACAAAGGGGTATTTATTAATGCTATGGCATTAAATTGCTACAGTACCACCAATAACTAAATTAATTTTGATCTCGACAAACTTTGTCTTTCATAATAAAAAAGAATGAACCTCTTGTTTTTTTTTTCTCGAAATTTGTTCAGCAACTCGCGGTTTTCTTGCCGATTACGAAAAAAAAAATCTCGCTTGTTATAATAGGCGATTCCGCGGCAAACTAGTGTCCGAATCGCATGTTTTATCAAGCAGAATCGCTCATTCGGTACAGCAAAATTGCGAAAAATCTCCTGAGAATAAATGTCAAACTCGCGTCAGTTGCGTGCGGCTGTGCGTTGCGGTTGAAAAACAAAGGAAAAAAATGGATTAATGATTTTTTTTTCGACCGCAACGCACAGCCGCACGCAACTGACGAAGTAACGAGTTTGTCATTTATTCAGCTCTGCACTGGTTTCTATTTTTACGGCTGCCCCATTTTTCAACTTCGACAAGATGAGAAACAACATTTTATGAAAATATACCTGACAAAAACGCGGCCAAAAATGTGGTGTGAGTAGAATATCCCTTCAAAAATCGCTGATCCATTTTGTTGAGCTGTTCTTCTGTTCATAAGTCTTCACGGCGACGGTTTTTTTGGCAAAATTGACTGATTATCCGATGAGCAAAAGATTGTTGATTTTCTTCCATTTTCAAAATGAACATCATGCATTAATACACTTGTTTCACTTCCTCACTTCGACGCCTTCCAAAACCTCTGAATTCCTCTCGCCGTTGTTTTAATCTCTCATTTCCATCCAGAATCCCTGTCGTTGTCGTCATCTTCCTGTAAAAATACCAATTAACCAACGGGAAAATTGTTTTTCCGAACTAAAATATCATAAAATTTACCTGATAAACTTTGTCGATGTCTATAATTCGCTCCATCCATTGGAATCTCCTTTGATATCCATTTTCTCGGCGTTCTTTTTCTTCCTGAAAACCAATTTATTGATTGAAAAAGGCGTGTTTAGGAGAGGAAAACAAGCACAAACACAAACAAAAAAAGAAGAAAGGTGGCATGTGTGTGTGTGTGAGAGAGAGAAAAAAAGAGACGCAGACACACCTGCAGACCAATTTATTGATTGAGAAAGGCGTGGTTAAAAAGAAAACAAACAAAACAAAAAAGAAGAAAAGTGGCATGCATGTGTGTGAGAGAGTGTGTGAGAAATGACGAGACACAGACAGATAAACAACCAGGTATTGTTTGTTGGAGTGAGCATGGTCTTTTGAAAAGTAATAACAATAACCAAAAAGGTGAAATTTTGATTGAGAAAGGCGTGGTTAAAAGGAAAACAAACAAAACAAAAAAGATGAAAATAGCTGTGGGACAACAAATTTCATGAAAATATACCTGGATAAACGCGACCGAAACAAAAAACATTCCAAGAAGCCAAACATTTGTTGTGAGTAGAATAGCCCTGCAGAAATCCCGGCTCCATTTGTTTCAGCTGATCCATTCCCATCTTCCATCAATATATTTGTTGTTGTCTCGATTTCATAATGCTTTTTGTATGCAAAACCCTCGAATATCTCTATTGTTGTTGTCCATCTTCTCTTGATCGTTCACTAGAAGGCAAAAATCCTCTTCACGCCAGTTTTCTGTAAAAATATCAATTAACCAACGGGAATATCGCATGGCCGAACTAAATTATAGTAGAAATTACCTGAGAATAACAAACATCCTTCGAATCGCTCAACCTTTCAATTCATTTTCATCCAACACAATTCTCGATGTTGTCCAAACATTGAACCAGAACAATCCTTTGATTTCTCTATCGGTGTTGTTGTTTCTCCTTATATTTTTCGAAAAACTTGAATTAGTACTTGTTGGCGTTGTTTTTCTGTGTTTGCAAATCCTCAGCCATTGAAAATATTGAAACTCTTCACATCGCCGTGTTTTCTGTGAAATCCTTGGTCGTCCCGACAATTCGATATCTTTGCTGTTCTTTTTCTTCTCATTTCCATCCAGAATCCTCGACTCCCTCTTGTCGCCGCCATTTCCTGCAAAAATACCAATTAACCAACGGGAAAATTGTGTTGACGAACTAAAATATCATAAAATTTACCTGGGAAACTTTGACGATGTCCATAATTCGCTCCATCCATTCGAATCACCTTTGATTTCCATTTTCTCGTCGTCGTTTTTCCTGAAAACCAATAAATTGATTGAAAAAGGCGTGTTTAGGAAAGAAAACAAACAAAAACACAAACAAAAAAAAAGAAGAAAGGTGGCATGTGTGAGTGAGAGAGAGAGGAAAAATAACGAGACGCAGACACACTTGCAAACCAATTTATTGATCGAGAAAGGCGTGGTTAAAAGGAAAACAAACAAAACAAAAAGGAAGAAAAAAAGAAGAAAAAAACAAACTTTTACTCAAATTTAATTGTTATTTTACATTAAATTTTTTATGCTCAATGTTTATGTATTTTTCAGGTGCACTAATAAAATTTGGACAAATAAAGTGTGTTTTTACATCAGTTTTAATTCTAAATTCAGCAAAACTCCTAAAGCTCTACTAGTGCTCAAACTACGTTTTACTCTAGAAGAAAATATGGTTGATTTTCTTCGATTTTCAAAATAAACATCATCCATATATACTTGTTGTTTCTCTTCCTCACTTCGATTTCTTCCAAAGCGTCTGAATTTCTCTCGCTGTTCTTTTTCTTCTCATTTTCATCGAAAATCCTCAAATCCCCTCTCGCCGATGTCATTTCCCTGTAAAAATACCAATTAACCAACGAGAAAATTGTGTTGCCGAACTAAAATATCATAAAATTTACCTGGGAAAGATGCTATTGGCACTGAGAATTCCTAATTCCTAACGTGCCAAGAATGTTATTCAAGTCTTCAATACGAAAAAAAAAATCTTGTGTTCAACTATTTTCGAGAACATTTAATACGAAAAAAATATCAAATGAATTTTTTTTTTTTGAAAAATTTATCGATGACTTGATCCATGGCAAAATTAGGAAGCCTTCCTGATTTTGCCACGAGTTATTTTTTGATTAACAAGAAAAAATTCGGGCCGATTTTTTCGATAAATAAAAAAAGTCGGACCGATTTTTTTCGATAACAAGAAAAAAGTCGGGCCGATTTTTTTCAATTTTACCATGTCATCGAACAATTTTTCAAAAAAAAAATGTCGGGTATTTTTGTCAGAAATTTCAAAAAATTCAACAAAAACCGAAATTTTGATTTTCGTTGAAAAAATTCGAAAAAAAATGAACTTTTCGTTTGAAGACATGACCGTCTCCAAACAGAAATTTCGGTTTGGAGACAAATTCATAGAAAATTTCAATTTTTTTGTTCAAAAAATGACTCGTGGCAAAATTTCATTTTTTTTGTTGAATTTTTTGAATTTTCTGACAAAAATACCCACCTGAATGAAAATTTGGATTTGAGCGGGTAGCTGACAAAAAGTCAAAAATTTTGATTTTCGTGTATACAGTTAACAAAAAAAGTTACAGATTTGGAATAATCCAAAAATGTAAAAATAAAGTCGATGAGTTGGGATCTAAATGACACTTCCTCTCAGGCTTAGGCTTAGTAAATCACCTAGAAGTAACAAAAAAAGTCGGGAAAATGTTCTGTCAATTTTTCTGTTTTTAACAGTGTTAAAAATTCTAATTACCTTAGGCTCAGGCGCAGGCTGAGCGAAGCTCTAGAAAATTTCTTTTTTTTAACACTGTTAAAAAAAACAAGAAAATTTTTTTTTCGAAAAATTGATCGATGACGTCATCCATGGCAAAATTAGAAACCGTTCCTGATTTTGCCACGAGTCATTTTTTGATCAAAAATTTTTTTTTCGAAAAATAAAAAAACTCGGGCCGATTTTTTTCGAAAAATAAAAAAACTCGGGCCGATTTTTTTCGAAAAATAAAAAAACTCGGGCCGATTTTTTTCGAAAAATAAAAAAACTCGGCCCGATTTTTTTTCGAAAAATAAAAAAACTCGGCCCGATTTTTTTCGATAACAAGAAAAAACTCGGGCCTAAGGTAATCAGAATTTTTAACACTGTTAAAAACAGAAAAATTGACAGAAAATTTTCCCGACTTTTTTTTCGTTGAAAAAATTCAAAAAAAAAAATGAAATTTTCGTTTGAAGACATGACCGTCTCCAAACAGAAATTTCGGTTTGGAGACAAATTCATAGAGAATTTCAAGTTTTTCGTTCAAAAAATGACTCGTGGCAAAATCAGGAACGGTTTCTAATTTTGCCATGACGTCATCGAACAATTTTTCTAACAGTGTTAAAAAAAGAAATTTTCTAAAGCTTCGCTCAGAGTACATTTAATTAAAAAAATAAATTTAATAAGTTTTTTTAATTGAAAAATTGATGGGTGACTTCGTCCATGGCAAAATTAGGAAGCCTTCCTGATTTTTCCACGACACAATTCATCTTATTGGCATAGTCTTTCAACTGCCGAGACTACAGCAAAAGTATATAGAGAATCCGCGCTTCGAACGAAAAAACACTTGTTTTTTTTTTCAATTTCTGTAACTTCTGTATTTGGTGATTAGTGTGTTAAACAAAGAGCACAAGTATTGTTTGTTGGAGCGCGTTTGGTCGTTTGAAAAATAAATGGGCTTCCAGTAAATCACAGTAAGACCACCCTGTTAACTGTCAGGGAGGTTTTTTCGCTATTGAAGACAACAAATTTGAGCTCGGATATTTCAATTCTTGTGTGAAATAATAAGAAGAAAAATCGATTTGTTTTTAAAATGTAACAATTTATTGAATTGATTAATATTGATAACAGTTTTTGCGGAAATAACAGTTTGCTTAAAAGTTTAGAGAACTTTTTAGCAAGGACCTAGAAGATCGGGAAAAAATAGATTTTCAATAAATCTGGGAAAACATTCGGGTAACAGGGATAAAAACAGCTTGACAGGGGAAAATCAACATTTCCCTACAAAAAATAACAGGTTTAACAGGTTTAACAAAGGCAGCTTGGTGCGACTCAGAAATTGAAGAAGTGTTGATCTTTTGACTGGAACAATCTCCAATTCTGAAATAAAATAAGAATGTTTTTGAGTTTTTTTTAGGCCTGATGAGCCTATGAAGCCTAAAAATTACCTCTAACATTTGGTTGCGGATGGTTCCAATCTCCATCATAACTCGATCGGAATTCTCTCCATGATTGGCATTTTGTTGAGAATTTTCGAGCATCAAATGAACACGGACCTGAAAAAAATAATATTATATTCTTTATTCTCCATATTTATCATAAAACTTACCAAAAGTAGGTCAAGTTCATTGGCTTGTTGGTAGATTTTTCTTGACAATTGAGACAAGGCTCTAACATCGGACATCGGGAAATGGTGGATGAAACGATAGTCCAAAACCTGCAAAAAAAATATTTTTTTGGGGGTTAATATATCAGGAGCCTAAAAAACTAACCTTAACAATTTCTTGTGCTTTTTCAACAGCTTCATGCGCATTTTTATAAATCACATGCTCCCAAGTGGCGAGCGGTGGAACATTTGGATCGGTATCCATTCTGACTGAGAATCGCAAATGATACTGGCTTTTTACCTGAAAAAAATCAATTAAAGTCCAAAAGGAAAGGAGTTACACGATTTTAAACCAGTCAAAAAAAAGTGAGTGAACGAAATTTGAAAAAAAATAAAATGATGACAAATCACTTCGAGAAAAAAGTAAAGAGAAGCAGAGTATTGTGAGAGAGACGCAGAGTAAGTGTGTTGCTGCGCAGCGAATATTCGAGTTCGATAGAGCGCGCTTAGCTCTCTTGACACAAAAAGGATTCTCGAATGTGAAAATGAAAATCTTTAGCGGGAAGAGAGTTTCAATAAGTCAAAAATGAAAAAAATTGTGAGGAGAACTAGATTTTATTGCTTGAAAATATTTTGGAGTATTTGAAAAATTGAAATCCCAAATTTGTACAAGAAAACCTCTGGAATTCGAAAAATGTCAAACTAAACTGACAATAAAATTAGAAAAAACTCTAGAAAAGTATCAAAATGAGAAAAACGCTATTTCAAAAATTTTGAGACATCTTACAAGCAAAAAAATGTGACGAAAAGATAAAGAAATATATCGATATGAGTGTGAGATTTCAGAATTTCACAAAAAACTTGCAAACTGAAAGAAAACAGGGATTCTACGTGAAAAATAAACCACAAAACTATAGTTTTTGTTAAGAAATCAGAAAAATCACTAAAACTCATGCAAAACGAGAAGATAACTAACACTAAAATCATAGATGGTTAAAAAATCAGAAATTCGAAATAAGCTCCCGCGCATGACGAAACAAAAAACCCCCGGAAATAAAAAAAAAATAACACTGCAACACAAGGGTGCGAGAATAATACAGGATGTGTGTGTGTGTGTGTCTGTTTCTCTGCGTCTCTTCACTCTCTCCCCTCTCAAAAATTTTTGGTTTTTCTTTGAGGAATCGTCTGAAAACCGAGATTTTTGCTGGAATTTTATATATTAAAAAATGGAGAAAAGCACAACGAAACTGTGGAGAATTTTCAAATTCTGGAAGGGTGTAAGAAATTGAAAAAATAGAAAATCGGGAAAATTCTTTAACAAAGCTTCAGAAAAAATTGGATACAAGAATAAAATCATTTTAACTTATTGATTTTTCATTTGAGTCATTCTAGAACAGCTCCTTGAAGAAAACATTTTTTAAAAACTCGAAAACTTAGGGTAGCAAGAGAGTGTGTTTGTTTGAAGAGACACAGACACATAGATCATTTTCTCACATCCTTGTGGTGGTGTTTTTTTCTGTTCTTGAGATTTTTCTCCTGTAGTTTTCCAGATAAAAATATCTTCACGGTTGTTTTTTTGTTTGGTTTGATGCATGATTTTCTGTGTTTTCTGAAATTTAAAATTTTCTAGTGAAAATTTTCAAAAATGTTCAGTAATCACACTTTGAAAGCGCTGAAAAATTTTTTGACAAGGGAACTTTTTCAAGTCGCCATCGAGTTTTGAGCTCAAAATTTGTTCAGGGGTACTTTGAGATACGTTAATGTACATTTAAAAAAATCAATCCGGCTGTAGAAGAGAAAAGGACTCTGAGAACAAGAAATTGAGCTCCAAAGTTTGAGTCAAATGAATTGGCTCTGGCAAAAAAAACTGAAGAATCAGCGGAACTGTGCGAACGAGAAAAAAATCTGAAAAAGTTAACGAGAAAAATTCCAAAATCACTACTATGCATTATTTTTGAATATATATTTATTTTTGAACTAACATAATTTATTGAGCAATAAAAATTAACAAAAAACACACAAAACCGGGTAAAAATGGGCAAAATGTATCAGGAAAAAAGAAACCGGTGACTGTGGATTGTAGGCAAAGAAGTGGCGAGCAGGAGAGAAGGAGCGGCGTTTCTGCACACTGAAAAATGTTCATTGTTATTAAACATCTGATTTTCAAAAAAAAAAAGAACTTACTTAAGTGCAGAAACGCTCGAACAAAAACTGGCGATATTGCTCGCCGCGAGTGCGGAGAGCAATCGGCTCCGCATCCAATGGAATCGGTGAGTGCTGAAAAAAATGAAGTAAATGTGAGAAAAATATTTTTCAACCCTCTTTTTTTGAAAATTCGTAAGTCAGCTCAAACTCAACGAAAAATCTCGATCAATATCGCGTTTTGAAGCTTGAATTGCCATCTTTTTTTTGTTGTGGAGTACTGCCATCAAACTTCAAATTTTGATAACAGTACACCAAAAAACTTGAAAGGAGGGCAATTTAAGCTTCAAAACGCGCTATTGATCAAAGTTTTTCGTTGAGTTTGAGCTGAATTACGAATTTTCAAAAATAACTTTTTTTGACTTTTTGAAAAATGTTCAGAATATTTCAATTTCAATCTCCGGAATCTCATTAAAGAAAAAAACAGAAAACCAGAGGGTTTTTTTTTGGCTTCACCAGCTAATTTTCACAGAATTTCAGATCTTATACTAGATTTTTGAATAAAAAACTGACATGAATAATTTAATTTTTTCTATCAAATATTTCAATGATCCCAAAAACAACTCACCACCGAAAGCTTTGCCCCATTTTCCACTTTCTCCAGTTGTTTTTGGCGATCCAATTCTGCTCGATCCCTTTCATCCTTCCAATCTTGCAAATCTCTGCGCATTTCCTCGATGAATTCTGGATCCATGCTGAAATTTAATTAGTGTTTTGTGGAGAGTATTAAAGCTTTTCAAGAAGCAAAAAAATGAGAAAAATATCATATCGAATACAAAAACCTGGAAGGAAAAAATAGTTGTGACAAGCCAAAAGAAGGAGAGGACAGGAAAATGAGAGAGAGAGAGAGAGGAGGAGGAGGGTGTTAGAGAAAGAAAGACAATGATTGGGACAAGAAGTAAAAAAGAAACAAAAGTTTGATGATTTTACATTTGAATACAGTTTAAAATCAGCAAGCAAAATGATTGATTTTGAGAATTTCGTTCAGAGGAATAGAAAAGAATTATTTCAAAGTACAGACAGTATGTGGATGATATAAATTTAGAAAAGCAAAAAAAAGGGAAACTTCAACTGATTTTTTTTTTAAATCATGAACATAATTAACATTAAAAAAAGAAAAATATCAATTTGATTGAAGATTTCATTATTCCAAACAGAGAAAATATAAAGAAAAAATAATTAAAAAAAAACATTGAAAAAGAAAATCAGACCTTGCTATACTCGTGCGTGAAAACAGAAAGGTTCTTCTGAATAAAAACGTTAACACTTATCACTTCACAGAAATCAATTACATTTTCAGCTTATTTATCGGGTTTACTGTATTCATGGTTGTTTTGAAGGTCTTGACTCAATTATTTTGCTCTCTCAGGGAACCAGTTTGGAGTTCGATTGTAACTCAAAGCGCCCCCGTTGGTCTACAATGGAAATCCAAGGAAGCGATTTTTGAGAAGTTCGTTTGGAACTCGTTTTCAGTTCCACTAGCAATGACACTAGAATTATATCTTTTATTTATGAGCCACTTGTTTTTCACTAACAAGCAAATCATAATATTCAAGAAATCTGCTCACCTTATCTTTTTTTTCTGAAAATAAACCTAAAAAAGCTTTCTAAAGCCTCCACAATTTTTCTGAAGCATTGTATTTTTATGTTTTGAAACACGTTTTTTGACGTTTTTTTTTCTTCGTGAATTGTCCCATAAAAGTTGAAAGAGATTTTTAACAAGTTAACATTGAACCTAGAAGTCCAGTCGGGAAAAAGTAGATTTTATAAATCTGAAAGTTTCAGAAGGCTTCAGAAAGCTTCAAAAGGACACTATTTCTCTATATGTTCATATACAAATTGCTTCGCGCCAAAAAAAATTTTAAAAAATTTTGAAATCAAATATGTATTTTCCAATGTCAACTTGTTTCATAAAAACACATTCAAAGTTTTTTTTTCAAAATTTTTCATTCTGCTCTGAGAGCCTTCTGAAGCTTTTAAATGTTATTCAAAGCCTTTTTAAGCCTTCTAAATCCATCTGAAGCTTTCCTACCTTCAAAAGAGAATAAGGCAAAAAAAGAAATATAGTTTGTTAGGATAAAATTTTTTAAAAACTGAAACACCCGGAAAAACCTGAAAATCTGGATTGTTTGTTTCAGAAGTCTTGTAAAATTTGATATTTCAGATAAACACAATTGTTATTAAAATAGTTTATGATCCCAAAGTTACGAGACTTTTTTTTTTGAAAAAACAAATTAATGAAAAAAAAAATTACAGAATTTGACATCGAGATTCGCTCGGAATTGAGTTATTAGAAATCTTCAAAAGTGTGATAATTGAAAGTTACAAAATTGGCCCTAAGACAAGCATTAGAAAAATTAAAAAATAAAAAGAAAAAGAAAAGAAGATGAGAAAGCAGGAAATTAGCCCAACATTTCCCATATACAAAGAAGACAAGAGTAAAGAGATTCACCAGAACACAAACACATATCTCATAAAGTTCAAGAATTTAATCAGCTTAGTTAGGTGCTTCCTGATGCTTGAGCAGTTTCAGGAGAATTCACAGGAAGTTTGATGTTGATTGAAACGAGAAGATTACCGTCGAATTGGAATAGAGGATAAGAATTTTGTAGATTAACCAATTCGCCAATCAAGAGTTCGGCATTTAATGCTGTCAACGGTTTATTTGCCCAACCGATTCGTCCGCCCGGTAAATTCGGATGTTCGAAGCTGGAAGAAATGACTGTGATTTTGTGAAACTCAAATTTATCAACTTTTTTGGCCAGCAATATTTTCTATACTCATATAGAAAACTAGTGATGGCATTTTATCAACAGAGTACCAACAGATTTTTCTGAAGCCTTCTGAATTCATCAGGTCCCTCGCAACCCAAACTCACCCTAAAGTCATCCGTGTTTCATCCTCATCGCCTCGAACACGCGAAACACTCTTGCGCAACATCACATCAACAATTTGCGCCAAAACATTTTCTGGCAAAACCGGGAAATTCAATGATGTTTTAACTCTCATAAACAGAATATATTCATCATCCAAAACCGAGTCGAACAAAGGATGCATAAACTCTTCTAAATTGCTAATCTCTTCCATATTCACAAATCGCAGATTGGTAACAGCCAAAGCCGCAGCATTTGGATCGAGAGTGACTGGCCGTTTAACAGTTATAACAATATCGATAAGTTGATCGAATAAAAAACCAGCATCACATTTTTGTAACGCGACTAAGTGTTGAACAACTCTTTCGGAATTTAATTGATTGAATGTCTTGTTATCCCACACCAATGCACAATGTAGTTCTGGATGACAGATTCTGAAAAATATAACTTTAAATGCGTTTTTGTGAAACTCAAATTTATCAAGTTTTCCAAATTTTCTAGATATTTTTTGGCGGACAATATTTTCTATGTACAGGAAAATAGTGTGGGAGAATGAGAGAGTTTTGAAATTGAATTGAGATTTGAATTTCATACAAAATTGAAAGAAAGCCTTCTGAAGCTTGTTCAAAATCTCCAAAATTTATTTTAGAGCCTTCTGAAGGCTCCAAAATTATTTGAACATCTTCCGAAGCTCTTTTTCGGCTTTGTTCGGAAACAAAGGGTTTTACAGAAAATAAAGGGTTTTTCAGAGAATAGAGGGTTTTTCAGAAAAAAGAGGGTTTTTCAGAAAATAAAGGGTTTTTCAGAAAATAAAGGGTTTTTCAGAAAATAAAGGGTTTTTCAGAGAATAGAGGGTTTTTCAGAAAAAAGAGGGTTTTTCAGAAAATAAAGGGTTTTTCAGAAAATAAAGGGTTTTACAGAAAATAAAGGGTTTTTCAGAAAATAAAGGGTTTTTCAGAAAATAAAGGGTTTTTCAGAAAATAAAGGGTTTTCGAGAAAATAAAGGGTTTTCGAGAAAATAAAGGGTTTTTCGGAAAATAAAGGGCTTTTCAGAGAATAAAGGGTTTTACAGAAAATAAAGGGTTTTAGAATAACAAAAAGGTTTTATAGGGGTACAAATATCTGAAAAAGAAAAGTAATTTATCTCTATTCGAAATTGTCTAAGCCTAAGCCTTTATTCCAGAGCTGCACAAACATAAAAATTGAATTTTTAAAGCTTTTCTAGCATTCAAAGCTGAGGTCCCGTAAACTACAGATCCACAATCAAGTTAAGTTTCCGAACAGAGCCGAAAATTCTTCTAGAGCCTTCTGAATTCCTCAGGTCTCTCTGAACCCAAACTCACTTCAACGTAATTGGTGTATCATTCAGTGTTCCTTGAATATGTGTTATAAGTTTTCTCATAAGCACATCCAAGTGTTTTGCCAGTTTATTAGTAGGTAGAATTGGCTGAACATCAGATCTTCTGATTGACATGACAACATCACATCTTTCAGTTGTAATTGATTTATATATATAAATCATATCATTCTCCATTTCTTGAACATCCGAATTTGTTACGAAGCTGAGATGATGAATAGCTGAACCAGGAACATTTTGTGTTGAGGCGACAGCAATCTGAAATTCCAATATTCATAAAGCTTGTGGAAAACTTTAGTGGTTCAAAATTTTGGTTGAAATTGATTCGAAATTTCTGGATATGAACTTGTGAGATTACAGAATTTTCGACTCTGAATGGAAAAACAGGGGTTTTCAATAACTTGATTTTTTAAAAGCTTGAAATGATTTTCAAATGTTGGTTTTTGGAGTAGCTTTTGTTCAGAATTTCAAGCTTAATCTGATCCTTGCTCTCAAATTTTATGAGAAGTGAAAATATTCCCACATTTGAGAGCATAAAGTTTCGAAAAACCCTCTTTTTCCGTAAATCAAAAAAAAACTAACTGCTTGTGGTCCGGATGTCGATTGATATCCTTGTGGAGTTGAAGCTGTTCCGCTGGAAGATGGAATATCTGCGCTCAATTGATGTCCTGTTTGAGCTGTATTTTGTGCAGATATTGGAGAAGGAGTCACCGGCCGTTTGATATGAATCATAAAATGGAGCATGTGATCGAATACGAAATAGGGATTGGATTCTCGAAGCGCGACCAAGTTTCGAACTACTCTTTCCGAATTGATTTTACTCAACGTCTTATTCTCCCATCGTAATTCGAAATCAATTGTTTTGCTACCAATTCTGAAAAATATAACTTTAAATGCGTTTTTGTGAAGAAACTCGAATTTATGAACCTTCTAGAACCTTCTGGAACCTTCTGAATTCCTCAGGTCCCTCTCAACCCAAACTCACTTAAAAGTAATCAAAGTCTTGTGCAGGTCTCCTTCAACGTGTGACAAATATTTTCTCAATAAAACATCCAAGTTTTTCGCCAATATCGTGGCTGGTAACATTTGCTGAACTTCTGTTGTTTTCATTGCCACAATCGCTTCACATTGTTCAATTGTAATTGAGTTAAGTTTGTATTCCATCCAACGCTCCATCTCTTCAACATCCTCATAAGTAACGAACTTGAGACAATGAAGGTCGGCACCGGGAATATTTTCGGCGTCATCAACCTGAAATTCCAATTTTCATGAAGCTTGTGGTTCAAAATTTCGGTTGAAATTGATTCGAAATTTCCGAATATAAACTTGTGAGATTACAGAATTTTCAGTTTTTTGCTAGTTGCAGATGGAAATTCACTATAAATCGAATAAACTAACCGTTAGGAATTGTCGGGATGTTGATTGATCTCCTGGTGGATTTGCAACTGGTCCACTCGAAGATGGATCATCTGCTCTCGATTGATCTACAGATGGAATTGCAACTGGTCCGCTCGAAGATGGAACATCTGGACTCAATTGTACTCCTGTTGGAATTGCAACTGGTCCGCTCGAAGATGCAACATCTGGACTCAATTGATCTACAGATGGAATTGCAACTGGTCCGCTCGAAGATGGAACATCTGGACTCAATTGTACTCCTGTTGGAATTGCAACTGGTCCGCTCGAAGATGCAACATCTGGACTCAATTGATCTACAGATGGAATTGCAACTGGTCCGCTCGAAGATGGAACATCTGAACTCAATTGATATCCTGTTGGAGTTTCATTTGGTTCGCTCGAAGATGGACCATTTGTTCCCGATTGATCTCCTGTTGGAATCACCGGCCGCTTGACCATAATTAATACACGAAAAAGGTAATCAAATTTGAATCCGGGATTTAATTGTTGCACAGCCACCAATTCTTGAATCAAATTCTCGGCATTTATTTGATTATATGGTTTATTGTTCAAATTGAATGCATCACCAAGGAGTTTCGGGTGATCGATACTGAAAAAAATAACTTTGAATGTGTTTTTGTGAAACTCTAATTTATCAAGTTTTCGAAATTTCCTAGATATTTTTTGGCGGACAATATTTTCTACAGTAGCGAACAAAACAATATCCCCTCCCTACTATTTGATGAAAAGACATGTTAAAACTCGTTTTTGATTGGTGAAACGTGGTGGACCTTTCTCAAAATCAAAAATTGACCCGGATTAGTCTTTTAGTTGACCAAATTCCAAGTTCTGTGAAGCCTGATCTTCTATGATAAAACATCGAAAATATCCCCGATTTTGTATTTTTGATTCTGACATCAATTTTTCATCCACCAGTAGACTTTTTTCTAGTTTTTTCGTTGTATTATATTAATTGAGGTCTTTCTTCAATAATCCAAACAAAACATAACAGAAATAATCATTGAATTCGAAGTTTCTTGATGTTCAATGGTGACCATCAGCAATGATCAGAAAGATCGATTCCACCAATGTCATCGATTTTTCTTACAATTTTTTTGCTTTAATAGTTTATTGGTATATGTTCTGAACATTTTCTATCAAAAAATCTTTAAAAAACTATATTTCCGATCGATTTCACTGATGTCCTTTCCATTAGTTTTTGATAGATTTTGGTTTGAACGCGATTATGACTTCGAAAACATTGTTAACCAAGTTTTTATGAACCAAGCTGAAGGAGAATCACGTGTTCTTCCAACAATTAGTATTTATTCATAAAATTTTCAATCTTCCATACATATAAGTGGAGTTTTATATTGATGTTCTTGACGGGATCGGTGACAACATCTATGAAATCGATCGAAAATATAATTTTTCAAAGATTTTTTTGATAGAAAAGGTTCAGATCATATACCAATAAACTATTCAAGCAAAAAAATCGTAAGAAAAATCGATGACATTGGTGGAATCGATCTTTCTGATCATTGCTGATGGTCACCATTGAACATCGAGAAACTTCGAATCCAATGATTATTTCTGATATTTTTTGTTTGTATTATTGAAGAGAGACCTCAATTTATATAATACAACGAAAAAACTAGAAAAAAGTCTACTGGTGGATGAAAAATTGATGTCAGAATCAAAAATACAAAATCGAGGATATTTTCGATGTTTCATCATAGAAGATCAGGCTTCACAGAACTTGGAATTTGGTCAACTAAAAGACCAATCCGGGTCAATTTTTGATTTTGAGAAAGGTCCACCACGTTTCACCAATCAAAAACGAGTTTTAACATGTGTTTTCATCAAATAGTAGGGAGGGGATATTGTTTTGTTCGCTACTGTATATTCATATAAAGAAAAACAGTGAGGATAGTCGGAAGTGAATTAGAAGTTTTGAAATTGAATTTAGATTTGAATTTCATACAAAAAAAATGTAGTTTTGAAAGCAAGCCTTCTGAAGCTTTTTCAAAATCTCCAAAACTTATTTTAGAACTTTCTGACGCCTCCGAAATTCTTTTAACGTCTTCCGAAGCTCTCTGAAGCCTTTTTAGTCCTCAAAATGTTTTTAAATTCTTCAAAATTCTTCTGTAGCATTCTCAAGCCTTCTGACGCCTCCAAATTGTTGTCTGGAGCCTTCTGAATTCCTCAGCACACTCTCAACCCAAACTCACCCTAGACTCATTGGTGTCGAATCCACATTTCCTTCAACGTGCGACAAACTCTTTCTCAACATCACATCAATGATTTTCGCCATTATATTTGCTTGCAAAACTGGGAAATCTTTTGATCTTCTAACGTTCATCACCAGTACATAAATCTCATCTTCATTTGAATCTATCAAATATTTCATATGATTGTGCAACCATTGAATTTCTTCAAATGTCACATATTTCAAATTCTTAAGATATTCAAAAGTGTATTGGCTTTGCAACATTTCCAATATTTGTTGTGCTGCAACTGGATCAGCAATATTTTGTCTCATGGCGGCGGCAACCTGAAATTTCAATTTTCATGAAGCTTGTGGAAAACGTTAGTGGTTTAAATATATGGTTGAAATTGATTTGAAATTTTTGTATATAAAATTGTGAGATTACAGAATTTTTCGTCTTTTGTTGTATATTGAAAATTATATTTTTCACAGGTAATTTTTGCTAGTTGCAGATGAGAATTCACTATTAATCAAAAAAAACTGACAGTTATGGATTGTCGGGATGCAAGTTGATATCCTTGTGGAGTTGAAGCTGGACGGCTCGATGCTGAAACATCTCTTTCCGATTGATGTCCTTTTGGAATTGCAACTGAACCGGTCAAAGATTGATCATCTGGTCTAGATTGATCTCCTGATGGAATTGCAAGTGGTCCTGAAACATCTCTTCCCGATCCAGGAATTCCTCCAACTGGTACAGCACGAGGAACATTCGCTCCTGTTGTTGATGTTGTGACAGCATTTGAGTTGACGGATTGCGATTCCAATTGAGTCTGAAATTTTGATTTACATTTTCTGTTATTTCAAACTATTTTTTGTTTATTTTTTAATTTTTACTTTTGAAATTTGAAACTTTATGATTCCTTCTTCCAAAATTTGTTTGGAATTTTTTTACAAGGGAACCTTTTTGAGCTCAAAATCTTTTGAGCCATTCTAATGAACATATAAAAAATTCAGCTGCCGGAGAATACGATTTCTGACACTTTGGCGCATCAGAACTTGGTGTTCTTCGGAAGCTGAATTTTTTTATATGTTCATTAAGATGGTTCAAAACTCGAGCTGAAAATTTTCCCTTGTTAGATTAATACTGATTGTAAATTTTTTTTTTCGATTAATTTTTTGTTGAGAGCTTTATATGGAAAAATCAAACTAACTGATCCATTTGCCGATGATCCTGGCACAGATTTTTTCGAAGACGAAGTAACTGCTTCCGATTGATCTCCTGTTGAAGTTGCAACTGGTTCGGTTGAAGAAAGAACATCAGCATTGGATCGAGGAGTTCCTCGGCTTTTTTCGACACTGTTATTCGATTTTTGTGGCATTTTCCAAGATCTGAAAAAATTACCCTTATATTTGACAAATTTTCATTATTAAATAAAAACGAGTTAAAATGAGGAGAGACAAAATCGAGAAAAAAAGAAGAAGGAACAAAAAAATATAATTTTTCAAAAAGGATCCATTTTTTGTGACACTTAAAAAACAGTGACAAAGAAAAAAATGGATGAAAGTCAGTAGTGAATATATAGTTAAAGTTTCAATAAGTCCAATAATTTGTCGAAGATGTACATATTTGCCAATCTGAAAAAAATCGATTATTCTATGGTATGAAAAAAGCTGCGGAACAACACATTTTATAAAAATATACCTGGAAAAAAAAGTTCGAAACATGTTCATTTTAAGTAGCCAAAAATGAGTTGTCTCCTTGCACATTTTGAAATGGGCACGAAATTTGGCTTCTATCAAGTGCCGAAAAACTTTTCGTAGTGCCGACTTCAAAAATTGCCGAAAAATCAGCATTCGACAAAATCGGCGTGCCGATTCCGCCCAGCCTCTTGAGCAAAAGATTGGTGCCAAAAATGAATAGATTGCCAGTCTTCCTTCAAAAATTGCGGCTCCATTTTGTTCTTCCATTGATACATTTGTTGTTGTCTCGATCTCATAATCCTTTTCGTATGCAAAAGTTTTGAATATCCTCTCTTGATCTTCTATTTGCAATCGTGAATTCTGCAGTTCACAACTTTGTTGCACCAGAAATCCCTCTTTCCTCTTCACAATCGGATTTTGTTGTCGACAGGAGTGTGTCGCAAGTTGGATGAGAATAACACTTCGAGATCTTCATAAGCAACAGGATTTTCAATATCCATTGTGGAGCTGTTCTTCTTTCTCCGTTGTCAAAATAAACATCATCTTCTAAAGCCTCTGAATTCCTCTCGATGTTCTTTTTCTTCTCATTTCCATCGGATCCCTCTTATCGCCGACATTTCCCTGCAAAAATACCAATTCACCAACGGAAAAATTGTGTTGCCGAACTAAAATATCATAAAAATTACCTGGTAAATGTTGTCGATGTCCATATATCGCTCCATTCATCCGAATTCTCGAAAAATGAAAATGAAAATTATATATTATGAAAAAGTTTCCATTTTCATTATTATTCCTCGAATGAAAAACATTTTTTTCGAAATTTTTATCATTTCGAAATTCCGAGAACAAAACCTCGGAATGAAAAGTCGGAATTCCGAATTCCTACCAAGAAGCTCGGAAGGATATCCTTCCGAACCTTCCAACAAAGGTCATTCTGATCAGACCTGGTGGTTGAGAAAGGAAACAAACACAAAGACGAACAAAAAAAATAAGAGAAAAAAGAAGAGAAGGAAGAAAGGTGAAAAAATAACGAGACACACACACACACCTGCAATTTATTGATCGAAAAAGGCGTGGCCAAAAGGCAAACAAACAATGTGTGAGAGAGAGAGAGAGTAGAAGAAATGACGAGACACAGACAGCGAGACGAACAAGCGTTGTTCGTTGGAGCGCGCATGATCGTTTGAGAAGAAAAAATAACCAAAAAGATGACAGGATTTGAATTAACCAAAGTCTAGTTAAGAAGGGAACAAGAAAAAAACGATTTTTCATCCAAAATGTACATAATCAAGAAGCGAAAAATGTGTTGTGAGTGGAAAATCCTTCAAGTTTCTCAACCTTCTTCACAATCAGATCTCCGAACTTTTTGGAATATAAAAACCAAAACCATCCTTTGTCGGCATTGTTGTTTCTTAGTGCAAATCTTGAATTTGTCGTTGTTCTCATATGTCTGCTGATCCTCACGTTGACCTTTCTTGATGTTTTCTTTGTGTCTCGATCTTCCAAAATCCTGCAGCCAGTTTTCTGTAAAAATATCAATTAACCAACGGGAATATGGCGTGGCCAAACTAAATTATCATAAAAAATACCTGATTTTGTCCAAATCTTGTTGTCTCCAGTATTTTGTCGCGAATTGAACTATCAACCAGCAAGATTCTTGTCGATGTTGTACTTCTATTTATGCAGATTCTCACACGTCGACCCACTAAAGAACAAACTGCTGCAATGGGTGTGAGACAGAATGCATCAAAATGCAAAAGAACTACTGAACCATTTCGAAAACTGATTTCATATTCGTGATCAGCATGTTAAAATCTATGGAAATAAGGAGTTTCATGAAGTCTAGTTGCGGGGTTTTCTCGTAGCACTTCGTGGAAAAACTGAAAAACCATACACCCATTGCAGCAAGTGGGTCGACGTGCTCAGGACTCCAAAAATGAACAAATTCTCCAAGTTGCCGCAAAATCATTGATCCCGCAGAAAATTGCCTTAGCTGATCAAAATCATCAAGACTTCCATGTAGCCATCAGTGCCCAGCAGATGAATGAATCGATCAACAATGGGACGATGCGCGAAGAAAAAAAACGTCAAAAAACGTGTTTCAAAACATAAAAATACAATGCACGAAATGTCGCAAAACGTCGCGAAACTCGAGTTTTTCGACATTGAAATGTCGCGAAACAAGTATGATTTTTCTCAAAATGTGGAAAAAATATAGATTGTTTTTGTAGAAAAAACGTATCAGGGGTTGAGAAAGGATATTAATTTACGAAAATAGGTAATAAAAACTTCTGAAAAGGAATCTTTGTCAAATGACAGTGTTATATGTGAATTGCATTTGCCAAGTCTCGTGTTTCCGAAGAAAATGGTGGTGAAAACTGTTATGAACAAGTAAAAACATTGTAAGAACCGATCCCCAGTGTCTGTGGTTCCAGGACGATACAAAAACATGCTTGTTTCGCGAAATTTCAATGTCGAAAAACTCGAGTTTCGTGACGTTTTGCGGCAAAAGTAACACACAATTTCGAAGATATGATCCAATGGTACAACACAGAATTTTTGATTGGCTACAAAAATTGGATACGATTTATCAGTGATCCGGAATTTTCCGGAATCGAAAATTTGAATGCGAATGAATTTAATGTTGAATACCAAAGTAAGCATTGGCGGAAATGTTTTTTGCAACATCTAATTTTTTTTCAGTTAATGGTTCAATTGTTGAACAACCAGTAGCTTCATATCCTGTTATATTTCCAACACATGTTAGACAGCGGCTTGTCGCAAAAATGCGTGAAGAACACGAAGAGAGGGAAAATCGGCGATTGGAAGAGGATAGATTGGTTAGTTCTAACCAGGGGGGATGGTTTCTAGAATTTTTTCAAAAATTACTCGACATTTTTTCTTTCACATTTCGATTCAGAAGTTTATTCTAAAAATAAATTGCAATTTGAATTCTCAGAAATTCACAAGCTTTTTTCAAATTTTGCTAAACACCCAAAGTTCTACAGAGAATCCAAATATTTTCAGATGTTTCGTAGATTGTATGAACAACGAAGACAAATGTTCATCGAGCAAATAAGAAGAAGCCACGAAAGATGGGAGCAATATATGCAAGGTCGTCGTTTTTGAATCATTCTTCCTCTCAAATCTCTGAAATTCTCCAAAAACTTCCCGATTTTTGTCATTTTTACTCTTGGTTCCATTAATATCTCCACCCAAGTGGATTTTTTTTTAAATTTAAAACTTGTAACCCCCGTGTTTTTTGTTGTTCAAATCGGTTACAGTGTCCTTTTCCCACTGGAACCGATTTTTTTCTGTATTTGTTGTTAAACTTTTTCTTGTCCCCCAAATTTTTTTTATTCTTTTTATTTTTTGAAACTCCACTTTCACATTTTTTAAATCGGTCTTGGTGACTTGACACCACCAAAACCGAATTTCCCTGTGATTTTTTCTCCCTTTTTTACCAAAACAGTACAAATTATGTTCTAAATACTATTATGGTATCCGGTTTTTACCATTTTTTTTGTCTCAAATCCCCCCAAATCAAGTTGTGTTTTTCTTTATTTTAACAAATTTTATGATGAATTTTTTGCTCCATTTTTTGTACTGACATTTTCAAATTTAAAAAAATAGGATTGTTTCCAATGTTAATTTTCAGAAAAAAAGAGGAGGTGAGCAGATTTCTTGAATATTATGTATTCACAGAGGACAGGAAAATGAGAGAGAGAGAGAGAGGAGGAGGAGGGTGGTAGAGAAAGAAAGACAATGATTGGGACAAGAAGTAAAAAAGAAACAAAAGTTTGATGATTTTACATTTGAATACAGTTTAAAATCAGCAAGCAAAATGATTGATTTTGAGAATTTCGTTCAGAGGAATAGAAAAGAATTATTTCAAAGTACAGGAAATAATTTAAAAAAACATTGAAAATGAAAATCAGACTTTACTATACTCGTGTGTGAAAACAGAAAGGTTCTTCTGAATAAAAACGTTAACACTTATCACTTCAATAACATTTTCAGCTTATTTATCGGGTTTACTGTATTCATGGTTGTTTTGAAGGTCTTGACTCAATTATTTTGCTCTCTCAGAGAACCAAGCACACCGAAATCCTGTCTGTTCCAAAAATGAATACATAATCTTCAAGAAATCTGCTCACCTCCTCTTTTTTTCTGAAAATTAACATTGGAAACAATCCTATTTTTAAAAATTTGACTAGGGGCTGTTAGCCCCCAGGCGCAACAGTCTTCTCATTTATTTCAGTTTCACTTTTTTCTGTGAAAAAATTGACTTACAATTGAATTTATTGAAAATTTCAAGTTTTTCGATCAAAAAATGACTCGTGGCAAAATCAGGAAGGCTTCCTAATTTTGCCATGGATGACGTCATCAATCAATTTTACGAAAAAAAACTTATTTAAAAAAATCGGCCCGAGTTTTTTCAAAAAAAATCGGCCCGAGTTTTTTCAAAAAAAATCGGCCCGAGTTTTTTTCAAAAAAATCGGCTGGAGTTTTAAAAAAAAATAATCGCTACCCGCTCAAATCGAAATTTTCATTCGGGCGGGTATTTTTGTTAGCTACCCGCCCAAAACCAAAATTTCTTTCTATTGGATTTCTTGAACAATGCCAATGGCATCTGAAGAATCAGGCTTTTTCGCTCATGGGTCACGCAGGATATTTTCTCGATTTTCTCTTTTTATTGATCTCTTTTTATTCCATCTTCTTTTTTCTTTTTTGCCGCGTTGGAATGTCGAATTTTCGCAATCTCGGGGAGAAAGGAACAAAATTTCCGAAAATCTGCATTACTCGATATAGGGAAAAATTTTTCCGAGTGGGGCTCGAACCCACAAAAGAAGGAGGCTGGCCTGATTGGAAGGCAGAGCTCTCCCCGCCTACACCACACGTGTAGGTAAGAAATGAAGCATTTTTGATAAATATATATTTATGAGAATTTCATGTGACCGGGAGAAATGAACATTTCTAAATAAATTTCACCTTACGGGATTTTAATGAGAGGGCGAAATTGTCAGTACAAAAAATGGAGCAAAAAATTCATCATAAAATTTGTTAAAATAAAGAAAAACACAACTTGATTTGGTGGGATTTGAGACAAGAATTTGGGAAAAACCGGATAACTATAAATGTATTTAGAAGTAATAAGACTTTAGAAGTTTTAGTTGCGGATTAGGCACATAATTCGTGCTTTTTTGGTAAAAAAGGGAGAAAAAATCACAGGGAAATTCGATATTGGTGGTGTCAAGCCACCAAGACCGATTAAAAAAATGTAAAAATGGGGGGTTTCAAAAAATAAAAAAAATAAAAACAATTTGGGGACAAGAAAAAGTTTAAAACAAATACAGAAAAAAATCGGTTCCAGTGGGAAAAGGACACTGTAACCGATTTGAACAACAAAAAAACACGGGGTTACAAATTTTAAATTTAAAATAATCCCGAAGACTTTTTAACCAAAACCAATGAAACCAAGAGTACAAATGACAAAAAATCGGGAAGTTTTTGGAGAATTTCAGGGATTTGAGATGAAGAATGATTTAGAAACGGCGACCTTGCATATATTGCTCCCATCTTTCGCGGCTTCTTCTTATTTGCTCGATGAACATTTGTCTTTGATGTTCATAGAATCTATGGAACATCTGAAAATATTAGAGTTAGAAAATATTTGGATTCTTTGTAGATTGTGAACTTTGGGCGAAATTTGAAATTTGAAAATTAAAAAAAAAATTCGCGAAATTTGAAAAAGCTTGTGAATTTCTGAGAATTCAAATTGCAATTTATTTTCAGAATAAACTTCTGAGTCGAAATTTGAAAGAAAAAATGTCGAGTAATTTTTGAAAAAAATTCTTTTTCGGGTATACAATTTATTTTGCTCTCTCAGGGAACCAGTTTGGAGTTCGATTGTAACTCATAGCGCGTAGTTCCCGTTTACCTTTATTGGAACTCCAATTGGTCTACAATGGAATTCCAAGGAAGCGATTTTTGAGGAGTTCGTTTGAAACGCGTTTTCAGTTTCACTAGCAATAAATTTATGACACTATGTAGAATTGTGTCATTTTTTATGAGCCACTTGTTCTTCACTAACAAGCACACCGAAAACCTGTCTGTTCCAAAAATGAATACATAATATTCAAGAAATCTGCTCACCTTATCTTTTTTTTTCTGAAACTCAACATTGGAAACAATCCCATTTTTTAAAATTTAAAAATTGTCAGTACAAAAAATGGAGCAAAAAATTTATCATAAAATGTTTAAAAACAAAGAAAAACAAAATTTGATTTGTGGGGATTTCAGACAACAAAATTGATAAAAACCGGATAACTATAAAAGAATTTAGATTTATAATGACTTGAGAAGTTTTAGTTGCTGATTAGGCACATAATTCGTGCTTTTTTAATACAGGGAAATTCGGTTTTGGTGGTGTCAAGTCACCAAAACCGGGGGAAAATGGGGGGGGAACTCATAGAAACAAATTCGATCTTGGTGGTATAAAGTCACCAAGACCGATTAAAAAATGTAAAAATTGGGATTTCAAAAAAAAATAAAAAAGTTGGGGAACAAGAAAAAGTTTAAAACAAATACAGACTGTAACCGATTTGAACAACAAAAAACATGGGATTACAAGAATTTAAAAAAAATCCACTTGGGTGGAGATATTGAAGGAACCAAGAGTACAAATGACAGAAAATCGGGAAGTTTTTGGAGAATTTCAGAGATTTGAGAGGAAGAATGATTTAGAAACGGCGACCTTGCATATATTGCTCCCATCTTTCGCGGCTTCTTCTTAATTGCTCGATGAACATTTGTCTTTGATGTTCATAGAATCTATGGAACATCTGAAAATATTAGAGTTAGAAAATATTTGGATTTAGAAAAATTCTAGAACAACTCAAAAATTCTAGAAACCATCCCCCCCTGATTAGAACTAACCAATCTTTCCTCTTCCAATCGCCGATTTTCCCTCTCTTCGTGTTCTTCACGCATTTTTGCGACAAGTCTCTCCCTGATTTGTGTTGGAAAAATCACTGGATGAGCATCTACTGGTTGTTCAACAATTGTACCATTAACTGCAAAAAAATTAAATGTTGCAAAAAACATTTCCGCCAATGCTTACTTTGGAATTCAACATTATATTTATTCGCAGTCATATTTTCGATTTCTGATTTTTCCGGATCATCACAAAATCGTATCCAATTTTTGTAGCCAACAAGGAATTCTGTGTTGTACCAATTTATCATATCTTCAAAACTGTGTGTAACTTTGTAGTAGAGTTCTTTGTCTTGTTTCAGGTAAACAACCACATAATCCTGAAATGATTTATATTTTTTATGAAACAAATTGAATTCCAAAAAAAAAAACTGACCAGCAGCTCGGATACATTTCGGAGATTTTTGAAGACATAGGGACATTGAGCAAACTGACGTTTCAGGAAAGTCTAAAAAATTCAAATTTTTCATGAAAACAATTTACTTCAGAATAACTAACCTTAACAAATTCGGCATTATCCTCTTCATCTTCCTCCCCTTCATTGCCATCTGAATCCAATTCCTCTACTCCTTGACGTCCTCGAGCATCAACCGGATTTTCATTTTCATTTCCATTTTTTCTCATCTTTTTTGGCGCCATTGTGGAAGAATTTGATGTTGTTGATGGAAAGACTCCGAGAAATTCAACAGAAGAAGATCTCTTTCTTTTTCTACTTGTCGTTGGAACCTGAAAATTGAAATTGAACAATTATTCTTATTGAAAATTCTGGGGGGAATTTGAATTGAATTTTTTAATTTCCAAGAATCTTTGTATTAGAGAAGTTGTTATTTTATTTTAGGAGCACTCCAAAATTAACGTTATCACTTTTCGCAACATTTAATTTTGGTCAGGTTAAAAATCAATTTTTAGGATGAGAATAAAAAACTCACATCAGCCGATTCTTCCTCTTTTTCCTGAACTTCAATACTATGTTCTTCCTCATCTTTCACTTCTTCTGTTGAATCATCCTCCACCTCGATAATTTGAATAGAAGAATCTCTCGAACTATCCTCCGTATTCTCTTCTTCCTCTTGTTCTACATCATCCTCACTTGTTTCTTGCTCATCATTATCCTCCGATTCCTCTTTTTCCTCATTCTCATTTTCTTCTTCCTCATCTGATTCTAAATCTGACTCATCTTTGTGGCTGTCTTCTTTCATGACCTAAAATTAAAATTTTAAAACATTCATCAGCATTTTTTGACACATTTTTTTATCTGTTTTTCATTAACAAATTCGAATAAAATTTGTTTTTGTTGGGCGAAATTTTGTTGAAATTTGAACAATTTTTGTATTACACACAAAGTTTTTGGAGCTACTAATTAGATTTGAAAAAATCTTGATCAAATTTTCTTTTGTTTTCAGATTTTCAACCCAAAAATAAAAATTACCTTATTTTTGTCGGATCTTTTGGGCTTCTCTATTTCACATAAAAACATCACATCGTCATCTTCATCTTCAACACGTGGAATTGCAGGATTATTGACATTTGATGACGTTGCTCCTTCATTCACTTTTCCTCTAATTGATTTCGGCGGCATTTTGTATATGTTGTGTATGTTTGGCAGCGGCTGTAAAAAACAGGTTTTTCGTATTTTCAAAAACATATGGGGTTTTTATTTATTTTAGAGTCCAATTTTATAAAGAAAACTTTCAGTGTTTCAGGAAAACTTCTGAAATGAAACACAAAATACATAAAGATCACAAAAAACCTCAAAAAATTCAAAAAAATATATAAATTTACAACAATTTTTCAAAAAATATATCAACAAAAAAGAGGAAAAACGAAAAAAAAGTAACCCTGGCAAATGAAAGGACGCCAATGATTTGGAATGGCGCGAAAAATTTGGCTGCCGACACACGCACACACTAAACATTTGATACTCAGTCAAGTGTATGATGAGGTATGCGAGAGGGATTTCTCTAGCCCTCTCATATTTCCTCACTCTCTCCTTTTTCCTCACCCGTTTCTCTGCCGCTTTTTTGAGGAAAAGGGGAAGGGGAAATAAACACGCCTTTTTCAATCAATAAATTATGTTTGCAGGGAAAAGGACGCCGAGAAAATTGAGGTGATTTTTAATGATAATTTAGTTAATTATCCCGTTGGTTAATCAATATTTTTGCAGGAAAATCGGGATGACAAGAGGAACTTTGGTTGAGAATTTGATGAAGATATGGATTTGGCGCGGAGATGAAAAAGCTCACGAAAATGTATCTGGCATTTCATGATTGTTTGGATTTTGGTTCAGTCTAAACCAACGATGAAGCTGTTTATATAAAGAAGTGATTCGACAAAGATTATCAGGTAAATTTGTTGTTTTTTTTGTTTTCACCTCAAATAGAAAAAGTATTTGTGAGACATTGAAAACTGCACTGTATTTTTTTTTGCAATTCGAGGGAGACGCAGACTTTAACGTGTGCAGACAAATCTCTCGTCGAAAAAGGGAGAGAAATAGTGTGTGGCAGACACACATCGTGTCGAGACCAGCGAGTGTCTGCGTCTCCTCGAAATTGCATTTTTCTATTAGAAAAAAACACAGTGACTGAAGTCTCCAGTGATATTCGAATTTTGGGAGTATTAGGGTTTCTTGATATTTCTTGCGATGAACTTCAAATTAATAACTGATGTCTTTATTTTAAAAAATTAAAATTCAGTGAATATATGTGCCGTTAGTATTAATTGTAGTTCACAACAATGGTTAGGCCTGTCTCATTTTGGAATACAAAATGAGCTGTAACATAGCTTGTGAACTACTTCAGAAAAATTAATACTATTTAATTAAGGCTGCCTAACTGTTCACTGAATTTCTTGATCTTTAATAAGAAAATAGAATTCACAAAAGTTGAAAAAACCATGATAAATGTGCCCAGATTTTTTGATATTTAATATCAAAGATTTATGAGTGAAACTGCACACTTTTTCTGATTTTCCAACAAACTTCAAGCTGTCAGAAAAGCAAGAGACGCAGACATCGTGTATTTCCTCTCACCTTTGTGTTGGTCTATTTTTCTCTTTATGAGCTTCTTCTTTCTGTAATAAGCAAAAATACTTTTTTTTAAAGATTTCTGATTTTATAATGTTTGCTTTTAGCTTCAGCCTATGTTTTTTCTCTTTCGAGAGAGTGTGTTTCTTCGAAGAGACACAGACAAACACACATTTAACATTTTTTCCCCAATTTTCGTGTTTCTATCTGCTTCTTTCACGATTACCAGATAATGAAATCATCTTCACGGTGGTTTTTTGGTATGGTTTTATGCAGGATTTTTTGTGTTTTCTAAAATTGAAACATTGTTCTAAAAAACTTTCAAAAATGCTCAGTTATCACACTTTGAAAGCACTGACCCTGTGTTCGAAGAAATTCGAAAAGTTTTTAAAAATGGAGTCCCTATTATTGGAAACTCGCAATCAACCTATTTCCAACCACACAGATGCCTGAAAAAAAATTTAAAAAATTAGTTCCGACCGGGGGTCGAACCCTCAACCTCTCACCACTGAGGCAGACACTGTAACCACTATACTAACTGGTTCACCTCTTCCCCTATTCCGAATTGCCTAGATAAGAAGAGGTGGTCGCTGGAACATTTCAAAAACGTGATGGCATTCTTTGACGTGGAAAAAAACAAAATTCAAACCGCCGCCGCTCTCTCCTCATTTGAATTGTTGCCGCTACGGTCTTCCACTCGAGACCCAAGCCACGCCCACCTCCCTACAAATTATTTTTCTCTCTCCTAAAATCACTTTTTTTTCATTTTTACCTGTTTTCTTGAATTGTTTTGGAGAAGAAACGAAATCAATTTTCAAAATTTCAGTAATGGTGCTCACTTTGAAGAAGCTCGCCCAAATTCAAACGATGCGCTTCTTCTTGATGCGATGCCATGCAAGTCGATATGGAAATGCCTTGCCGTTCCAGAGAGATAATTTTGATTTAGCTGTTGCTTTCCTTGTTGTTATGGAATGCGGAAATGATGCAGAATTCAACCGATTCTGCGAGCAGTATCGATTGATTATGCAAAGCATTCAAAGAATCAATCCTCATCTCAACATTCCTCAATTGACCAGATGGAACGAATTTGATTCTAATACGTTGCCGTAATTGTTTTGTTGAATTTTTTGTTTTGAATAAACTGCTGTTGTTAATTATTGTTGTTATGTATCTTACTTTTAGCTGTTTTTGAAACGGTTTATAATATTTTTTATTTCTTATTGTTCATTGGAGAGGGAGAGTGGCTTCAAAAAGCTTCAGAAGGATGCAGAAGCCTTTAGAAGTCTATTGAAGCCTGAAAAAACTCTGAGAAAGATTCAGAAGACTTCAAAGGGCTTTAGAAAAATTGAGTAGTTTTTGAAAAGTGTTCAGAGTTCTTGGAAAGCTTTTTGACGTCCTTAGGAAGCCTTGGAAACCCTGAAAAAACCTCGTGAAGCTAAAATTTGGAAAGATTTGTTTGATATATCCTTCATTTTCGCTCACAAAAAAAAAAGATTTTTTTCTCGTTTTTCAATTCCTGATCGTTTAGTTATCCGTTTCCCACAGTTTTTCTTCATTTTGTTAACAAAATTGATGATTTTCGTCATTTTTTCAAGGGATTTTATGCATTTTCCTTCATCATTTACTCAGTTTTCCATTTCACCAAAGTTTGTGTTAAAAAATTGATTTTCTTCATTTTCATGTATATTTGTCTCGCTCGTTTTATTCCTCATTCACTTCGTTGTCTATTTTATCAACGTAAATCTTGTTCATTTTTGTTTTTTTCCTCTTTTCCTCGTGTGCACACTAAATGCGTCAACTGCGCTTGGCTGACGCTTTTTGTGTGTCCTCCTTCCTCCTTTTCTTCCCTCTCGCATTATTTGAACATAATTTTCTGTTTGCTGTGTTTTTCTTGTATTTGAAGGTGTTTTTTGCCTTTTTTCCAAGACACTTCGAGAATCTTCTTCATTTTTCTAGTAATCTCTTTTGGAATGTAGTTTGAATGTGATATCTTCTCATTTTTTTTTGTTTTCATAGGTTATTTTTGGGTTTTTCGGCTTCTGAAGCCCCAATAGGCCTTCTGAAGCCCCATAGGCCTTCAGAATCCCCCACGGGCCTTCAGAATCCCCCATAGGCCTTCTGAATCCTCCATAGGCCTTCTGAATCCTTCATGTTTCTTCTGAATCCTCCTCATATCTTCCCTCTCTTCATCCAAAAAAACAAAATTCAAACCGCCGCCGCACTCTCCCGATTTGAATTGCCGCCGCTGCGGTCTTCCACTCGAGACCCAAACCACGCCGCCTATCCTACAAATTATTTTTCACTCTCCTAAAATCACTTCACTTTTTCATTTTCTCTCATTTTCGCTCATTTTTGTTGGTTTTTTTTGCTTCTTCTTTTGCTTTTCGTTGTTTCTTTTATGAATTTGTAATTTAAGAATTGTTTTTTCAGCTCGTGAAGGTACATGATACTACGATATGCTATTAACAGTTTGGACACCAATGCAATACACCGAACCATCAGAAATCACAATATATACATTTAAATGGTGTTAATGTTCTGGACAGCACTGCAGAATATTACAGTTTCTTCCTCAAAGAATTCTTGAATCCCGGAAAAAGTGTGTTCTATTTTGGATATAATGCAAGAATTCAAATGCATCAGATCACTTTTGAATTTGCTTGTCGAAAATCGATTGCGGAACAGAAGTTATTTGAAGCTGGAGAAGTGAGACAAAAGCTGGAAAGTGCAAAATATCGATATCAAAGCAAGGCACACTTTCAACAAACGGATTGATCCAAATTCCCCTTTGGTGTGCCAGAATAGAGGTGTGCCATAAAAAAACCCGAAAACGAATGATTATTCCTGCGATATATAAAATGAGCACAACACCCCAATGTTTCGATATGGCGATCATTTTGGCACAACCCTTACTTCATACGAATGGTTGAGATTCTGTGATGTTGAGATTGATCTCTTCCTCAATCAACTTCTTATTCAATGCCAGGCGAATCCGTTTACTCCACGTAAGTTTTATTCAAATCCTGCTTACAATCTACTCACATTCGCTTTTTTTCAGTTCACAACACACGAATTAAGGCGCCTTATTCAATTGGATCGAACACATTTCATGGGATAAAACAAATGTCGACCACTATTGCCTGGGATAAAATCGAAACGGCAACAGAAGGAACGTTGAGAGGTAAATAAATTTTATTTAAATGTATTATTTAACAATTTTTCAACTTTTAGGTCAAGGTGAGCATCTTTTTGATGCACTCAAAACGGAAGAAAAACCCTCAATACCAATATTTTTTTATTTATTTCAAAGATTTATTATTTTTGGAAAAATTGATAACCATTTAATTTTTGAATAAAGATATAAAAAAAAATGCTTCAATAGTTGGTCTCTCAAATGAGGGATTTGATGTCGGTGGTGGAAGTGTTATTGGTGTCAAGGGCAAGGAGTTCGCAGGTCCCAAGATCATGTGGATCAGCCAAAAAATTTGGGCCAAATATATTTCAAAACAAAAATAAAAAGTCAAGGCGCAGGATTCTCTGTTTGGGTCTCGCAACGCTTTCAAGAAATACGGTGAAAAAAGGAGAATGTGCGTATTTCTACACATAGGTCTCGTCACGTTTTCTGGATTACTGTATGAGGAGAAAAGGAAGAAACTCCTTCTCTTTTCCGTGTTTCTGCCCCACTTTTCTCCTCTTTCTCCTCATTTCTCGAAAAATTTTGGCAGAAAAAATATTATATTTTATCAACTCATTACTTTCCGTTTCTCTTAACTTCACTTCATTCATTTTTGCTCACAAAAGTTTAATTTCATTCATTTTCATAGTTGATATTCACTTTTTCCTTGTTAATTTTTGTTTTTTCCTCTTTTCCTCGTGTGCACACCAAATGCGCCAACTGCGCTTGGCTGACGCTTTCTGTGTGTCCTCCTTCCTCCTTCCTCCTTCTCGCATATTTGAATATAGTTTTCTGTTTGCTGTGTTTTTCTTATATTTGAAGGTGTTTTTTGTCATTTTCACTAGAAATTTCGAGATTTTTCATTTTTTTTCTAGTTAGTTCTGTCAGAATTTTCCAGATTGTTCTAGAATACATTCTGCCTGTGAAATCTTCTCATTCTTCTTCTTTCTATAGGTTATTTCTCGGTTTCTGTGGATTTTTTCACTTGTTTTTGGTTTTTTCTCTATTTCCTCGTGTTCTTATAAAATTTGCCAACTGGCACTGTTTTTTACTCTTTCAACGTTCATTCTCCACAATTTCTGTATATTTTTGCTCACAAAAGTATAAATTCTTTCATTTTCATAGTTGATATTCACTTTTTTCTTCTTCTTTTTTGTTTTTTCCTCTTTTCCTCGTGTCAACATCAAATGCGCCAACTGCGCTTGGCTGACGCTTTCTGTGTGTCCTCCTTCCTCCTTTTCTTCCCTCTCGCATTATTTGAATATAGTTTTCTGTTTGCTGTGTTTTTTGTCTTTTTTCCAAGAAATTTCGAGATTTTTTCTCCATTTTTTTAGTAAATTCTGTCAGAATTTTCTAGACTGTTCTAGAATACATTCTGCCTGTGAAATCTTCTTATTTTTCTTGTTTCTATGAGTTATTTTTCAATTTTCGTTGATTTTTTCACCTGTTTTTGATTAGGTTTTGTCGGATTTTGAACCATGAAGGATTCAGAAGGCCTGTCGAGGATTCAGAAGGCACATGAAGGATTCAGAAGACACCTGGAGGATTCAGAAGACACCTGGAGGATTCAGAAGGCTCGGGTGTCTTCTGAATCCCCCATAGGCCTTCTGAACCCCCACAGGCCTTTGGAATCCCCCATAGGCCTTCTGAATCCCCCATAGGCCTTCTGAATCCTCCAGGTGCCTTCTGAATCCTCCATAGGCCTTCTGAATCCTCCATAGGCCTTCTGAATCCTCCAGGTGTCTTCTGAATCCCCCATAGGCCTTATGAATCCCCATAGGCTTTCTGAAACCCCCCCCCCCCATAGGCCTTCTGAATCCTCCAGGTGCCTTCTGAATCCCCACATAGGCCTTCTGAATCCCCACATAGGCCTTCTGAATCCCCACATAGGCCTTCTGAAGCCCCATAGGCCTTCTGAATCCCCACATAGGCCTTCTGAATCCTCCTCATTTATTCCATCTCTTCATAAAATATTCAAATTCAAATTGCCGCCCAAATAATTCGATTTGAATTTCCGCCACTGCGGTCTTCCACTCGAGACCCAAACCACGCCGCCTATCCTACAAATTATTTTTCACTCTCCTAAAATCACTTCACTTTTTCATTTTCTCTCATTTTCGCTCATTTTTGTTGGTTTTTTTTGCTTCTTTTTTTTCTTTTCGTTGTTTCTTTTATGAATTTGTAATTTAAGAATTGTTTTTCAGCACAGCACGTCTTGCGTGTTCAACTTCCTCGCCCGATTTTTGTCAATCTTCGCCTTATTTTTGGATTTGTCGAGCCATGGCCCCCAAGAAAGCCGCCTCGTCCGCCGCGCCACCAAAGGATTCGAAGGTTAGTTTAGTTTATTTGGGGGTTAGGGAAAACATAAACATGTCAGTGAAATTTTGTTAATCAACTTTGATATCGAAATTTCTGTTTGAAAACCCTTTTTGAAACCAAAAATGAAAGTTTTTCGTGAGAAACTCAGTTTTAGATCCATTTTTTGATAAAAGTCATGAATTTTCTCTCTAGTTTTGAACTTTAGTGTTTAGAAATGAGATCCCAAGCTCTTTTAATGACTCTAAAATACAAATCAAGCCTTCAAAATCACATTGTTGATTTTCGAAATGTTTCGAAACATTTCGAAATGTTTCGAAAATATTCGAAATGTTTCGAAATGTTTCGAAATGTTTCGAAAGTCACCAATTTCATTTTTTTGGGAGATGTGAGGCTTGATTTGTATTTCAGACTCATTGAAAGAGTTTGGGATGACATTTCTGAACACTAAAATGCGTTTCAGTGTCCAGAAATGCTAATTCAGGACCTTCTAATCAGCCTAAAAACAAATCAAGCCTCACAGGCTGATTAGAAAGTCTTGAAATAGTATTTCTGGACTCAAAAACGCATTCTAGTGTTCAGAAATGAGATCCCAAGCTCTTTCAATGAGTCTAAAATACAAATCAAGACTTCCAAATCAATATGTTGTTTTTCGAAATGTTTCGAAAATCTTCGAAATGTTTCGAAAATCACCAATTTCATTATTTGGAAAGATGTGAGGCTTGATTTGTCTTTTAGGCTGATTAGACGGTCTTGAAATAGCATTTCTAGACACTAAAATGAGTTTTTGCTTCACGTTTTTCATTTTGTGAATCACTGAATTGACAACATTTCATTGACATGCTTAAAAAATTGGCGGGAAATTTAGAATTTTGAAAACAGTATTGCAATAGAAAGTGTGCGCGATTAATGAATGCATAAACTTTTGCCTGTAGTGAAACCTGAACGTGTTTTGACACGCTGAGATTTGATATCAGATTAGCTAATTTAATCACAATACAAGTCACATAATTCTCTTTTGGTATAGTTTCAGAATGAGTATAGGTTGTACGCGGCTCTTTTCAAAATCACAGAACTGTTTCAAAGTCTAATTTTTGACTACTTATTGAAGTAATGAAATATGAACATATTATCATAATTCAGCTATAATCAAAATAAATTATTGACTTTTAAGTGCTCTAGAGCCACTTTATCAGGTCAAGATCAGATTTAACAAATTTCTTGAGAGGTTTTTTGTTGTAAACCTGCTTGTTCTTAAAAGTGTGAATCAAACTCTATGAATGAACTTGAACAAAGTAAGGAAAGGATGTCTGACACTTTTAGTGGAATTATCGCATGCATTTTTTTCTGGTGGTATTTCATGCCCGCAAAATTGTTAGCATTAGAAGCTGTGTTGTAAATTTGAAAAATCTAAATTTTCCGCCAATTTTCAACACGTCAGCAAATAATTTCATCTTCAAATTCTTGGCGCCAAAAGCTCCTTTTTAGAAACTGAATTTTATGATATAATTTTGACGCTGAAAATGTGAATGTGAAATTTTTGATGACGGGTCAAAAAAAAATTTGATTGATTATTGTTGTCTGATTTTTTCTGCTGATTTTTTGTCTGATTTTTTATTCTATTTTTCGTCTGAATTTTTATCATCTATTCTGTTATTTTCTGAAAATTTGATCTTAAAATTTTTATTTGAAACATTTCAAATTTCAAACATTTTTTGGCTTTCAAGAAAAAAAACTTCTAACCATAATTTTTATAAATTTTCATTTCATTTATAATTTTTAGAAAACTTTTCGAAAAGAAACCTTCTAAAACCTATTTGAATTCCTTTTTTAAAAAAAAACTTCGAAAAATTTCTGGTTTATTATTTTCGTATGATTTTTTCTGCTTTTTTGTCTGAATTTTCATTTTATTTTTCGGCTGAATTTTAATCATCTATTCTGTTATTTTCTGAAAATTTGATCTTTAAAGTTTTATTTGAAAAATTTCAAATTTCCAACATTTTTGGCTCCCAAGAACAAAAATTTTGAAAAAAATCTAACCATCTTTTGAATTTTGATTTGAATTGAAATCTTTAGAAAACTTTTCAAAAAAAAAACCTTCTAAAACCTATTTGAATTCCTTTGAAAAAAACTTCGAAAAATTTCTGGTTGATTATTTTTTTCTGATTTTTTGTCTGATTTTTCATTTTTTTTTCCGTCTGAATTTTTATCATCTCTTTTGTTATATTCTGAAAATTTGATCTTAAATTTTTTATTTGAAACATTTCAAATTTCGAACATTTTTTGGCTTTCAAGAAAAAAACTTTTCAAAAAAATCTAACTATAATTTTGATGAATTCCAATTTCTCTTTACAAACTGAATTTTATGATGCATGTTTGACATTAAAAATGTGAATTTGAAATTTTTGATGACGTGCCAAAAAAAATTTCTGATTGATTATTGTTGTCTGATTTTTTCTGCTGATTTTTTGTCTGAATTTTCATTTTATTTTTCGGCTGAATTTTTCTTTCTGATTTTTTTCTGCTGATTTTTTGTCTGAATTTTTTTATTGATTTTTTTTCTTTTTTTTTTGGAATTACAGTTTGTATTGATTCTTTAAGTTCAGTTTTACTAGTAGAGCCTATAGAATTTTTTTCCCGGGTTTGAGAGAATACTCTAGATTTTCTTCATGTTTCCTCTTGGCTTCAACATTTGCCCAAGCTTCTAGAAAAACATCAGTTCTTGTAGATTTATTTTCTGATTTATATGAATTTTTTTCGAGCTACTAAGAATCTCCCTGACCCTTCAGAATTAACACGAGCTTCTAGAAAAAGCCGAAACCTAGTAAATTTCTTCTCTAATTTATAGGTAATTTTTAAGCTGCTAGGAATATCTCAAAGCTTTCAGAATCATGAAAACACTCTAGATCTTGTAGATTTTTTCATTGGTTTATAGACGCTTTCATAAGCGTTTAGAAATATCCAAGTGTTTTTAGAATAAGGCTGAGCTTTTTATAGAAACTTTTTTGGGCTTTCCGAATTTGTCTGAGCTTTCATAAAAACTCCAGATTGTGTTCATTTTTTCACTGAACTTTTAGATGTCTTTTTGAGCCTTCAGAATCTGACCAAGCTACTAGAAAACCTTCAAACTCTGTAGATTGCTCCTCTGTTTTTAAGTTCTTTTATGAGATCTCCCATAGCCTTCAGAATTGGCAGGAGCTTTAAGAAGTTCCCCGGACTTTGTTGGATTTTTCTGTGGCTTTTAGACGCCTTTTTGAACTTTTTGGAATCTCCCTGACCCTTCAGGATTTGCACGATCTTTTAGAAAAACCCTAAAATCTATTAGATTCATTCTTTCTCTGTCTCATATAAATTTTTTTGAGTTTCTGGGAATAATCCAAAACCTTTCACGAGCTTCTAGAAGAAGCCTAACCCTTGTAGAAATTCTTAAACTGTTATTAAAATTTGGAGGACCATAAAAACTGTAATTCCAGATCTGCTGTTAAAATTATATTGATTTTTCTTGATTTTTCTTCTGATATTTGGTTCATTTTTGTTTTCTGATAATTTAATTTCAAAATTTTTTTAATTTATTTTTTTTTTGGAATTACAGTTTTTAATAATTCTTTAAGTTTCATTTTACTAGGACCCATAGAATTTTTTCCCGGGCTTCTAGGTATCTGCTAGGTTTTTCAGATATTTTCCGGTTTGAGAGAATACTCTATATTTTCTTCATGTTTCCTTTTGTGTTCAGAATCCTTAGTTCTTGTAGATTTGTTTCTGACTGATAGAAACTTGTTTTGAGCTTCTAGGAATCTTCCTAAGCCTTCAGAATTTATACGAGCTTCTAGAACAAGCCTGAACCTTTTTAAGACTTTTTGAAACTTGCCTTAGACTTTAGAAATCACCCAGAGCCTTCAGAATTAGCACAAACTTTTATAAAAATTCCAGACCGTGTTGATTTGTCCACTGAACTTCTGTCTTTTAGATGTCTTTTTGAGATTTCAGAATCTACTTCTCTGGCTTCTAGGCACTTTTCTAAGCTTCTAGGAATTTCCCAAAGCTTTCAGATACCTCATAGAAAAATCTAAGTTCATCTTGAATTCTTCTTTGACCTATAAGATCTTTTTTGGATTCAAGAAATATCCGGAAGTCTTCAGAATCCTAGAAACACTCCAGATCTTGTAGATTTCTTCTCTGACTTTTAGGCACTTTCCTGAGCTTTTAAAAATCTCCCGAAGCCTTCAGAATCTGCCACAGCTCCCAGGAAAATCTCAGTTCATGTTGAATTCTTCCCTGACTTATAAGATCTTATTTGGACTTCTAGAAATATCCGGAAGTCTTCAGAATTCTTGAAACACTCTTTGTACCTTGTAAATTTTGTTGCTGGCTAATAGACACTTTCATGAGCTTCAAGGAACCTTTCAAAGTCTTCTGAATTTACCCAATGCTCCGAGAAATACTTCTAGATCTTGTAGATTGTTTCTCTGACCCATATACAATTTTTTGAGCTTTTCGAATTCGTCTGAGCTTTCATAAAAACTTCAGACCGTGTTGATTTTTCTACTGAACTTCAATAAGTCTTCTTGAGTCTTCAGAATCTGCCCAACCTTCTAGAAAAAACTTTAGACCTTGTAGATTTTTTCTCGGATTTGTCGATAATTTTGTAAGATCTTAGGAATCTCTCATAGCCTTCAGAATTTGTGCGATCATTCAAAAACAGTCTAATCCGTGTAAATTTCTTGTCTGACTTGTAGGAGCTTCTAAGAATCTCACAAAGTCTTCAGAATGTGCCCAAGTTTCTAGAAAACCTTCAAACTTTGTAGATTGCTTCTCTGTTTTGAGGTACTTACGAGGTCGTAGGAATCTCTCATAGCCTTCAGAAATTACACGAGCGTCTAGAAAAATGCCTAAACCTAGAAGATTTCTTCTGAGACTCATGGAAACTTCATTGAGTTTCTGAGAATATTCCGAATCCTTCAGAATCTTCCCGAGTTTCGAAAAGTACACTAGATCTTGTGAACTTGTTCTCTGGCTGATAGGCACTTTGATGAGCTTCTAGACATCTTCCAGAGTCTCCAGGATTTGCACGAACTACCAAGATCTTCTAGATTTTTTCTCTGATTCATAGCAACTTTTTTTGGACTTCTAGAAATATCCGGAAGTCTTCAGAATCCTAGAAACACTCTTCTAGAAAAATCCTAAACCTAGTAGATTTTTTGTCTGATTCATCTGAAATTTTTCAAGCTTCTCTCAAAACCTCCAGATACCGTCCAAGCTTCTAGAAAAACCTAAGTTCATGTTGAATTTTTCTCTGAATTATCGGAACTTTTTTGGGCTTCTAGGAATCTCCAGAAACCTTCAGACGTTGCACGATCTTTTAGAATTACCCTAAACCTCGTAGATTCTCACTCTGGCTGATAGGAATTTTCGTGAGCTCTTCAGAATGTGTCCAAGCTTCTAGAAATCTCTATGAAAAACAAGGAATATCAACATGTAAAGGACCATGAAAACTGTAATTCCAGAGAATTAAAAATCAACAAAAATTTCTAGATTTAAGTTTTAAAAATTTGATTTTTGAAAATCAAAATTTAGGGGGATTTCGAATTAGAAAAAATATCAACAAAACTAAAAAGCTCTCAGGAAAAAACAACATTTGAATAATTTTCATTATTTTTCAGCCACGAGGAAGACCACGCCGATCGATTTCCACCCCGGCCGCTCAAGTTCAACCACAACAACCACAACATCGTGCTGCTGGAAGACCTAGAGCTCAATCAACGGTCACTGTAAGATCACCCTCGCCACCTCCGATTATGCAACGCACTCGATCACAAACGAAAGCACAGCGGGAAGCGGATGCGGCGGAGCGAGAACGTCGCGGACTTCCAAGGAACGTCGTCGGCGCTCGTTATTGTCCCCCAACTGTTAGTTTATTTTCATTCTTTATGGGTTGTTTCAATTTGAAATGTAGTGAGCCTAGAAAAATTCAAAAGTATTGAAAACCTTGGGAGCCTTGAAAGTCTGAACATTTTTCAAATCTCATGGAAAACATTCATAAGTTTATAATTCATGTATTTCAGCCGCCGAAAATTACAAGAAAATTGGTGGACAAAGTCGCTGGATTGCTCAAGAAGAACTCAAAACAGTCGAAGAATACCAAGAAGTCGAAGAATGTCAAACCGCAACCACCAAAGAAAGCTGCGACAAAATCAAAAGCGGCGGCGAAATCATCGACAAATTCAAGAAGAGCACCATCGTCAAGCACGGATGCGCGTAGTTCGACGGATGATTTGACTGATTCTGATTCTGGAACCTCGGGAAGAAATGATGAAGATGAGGAAACTGATCAAGAATATTCTCATGAACCAGCTGCTCGCCAATCTTCACACAGTCATCGCCATTCAAGTTCCTCTTCTCATCAATCTCCTTCAAGCCCTTCGACCAATGATGACGACGATGATGAAAGTTATCGCCACAACGATCGTCGCCCAAAATCATCAACAATTCGTGGTGGAAAAGTTGGTGAAAACTCGTTTCGTTCGCGCTCGGCTGCACCAACAACTTCAAGAGTTCCCCCAAATCCAAAACCACGTGCACAATCGGTCAGAAGACGTGTATCAACAACTTCAAATTTTGAGAGAGTAAGTTTTTTTCTCAAAATTTGGGACCCAAAAAACTCTTTTTTCCTCAATTTTCCCCCTGGCCCACAGAAAAAAAATGAATTTGCATTTGAAACAACAATTTGATTATTTCAGCCGCCGATTGTTTACAACTCAAACCCGCGACAAGATGAGGTGAATTGTGAAATGTCGGAAACGTTCCGACAATTTGGTGGATTGAGAGTTGAATCAACGCAAAGTTCGGTTAGTTTGATTTTCTCATTGGTTTTGCAATTATTTAATTCTGCATTTTCAGAGCCGCCGCCAGCCATCAAGAAGAGAAGAAGCGACGCAAAGCGCTTCGACTTCTGATTCATCGTATCGACCAAACAAACCAAGCAAATCCAACACTCGCCGCCGAAAACGCCGCAATTGATCATCTTCTTGTGTGTTTTGGTTTGTAATTTTTGAATTTTTCCCCCTTATTTTTTGTCTTTTTCATTTGTTCCTAAGTTTGATTTTCTGTAATTATAATTTGTTGATTGATTTAGCTTCTTCTCTTCTCTTTTCTAAATCAACAAATTATAATTCCAGAAAATCAAAAGTTTTTCCCAGATTTTTTTGAAAAATCTGACATCTTCTTCTTTTTTTATTTTCCCCTTCTTTTAAGTGTTTTTTGTAGGCCCCCATCTATTTTTTCCCCAGATTTTTCCAAAAAATCTGAATTGTCTTCATTTATTGTTTTGTGTCCCCAGTCTTCCCCGAAACCAAAATATGCTCCAGTTTTTTGGGAGTACCTTTTTTCCGGCCTTCTTACTTGTTCTTTTTTCATGTTCATTGGGACAGCCTAATTCACCTGGTCAAATTGACCCATTTTATCGATTTATTTGTTCCCATATTTTTTTCTCCTGGTCTTCAAAAGACCCATCTTCCGCTTTCTCGTGGTCTCGTAGACCCTTTCTCCTTGATCTGTATTATGCGTTTTTTTTTTCATTTTCGCGATCATAAACTTTTTTTGTCTTTTTAAAAATTTTGTTTGATTGAGGAAAAACAATTTATAAAATCAAGTTTTCATCCAACATTCAACTTCGACTTGAGATTATTCGTTGAACATCTAAATTCAATCAGAAGTTCGGAAGGTCAAGCTGTCGGTCTTGTTTGAATGTGAGATTCTGAAGATCTTGCTGACATTGAGATGCGAGAATCTGACTGAAGTTTTATGGGTGATTTACTCACTGAAGTTCAGAAGGTTATACTGAAGAAGATCTGGAATCCGACGCTTTCTGAGGCTTCTGAAAGCCTGCTGAAGGCTCTAGCTTAATTTGATGTTTTCCCTGAACATCTAAATGCAATCAGAAGTTCGGAAGATCAAGCTGTTGGTCTTGTTTGACTGTGAGATTCTGAAGATCTTGCTGACATTGAGATGCGAAGGTCTGACTGAAGTTTTATGGGTGATTTACTAACTGAAGTTCAGAAGGTCTGACTGAAAAAGATCTGGAATCCGACGCTTTCTGAAGCCTCTAGAAGCCTTCTGAAGGCTCCAAAAGTCTTTTGAGGGCTTCTGAAGCTTCCTGTATTTTTTGAGCAAAATTTCCAATCAGATTCAATTGGGGCTTTTGGTGACAACGTTTTTCCATCATGAAAAAACGTAAAAACAAAGATGCTGACAGAAATCTTCTCAAATTTTCGATAAATTTTTTTTGAAAAAAAAATCATAAGAGGGGACCCTTTTGTAAAAAAAATTATTTTTTGAATAATGACTTTTTTATCAATTCTACTTTATTTTCCACACGTGAAAACCTCAAATACAAATTTTCAGGATAAATTGTTCATTTTGAAGCTGTTTATGATGTTTTAAAATGTAAAAACGTGACAAAAAAGTTTGAGATGTGAAAAAGTTTGACATATTTTACATCAAAAATACCGCCTGATTTTTCTCAAGAATATGTGATATTTTTCAGTTCACGTACTATTTTTTTGAATCAATTTCGATTTTTTACGTCAAATAATAAGTTAACGTGACGTGAGAAAAAAGTTTGTATTTCAAAATTTTTTGGCAAACATTTTATCTATCTGATCCAATATCTAAAATCGAAAAATATTGATTTTTAGAGGAGTTTTGAATTTCCACGTGTAAGAAATACGTGAAAACAAACTTTTGACGTGAAACTAATGCTTTCAAAAAACTTGTCATACTCGATAACCTATATGTCCATATATTTATATTCCCTCAACTCTTATCACAACTTCATATTTTTAGATTATTTTTGTAACGGGTCCCGACACGAAAATGTGTCGCCCATTTTTTTTTGTTAAGACGATGTCATCGTTCCTCGAAAAACGTCATCTAGGTCAATTTTTGCTCATTTTCTGCTCTTCGCGTCTCAGTTTCGGGTGAGTTTTCTTGCATTTTTAGTCATCTATAGCTATCAAAAAATATACATTTCGTTTCATTTTTTCACGCTCTTTCCGATTTTCGCACTTTCAGCGCGTCTAACTCTTTCTAACAAGCTGAAAATCGCGTTTAAAGTTAGAAATTTGAAATTTATCGTTTTTGACTGAAAATTCATAATTTCAGCAAATGCTCTCCTTGCAACAATCTTCTCAATTATTTTTGATGAAGCTGTTTTTGATTCAGTGTAAAAATGGTCGATATGGAAATCTTTTAGAAGCAATTAGACGTAGTAATGACATGTTCGTAGATTTTTTGTTGGAAATGGATGTGAAGAATAATGGAGATTTTGATCGATTCTGTGGATATTATAACATTATTATGTCTGGAGTTCAAGAAGCCAACCGTCACTTGCGTATTCCACAATTAACTCCCTGGAATGAATTCGATGGAAATAGTCTACCTTAAGTACTTGTGAAATTACTTGAATAAATGCATTTTTGATTGAAAAAAATTGTTGTTGTTTTTCGATGCTCCGCCAAGAAGCTCTCTTGGTATCGATAGAAATTTGGTGCTCCTGGAAGGTTCCAGAAAAATTCTAGTTGCAACTTGTCAGCTCATTTTTTGGTCGAGTTAGAACCTATTCTTTTCTGTACAATATATTATTTTTCCTTCAAAACATGTGAGGAAAAATAATTTATAAATTCAAGAATTGAATTTGTTGACTCGAGATTTTTTTTAATGATATCTGAGTTGATGTTCTCCCTGAAAATCACAGTAATCTTCTAGATGTAATTGAAATTTGGGAGATTGAGCAGATGTTGTTGCTTGAATGGATTTTCAAATGAGATTCTGAAAGTCTCAATGAAAAAGGTCAAACTGAAAATCTGGTGGTAACGGGGAAGAAGTTTCGAAGATCATTCTGAAGTTCTCTATGGATTTTCAGAGGGAAATCTCAAAGATATGAAGGAAGATCAGAATGTGTCTCCTCACACTGAAATACGATTTTTCGCATTGGAGTTCCAAAATTTTCTGTAGCTGTAGATCTCACTGAAGTTTCAAAAGTGAGTTTGAAAAACAGAAATTCTAGAAGGGATCCTGAAAGTCTCACAGAAATCTTACAAGGTAATCATGAATACCTCCTTGAAATTTCTAAATGTGATCTTGTTTCTAAGATCTGAAAAATTTTCAAATGTGATTTTGTACATAGATCTCAAAACAAAAAAATCTTCCCAACGTTTTGAAAAACCATCATGAAGATCTCAACAAAGTCTAAAAGAGCGTGTTTCTTCAAAATTTCGTGAATCGCCGAGGATGATTTTCAAGTTTTCAAGTTAATAAGTTTCGAAGATCCATCTTTCTCTATGGATTTCCAAAAGTGATTTCAAATGTCTCAACAAACTTTTCGAAAGGTCGTGCTGGAATTTTTGACTCATGTGATTGTGAAGATTCAAGTCGAAAAAAAATTGAAAAAAAAACAAAAAAATTAGATTCAGCAAATGTCAAAAAACTATATTTTTTCCTATTTTCATGACATTTTTTTCATTGAAACATATTCGATATTTTTCATTTTTGTGTGGAAAAAAATATAGTTTTTTGAATTTTTCTGAATCGCAATTTTTTGTTAAAAAACGGTTTTTCATTACTTTTTCGACTTGAATCACTTCATAATTTTTCACAAATTGTTTTATACTTTTCAAAAACTGTCACAATTTGCTTGTATCATTTTTTTTCTGAAAATAACATAAAAAATCCCTCCAAATTCAAAATATTCTCTCTTTGTCAAATGATTTCTCTTTTCCCTTTTCTTTCTTTCTCTGTTGCCTCTTTTATTTTTTCTCTCCCCCTTTTCAAGCAAGCAACCGCGCTCTGTCGCACACCCTTGAGGGATGGGGAGTATTCAATTTATTTTGTCATCACACAGCATGTTTTTGTTTTTTTTTTGTTTTTGCTGGTTTTTTCATATTTTTCTTCAATTTTTTTTTGATTCTTGTTTCTGAATCAATATTTTTTGCAGGTAAACCATATATAATTGTTGTTATTTTAACAACACACAATCAAATACATGTATCCGTGGTATATGACCGAAAAAGAAAAAATAGAGAAAGATGAAGAGAAGCTTCGACGTCTTACTAAAGAAATGAACGAAGCGATTAAACGTGGTGCTGAAATACAGGCCGCAAGAGCAGCAAAAGCTGAGCAGGTAAATTCAAATATTTTTGTGAAACACTTTGAAAATCGATAATATTTTTAGAGAAGGGCGGCGCGTCAAAAAGCTTCAGAAGCCAAACGTGTCGAAGATTCCAAGACAAACAAAAGAATTGACGGAGATCTTGATGAATCTTATGCGCCATCACTCAAAGTTCGAAAAACTGAAGGCATCATATTTGCTCCTGAAAAACCTGCTAAACCATCGAAATCTGTATGGAATTCAGGTAAGGGTTTTATTCTGGAGAAGATTCTTCGAGCTCTAAACAGTTCAGAAAACATCCCAAATTCTCTAGATGTTTTCCAATAAAGTATATTTATCATTTCAGACATCGATGTTTCGTCCAAGAGTTTTTCAAATTGGAGAGAAACTTCGTTATTGTCAGCGATGGAATCTTCTCGCAACGAAAAAGACGGTAAAATCAAAAAAGCTGCGTCAAAAAAAGTCTTCAAATCTGGAATATTAGCAGTTACTCCGAATTCAGGTGAGACTAGGGTTTTTAGATTTTGGCGGGCTTCCAAATATCTAGAAATCCAAAAATATATTATTTCAGAAACTGATGGCTGGAAAAATTTGTCAACTTGGAAAGTGAAGCCATATTCATTTGATAATTCGGCTAATCTCCAAAAGACATCAACTTCGTTGACAAATTCAGAAAAGGCTGAAAAAGTTGGATTTGGTTTTGCTAAATTCACTGAACAAAGAGCAACAGCATCGTCAAATGTTCTGGATGTTTCAAGTGGATTCACAGATTTTATGCCAAAGAGTCAAAGACATGTTGAGATGACGCCCCAGGTAATACATAGTTTATTGATTAGAATGGGAAGTACTAGATTTTTAGCCAATAATTATTTTTCAGAGCGGACAATTTCAAATTCCGAAAATTGTTGGAGAAACTGTTCAAAAATGGGAGAAACGCGGCGAAGAAACGATCATGCAAAAGAATTTCCTGGCACAATCCGAACTTTTGCAAAATCAAAATGAACGAAATCCGATCTTATTCAAACAAGAAACACAAACTCGACCAAATCCAACAAATGCTTTCTCTGGATTTGCCGGAAAATCGATCAAGAAGGAAGTCGAATGTGTTGAGGAATTCGAATATGGTGGAAATCAAAATGGTTTTGCAAATTCGCCAAGAAGTTATGACATAAAGCCACAGGTAACAATTTTTTTGTTGTATAAAACATTTAGCCAATATTTTTTTCAGATTGCAAAGTTAGCTTATCCGAAAAATTTTGCCAAAGTTTATGGAAAATCGACTGATGAAGCTGATCGACTGATGAAACCAAAAGCAACAAATTCTTTCTCTGGTTTTGGCGGAAAATCAATCAAAATGGAAGTTGCATGTGTTGACGAGTTTGAATATGGTGGAAATCAAAATGGTTTTGCAAATTCTTCAAGAAGTTATGACATAAAGCCGCAGGTAACAATTTTTTTGTTGTATAGAACGTTTAGCCAATATTTTTTTTCAGATCGCCAAGTTCGCTCTTCCAAAAAATGTTGCCGAAGTTCGTGGAAAATCGACTGATCTTGCTGAAACTGCAAAACACTCGGAACAACCCCACCAAAAAAAGAATATGCAAACGAATTTGGTAGCATCTTCCGAACTTTTGCAAAATCAAAATGAACGAAAACCGGTCTTATTCAATTATCAAATACAAACTCAACCAGAAGCAACAAATTCATTATCTGGATTTGCCGGAAAATCAATCAAGAAGGAAGTCGTATGTGCTGACGAATTCGAATATGGTGGAAATCAAAATGGTTTTGCAAATTCTTCAAGAAATCATGACATAAAGCCACAGGTAACAATTTTTTTTTCAAATTTCGCTGTGTAAACATTTCTTTCAACTGTCAAAAACGGAATTTTTCACTTTTTTCTTCTATTGAAAATATATCGCTCAATTATAAATACAAAAAATTGGGAATAATTTTCAGTTTTTTATAAAATGCATCCAATATTTTTTTCAGATCGCGAAATTTGCTTATCCAAAACATGTTGCGAAAATTGGTGGCAATTCGACTGATGTTGCTGAAACTTCAAAACAATCGGAAGTTCTCCACCAAGAAAAGAATATGCAAAAGAATTTGGTGGCATCTTCTGAACATTTGAACATTCAAAATGAAAGTCAGCCGGTATCATTCAATCATCAAACACAAACTCGGCCAGAAGCAACAAATTCTTTCTCTGGATTTGCCGGAAAATCAATCAAGAAGGAAGTCGAAACTGCTGACGAATTTGAATATGGTGGAAATCAAAAGGGTTTGGCAAATTCGCCAAGAAGTTATGACATAAAGCCACAGGTAACAATTTTTTTTTATAAAACATTTAGCCAATATTTTTTTCAGATTGCCAAGTTAGCTTATCCGAAAAATTTTGCCAAAGTTTATGGAAAATCGACTGATGAAACTGATCGACTTATTAAATCAAAAGCAACAAATTCTTTCTCTGGATTTGCCGGAAAATCAATCAAGAAGGAAGTTGCATGTGTTGACGAGTTTGAATATGGTGGAAATCAAAAGAGTTCTGCTAATTCTTCGAGCAATTATGATATGAAGCCGCAGGTAACAATTTTTTTGTTGTATAAAACATTTAACCAATATTTTTTTCAGATTGCAAAGTTTGCTTATCCAAAACATGTTGCGCGAATTGGTGGAAAATCTACTGATGTTATTGAAACTTTAAAACAATCGGTACAACTCCACAAAGAAAAGAATATGCAAAAGAATTCGCTGGCATCATCCGAACATTTGAACATTCAAAATGAAAGTCAGCCAGTCTCATTCAATCACGCAACACAATCTGTACAGAATCCAACAAATTCTTTCTCTGGATTTGCTGGAAAATCAATCAAGAAGGAAGTTGCATGTGTTGACGAGTTTGAATATGGTGGAAATCAAAAGAGTTCTGCTAATTCTTCGAGCAATTATGATATGAAGCCGCAGGTAACAATTTTTTTGTTGTATAAAACATTTAACCAATATTTTTTTCAGATTGCAAAGTTTGCTTATCCAAAACATGTTGCGCGAATTGGTGGAAAATCTACTGATGTTATTGAAACTTTAAAACAATCGGTACAACTCCACAAAGAAAAGAATATGCAAAAGAATTCGCTGGCATCATCCGAACATTTGAACATTCAAAATGAAAGTCAGCCAGTCTCATTCAATCACGCAACACAATCTGTACAGAATCCAACAAATTCTTTCTCTGGATTTGCTGGAAAATCAATCAAGAAGGAAGTTGCATGTGACAAGTTTGAATATGGTGGAATTGGAAAGCGTTTGGCAAATTCTCCAAGCAATTATGATATGAAGCCTCAGGTAACATTTTTTTGGGGGGTATACAAACTTTGCCATTTTGTTATTCAAAAAGAAAATATGCGCGAAATTCGTTGTTAGATATATGAAGGCCATTCAACTGTTTCAAACATTCATCCACTATTTTTTCAGATCGCAAAAATTGCTCTTCCCAAAAATGTTGCGAAAATTGGTGGCAAATCGACTGATGTTATTGAACCTGCAAAACAATCGGAAGTACTCCACCAAGAATCGGATATGCAAAAGAGTTTCCCGGCATCTTCCCAACATTTGAACATTCAAAATGAACGAAAGAGAGTCTCATTCAAACTCGAAACACAAACTCGACTAAAATCAACAAAGGTTTTCTCTGGAATTGGCAGAAAATCAATCAAGAAGGAAGTCAAAAGTGCTGACAAATTTGAATATGGTGGAAATCGAAAGGGTTTTGCAAATTTTCCAAGAAATGCTGACACAAAGGTAACAATTTTTTTGTTGTATAAAACATTTAGCCAATATTTTTTTTTCAGATTGCAAAGTTTGTTCTTCCCAAAAATGTTGCGAAAGACTGATCTATGTTCGAATGAATCTTCTCACACACTTCGACATTTCAGCCTGGACCACTTTGCACTTTTAACTTTTCTTTTTTTTGCCATTTCTTCCCTCTCTTTATCATTTTATGACTAAAAAATGTGTGTATTTTATCAATCTTCCCCTGACCCAAAAAATCTTGTAATATTTATATATTGGTAAGGATTTCCCCAACATTTTTTATTGCTTTTTTACAAATTGTATTATTGTAGCCCCTATAGTTTCCCATAGAAAAATGTGCATTTTCTTTTTCCCTCTCCCTAATTATTATTTTTTGTTTCTCTCCAAATCAAGAATATAGTTTTATTGTTATTCATATTTTTTCCTCGTATTAATTTTTATCCGGTGATTTTATAATAAATTTTTTTGTATTAGAAAATCGCTGTTTTTTCAAGAAAAGTTATGAAAATCAATGTTTTTTGAAAAACAATGAAATGAAAAAAAACTTGACAACAAAATTCAAAAGGGCGTGGCCAACCAATCGCAATCGTCGAAAATTTTTCAGGCTTCTGAAGTTTTAAAAAAGATTTTGGAGTCTTCAGAAAGCTTTTTGAGAATTCAGGAGATTATTGGAGGCTTCATAAAATTTTCAAAAGCTTCCGAAGGCTTCTAGATGCTCTAGAGGGCTTCAAAGTTCAATAATTTTTGAAAAATGAAGTTAAATTGCATCAACATTCATTCAATTAGAAATCAATTAATTATCCAAGAAAAAAACACTTGAGAATAATAATTATCCAATTAATTGAACTACCAAATTGGACCATATATTTCTTTTGAAATCTCTGAGAAAGGCTCAGGTGTTGTTTGCACATCTTGTCCCGATTTGATGCGCTCGAAAAAATCTGTGTAGATCACATCATTTTCCGAATTGTTTTCGCAATATTCTTGATTTTGTCGCCATCTATCATCCAAGTATTTTCGCCATTTTTGACTCCAGGAATCTCTGAAAATATATCTCAAATTTTCAACTCTGAAAAAAATCTGTACCTTTTGAGATTCGAGTGTGAAAGTACACCAGCAAAAAGAAGAGAAACTAGCAAAAATGTTGACCAAGTCATCTGAAAATTCTGGAAATTTTAGACTGAACAAGGAAAAAAATGAAATGTGGCAGGAAAAAGGTGGGCACCAAAAATTTGCATTTTAATTTGGAACCTTTTGTTTTTTCTGGTCACAAGAAAGATTTGATTTTCTTTGAGGTGTCAGAGAAAATTTTAATTTAAAAATTCCGGTCTAAAAATTTATTTATATTTTTTATACAAAAGCCATTATTTTTCCTTGACACCTCAAAGAAAATTAAATTTTCTTTGTGACCAGAAAAAACAAAAGATTCCAAATTAAAATGCCAATTTTGTGCCCATCTTTTCCAGCACATTTCATTTTCATTTTTTTCCACGTTCACAAAATTTTCCAGAATTTTCAGATGACTTGGGCGACATTTTTGCTAGTTTCTCTTCTTTTTGCCGGTGTGCTTTCACACTCAAATCTCAAAAGGTACACGATGTCTTTTTTCTTTATCTCGAGTCCCCGAAAATTGTCAGAACTTTTCTGCAGAATTGAAATTTTGGGGAGGATTTGAAAAAAATTAGATTATTTTTGTTGATTGAAATGAATGAACGTGCTTTAGAACTTAGAGATTATAAAAATATTCACCGCAAAAATTGGGAAACGAGTTGAAGATCCAGTCAAAAATCACATTTTCAAGCCAAAAATCGTAGATTCCCACAAAATGCAAAGATTTACCACAACAATCAGATATCGAATCGAAAAGTTTCACGAAAATATCAAATTTTGGAGCGATTGAAGGAAAAAACAGATCAGATCAGCATCTTGAAATTCTGGAAAAAAACAATTTATTTCCACAAATTCTGAAGCCATTTTTTTTCGTATGACTCATTCCAAAATGGCCGAGAAATGTCGGGAGTTCCGCCAATGCAAAAATTCTTCCATTTGGAACAAATTTGTTGGCCTAATTCCCGCCAATTCGAGCCCATCTCAAAATTTCGGCCACACATATTTTTTTCTAGTTTCTCAATTCTAAACAAAATTCAAGCTCAATCAATCAAGTTCTTCTAACTTTCAAAAAATCAATAATTCAATTCTGTTTTTATTCTTCCAGAAATTTTGCAAACTAGTTTTCTTGAAATTTGGTAAAATTTCAAAACTATTTCAGAAACATTTTGAATATTCCAACTAACCGAAAATTTCGAGGTTCGAGAGCGCTTTGACTTCTAAATCCACCACTTCGGATTTTTGTCCGAATAGAGAAGAGAAGGATGAAGAATTCGACGATTGGAATCAATTAAGAATACAACAACGAAAAGAAGAAGCGACGGAGCCGGAAAGAATCCAATTTGGCTCACTGTGGAGGAAGAAGATCTGAAAACAAGTTCGGTTATTTTCAAAAAAAAATTGCACATAGTGTTTTGTTTTTTTTTCTAAAAAAAATCATTTCTCAAATGCTTAACCTTCAGAAATAACACGTCATATGAAAATGTGACCGTGGCCGAGAAATGTAGGGAGTTCGGCCAATGCAAAAATTATTCTCAAAAAATGGATTTTCAGATAAATTATTTTATGAATTCTGAAATTCGAATTGGGGTGGATTTTTTATTCTGGTGAGATTAGAAAATTCAGATTCTATATTTTCCATACTGAAATTTCTTACAAAAATTTTCAAGTTTTTTAGCGAGTTATGGGGCTATTCAGATTAGTTTCTCAACCAAAAAACAGGAGGAGAAAGGAGGAGAAACTCTATTCAGAAAACACCAAAAAAGGAGGAGAAACTCAATTACCTACCTAAATTTTGATTTTTCAGCATAAAAAAATGAAACTAAAAGAATAACTATTAGGTTTTATTGATAAATTAGTGATTTTGAAGTGATTTGTGCTTCAAATCGCTTTAATTCTGTATTTTTCCGTGTATTTTTTGGTTTTCGATGAAGCATATCGGTTTTCAACTATTTTTTCAATAGAAAATTGAGAACTAAATTTATCACCGTTTCTAGCTAGAAAAAAATTCAAACAAACTTTTCAAAATTTTTCTGAACCTGTTGTTTCAGCTTCATAATTTTTATATGAATTCCAGAGTCTTCGATTTTTGACGTAGATTCCAATTTTTACCTGAAAATATGAACTATTTTTTTTATTGGAAAGAAAATGAGAATTAAACCAACCTTTTTGTTAATGTTAATAAAGCTTCAATTGATTTTTTAAGAAGAAAAAAATATTTATTTGAAAAAAAATTGACAATTAAAAAAACAATATCTAATTTATTGACTCAACTTTTTCCAAAATCTTGTAGTTGAATTGGACCTGGAGTCCCAGTTATATTTCCCGCGAAATATAATATTTTCCACTCATTGAACTGTGCCAGGCTTGCAACCCTCAATGTCTTCATTTTCTTCAGTGCTCCACAATAATTTTCAAATTCGTCGCCAAGTTTCATTTTTCATGGTCCCTTTCGTAATTTTTATTTTATTTTTAATCGTTATCGCACTCAAATATTCGCTTGTTCTTCACCCGTTTCGATTTCCATATTAGAACTACAAGCAGTTGCGAATATTTGTCCACTTGTGGGCTGCTTCTTGCAAAAATCCTCAATTTTCTCAGTTTTTTAAAAAAAATAATATTCCAGATTAACTTCGGTCGAAGAATAGAGCAAACCCTCCAGCAAATTATATTTCCATTGAAATATAATATTTTCCATTCATTGATCACTCGCATTATTTCCTGTTCATATTTTCTGCAAAGCGATCCCCGAGAATCGCGATCCATTTATTCTTCTATTCTCATTTTAATCCGCGGTTTCGATCGTAAGCAATAACAGCATACATACACAAGGCCAATCTCCAGGCTGCTAATATTTTATCAAAATAAAATATTTTCCATTCATTGAATTTCTCCGGTTTGCTTCCATCACGTTTCGATTTCCATATCGGAACTACATCAGTTGCACGAGAATATTTGTCCACTTCTTGGGGTTTTGATTGCATGCAAATCCAACTTATCGTAATTCTCTTCTCCCATCCGTTTCCATTATTTTTTATTGATTATCCCTATTATTGTGTGAGAGATCGAGACCAATCTTCTAGGCTGCAAATATTTTAACAAAATAAAATATTTTCCATTCATTGAGTTTTGGAGTTTCTCCACCAACACGAGATGTTGGTGAGGGTGCTTGGTTAAAAAAATCATTTGAAATAGCAAATCTTCAGTTTCAATCTTGGGGTGATCTGACCTTATTTGATTGGTGATAATTAATTGATCACTTCGATTCGGCTCTCATTCTTCTCAATTTCCAGATTTTCAGATAATAAATAATGAATTTAGGCTTTGAGTTCTCCACGCGACGCGACAGCTACACAAATTTCTCTTGTGATATCTTCCAACTGATAAAGTTTCTAAAATTCCGGCATCCAATTATTTTCCTTCATCTCATTTTCTACCGAAAACTTCTTCTTCTTCAGTTTAGTCGTCATAAAATTGAAAAACTTCAGAATTGATGAAGATTTATTTTTGAAGTCGTTAATCCAAATTCTCAATTTCTTGATTTTGTCCATTTTTTCCGCAGCCACTTTTTGGATGTTTTGGCGAAATGATGATTTCGGAGGCATCTTTCTCATCTCCAGATATGTTCAGTGTTGGTAGCAATTCTCACCCACTTTTTATTGAACCATCAAAATAAAATATCTTCCATTCATTGAACCGTGCCAGGATTGCAGCCCTCAATGTCTTCATTCAATTCAGGGCTTACAATTTCGATTTGATTTTGAGTTTTTCTCGCGAGTTTTTGTCGCTTCCAGAGTTCCTATCACTTTTGCTTCGTAAACTTTTTCATTCTCAATTTTTTTTCATTTTCTCTCTCATAAAGGTCGCTCCAACCACTTCGGAGCATTGGTTCGCACAAAGGGTCCACAATCATTCTTGTATTTTTCCGCCATCTTCATCTTTTGTGGTCCCTTTCGTAATTATTAATGTTTTTTTTCATCGTTCAGATTGATAGTTGTTTTTCTCACCCACCTTTTATTGATTTTCATCGAAAACATCTTCCATTCATTGAACTGTGCCAGGATTGCAGTCCTCAATGATTCCTTCTTTTTCTTCTCTCCCAATTATTTTCGTACTTCTCCGCAAGTTTCATCTTTCGTGGCCCCTTTTCCTGTGAATATCCTCAAATTTCTCCATGCCCATACTATTCTTTTGTACAATTTTTTGTCTTCATTTTTCGGTGAGACAAAAAGGTTTATACGTCATAATAAAGGTGGAAACAATTAATTGTATAATATCATGGTCAAGAGAAAAAACAACAACATATCATTATTCCATTGAAAATGCTCAAGAAAACTAGGTTTTATCTCCTAGTTTTCATCAAAATATAATATTTTCCATTCATTGATCACTCGCATATTTTTCCAGTTCATATTTGCTGCGAAGCGATCCCCGAGAATCGCGATCCATTTATTCTTCTTTTCTCATTTTAATCCGCGGTTTCGATCGTAAGCAATAACAGCATACATATATGTATATTTCAACCAAGCTTTTTTTCAACTTATTCATGTTAAAAAATTGATTTTCCACCCAAGAACAAGGTGAAAATGGGCACAAACCAAAACTAAATTCTCACTTTGGAGCTCCAGAAAAGTGCTCATAGGTATTTGTGGCAATTTTTGACTTCGGATTCGTGATCAGCTTGGTCGATTTGCTATATTTCGATATGTTTCATCAAAAGTTAGCGTAATTCTCTTCTTCCATTTGTTTCCAGTATTTTTTTTATTGATTTTCCCAATCAGTTTGATGTATGAGATCCAATCTCCAGGCTGCTAATATTTCATCCAAATAAAATATTTTCCATTCATTCACCTTTCATCTTCTTCATCCGTTTCCATATCGGAGCTACAAGCAGTTGCATCAAAAATTTGTCTACTTCTTGGGGTTTTGATTGCATGCAAATCCAACTTAGCGTAATTCTCTTCTTCCATTCGTTTCCATTATTTTTTATTGATTTTCTCTATCAGATTGATGTATGAGATCCAATCTCCAGGCTTCAAATATTTTAACAAAATAAAATATTTTCCATTCATTGAGTTTTGGAGTTTCTCCACCAACACGACATGTTGGTGATGTTTCAGAATTGAAAAACATCATTTGAAATTTCAAGTCTTCAGTTTCAATTTTGGGGTGATCTGACATTATTTGATTGGTGATATTTAATTGATCACTTCGATTCGGCTCTCATCTTTGAGTTCTCCACGCGACGCGACAACTGCACAAGTTTCTCTTGTGATATCTTCCAACTGATAAAGTTTCTAAAATTCCGGCATCTAATCCTTTTCCTTCATCTCATTTTTTACCGAAAACTTCTTCTTCTTCAGTGTAATCATCATAAATTTGAAAAACTTCAAAATTGATGAACATTTATTTTTGAAGTCGTTGATCCAAATTCTCAATTTCTTGATTTGGCCATTTTTTCCGCACCCACCTTTTGAATGGTTTGGCGAAATGATGATTTCGGAGGCATCTTTCTCACCCACTTTCTATTGAACCATCAAAATAAAATATCTTCCATTCATTGAACCGTGCCAGGATTGCAGCCCTCAATGTCTTCATTTCATTCAGGGCTTACAATTTCGATTTGATTTTGAGTTTTTCTCGCAAGTTACTTTTGCTTCCAGAGTTCCTATCACCTTTGCTTCGTAAACTTCTCCATTTCTTTTTCATAAAGGTTGCTCCAACCATTTTGGAGCATTTATTTGCACGAAGGGCTTTTAAGTCCACAATCATTCTTGTATTTTTCTGCCATTCTCATCTTTTGTGGTCCTTTTCGTAAATTTTAATGTATTTTTTTTTCATCGTCCAGCGTGTTTTTTCTCACCCACCTTTTATTGATTTTCACCAAAATAAAAAATCTTCCATTCATCGAACTGTGCCAGGATTGCAGTCCTCAATGACTCCTTCTTTTTCTTCTCTCCCAATTATTTTCGTACTTCTCCGCAAGTTTCATCTTTCGTGGTTCCTTTTCCTGTGAATATCCTCAAATTTCTCCATGCCCATACTATACTTTTGTACAATTTTTGTCTTCATTTTTTGGTGAGACAAAAAGGTTTATACGCCATAATAAAGGTGGAAACAATTAATTGTATAATATCATGGTCAAGAGAAAAAACAACAACATTATTCCATTGAAAATGCTCAAGAAAACTAGGTTTTATCTCCTAGTTTTCATCAAAATATAATATTTTCCATTCATTGATCACTCATATTTCTCCTGTTCATATTTGCTGCAAAGCTATCCCCGAGAATCGCGATCCATTTATTCTTCTATTCTCATTTTAGACCGCGGTTTCGTTCGTAAGCAATAACAGCATATATTGATTTTCCACCCAAGAACAAGGTGGAAATGGGCAAAAACCAAAACTCAATTCTAACTTTGGAGCTCCAAGAAAGTGCTCACAGGCATTTGTGGCAATTTTTGACTTCGGACTCGTGATCAGCTTGGTCGATTTGGTATATTTCGATATGTTTCATCAAAAATTCAACACCTGACTCCATGCACTCCCATTGTTAGCGTAACTCTCTTCTTCCATTCGTTTCCATTATTTTTTATTGATTTTCTCTATCAGATTGATGAATGAGATCCAATCTCCAGGCTGCAAATATTTTAACAAAATAAAATATTTTCCATTCATTCACCTTTCATCTTCTTCACCCGTTTCCATATCGGAACTACATCAGTTGCACGAGAATATTTGTCCACTTCTTGGGGTTTTGATGATTGATGTATGAGATCCAATCTTCAGGCTGCAAATATTTTAACAAAATAAAATATTTTCCATTCATTGAGCTTTGGAGTTTCTCCACCAACACGAGATGTTGGTGATGTTTCAGGATTGAAAAACATCATTTGAAATTTCAAGTCTTCAGTTTCAATCTTGAGATCTGACCTTATATGATTGATAATTAATTGATCACTTCAATTCGGCTCTCATCTTTGAGTTCTCCACGCGAAGCGACAGCTGCACGGATTTCTCTTGTGATATCTTCCAACTGATAAAGTTTCCAAAATTCCGGCATCCAATTATTTTTCTTTGTCTAATTTTTTACCGAAAATTACTACTTCTTCAGGGTAGTCGTCATAAAATTGAAAAACTTCAGAATTGATGAACATTTATTTTTGAAGTCGTTCATCCAAATTTTCAATTTCTCGATTTTGTCCATTTTTTCCGCACCCAGCTTCTAATATTTTGACATCAAGAAATGATTCCAAAGTTTGAAGATCACACTTCACGATTTGAATGTTTTGGCGACGTGATGATTTTGGAGGCATCTTTCTCACCCACTTTTCCATCTTGAACCATCAAAATAAAATATCTTCCATTCATTGAACCGTGCCAGGATTGCAGCCCTCAATGTCTTCATTCGATTCAGGGCTTACAATTTCGATTTGATTTTGAGTTTTTTCTCGCGAGTTTTTGTCGCTTCCAGAGTTCATATCACCTTTGCTTCGTAAACTTTTTCATTCTCAATTTTTTTTCATTTTCTCTTTCATAAAGGTCGCTCCAACCACTTCGGAGAATTGGTTCGCACAAAGGGCTTTTAAGTCCACAATCATTCTTGTATTTCTCCGCCATCCTCATCTTTTGTGGTCCCTTTCGTAATTTTTAATGTATTTTTTTTTCATCGTCCAGAGTGTTTTTTCTCACCCACCTTTTATCGATTTTCATCAAAATAAAAAATTTTCCATTCATTGAACCGTGCCAGAATTGCAGCCCTCAATGTTCCCTTCTCCTTCTTCTCTCCCAATTATTTTCGTATTTTTCTGAAAGTTTCATCTTTCGTGGCCCCTTTCGTAGATTTTAATTCATTTTTTATCGTTGGGTTTAAAGGTGGAGTCTGACCAAAAAATACGTTGTGCTGATTTGGAAGAGCCCCTTCTAAAATTGGCTTGAAAATCTAGATGTAAAGTAGTTTGGAGCTGTGTTTTTCTCTCCATTCT